CACAGTTCATGTCTGTGATTCGTATTCTTCTTTGTTCGGCTTCAGACTGGGCCACTGATTCGGCTCTGCGCGTCACTCTGCTATTCTGATATACTCTTGAGGATTACGCATGGTAAAATTGCATAGCGGGCGTTACTTGCAGCTTCAGGGTTGGCGCGTGGGTTCGCCAGCTTCTTGTACACTATCAAATGCAGTCTTTGTCTTCTGAGCGTAACTCGATTGCTGTGATTCCTTTTGTTCGACTCGTATTCGTGGTTATCACGTACGTCGTTAGAAACTTAGTTCTAGAGCAACAGTGTTCCTCAATTTACAAGATCGTAGTTGTGTGAACAACTCGAAGTTCATATAATGCACCTGAACCACAAAATCCTCTCGGAGGCTTAAGATGCATTTAGAGACACTGCACAAGCTAAGAAGAACTGTATGCAGGCTCTGTGATTTGATGCGTACTTCTATAGCCATATTGCGCTGGAACCTCCTCGGCGTTCAAATGCCTAGCAAAAGGAGAGCAATTTTCACTCTCCAACAAAAGGCAAAAAAGATGCTTGCATTCATCTCTCACGCGACATGTTCCATAGTGTTTAGAGAGCAAAAAGAAGGTGATATTCCGACACCGGGAATCTGAATTGTTGTTAGAGAAGATCGAACTGAGGGGTAATTGGAGAAGCTTACCGAACCCGGGCCTTGCCGGCACTGAACAGTGAACTGACTCTGCAGATGAGAGCGGCAAATCCTAGCCACTAGACCATATCGGACTTTAATTGGATGAGGAGACGAAAAATTGATGTAAATATGAAGTTTGGGAAAAATTGATTATGTGATGGCGGAGTTGGAAGGTTCGAAAAATTTGTATACAGGTAAAGAGCAAAGGCCCCACTAAGTACAATTTCTTTTACATCGATATGTCTAGATCGAGGCCAAAGCTACCAATTCTGAAGACGTTGACTGTGTCCGCAAAGGTACTGTTGTTGTCCTTGTTATTCGCCAACTCTACTCCGTCGCGCGTGATAATCTCTGTGCTACCCACTGTATTCACGTTGTAGAGATTAATGTCATACGTGTTGCGGCCCCCTTCAATCGACAGAATGGTCGACTGGCACTTCTCGTCTTCGGTGACCCGCGAGCAGTTCGTCGAGTAGTTGTTGAAGAAAGAGTACAGGCCTATTCCGTAGCCGAGAATGTTGTTGCTGCGGAGGATGCGCAGGCCCCAACCGGATGCAGTGCTGGTGGACGTAGAGTTCGTCCCATTCAAAGGCGTATGTGTGAAGACTGGGTCGGACAGCACTGGGTTGTTTGGGAAAGGGAGGGTGGCATCGGGGTTGGGCTGGTAGTAGGCCGTCTCCGTTTGGATCTGGCCCATGAAGATGTTCTTGGTGTCGACGAATTGGTATTCGTAGAGGACGTGGTGTTCGACTGCCGTGCCGGTTCTGGAACAATGTTAGTTACTGTTGGAGAAACTATGAAGGTTGGAAATCTCACAGCCATATCCTCCCGTTGATACTCTCAACAAGCAGACCGCGGCCAGCGTAGAGAGTGAGCTGGCCGTCACCGTCGAGGTCATGATCAGAAGTCCACAGCCAGTTGTTCTCCATGTACAGTCCTGCACTGAACTTGGTGAGGTGCATAGTCATGTAGGCTACAATGCATTCCTCCTTCAAGTTCGCCGCAGTGGTCGTAATGTTAGGCGTTGTCCCACACTGCTTGACTTGCTGGTCTGATCCCACGAATCCTCCGATACGCGCATGCACATCCCAAAGACCAGCAGGCTCGTCAGTATAGGTACCGAGATTGTACTCAATCAGGATGGCACCAGCTTGCGCGCCTTTTGTGCTGACAAAGAGATCGGACAGCTCCACTCGGCCCTGTTCGCCTGGTCGGGCGATTTGTACAACTGGCTTGGGATTGGCCATGTCGTTGAAGTAGGGGCCAGAGGAAAGAATCACAGAGGCAAGAGCCTCTCCAATGATAGTGGTACCGGGTGGGATGTAGATTGTAGAGGTGACCACATAGAAACCGGCATCAATGAAGAGAATCTTTCCCTCAGCATTGGCTTGGAGGATCGCGGCATTGAGAGCCTCGGTATCGTCGGTTCGACCGTTTCCAGTGGCACCAAGATCACGAGCGCTGAGAAACTGCGACAGAGGAACATCACCATATTGAGGCTTCGAGCGCTCGTAGTATTTGCCATCCGCGCCCAGCAGTTCTGCCGGACGTTTGGTTGGGTCGAGAGCGCCGCGCACTTCCACAGGACCTTGAGGCAGGTATCGGTGACCGTCAGCCCAAGCTTCGATAGTCGAAGCACCAGAAGATCCTGCTAGGTAGGTTCCGTTAGGTCCAGCTACAGCGGTACGGACATTGTCGAGTTTAATATTTTCCAGGTAAAGGGATCCGGCAGCAGCAGGCTCGGAGTTCTTGGTCCTGGAGGTGACGATACCAATCGGGGTGTTGGTGATCTCGCTGTCAAAGAAGGTGATTGACCCCACATTGACTGCAGACGGACCTCCGTTGGTCATGTTAAGTCCAACCTGGCAGTTGTTGATAGAGACAGACTTGTACGTCCAGCCCCAATCCCAGAGCTGCTCAATAGCGGTGGTGACATGGTTGAACGTGATGTTGCGAGTGGTGAATTGCTGGTTTCCGACGATGAATCCCTTGTTTCCACCATTGAAAACGAGGTCAGTCATGAAACCACCGGATCCCGCTTCCACGAAGAGACCTTGGTGTTGCGTTCCATTTTCGGCGTTCATGTTGAAAATCACGTTCTGGATACTCGTCGCCTGCGCAGTTGGCCAATGGATTCCGGTAGGTGAATCCTTAGCTGACATTTTTGTTGTGTCAATGATGAGATTCCGAATCTGGCGGAAGAAGGTGACTGTAGGATTGAAACCAAGTCCATTGTCGCCGTATAGAGAGCCGTCAATCAGGCCGAAACTTGAGCCGGAGAAATTGGAGGCAGCCTGAATGGTAGGAAGACAGTTTGGGTTTCCGATGATCTTCAACGAGTCAGTCATAATATCCCATACGTATCACCAAGTGCCCGATGCTAAGTAAAGCCCGATGTGTTAAATGTACCCTACAAGTATACACCGCATCTTCCACTCATACGTGGACGAACAAGAAGACAATGTAATCTCTAGGGTACACTTCCAGTCTTGGGTCGAATTTGGTGATCCCGCCTTTCTTGCACTAGACGGAGTTCATACCTGAGTATAGTAATAGTCGATGATAGCACTCGAGATCTTGTAAGTACCACCTGGAAAGTACACAACAGCAGGCTGGTTGGTAGAACTGCCGCAAGTCCCAGGCGCACATCTACCACCATACGAGATAGCTCTCTGGATGGCGGCAGTATCGTCAGTGATTCCATCGCCGACTGCACCGAAAGACTTGACATTCCGGAAGACGGTGTAGTTGCTAGGGTTCGGATTATAGCTAGCGATGCCTTGGTGTTTGATATTTTCTAACCAGTATGGAGCACATGACGAGTCCTGATTCGCAGATTGGCGAGGCCTCGCATGTGGGTGCGCGTGGCGAGGCGCGAAGTGTAGGTTGGATGATCCATGGACATAGCCATTGTTGGAAGGAGCGGACAGCGCGAGTGCGCAAGCGGAATACAATCCCAACACCACGGAAGACGCGGAAAGCAACATCCTCGATAAAAAGCGTCAAGAGCGACGAGAAGTGAACAACAGAAGTTGAAGATGGTAAGATTCCCGCAGTATCACATATTAATACAGTAAGAGCTGGGGCGGCTCTTTTGTCGCCCCTGTCATCATTTGGGGTCGTTGTAGGGCCGATCGACCGCGACTACATGCGGCGATCGGCCATGCGTATTTGCTTCGCTGATTGGGCTCGGATCGGAATCTGTGGCGTTCTTGTTGGCGGCGTGTTTAGAAGATCTGAAACATTTAGTTCACCGATTCGCAACGGTCCATTGCAGCGCCAGCTAGCCCAATGTTAGCTTTTGCAATCAAACCATATACCAATTCCGGAGTCCTGGAGGGAGCGATTCAAATTGTACGACCTGCACATTGGGCGCATGATGCTTCCACGCACGCGGGTGCATTGTTGAATCTCGGCCTCCTGCGTTAGCCTCGCAACGAATGGAAAACCACTACCTCATCCGAGGAAGTCTAAACGCGTTCTTGAATCTTGCAATAGGAAGTGAGTAAGTGTCACTCTACAGCGCTTTGAGATGATATAATAGTTCTAATTAGTGATATTGTATAGTCTACTTGCGACTACTCATCTCCTTTGTACAAGGCGCTATCTCGCCCCCAGATTTCGGGAAAGGGACGTGCTTGCGGGTTTATTCCCGGAAATTCGACATCATTGCGCCACGAGCTTCAGTGTTCTGGTTTCGTGCCCTGTGTAGGTTCGAGATAGGGGCGAATGCTCGCTGATCTATGAATCGAGATACTGTAGGAAGGTGCTGGTTACCGGGGGATGATAGCATTCAGAGGTGACAGAAATGGGGGTTTGAAGAAGAGAATGCGCCTTGAAATCAGCCTGGGGCCTGGTCTCGGTTTGGGCTGGTCACTGGACTATGGGGCTGCCGGAATTGGGAATTGGGGGTTGTATCCCTATTGATGAGTGAACAGTGTACATCATTGCGTTTTCCGTACAACTCAGGACAGCCTCGTCGTACAGCAAGTCGAACAGGCCCGACTTGCCAGTCGGAATAAGGCGGATTTCATCCCTAAGATGAATTTACGGCTGAATCCTAGTAATCAAGTCAGAGTGAAAGACGTTCAAGCCTTCCAAGGTTCTATCCCTCATTGACAAGAAGGACCGCTTGCTCGGATTGACTACTGCCTGTCGTTATGTGTAGAGGAGTGTGCCAGCATACTGAACCGGACAAGACAAAAAAGGATAGTAGGTAGTCTCTACTGTTCATGCTGAAGAAAAAGGGCAAGCAAAACGAACGATCAGTTTTGGAAGGAGGGAGCGCGCAACCACGTGACCAACCTCATCGGCAACACCGCCGCCCAAACGCCGACAATCCAAACTTTTGCGTATCCAAGTGCACAGCAAACGTCATCTTCGAGATACCCAACTCGCATACCGCCTGTAACTTTACAACCCTTTCTATCGCCTCACCCCACATCTCACACAACACACCGCCAGAATGTTCGGAGGTAAGTTTCGCCAGGGATTGCCGCGTTCAAGACAACGAGGCTGACGTGCATGACAGCACCACCACAACCATCCAAGCAGGAGCTTGCTGCGGCCGAAGCACAGACTATGACCGATATCAAGTGGACAGCTGCCAGCGCTGTTGTACTATACTTCTGTAAGGACATACTGGAAGTGCATGATGGCGAGATGGAAACTAACGGTCTGCAGCACCTCATCTCGTCGAATACGTCTCGAAGCTCTTCTAAGCAGCGACTGCTCCCGCAATTACGAACCCATGTAGGACGTCAAACTCGCTGCAAAGGAACAAGTGGAAGCCTAGACGGAAGAATCAAGCAATACACCAACGAACTACTGTACAACATATGCGCATGGCATGGGGGACACATGCGCTTGTAACATTACTGGTTGAACGGACACAAATACCCTTACAGTATGCATCGGATCGACGCATATGTTGAAAAGCAGTCAGAAGTCATCAAATGCCATCTGACATATGCGGAATGATGAGACGATAAATATTATGCAACGCTTGATTGTACGCCTTCTATGCATCCGTCCGCTGCTGCTTGGTATCTTGCAACGCCCAACTTTTCGCAATATAACCTCTACATCACCTGTGAATCGTACATGACAAATGCGCCCTCGTATTATGCCCTTATCGCTTTGCGGGCCTTGACTGCTTTGCAGTCTCCCACTCGTTGTATTCGTCTCTGGTGTCGTCGACCCACTTCTTGAGGTGCTCGAGTTGTCGGTCGTAGTCTTTGAGGAGCTAAGGTACGTTGTCAGCATGTGCGAGGAACCATGAGATGGGCTTCTTACCTTCTCCAATGCCTTCTGGTCTTCATCTGTAAGAAGTTCGCCGTTTTGCTGTTGGTCAATCGTCTTGCCCAGCTTCTCAGTCTCCTCTTGTAGGATACGTGCCCGCTCGCGCACACCGGACATGCGCGCCCAGATCTCTTCTTGTCGCCCGCCAAGTACAGGATCAAAGGTCTGCTTCTCCAACTCGATAAGCTTCTTCTTCAATTCCTCCTCTGGCTGATCCATAACGTATCCTCGGTTTCGCAAGATCTGGACCTTAGTTGCAAGGGCCAATGTTCGCTGAGTGAAGACGACGTGCTTGCGCTTAGCTTCAGTGATGCGCGATGCTACCGTCAGCTCGTGGGCATCTTTGAGAAGCGACAGTGCATTGTTGATCTCGTGTAGGCGGGTTCGTAGCGCGGTGACGGCGGCTGCTTGCTGCTTGATGCGTTCTCCAACTTGCTCAAAGCCACGCGCAAGCACGGGAATAGCACCTGGACTTGGCTTCTTGGACAAAGCCTCTTCCCATTTCCGTTCGTCTTCACCGTGCGAGGGTCCGTAGAAGGGCGCTTCTTCAGGCTTGACCGAGTTGTAGAAGTAGTATTGAAATACGCATTCGGGGCTGTTCGGGTCCCACTTGTTATTAAGGATCCGTATCTGCTCTATCACCGACTTCTCTCCTAGTAAGTGTTAGCGCGACTTCAGCGGTAAGTTCGAGGTGCCCGTACTGTGACCGTTCATGGTAGAGGCAGCGAAGGGTTGCGCGGAGGATTGGCGCAACTGCGGAAGCCCTTCGCGCTGTTGCTGGATGCTTTGCGCCTGAACATTGTTCAAGACGGGCGCAGGCTGCAATGAGGCGCCGAAGAGGCTGTTACTCATGTTTGGCTGTTGCTGCTGCCCCTGCTGCTGCTGTTGCTGTTGTTGCTGAGGCTGACCAAACAGACTTGAGCCGGCATTTTGTTGTTGCTGTTGAGGCTGTCCGAAAAGGCTTGAGCCTGCGTTCTGCTGCTGCTGCTGCTGCTGCTGCTGTTGCTGAGGCTGGCCGAACAAGCTCGATCCCGAGTTTTGCTGCTGTTGCTGCGGTTGTGCCGAGCCAAACAGGCTATTGGTGTTGTTTTGGGGAGGAGCGGTCGATGAACCGAAGAGGCTGGATTGTGTCGCGTTCGACTGCTGCGGCTGTTGCTGCTGCGATTGACCGAAAAGACCGCCAGACGGTGCTGTGGTGCTTCCAAACAGAGTGCCCGTCTTCTTTTCTCCGCCTGCCGGGTTTCCAAAGCTGAAAGACATGTTGTATAGAACTCTGGGTGTGCGCGTATCTTTCTAGGCAGATTCGATGGTGATCCGAACGAGTGACGTTGTTCAAGTCGCGGATGGAGTAGCTTCGAATGTTTGTTTTCGGTCGCGCGTAGGCACGCGAAAGAGGCGATCGCTGAAAGTCGGCGCTGGTACAATTTGCAGAAAGAATCAATCGGCGCGCATCCTGGTTGATGAAAAGTAGGAAAGTCGTGTAAAGGCGCAGTGGAGGTGCGGATGGGGCAGTGAGAGATTGTTGTCTCTCGTTCACGAAGGTCAGGCACAAGCTGCGGCCCATCGTATCCCTGCCAGTTTTAGTGAATGCCAAGACCGCCTTCCGCGACGACCTCATGAGCATCATCTCCAATTCGTGAGCCGATAGCCCGCCATTGGCACCTCACCCTCAAGATGTCGTCGCGCCAGCCCAGGCAAGCGCTCTCTGCCAATCTCACGGCGCTCCTACATGCTGACTGAATTGCAGGTTCAACCAGCAAGCCCTCATCGACACCACCCCTCTACCCGACGACATCCCCAAGGTCAAGGAGCTCGGAGCCAGTTCTGCGCCCCTCCTGAGTGCCTCGTTCTTCATTGGCGCGCGATGCAAGGCCTACAACGATGACTACATGATGTGCAAGACCGAGGCCAACGGCCGGGGAGAGTTTGACTGCATGAAGGAAGGCCGCAAGGTCACCAGGTGTGCGGCTAGCGTGTACGTACTGGCGGAAGGTCGAATACAGGAACCTGGGTATTGACAGCTGTGGCAGTATCAAGGACATCAACGAGAACTGCCTGGAACAGTTCCGCACCCACTGGCAATGCCTGGAGAACCACAACCAGCAACTCTGGAACTGCCGGTCAGAAGAGCGCAAGCTCAACAAGTGTGTATTCGAGAAGTTGGTATGTTCCGGAGATCATCTGGATTTGCGTTCCCCACTAACACCACGCCAGAAATTGGAGAAGACGATACCAGATGCGCCAAAGGGCGAGACCCCAGTCCACCTGCGCACACGCAACATCTTTGCGACCCACTGAGCTTTGTATATATTTACCGCTGGGATGGGCACGGGGAGAAATGAACGACATCACTCTAAATGCATGACTGTGACGAATCACAGCACGACTGTTTGTAACGTGACGAAGCGATCGGTTTGCTGCAACTACAGGTCACGTACAACAAGTGATCTGCTGCACTCCGACTCCTTTGTCAATGTACCTTCGCATTCATTTTCTGCTGTATCTTCTTATTGCCGCTTTTCGTATCTCCAGGCAATGCTACGTGAATCAGGCGGTTCACCGCGACAGCCTCGCGCGTTCATCATCACCGCGGGGCTTGAATTGCCATTGTCACCTTCTATCGTTCAATACGCCAATCACCCCTATTAATACTCGTCACTCTGGTAGTTCTCACTCCTGACAGCTCCGTCTCCCACACTCAGCGTCACTACCTGCTCTTCTCCATCAATCCCCCTGACAGCACTCAGCTCAGCGGTCAAGCCGAATCCGACATGGTGGCCACGTCAGCAGCATCACCCGCCAACCCATTCATTGACAGATATCCCGAGTCTCCTACGCAGCCTATGAAGACCGTCGACACCGATGTATTCTTCAAGAACAATGACAGTGGTGACTTTAGCTGCGCCAGCAACACGGTATCTGCCAAGATCCAAATCCAACAGACTGTTCTGGGCGAGCCTGATGTACACTGGGTTCCCAATTTCAACTGGTCCCCTCCCTCCTCCCACGGCTCTCGCGCAAGTCTGTCCAGCATGGATGATTCGTCAACGGCACCCTCCTCACCTATTGCTGACATGGACGACCCTATCGAGTGGAACAACGGCAACCTCATGTACCTCCTGAGCATCCTCAGACCTAGAGAGTTAGAGGCCGATGTGCTCACCTTCGCTCCACCACTTTTGGCGCTAGAGGACCTCAGATACCCATTTCACCTTCAACTCTACAATAAGAAACGCACATTGGTCGCCAAATCAGACACAATTTGTTCGAACCCAAATCTCGCCCGCCGCTCAATTGCTCATGACCTGATGTCGGACCACAAATTCATCGACGCTACCATTGGCAAGCTAAACGCTGTCTGGGCCATTCACAGTAGCTCGGTACCTACATTGAAGTCGATGCTGCGCGGAATGGAAGAGATGATGACCGTCACCGACCACGAATGGCAGCAGCGCATCTATCAGCTGAGCGGCGCAGTCGATGGAGACTGCGTTGGCCAATGTGTCGACGGAGAGTGCTCCATAGAGAGTCGTCTGGAGTACTATCTCCTGTTAAAAGGTAGGGACGCCCTGGAAGATTCTATTAGGTGCGTAGGCCATGTTCTGGGCTTGGACTCCGACGAGGAGAGGGCGAAGCGCGCAGACATGTTTGCGGAGGCAGGTAGTTTCTTGGGGCGGGCTTTTGAGGAGATGTTGGCTGGGGCGTAGGGATATGTTGGCGTCCGGGTTATGTTTGGATGAGCAGAAGCTAAGGTCGAATGGGACGAGTACCTCCTCGCTCAGAGATCGGTAGTACGAAACGAACTTGTTGCTCATCTGAATACAATCAGGCTCTGTCGAACTACTGGGTATCTCTATCATATAGTCGTAATCATTATCACACCTCGAGCTCAGGCTCTCCTTCCACCACCTCTACCGCCGCCCCTCGCAGCCCCCAGGAACCTGTCTCTCAGACTACCCCTATTAGCCGCTGCGTTCCCAGCAGGCGAGCTCCTCAAAAACGAGCTACCCTCAAGAAGCGAACTACTGCCATCCATACCGAAGCTACTGCGCCCATTTCCCAGATCAACACCCAGACTAACCCTTCCGACAGCGGGATGTCCGCCTCCAAACATCATGCCCCCAGGTAATCCCGAACTTCTGCGGCTCGATATACGGCGTCCACTGGAGCGGCGTCTGTGTGAACGTGTCGAACGTGCGGAAGCCAGACCAGGTGGAAGGGCGCTATTATCCACGTCGCTATCATCTTCGAGTTCTGAATCCGTGTGTTCGTAACTCCCGGCTTCTGGTACATCGTCATCGAGATCGCGTTCATCTTGCAGGACGCCTGCCATCTCCGCCTCCTCCATTTCCAGCATGTGTGACACTTCCGCCTCTAGCATGCTGCCCTCTATGAAGCTGTCTTCGTTGAACGGTACTGTGCTTTCTTCCTGGACATCGCCACTGACTTCGCTGGCTTCGTCCTCTGATTCTTCGTCGCTCGATACCTCGGAGGCGGATGCGCTGGGTGTACTTTCTGCCTCGGGGACTTCGTCGTCGAGATCTCTTTCTTCTTCGCCTTCTCCAGCCTCTTCTGCCATCTCTCCTCTCTCCCTCTGCTCCTCGTTTGCGGCATCCTGTTGTGCGGCTGCCAGATCCATCATGACTTGCTCTCTGCGCTGCATCATCTCCTGTTCCTCCTTCTCCAACTTTTCGTCCTCCATCGCTTGGAGTGTTTTGGTAACACCGGGTGGACGGAGCCAGCCCGCGCCGAATCTGCGAACGTTGAGTTTACGCTGGGCGATTGTGTTTTCGTCGGTGGCTAGACTGGAGAGGAACTGGTTCTGGATGCGACGTGGGCCATGGTGCGAGGTCGGGCGTCGTTGGTTTTGGCCATGGGTTGTATCTGGCGGAGAATTCGGGTGGGCATCTTCGAAGGCGGCGTGGGTGGTATGGTGGGAGGGCCAGAGGCTGGCGTCCTGAGGAGACCGTCAATTATTGTTCAAATGTGACCTATGTTTGGAGCATTGTGAGAAACTCCTTGGATTACTTACTGGGCGCGGCGCGATCATAGGCAACGAAAACATCTTGAGTCTCGTGACGGGGTCGGACGCCGTAGAATGGAATGGGAAAGTCGCAAACAAACGATTGCGCGGGTTGTCGCGTCAGAACGCGTCGTTTGGTGTTTCCTCGTGCTTCATGTGTGAGCTCATCGCCCCACCTCGGTTCGTCCTAATACAGGAAGGTGCCGTCCACCTGCACCGCTCTACGTCCGCTGTCCCAAGTGTTATACTACCTCACTCTATTGCTGAACGTCTTCAAAATCTCCAAAAGTAAACAACAATGGTTCTCGTGTCTTTGTCGTGGCTATCCAAAATATTCAAAATATCGGCGCTGATGACCCATGTATCTATCACGCGTATCCAGAAATTCGCACATACTCAATCACACGTCTTCGTAGTCCAAAAGACTTGAATTTGGAAACCATGTAAACTGGGATCATTTCAGACAGGCCATCATGAACTACGGGAATTTGAAAGCATCGTCCATCTAAAACTGTTCTCTTGTTCTTCACTTCTGATCGCATCAATCAAAACCATCTGGATAATGCTGATGTTGGTGTAGTCCAAATCCTCATGTTGTCAACCCCATGGGCCGCGCCGGAATCCATCAATCTTGATACCTGTGTCGATGTTGTGACCAAAACACAATCATGAAAGCCGCATGGGATTTGAGAATTCAAAGTATCGGCCCGAACGCGAATGCGAGTCTGATATACCGCGAATATACACCGGTAGCACCGGTGTACGACTGGTACCATACCCGGTGTCAGTCAGAGTCGAGGTCGAGACTGAGGTCTACATGAAACTATTCGCGTACGATTTCGATCCACAAAAGAGCCTGAGAACCTCCGGGTGCCATAATAGGCCTCCGAGATGACACGTCAAATTGATCGTGTTTCGTCCGTGGGGTGGAATAACAACCAAGTGCTGGGCTTGTCGCGGGTAGCAGAGAGCAGTTGGCAGTAAGCGACGAATACCACCGCAACGAGGGAAATCCCTTGCGAATATACTTTACAAATCGGGCTGCAACGCCTTGAAAAGGGCTGTCATATCAATCGTTAATCGGCCCTGCATGGAGTCATGTTCAGCCTCCGCGGACACTAATCGTCATGTGTACATGTACCTGTACATCCTTCGCGTGGGTCCCCATCTCGAAGGAGAACAGCGCATCTCCGCCCTACTATTCCCGCTGTTACATCCAGCCCATGCTCCATCGTCGTCAGCCTCTGCTACGCTTAGGGAAATCAACCTTCGTCTACGGCACGACTTCGGTCTAGTCCATGAGATCTTTTCCACTTGTGCTCCGGCTTGTCGGTCGCCTCCGCGCCGACATCGCGAACCGCGGACCCGACAATTTCACAAGGTTTTTGACATGCGCTTGGTACAAGGCTGGTAGTGGAAGGTTGCGGAGACGGTGTAGACGTAGCCTATTTCGAAAAAGCATCTAACGTCCATAATCTCCGTATCTGTATCCGTCAAAAAGACTATTTTGATATCGCATGGCTAACGATGCAATGCCTATGCGATCCGCTTGCCGTGCCGGGTAGCCCCCCATTCAGTAGTCCCGGAGGCGTGCCCGCAGCAGGCGAACGGATGCTTGGCCGCCAAAGCTTAACGCTTACGTTGGCGCTAGAATCGCGCATTTTAGCCGCCTCGCCGCCCACAGATGGGTCGAGATTCCAGGCGTGCAGCCGATGGCTTAGAGAGGATGTGGCATGAGCAAGCGAGGGTGAGCAGGCTGAAATGTGTGGCAGCGACGATCGAAGAGGCGCGTCGGAACGGAACACGGTGAAGAGATTTCGGATAGCGGGTAGTAAGCATAGCGGGAATGATACCATTTGCGGCTCTCGTGTGGAGGTTGTTGTAGTATGGAAGCAGCCTTGGAAACCTGACACCCCGTGAAGCATATGTCGGTTCTAATGTTGTCAAGTGTAATAGCAAGACGTACTCCGAAGCATACGCCGGAACTTGGACTGCTCTAGTTGCAACTTTGCACGACTAGAACTGTCGATAGCCCACAGGGCGTTCGTATACAATGGGTTGCTGCTAACAACGTATTGCCGTAGTGCACGACGCAGGAGAAAGTGGGAAGTGGGGTAAAACCTATTCATGTGTTCCAGCTTGTCGAAAGGTCCTTTCCTTGGAAAACGGAAGCTCCGCTTACAACCTGGACGCGTAGTGCACCAGTACGCGCGCTAGATACGTTTCAGTGTCGAGCGTCGAGAGTTTTGCGCGGAAACGTAAGAGGCGCTTGCTTAGGGTTGCAAAATCACCTGAGTGGCTGGCGGCGCGTCCGCGATAACGGTATCGTGCCCATGGTAATGCTGCAGATTGTCAGCAACAGCGACAGGGTGTAGTTCCTCGCGTGTGGGAAGAGAGGGGTAACAATCCTATGTACTGAGTACTTGCCATGCGGCTACTTTATACCAGAGCCACTTATCTGCTTGTTGCTGGGACCGTTGAGTTCGTGTCGTGCCGTTGAGCCAACAATCACACCACCTGGAGGCTCAATGTAGAAACGGCGTCCGTCTCGAGGCAGCATGGCAGGCTACAGGGGACCTGGTCCGTGACGACGATGGGCAGGGGGAGGCGATAGAACTAGATGCGCAGATATTGGCAAATGGATATGCATCGAAGGTTGTGTTGCACCTGAGGGGGTTGTGTGGTTCGAGAGTTGGTGTTGGGCAACGCTGACCTATTCGTGGGTTTGGACAAGCGAACGATTGCGAATACAGTGCATATACGGCGGTTTCTCTTCGTCTGAACGCCACTACCCGAATGATTGGATGTAGGCTTGGCCTCATCGCTGTGTTGGATAGATGGCGTATACACCACCCGTATAGTCAGCCATGGCACAACTGTGTCACAACATGACTTGACGTCTCTAGCGACAGCAAAAGGATGGAACACAGCACAACAGCACAACAGCACAACAGAACACCCTAGAGCCTACATGGACATTAGGCCACACAATTTGCATGTTTTCACATTAATGTAGTCTGCAGACGTGTTTAATCTTTTACTTGTCTGAGGTGATGCTGTAAAATTTGTCCGTATCTCGCAGTGTGCCTCAAGAGGTTACTGGTATGAGAGCTTCCTGTATCGCAGCTGGCGTCATCAAGCTTGAGTATACCGATGGCCTCAGATAAGGCCAGCTAGACACAAAGGTTGTTACCAATTCCACATGTCGTGAAACGTACAGTTGTTCAGCGACACCAGCTGAGTAACTCAAGCCATTACAGCGCGCCGTAACGTACCACATTTGCCCCTGATACGTAGCACGCGCAGCTGCAATTAGACTCATCATTCTTCAGGTAGAACCGTGAAGGTCTTCGCTAGGTTTTGCGTTAGTGTGCGGCATTATGGCGAGATGATGTATTCCTCAACCATCATGTACAAGTCAATATACGCGTACATGGAAAGTTAAGGGGATCTGGGAGCGTGGCCGTCTGCAATCAAAAATGATTGTCGCAAATTCCTCCCCACTTTCAGTGGAGTCTGCGTACTAGTCGGGTTACTGCAAAGTATTCCATGGTTGGATTGATATGTAAAGAACGGTACGGAAGTGCTATCTTATCAAGCGACCATCTACCCGCAGGACCGATTGCACAAGTTGGCCGAAATCATGATGCTCGTAACGGGCAAGTTCGTTTCTTCTGATCTGCACCTAGGTATACTGTTATCCAAAGGTCTACACCGTATCTATTTTGTCAGCACGAAGCCCTAGCATACGGCCCGCCCATGCCTTTATGGTACGGTTTACCTAGAGGCAAGACAGAAGAAACAAGTTTTCCTTTGTACGGTCTGTTTGACGGGGTCTTTAATGTCCTGCCGCAGGATCGCCTGCAGGGGAAGATTGTTCCTATATCTGGTCTGGTGCGAGGTGGATGCCCTGGTGTATAATGGCTTTTGCTATAGCACGGCGCAACATGGGACACTGCACATGCAGAGACTTGGAAAAGTTTGCACTCGATCCACGTCTGTTGCAGATGTTAGTTCTCTCGACATACAGGAAGAACCGGATCCAAGACCGTGCATAGATTCGAAGCATCGTAGAACAAAAGTCGATAGTTAACGGTTTGGGCGACTGTTAGATAGGTATGCTTCTGCTCCTAGGGTGGCTTGGCATGTGTCCGGCTTGTACGGTGAGTATCATAGCGACAAGCAGCCAATGGCCAAATATCCGCAAAGCCACGCGGAAGCCCGGCCGTGCAAAAGCATCATCAAGGGCAGAAAAGATTCGCATCAGTCTACCGAATTCTATTTGAATATGCGACACAGGAATCAAGTCGTTTCGCAATATTGCACTTTGTGATACAACCGTTTAGGATCAAGTTGGTGTGGTCTGGCCGCAACTTGTGTCATCGAGTGGGATATGGCGACTTGAGTAGTTGCATTCCGAGAAACCCAGCGGTGTGCTCCATCGCCACTGGGAGCGGGGGCTAAAGACTAAATCCTGGGGTTTAGCAGGGCGAATGACGGCAGCGTCGCAACAGCTCGCAGATGGATACGTGTAGCGGCAGACTGCGTCCGACGACCGTGTTGAAATTTGCGTCTGATTATCGCAAACTTTACAAGCCAGAACAAGACCAGTCGACAGGCATGGACAGCTGGTGCAGCTGGACGTGCGCGGGAGGTACCCTGGGGCCCGGGATGCCTGAGTGGTCGATCAGGCGTGGAAAGTTTGCGGCAGGCAGGCAGGCGGTCGGGGGCACCATTCGAGGCGTGTGGAAAAGGCGCCCAGATGGCAGAAAGGCTTGGCTCGGTCTGCCGGATGAGACTCCGCGAGAGGCCAAGTCGAGGGCTGGCGTGGATCTGAGGCGTGCATGGTGGACAGGCCTCGACGCAATGGCGCAGTATGATTCGCATGGCTGGCTCAGACTGGCTGCAAGGCGTGGGACAGGATGCAGTGTTTTGATTGAGCACAAACGGCGCAGTCGCACAGCAAGCCGACTCCAGCCGCTGTCAGAGGGCTGCTCCCCAAGCAGTAAGACAGCCATGGGCGTTGCAGGGTGAAGAATCTGCAGCTAACGGGGCGTGCGCGCGACGGCGCAGAGGTTCAGGTACATCTCCCGTGGTGGACCGCATGAGTTTCGCACTGGGAGAATAGACAATTCACTACGCCCGCAGAGTGGAGTTTGAAAAATTGAGGCATAATGGGTAGCGCCGAGCCCAGTGCTCTGGGGCGTCGGACAGCTGTGGATCGGCCTGGGTAGCCGGGCGGGCGAGGCAGCGCTGCCACTTGCAGGCGGGCATGTCATGGAATCGATGTACCTCTACACAGGCGCCCGCTCCGGTTCTTGGTGGTGTCGTTCGCATGGGCAGGGATTATTCGACGTTGGTTAGCAGCCTTAGACTGCGGCGAACCTCAGTGGGGTGTTGCTAAGAGAAATACCGCCTCTATTCACCTGTCCCCATAACCCACCTCCTCCCTCCTCCGCACCCCGCTTGCCTGCCTCACTACTCCCCTCAGCACCCGTCGCTCGTCGCCCATCCCACTCGCCCGCTGCAGCAGCTGTGGTCTCATCGTCCTCGCTGCCCCTGACGCGTCTCCCCGCCCGCCGACAGCTCCGGTGCGCAGCCTGGCTCGCGCTCGTCTCATTGGACCATAGCCGGTCGTGCCCATCACTTACGCAGCGCTGACCTGCACCCTTGGTTTTGCGAACAGACCCCTCATCCGCAGTGGCCACGACCGATTGCACCCACCCACTGTCCCCAGTCCCATTGCTAGCCTTATAGTCCCAGACTGTCGCTTCCTCGACCCACGGGTTGTCTCTGTCCTCGCATCATCTCCCTCACTGCCTGCCCACTCTCGTTTACCCCAAGATCGCCCGCGGGACCCTCTCCGGCCCACAATTCTTACTGAGACGTCTGCCCACCATGGACACGATGCAGAACTTCAACACCTTTGTCAACCCCCAGGATCTTGAAAACCACGGCGACTTCCAGGACTCCTTCTGGCAGATGCGCATTGATCCCAACGCCTTCGCCCAGTCGTACGATGCTGTTGGCGTCCTACCTGGCACAAGCGAGCGCTCAAGCCGGAAACAGGACTCGGCCCTCGACCTGACGTCTTTCTCCAGCCAAGGCTACCCGTGCATCAAGACCGAGGACGAATTCAGCAGCTTTGTCAACACTGCCCAATCTACACCCACTTCCAACACACCGTCGCCCCACGACCAATTCATCTTTAGCAATGCCAACTCACCGGGCGAGTACAACCGGGACCAGAGCCAAACCAGCTCTCCCGAGACATGCAACGAGTCCCTTACCAATGACAGCTGGCCTGCAATCCACATCCCCCAGGCCGTCGACCAGGCCAAGGTCTCTATCGCTCTTGATAAGAATAAGAACCGGGCCGAAACGCAAATCAAGACTACCGTGACCATGGACCCGCTCGCTTCGCACATCCAGTGGATTCGCTTCCCCCGTCAGAATCTCGCCAAACCAAAGCAGATGGCCAGCACTGAGGAGGTTGAAGCCAACGAGAAGAACAACTCCACTGCCCGGTTACAGCTGACGCTTGTTCTGGCAACCGCCGTTGAGAAGCCCGAAGGCCTGGAACGCGCCTTCCGCCGTGCCCGCGGCGAGGAGCCCACGCCAAGGCGCCCACGTGGCGTAGCCATCACAGACATCGCCAAAGATGACCGGTGCCACCCCCAAAATGGCGGCGCTGTCATCATCTGCGAAGGCTGCAAGGAACGCGAAGCCAAAAGATTCAACCGCAAGAAGAAGCGCGAGGCCGACGATGAGAAAGAGTGGTCCAACTACGAGGACGACCGCATCATCATGATAAACGAGAAGGAATTCAAGAGATGGCAGGACAACGAAAACTCCGAGTTCTCTATGAACGCCAAGAAAGTCGAGTTCGTTATGCGCATAACGTGCTACTGCAGACATCAAGAAGACAAGTCCCCCGTCGGCTACAGGGTCATCTTCACCTTCAAGGACGCCAACGAGAGCGTGCTCGCTCAGGAAATCTCCGAGATTGTACAAATCACAGACGACCATAAGAACAAGGAAAGTCCTTCAGAAGCCCTGAGCTCTTTGACTATTCCCACTGGGGCACATGAGAACATGCCGCTCCAGTACACGGTTCCCATGTCAGAATACTCTCCGACTGTTTGCAGTAGCCAGTACTCATTACCCACGACGCCCATTGTCCCACAAGCTCCCGGATTGCCACACTCGCAAAGCATGTTTTTCCCGAGGGAAGCTCAGTACCCCCGGATGATGAACCCCACTCCTGCGAGTCAAGCCCCGAACCAGGGCAACATGGGCTTCTACGGTACTGCCATGCCTGCACCCGCACCTACACAGCAATACGCCAATCACCAGCGCGGTCAGAGCTACTTCTCGCCAACAATGCTCAGTCCTACGGCAGATCAGATGTCAGTCCAGGCCGGGTACGCCCTCCACCGTCCTCATTCTCTGGATAGCTTCCCACAGGCGTACAACTTCCAATTCTCGGCACAGCAATCGTATCCTCAGATGTACTCATCCCAGCCGCCATCACGCGCCACCTCTCGGCCAGCATCGCCAACTTGGGACCAAGGGCGGGGTGCCAAGAAGATGCGCGCTCAACCTGGATTCATGTTATATGAAGACTTTGAGGAATGAACTTCTGACGATACGAAAGCACGAATTACGACAACAAATATGGGGCTATATATAGCGGGCATCTGGGTGGCGTTTTGGGGTTCTGGATAACTATGTTTGACGATGATCTGGGTGGGATTGGTTTTCTGGTATGAACAACATTGGCTTCGGCCACTTTGCTTCTGGAAAAAAAGCCTTTGACTCGCTCGAAATCTCATTTGTATTTTTCTTCGCTGTCGAATGTCGTTCTCACAGGCGATACTATCCGCCATAGACTTTGCTCGGTTACTACCACTTTAATCACTAGACCAAATCATGTAACAATTCTTACAATGCTAGATCCCTCGTAAGGACTAGCAGGTTCAAAGACTTCTCTCGCTACAAGCATACAACTTGAACTTGGTGGATTGTCCCCAAACGATAATGTGCCCTGATGTTATACAATAAATGCTCCCTTCTCTGCGTGCTGAAACAGAGGCTCATATATTTCTCAGAGGTGCACAGTACATAATCTTGTAGACAAAAAAAAAACCCCCCTCTCGTAGTCTGCAACCCGTGGGTGCCCAGGTCCTGCGTGAAGACACCTAGTACCGTATACATCTACCGCATCTGCCTACCACATACTGATGACATGGAGGGACCATGCTGCAGGGGAGCTTATCCGGTGCAGCAGGGTTATCACAGAGGCGGCCAAGCTACAGAAGTTAATCTATGATAGATTAGAAGACGTGGGATGCGTACTGCAGCGTCGATGAGACAAGACCGTTCAGCAGGGCCACAGCACACACACACGCCGCAGGTACCCGAGCAAGACCGTATATTGCGCTCCCCAGCACCAATGGTGGCTACAATTCATGTTGCGTTCTACAAAATAATTCCGCGGTAGAAGTATACATTGTCTTGAAAACTACGAGCGTATCAATACTTGAATGTATGTATGCGGCAACATGAGTCTCTTTCTGGCCACTCCTAGTGCTGAGAGCAAGAAGCATTCATCACGACCTAGACCTTTGCATCTCCCACTCGATACTCCACCCCGGACGTACGGAAAGACAGTCGTCCAAGCAAACTTTCCAGAGGCGTTTATGTATGTCAGAATCACAGATCGTGCGTTTAGTAATATACGGTGCAGAATCTCATCGAAATCGAAATCGAAAGAAAGCACATCATTCATCTCATTTGCATTGTGTCGTACGGAGAAACTATAGGTTGTGTGACCACCAATACGCTGTTCGTTGCATTCATCCAAAACCTTGTGCCAAATAGCCGAATGAGCCGAAAAAAGGGAAGAAATGTAAGCGGGAACGCCGAACGCCAATTGAACTCCGGGCGAAAGGATTGGAAGGGGAAAACATTACGGTGGATGGAATTGAAGACGCTGGAAAGTAGAGGAACTGGGAATGCAAATGGTTCATGCGGCATCGGGAGAGGAAGACGGAGGAATACAATGGGAGGCTGCCGCTCAGGGCCAAACATCTTCTAGAGCACCGGGATGCACACCCAGTCGGAAGAGCTGCAACGGCCCGAGGCCGTGTCTGCTTGCGTACGAGCTGGGCCAGCTATATCACGCAGGAAGCATCCGGACATGTATGCACGGCACGGTACGTCTCTCCCCGCCACTGGGCACACGGCAAGCAGGCTGCAAAGTATGCCCCGCATGGCAATACAGCAACTACTGCAGACCCCTCGTGTCTTCTGCAGCGCTTCTGTGGCGGCTTCTACAGGATGAGGAGGGGAGGGGCCTGCGCGATCGATCCTCGTGGGAACAGAACGCGTGTAGGCTAAAAGCCTGCAGCACTAGCTTTCCTGTATTCCTGAAAGTTGCTAGCGATGGTTGGGTCTTCTTGGCTGCGCAGCTCTGCCTCCCAGCGCTCTTCTTCTTGCGCGTGGGCGGCTTCGAAGGCGGCGGATTGGCCGCGGTGGAAGTACAGGGGTGCGCGTTTGAGGAGGGCGACGTCTTGCGTGACGAGGATGTGCTTGACGCTTGAGCCTGGGGGGGTTATTAGTCATCTCAATCTATTGTCAAGGGAAGAGAAGGGCTTACCGGGTGTCTCGTATTTGGCTTGCAAGAGCAGCTGATCGACGACATGTCGTAGACCGCGGGCACCTGTGCCCATCCTACTTGCTTTCCGTGCGATCTCACGAAGCGCGCCGTTTGTGAAGCGCAGCTCGATGTTCCTGAGGTATGATTTGTGCTCTTCTTGTCTTATTAGGCTGTCTTTGGGCTCGGTGAGAACGCGGACAAGAGCCTCTTCGTCTAGAGCTGCTACTGCGCAGACTGTGGGTATGCGGCCTATAAGTTCGGGTATCATGCCAAACTTTTGCAAATCTGCTGGTTGCACGTGGTCAAGTACGTTGACCTTCTCCTCCCGTTGAACCTGTCTAACACCAAATGGATTCGGGACCTCGTTCTTTGGTGGTACGAAGAAAGGGGAGTCTTTCTTGAAGGACTCTGCCTCCACACCTGTCAGCATAACGCCATCAGCGGCGGCGTGGGCGTTCGATGAACGTATCGACGCTCCGAAACCCATGCTGCCCTTTGACTTCCTGTCCAAGATGATCTTGTGTAGGCTTGAAAAGGCGCCAGTGCATATGAAGAGGATATTGTCAGTTCGGATGTTGAAAACCTCGCCTTTGTTTCCGCCTGGCCCAGGAGGCTGGGGACCACTGGGCATTCCGCCAGGTCTGTTGGCGCTCTTCTCTGGCTTGGCTTGTACTTGCACTGTCGTGCCCTCGATGATCTTGAGCAGCGCCTGCTGAACACCTTCGCCGCCGACGTCCTTGCCGTATGACATCTTGGAACCTGCAATCTTGTCGATCTCGTCCAGAACAATGATGCCGTGCTCGGTTGCGTCGATGTCATAGTTGGCGGCGGAGAAGAGACGAGCTACACACGACTCGACGTCATCGCCAATGTATCCTGCTTGCGTAAAGGTAGTGCAGTCCGACATGGAGATGGGCAGACCCAGCGTCTTGGCCAGTGTCTTGCACATCAGCGTCTTTCCTACACCAGTCGGTCCGAGTATGAGCACGTTGGACTTTTCTATCTGCAGCTGGTGCTCGCTGGTATCGAGTAAGGAGTCGGCGTCTGAGGAGGCGGACGAAGCTGATTTGTAGGCGGGTGCTTCACTGTAGGGTAGAGGGTCACTGTGACTGTGCAGTTCTACGGTGGACTGCTGGCCGGGGAACTCGTCTGCTCTGCTACTCAGCGCCCGCATCATGAGGGGATGACGGTTGAACTCGTCGATGATTGGATCAATACGAAATTTGGGGCTACCTTCTACAGGATGTCTGTACACGGATGCTCGTCTCTGCGCCTGCGCCTCGAGTCTAGCCTGCTCATGATGTTGCCTCTTGATCTCCTGGATGCGGAGATGGTGCTCATGGACAGCTACGCTCAGCACTATCTTTGCGCGGTCTTGGTCCACGACGAATTGGTCGAGGTGCTGTCTCAGCACTTTGGGCGTGATGTGGCCGGCGCCCACATTGCTGGTGTTGCCCAGTGGACCGCGCGTCGGCTGATCAGGCTCATAGAAGGACGAGAAGCCCTGGCCGCTGAAGTCGGAACGATTGAATCTAGACGACTTGCGCGTGTGCGACTGGGACAAGGGCGCGCGGCGCGAGATGCTATAGAGGGCGAGGTAGGACGCGCGGGCCTGGGGCGAGACGGCAGCGGGAAGCGCCCTCCGGATCGTCTTGGACAGCAGCATGGTGGGAGAGGAAGCGCAGGGGAAATCACACTACAAACTCAAAGGCATCGAGGGCATCACGGGGACTTTAATACAAAAGTCGCGATGGCGCCGGCTGAGCTCGAGGCTTGGTAGTAACCGTGGTTGAGCCGCCGTGAGCTCCCCACGTTAGGCCAGAGATGCGGGGGAAGCTCTGTCCCCACGGTTCCCGATGCCGATAAGGGCCTTTGCCGCCGACGCGTGACCAGCGTGCTACTATCAGGTAGTCTACAACACCATGTAGTCGGCAAAGCGCCTCAGGGTCCGCTTCAATGGCATTTTAGACGCGGATGTCGGTTCCTGGCGCCGAATAAATTGTAGCGCAAATCCTTCCGACACGCATCCACTGCACCCCAGCAGAGATACGCTGTTGGGACGTGGCGCGGGCGCGATGCCCGTTACAGCGTGCTCTGAGCTATGACGTTGATTGTTGGGTTGGCAACAACTTTTGGTTGAGCGCTGCCCTCAGCAATCGGGTTAGAGACCCCGCAAATTCGTGATCGTCTCTGCAATTCATCTGGCAGGCTGTCGCTGTGAAACCTGCATCCTCCCGCTGCCATATACTCTGGTAGCAAACCTGACAGCTCCTCCCACCTACCATCCCACACCATGGAGCTCAACAAGGCTTCCGCAAACTCGACTCTGAGCGACACCCCGGGGCAGGTCCCAAACGATGGCACTGGTACACATCACTGCCCTAGTCATCTTATCAATTGACTGACCAATTCCTCCAGGCATCATTCAGATGGATGGCTACCTTGAGCCCTTCAAGGACGCGCTGAAGAGCCGCTTCTCCAAGGCGCAGAAGTGGATCAAGACCATTGACGAGACTGAGGGCGGTCTCGAGAAGTTCTCGCGGGCAAGCATCCCAACCGCCTTGGCAAGAGCGGTGTAGCTAACAGCGCCCAGGGTTACGAGAAGTTCGGCTTCACTGTCCAGCCCAACGGCGACGTCGTCTACCGCGAATGGGCCCCGAATGCCCTGCGCGCCTACCTCATTGGTGACTTCAATGGCTGGGACCGCGATGCGACGCCCATGACCAAGAACGATTTCGGCGTCTTCGAGGTGACGATTCCTGGCCAGAACGGTCAGCCCACCATTCCCCACGACTCCAAGATCAAGGTCTCCTTCGTCGTCCCCAACGACCATGCGCGCCAGGAGCGCCTCCCCGCCTGGATCACCCGAGTGACCCAAGACCTCAACGTCTCTCCCGTATACGATGCCCGCTTCTGGAACCCTCCCCAGAAGTACGTCTGGAAGAACCAGCGGCCGCCCAAGCCCCAGAGCGCGCGTATCTACGAAGCCCACGTTGGTATTTCCTCCCCCGATCCCAAGGTAGCGACCTACAAGGAGTTCACCCGTGACATCCTCCCCCGCATCAAGCACCTGGGATACAACACTATACAACTGATGGCCGTCATGGAGCATGCGTACTACGCCAGTTTCGGATATCAGATCAACAGCTTCTTCGCTGCGAGCAGCCGCTACGGCTTCCCAGACGACCTGAAGGAGCTCATTGATACTGCGCACGGAATGGGCATTACCGTCTTGCTGGACATGGTGCACAGTCACGCATCTAAGAACGTGCTTGACGGTCTCAACATGTTCGACGGCAGCGACCACCTCTACTTCCACGAGGGCGCCAAGGGACGACACGAGCTGTGGGACAGCCGGCTGTTCAACTACGGTCATCACGAGGTCCTGCGCTTCTTGCTCAGCAACCTGCGCTTCTGGATGGAGGAGTACCACTTCGACGGTTTCCGATTCGACGGAGTCACTAGCATGCTGTACACCCACCACGGCATTGGAACGTGAGTATTCAATTGGTCCTAACACTGTCAATTGCTAACAAAATCAGGGGCTTCTCGGGCGGTTACCATGAATACTTCGGTCCTTCAGTCGACGAGGAGGCAGTCGTTTACCTTATGATTGCCAACGAGCTACTGCACACACTCTACCCCGACTCCATCACAATCGCCGAAGACGTTTCCGGTATGCCTGGTCTTTGCGTGGCACTCTCGTTAGGCGGAATAGGATTCGACTACCGATTGGCCATGGCTGTACCCGACCTCTACATCAAGTGGTTGAAGGAGAAGCAGGACATTGACTGGGACATGGGCGCACTCGTCTTCACTTTGACAAACCGAAGGCACGGCGAGAAGACCATTGCCTACGCGGAGAGTCACGATCAAGCGTATGTTAATATCTGGGGTTTAACGATCAATACTGACATATCCTAGGCTGGTCGGAGACAAGACTCTGCTCTTCTGGCTTTGCGACGCGCAAATGTACACCAACATGTCGGTTCTTTCAGAGCTCACCCCAGTTATCAACCGCGGTTTGTCGCTGCACAAGCTGATCCGACTGATCACACACGGTTTGGGAGGTGAGGGTTACTTGAACTTCGAGGGTAATGAGTTCGGTCACCCTGAGTGGCTCGACTTCCCTCGCGAAGGCAACAACAACAGCTTCCACTACGCCCGCCGCCAATTCAACCTTCCAGACGATGAACTCCTCCGCTACAGGTTCCTTAACGAGTTCGACAGCAAGATGCAGTGGACAGAGGAGAAGTACGGATGGCTCCACTCGCCTCAGGCCTATGTCAGCCTCAAGCATGAGGGCGACAAGGTCATTGTGTTTGAGCGTGCTGGACTGCTGTGGATCTTCAACTTCCATCCTCAGGAGAGCTTCACCGACTACCGTGTTGGCGTTGAGCAGGAGGGTACTTACCGTATCGTTCTGAGTACCGACAGCAAGGCGTTTGGTGGCCATGGCAACGTGGACGAGACGACTAGGTTCTTCACCACACCATTTGCCTGGAACGAGAGGAAGAACTTCCTGCAGGTGTATATTCCTAGCAGGACTGCTATCGTAAGTGCCCGCCTATATAAATGCATTGTGACTACTTGCTAACCCGATGAACAGGTGCTGGCACTCGAGAGCACTTTGTAAGAAGTATAGCCGATGTCGAAGAGGCATGGTGATGGACGTTAAACTGAAGGGTCAACATACCCAGCGAAATGATCGTGCCGCATAGTATGAATAGCGATATATGTCTCAATAACATAATAGAAGACATCTGCCGATCAATTTTTTGTTCTCTAATTCAGTCTAAGTGAAGGTGAAGTGCGAAGTCTCTGTCGAGGTGAAGACGGATTGAAAAATCCTTACGCTCACCACTTCCATAAAAGCTTTGCAACTTACAGCTTTCTCTTCATTACCACTACCATCTCACTACTGTACACATCACAAAGCACTTTTCCATACATCTTCATCATCACAATCGAGTACCAGTACCCCCCTTCCTCTGGCACCAGCGAGACCATCACCATGCGCCTCCCCACGGGGATCCACTACGCCACCATCCGCCCCACTATGGAAGAGGGCGACGCCATCTATGCTGCGCTTCGCAGAGCTCTCATGGGCAAGATTGGGCCACTCTTTAACATCATTGTGTGGCACCCAACCACCAAGCAGAAGGTCCGCCTGGACTAGAACACCTTCACTCCGACATCGCATATCGCATCGAAACGACCCTCAAGGGCCGTCAACAAGGTCCCGGCATTTCGGCCTCCGGCGCCTACAAAAAAGGTGCAGAGGCACATCGAGGCCATCTGCGGGCACTGGAAGTTGTCCGAAGGCAGTGAAATTCTGCCTGAGAAGATGGCTCCTCGCGACGATGAAGGCAATTTAGCGTTTCCTGCAAATTGGCCTGTACGTTTCGCCGATGAGGTCCGCAAGCTGAGCGGCCACATTATCGACAGACACGAAGTCGCCATGGGCTTCCTAGTCGCAGCCGTGGAGGCTAGGGGTCAGCGAGAAAGCTACATGGGGCCAGTGACGAGCGGAGATTGCAAGACCGCGATAGCCTGGCTGGCTACAAGTACCGTAGACCAGGCGTACGCGCACCTACCAGAGGAGGTGGCGGCTACACAGATGTTCGCGGGTGGTCTGGCGGAGGCAGCACAGCAGGCTCTGGAGGAAACAGAGGGTGAGGGAGCGGCAGCTGGATCGGCGTACGAGGAGGCTGGCAGATTCAACATCGGTACACACTTCCGATCTGCTTGAGCATTGGGGACCGGGGTGGTAGACACATAGTTGCAGATTTTCTGTTTCTGTTGTCTGAACGTAATACCAATATGAACGTTCTTCCATCCAAGCTCCAAGCTCTCATGTTTCGCCGTCCATCTCATCAAGCAGCTTCCAAGCCTGATTGGTTTCCAAACGCCGTCTTGTGGATTTCAGCCCTTCACACATGATCTTGTGCCTCTTCCAACCAGCTTTCTGGTGATCTCTATCGCAATATCGCGTTACTCTACACCGGCTACATCTCATCGCCCCGTCGTTCCGCCCGCAGTGGCAGAGAGTCGCTCCGGAGATCACGGCTGAGAGACGATTCATCCTCGCTTCGTTCCACGCCTCGTGGGCTACGATTGCTTTCGCCTTGCAGGACTAGTCCCCACAAGTGGCGTAGGCGTTTACCGTGATGGACGAATAATTGTCAACGTGTAGTATGGACTCCGACCTGAATAACACGCCTGTAGCCTTGGAGTCACAAGACATACATGGCCGTCGACGAAATTCCTTTAGACACTCGCACCGATTCTGGGGTTCGACTTCGAGTCCCAAGAGTGTGGAACGAAGCTGAGCTTTGTATTCGGGCGTCTCTTGGTCCTGCAGGGGTGCCAGTAGACTTTTGGGTATCCTCGTAGACATTGTTGTAGAGTTGAAATTTATTCCGTCATCACGCCCCCGGTAGTTGAGGACGAGGCCGACGTTTCGGTAGCCATGGTTAAATGGCTGAGGGTGACTGAGGAGGTAAAGTGACCTCGGGAGGAGCAGCAGAGTTGTGAAGTTATGATCAACGTGCTAACCAGTATCGGGACGGTTGCTAACCACCCCTCATTTGCGGATCGAGCCTAGAAGTATCGCAACAGATCGAAATATTTTCAACTAGAGTCCAGGCCACCTTAGTCGTGCCTGCATTTGCCTCGGCCTTAACGCAGAGACCATGTTGATGTTCTTTGATACAGCCCTAACTGCAGCTGACAACGTCACCACCAGTGTAGAGAGTGTTCACGCTCTGCTACAGTCACCACTATCCAAGATGCACATCGTTGTGATACTCTTGAGCCTATAATCAACCTCTCGCCCTAGCCTTCAATCTCAACGTTCCACTATCCTCTTCCCCGCTATCCTTCCTCAACTGTGCCTCAATCATCCTCCCAATGTTTCCTCCACCCTGCATCACACCCCCTCTCAGCAGCTCTGTAATGACACGTCCTCTTACTACCGTCTCTTCGACTACACCCTCAACATTCTCAGGCCCTATGCGCCCATACCAGATACCCGAACCCTTCAATGCATTACCCTCCATACTGGGAGGTAGGTACATGATAACATTGCCAGCATACTTGTGCCCACCAATATGACTTATCAAACCTACATTTGCATCTATACCCCTCCGCTGAAACTCAGAGCGAAACTCAGACTGTAACAAAGGCCCGAGGATACCGCAGCGCTGATCACGGCCGCCGTGACCGCATATCAGGATTGTGGGTTTGGTGATGCTTTCCGCCTTTGGTAGTTCGGTCGCTTTGGACTCGTCGCGCAGGAGATGAGACTTTTGCTCGGCGGACAGGCCATCGTGCATGGAGTGGAGATTGCGAGCTTTTAGGTATGCGGTTGCAAAGTCCGAAAAGGCTTCGGGGGTATGAGGGATATTCGGTATGCGTTTGAAGCTCGGAAACAACAATGCTGTTGTCGCGCCTGCCTTTTCACTCTTCGGTAATGAGGAAGCAGTGATGAGAACGTTTGTGAATGGCTAAATGATGCAGAAGTGCGTCAGCCTTTCATATATCATATGATGACCGTACTGGGAAACAGACCTACATCAAACCCAGTACCGCCCTTCCCAATTACGCCTTTGAGGCCTCTTACAAACTCCCCGGTTTCGCCCTCTTCCTGCTCGATGTTGCTAACCCAGTCTTCCTTGCCGGTACAGAATACAACTTGTTCAGAGTACGCTGCCATCGTGTTCAACAGTGGTGTCTTGCGATCAATGTCTAGATCGGGAGGCGTTGTCGCGCACTCGCAGCTCGGTGACGGACATGATTGCGTGTACGGTATCGTGGATTGGAAGCGCGTACGGGTCGTGGAGAAGGAGCGAAAGGCGCGTGGTATAGCAGCCCGAGAAATTCGAGTGAATGACATGTTGCGAAGTTGGCGTGCGATATTCTTGGGGGCGACGTGGAAATTGTATGGGCGTTTCGGAAAGCATTCCGCGATGATGACGCGATGTCGGGACATTATAGTACACTAGCGCAAGCTCGGAGTTTGGTGCACTCCGAAGGTCACAGGCAATAGAAGATTCATAAGACGACATGTGTTCGGCAAGATAACTGATGGTTTTAGAGGCTCTCCTCGATATGAATGTTTGAAGTACACCCGACTTCTCCCAGAATCAACCCCTGTCATGTCTCCAGCCATGCATCCCGCCGCTCAAACGCCCACTCATGAGGCCACCACCACTGTCTCCACCACCGAAACCACCCGGGCTACCAAAGCCACCACTCCGCCGATTACCGCTACCACCGTTGAGAAGCTTGTCAAATTGCTCGATACTTACTAACGCACGTTGCTGTACATCATTGTCCGCATCGCGACCCAGCTGCTTAGCGCCTTCCTCGAAGCCCAATTGGCGAAGGGTGATAGCACGCTCACGCGTAGCGGCTTCATCAGTATGATCTTCTATCCACACGAGATTGTGCAGCATCCAGGACAGTGCGACGCGGATGTCGCGACGAGGGTGAGTGAAAAGCTGGAGAACATGCTGCATGAGTGTGGTCTGCGAGATGAGAAGGGAGCGGTGCTGAGGCCGACCATTGGCGAGATGCACGAGAATATATACTGCAGCCAAAATAAGTTCGGGGGCAGGATAGGTAGTCCAGTTTGGCTGTGCTGGGTTGTTCGTGGAAGAGGAAAAAGGCGTGCGGTGGCTGGTGCTTGGCCAGTAGCTTGTGGCTGTAGCACTGGGCTGAGTTTGTGACATCGTCTTTGGCCGGATTTTAGCATCGAGAATTTCGAAGAACCGAGTGTGACCAAAAGTCTTGAGCAGGTGGTCAATCATCTCGCCTGAAGCTTTGTCTTCTGAGACAAAGTTCCGGATGAAGTCCAGCGCTTGTTCTTGTATACGGATATCATCGCGCTCCCCATTGAGTCGATTGTCCTGCTCGTCGTTCTTGATCTGTTGTAGCCGATCTCGGATGTTAGTTGCACTTGTGTATCGTGAACCAGGACGTTGATGCCGTCGCATAGATGGTATACTTTCGGTCATGGCATCATCATCCTCTTCGGATGACGGCTCTTCGTCCACATCCATGTGGGGCTCGTCAACCGCATTGAGAATATCGACTTGCTCTCCTGCTGCGTTGGGTGTACCCATAGCTGGCTTGGATGGTTCTCCATTGAGTACTTGTACGAGCCAGCCAACACCGAGCTCCTCAAGACATTGTATCTTCATGGCATGTGGTAAACCTAGGCACAAGTGCTTGAGCGCCCAAAGGCTACCGAAACGGAGGTCGAAGTTTGCCGATCTACATTGTTCGCAGAGCGTTCCCAGTACTCCAGACTCGACGATCTCCTAGTAAATACATTAGCATGGAAAAACAACACAATGAGCATCGTACTTACAGTTCGCATAGGTGATACATCGAGCACCAAGTTGGTGATGACCTCCGTAGCAGCAATCTGTACCTTGACGTTCGGGTGTGTTAGGAGCTCGAAGATCGGCTGTGCAACTCCGTGATCGATCAGGCTGGTCCTCAGCACACTGACAGACCGGGAAAGCGACCGTATGACTTTACACGCAGCAATGAGCACCGAATCTGGGTTGCCGTCCTTCGCTGAAGAGGACGCGCCTTGCTCGTTGCTTTCACGATAAGGAACCAAAGCTTCGATGATGTGCGTTGCAGCGCCCATCTCAATGACCATCTTTCTCAACGCATCTTGGTCTCCTGCTATTGCAGCCAGAGCCAGTAACACACTCTCTCGATACCTGAACGCGTGCAATACATCCGCGCTTAGTCCAGGTCTGCCCAGTGTGGAAGATGCAGAGTCAATGTTTGGGTCTTTCAGTTCGTGAGATGACGATCGTGGTTGCCAGAGAGGTTTTGAAGATGTAGCCGGCACATCGAACGACTTCTTGAGGATCTGAATAAGGGTCGGTAGGGTTCGATTGTGAACGGCCGCTGTTTGAAGAGTCTTATTTCCCGCAATCAGCTCAGCAAGCACAACTGGCGAGCGTTCCAACACGAATCGCATCTCATCTCTTGAAGCAGGGCTTAGAGTATTAGCTCTTTTCGCTTGCTCTGATGTCGGACTTGAATCTTCGATCATCTTCTCGACAAGAGGGATGATGAGATACGAGAAATGTCGCTCTCGTGATGTCTTGGAAGGATCATTCAAAGGCCAACGCTCGCCGAATTTCTTCAGCAGTGCTAGCATCCCACAAGCAGATAGACGTTCTCGGCCTTCACCCCGGCGGGCGATGTATATAAGCCATATGAAGAGGGGTGACTCGGATTCGTCTGTAATCACACTTCGACTCGAGCTATGCTGCAGCGCGTCCATGCTCGGTAGCCGGGAGTAGCTGTCCCCACTGACAGAACCGTAGGCACCAAGCGCCGGCCATTGTTTGATGTACGGATCTGATTTGCTCGCCATCGTCTGTACCCGTGGTATTAGCTTATCCCACGATGCCGCTTGTGTACTTCCATCTGATACATTCCGCTCCTTTGGCCACCCAAAAAGCTGCTGTATTGAGTGTGAATACAGGAAGCGTGCGGTATAGTAATGCGAGTCCTTGACGATGACCGAAATTGCCTCCATGATGTCTGACAAACGAATCCGATCTGTCGGCGTCAGAGCAGATTTCTGAACACTATTCAAGCCGTCGCCTCTAGTTGTAGTTGCCTGACCATTGGATTGCCTCCACTCTGTTGCGGGAATACGATCGTCCATAGCAGCGGCAGCAGCAAGTTTATCAGCTAAGAGATCCAGTACTCCCGCATCTACCAGCATCTTCTTCTGATTATCTTCTACGCACGTCTTCATGACGAGCCGGATCGTCGAATCAATCTGTTGACTGGCCTTCGTCGTGCCTACTGGTTGCGCCAGTATCTCGGCCAAGCTGTCAATGACAGGCCTGTTGTATATCGACTCGTTGACGGTAAAGGCGAGGGATGATCGTGAGGACGATTCGGAAGTGTCGAGCCAGGGCTTCTCTTGGTTGACGGCATCGACGATCTGGTTGAGGGTTTTGAGGGTCGTGGTGACGAGTTTTGAGGGCGTCTCACTGGGTCGTAGCGCTTCCAGCAGCGGGGGGAGTACGTGACCTGCCAGAAGCGGAGCGACGAACGCTGGTCCGCCTGTATGTCTCATATATCAGCCAACATGCTATCTCATAGTAGTATCTTTTTGCGATGCGCGCTCACCATTCGCAAGGCTACCGGCGATGAGCGTGGCTTGAAACCTCAACTCGTCCTCGGTCGTCCATTCCTCGATGCTCTTTCCAGACTCATTGAAGAGCCCAGAGCTGTGCCCATTCGTGACGTTTCTCCTCCTCTTTCCGCCCTTCCTAGCTTCCGCGCGTAGCAGGCCCGCCAGTGGTTTCACAACACCATGTGTCACTGCCAGTTCCTTCCTCTGCTCGTGTCCAACAATCTCATTCTTCAGGTTCTGGAGCGCGGCGAGCTGTGCCTCGGGCGTACTCGGATTCGCGAGCTCGCTGAGCGCTGGAGGAATCGTTGACCGGCCCATGGCGCAGACGGAAAGCGAGCAGGTATTGGGTAATGGGCGTGTGCTACAACCGACTGGCGCAGATTAACGGTCGTCGTGCAGCCTCATGCGAAGAGGTTCAGTGTTGGGCGCACGAGCGTGTGGCAATGACGAACGGCGCAATGGAAGCGTTCCAGGGAAACTGCGACTTGAGGGTTCGGAGAATCGTAAGAATGCGCAATAGAGAATTGTATCACTGTGCATGCGGCAAGTAAGCACTAATTCAAAACAGTCGTCAGTCGCGATGAGCAGTTTGCAAGGTAAGTCATGCTTCGCCGAGTGGTCGCGAGGGAACTTTGACGATGCACAAAGCCGCCCGCGCTTCATCGCGTTGGCGCAAACGTCAGAGTCGCGCGATAACAGTTTGGTTATCGCCACGTGATCGACCCTTCATGCCATGCCGTTCCAAGGTCTCCATGTCCGAACAGAGCAAATGCGTGGATTCATAACATGTTACATAATCGTTCCCCAAACTCCTGTGAGTACCGTTACAGCCATGACGCATCGCAAAATCCCTTCCCGATGCCACCGTCTCGCCGCCAAGACAAAAGAGAATCGTGTATTCATCAATACAAAAGGGTGCCAAAGCAAACCCAGAAAGATGCAAATGCATAAATCCTAGAAGATTCGTCTCTTCATCCGTATCCATAAACTTCGGTATCATTCTCCTTCACGACACCCCCCTCGGTAAGTATGACAACAGCCACACAAGCCGCGTACGCCTCTCGGATCGCGCAAGCCATGCACGTCTCCTTGATATTTGCCACAATAGCACTATGTCCATGATGCGCGCACCACGCTCTCGCAAAAACCTCGTTATCGCTTACTCCCAGAGCCTCTATAACAAGAACGTTGGTAACTTGCTCGTGGGCGCTCTTTTGCTTCTCATTCATGAGCGCGAGGGCTTTCTTTCCAGGGGAGGATTTGGACGACGTGGGACGGGGTATACGACCGGATTGGGTGCCCCAGTCATGGATATCGACAAGGCCGTCGTCAATTTTAACGGCTTTATAACTGAAGTCGTAGAAGAGCACTGATGGGTGTTAGCATGGAACGAGCTGTTGTTGAAGAATGAGTTCATACCATGGGGGCCCTGGTGGCAGGGGAAGGCATTGATGAAGTCGACGTTGTATCGCAGCTTCATCACCCAGCTCTCACCGCCACATGCAAATGAAATGCCGGCATCAAACAGTATTGGAGGACCAGCAGCATGTCTGGTTCCTTCTGGGCGCTCCTTGACGGGGATGAAGCGAAGCTTTTCCATACGTATGAGATCTGTGACGTCTTCAGTGTCCGGCATAGGAACTTCATAATCGTCCACAGGATAACTGTCGTCTGGTGCACCCAGGGGATTGCTGCGCTGATCCATAGACTCTACGTCGATGGAGATAAGCATGGGATCCGGCGACTCGTGCTGCCTAACCTTCACGCACTCTGTCCGCTTTAGATCTGGGGTATAGATGCATGGTCCAATCCAGCCGGCAATCTGTTTCACCCCACGCGCAGCCCCTAATACTTTGCCGACAATAGACTGTGATGACCAGTACGTGTTCGCTCGGTATTGGAATCCGGATGCGGGGTGCACGTGAGTCAGGTACCTCAAAGCCTCCCCAGTGTCTCGGTCACAGTCAATCAAGCTGTTCATAATGAGCCACGGGAGTGTCCGGCCTGGCAAGATGATCCCCGAAAACCAGGACATGGCGTCTGCGGATCGGTCCTCAAGCGCTTTCTCCTTCGGGTCCTGCTCGTCCAAGACATACTCAACCTCATCCATGTTCGGCCATTTCAGCGTTGCCGCAAAGAGCCTCAATGCTTCGATCTGTCTGCTTTTGCTCCGCAGATCAAAGCTAAAAGTGCTCTGCGTGGATGATGTACGCGTCTTCGTGATCTCCATATTCTCGAGCCACCGCTGAGCCACTGCCAGGTCCCATGTGATGATGGCTGGAAGCTGCAGAATGAGCTTCCGCTTAGACTTGTCCGTATGGTGCTTGGAATGTATCCGAAGGTAAAGTTCCACTGACAGTAGCAGTTGGTGGAAGAAGTCTTGCTTCCTCTGCGGATCGGGAGAATCGAACCACTTCGCCACAACCTGATTTTTGGGGTGTGAGAAATCTATCCATTTAGGGTTGCTCAGTACTGTGATGAGATCCGTGATCTGCTGGTCGATCCGAACATGGCGGCGTTCTTCGTCAAACCGCTCTGGATCTTCGATGAGTGTGCCGTATAGATAGCGATACAAGTCCTCAGGATCCTGCGAAACCAAAAGTTAGGATCATTCGAACCAAAGCACCCCGAGCACGACTGTGGACTGACATCTTCATTGAGGCCGCTCTCTAGGGTCTGTAACCGGTCCAGAATCTGTAGGAGCCTGATCTTCCGCGGCTTGATCTCGCTCGCGAATTGTGTAGGAGGCTGGCTGGTTCTCCACTTGCTGACCCAATTGTTCAAAGTTGTGGTTCCTGCACTCTTGCCAAACGCGTACGCCATGCAAGGGTACTCATGAGCCAGCCACGGGAACTGGCTATCAGACGCACCCGTCATGTTGAGCGAGATGTCCCGGTATGCTTCCTGCTGGAAAGATGCGCGGTCCGTTCGACTTTGATGCTCAGCCTCCATGACCGCATAGAAGCGATCGTAGCCCGCTGGTGCGTTCGCTATCGCATCGCAATATCCCTTGAACGACGACGCACCAGCACATATGAGTTCCTCAGCCTGGTCAGGTTCCAGCGCATCCTCCGACGTGTATCCTTTCGGCGGCCATCGTCTTGACTTGCGAAAGTCCTCGAGCGGGGTGGGCTGGGAGTAGGATTCGGAGCGGCGATGCGGAACGAGGGTCTGGTAGGGGACCATGTGGGCGTCTCCTCCGCTAGACAGCGGTCTTATAGGATTTGGCTCCGAGCCGTGTCTGGTTATACGTGTGCGCGTGACTACGGGCGTTGTTCGCGTTCTCGGGTGCTTTCCCACCTGCAGTTGCTGGAACCCATTCGTGAGCTGCGGGAAAGGCTCGGGGAACGCGTACGGCAGGGCAGACGGCGCTGGAGGTGCCTCGGGGCGAGGCGCGCCCCATGGACTGTCGTACTGGTGTTTGATGCCATCCCAGCGGGTGTATTCCGAGTTCATCTCTTACGCATAGCACTCTGTGTTGGAGAATTACCTGAACCTCTGGTGCAAGTTAGTGGATTGTCAATTACAGAGTGATCAAGCAGCATGGCGGAACTATCGACGAGCAACTTGAGCACGTGCGAAGGTTTCAGACAAGCCGGGGAAGTAAAGTCAGAGATGGCGAGGAACATAGAGCGCTCGATTGGGTCCGTGGGCTCTTGTGACATATACACACTCACCCTCATAGTACTATAGTCGCGCTACTGCCGCCGCCTGAGGAGTAAGACGCGTCTGCCGCGGGTCGGGGGTGAAGATCACGTCTGGATCTCGAGGTCTTCGGGGTAGCGCCGGCACACGGTTGCTCTAATGTGACCTCGTAAAGACAGACGCGTGGAGAGTGTAGTGGGGGTGGAGAATGAAAGACGGAGGGTTTCAAGTCAGGTCAGGTTCAACTGTTGGGTCAGGGTCACCACTACCTAAGCCGACATCGTTGATCGAGGTCGCGTGTAGCATGCTTCGGCTCTCCCTGCGCCGTGGCATTTGCAAGAACCTCCGTCGTCGCAGCAAAGGTGCGCGATAGCACGTAGAGATACGCCATAGAGGTGGAGTGTTAGCCTCACTCTTGCGGCACCCGTGCGTCTTACGACTGGGGTATGCTAGCAGCCGCATTCTACTCGTCCACGTTACTCACGATGCATACTCTTAGCGGCCTGACCGTGGTGCGTCTGCCAGAACACCATTCACAAGATAGTGGCACGCATTTTGAAAGGATTTGATGATTTCATTTTGCTGATGCTTTTTCAAGTAATACTTTCTCTTCAACCTTCTCACTCGCCTCATGCATCCTACGCTCGTTGTCTACTAGACAAGCGGTCACGCAAGGGCGATGTTCTGCTTCAAATCCAGCTTTTTCGCTGCTCTGAAGCATGCCATGGGCTTTTGATGGCTACGAGATGCGTCACTGTGACGAACCGTGCTGGTGGCATCAAAAAAAAATGCCTATAAGCGTGCTCGGTGATGGCACGAGCCTGAGATGATGTAGTGATGTGCCTCCGGCAGCTCGATAAGATCCCTCGTTGGAGGACAGGCTGTGAGTGATAACTCCTGCCGAGTCATGTTCGCCAGCTCATCAATATCCAACCAGCCGTGTTCCTAGCCTTCCATACAATGGCGGCCACGGTTTGGCTTGATATTGGGAACAGATAAGATGATCCACAACATCGTCTTCGTGAACTCATGATTGCGACTAAAGCTCTCGAGGTAGAGACGCTAACGGTATTTGGAAGCGTTTCATGAGCTGGCTTGGTATCGTGGCATGATGCTGCTCAGCGCTCAGGAGCTTCCATCATTATGTACCTGATTGATTGGTGTGTATTCCTGTCGCTGATCCCGTAGGGGTGGGTATGTCGTTGGAGCTGACCGTCGGTTCTGATTCCCGTTCCTTCTCTATAACGTATCCTGAGCCACGATCGACCAGACCTTTGTAGTAATCTACGAGTACTTCCGGCTTTGGGACAATGCGCCATTCAAGCCTCCGCAGAAACTCGAGCTCAAGTAGCGCCAATTCACGGACACTGACGCCGCCGACCCTTGCATATAGGCTGTTGGTCCAAAAGCTGTCGCTAAGGCCTTTAGCCGCGACTGTCGCAGCAGTTATGAGGAATCGATGCACGGTGAGGCTGCTGATTGTGAAAGCGGGATACATGGCGCACAGCTTGTCGACGTAAAAGACCATGGAGAGGAGAATAGGCGGAGACAGTGTAGCGTGCACTATGAGGCGGGAGAGATAGTCTCGTACTGAAATGCCCGGCGGGGCTCTGGAGGATCAATATCAGCGAGTGCTGCTTCAGTCAGTCTTGGACGGACGCACCTGGAGTGGAATCGTGTAAGTGTGCCGTCGCGCAGCGGATAACCGTCGTTGAGCCGCACCAACTCCATGAGCATGTCGGAGATGAGCACACCGAGGTCTTTGACGTCGCACGTCTCATACTGGAGAGGCATGACCTTGACACCAGGCTCCTCGGGCCTCGCTCTCTTGGCTGGCGAAGCAGGAACCTGCAAGACAGTGCTTTGCTCTTTCTGCGCGCCGGCTGGCTCTACTTCCGCATGCGTGCTCTCGTGAGACATGCGGCGACCCTGGGGTTGCACATTGTACGCGGGCGCGATAGGCTGCGGACTTACCCGCACTTGGGGCTCGGGGGGCTCCGTGACGACAGGCGCGGCGGAGGTATCCCCCCGCGGTGCAGGCACAATGGCAGGAGCGCTCGAAGACGTCGAGTCGGCCGTTTTCTGGTCCTGGTCCTGGTCCTGGTCTTGGTCGAGCGCGGAGGAATTGAGAGCGATGTCGGCGCTGGTGCGGTTGCTGGGCTGCGGCCGGTAAGTGGGAGGAAACCCAGACGGCGAGTACTGTGTGCCCGAGTCGACGTATCCTCTCTTGCGACTCTGGGGCGAGGGCGCAAACGTGGGCACTGGCGAGGGCGCCGAGAAGGCGGGCTTTGGGGTGGGCGGCGCGTCGAATCGCCGTGAGGCTACCGTGGTCACGGCAAAGCGGGGCGAGTGGGCGCTGGAGGATGCCGATGTGCGTCGCGAGGCATGGTACGGGCGGTGGCTAGGCGTGTGGAAGGTCGTGTTCGGCGAGGGCGGTTGCGAGATTGTGGGTGAGGAAGTGATCATGTCGTTGTGCCGGGCTGGGGGTCCTAGGGTGGAGGAAGATGGCAAGATCGGGCAACCGCGGTGCAAATCATAGTCAGGCCTGAAGACTGTCACGGAGCTTCTGGCAGGAACGTGGGGAAGGGAGAAACCATCGGCGAGGCTTCATCTGGCGTCGAGTGCGTAGGGCGGCCGCTCTTCCTTGAGCGAGTCTTGGCTGGCGTTCCGACGATAGCAGGCAGCGCCCACACCACGTGTGACGTCCGGGGATTTCTGTAGGCCACCGGGCAAACCTTGCATCCTCTTGACAATCGGCAAACCATCCCATGGCTGCTTCTTCCTGTCCTGCGCATTCCTTAGTAATTCTCACCGCATTTCCGCGCTGGTTGCGTGCAGGCGCATCGGCCCTGCGTGCCAACATGCTCGTCATCGCTGCGGAGTGGCTGACCGCCAATGAACAGCCATTAAGCCCTAGACATGGAGGGAACATCCTCTAATCAAAATTTCCAGAAGACGACAACCGATCGCTAGCTGCCGCTCACACTAGCTTAGATAGTGTGTAGATTTTTGCTCTCGCGAAACTGCGCCAGTCTTCAAATGATTCAGTCTGGCTACAAGTTATGTCATTTAGACAGAGGGAAACGCACTTCGGTCATCATCGCACAAAGCATTCGACGACTGGCAGACTCAACCCCAGGACGACTAACAACTGACAATTATCCCCGCTGGAGTATCCACTATGCACCACGTCCAACTCCAACCTCAAACTTATCTAACCCGCGGCCCTCTGCTATCTTAACTCTGGTACCACAATGTCGCTAGCCGCTGGTTGCCGGCCCACGTTTTACAATGCCACAACATCACTCGACGAGACAAGAGCCGCTTGGCAGGGTTCTGCACAAAAGGCCCGAAATGGGTATCGTGTGGCGAGTGCAGATGCAGTACGTGATGGCTTCAAGCTGTATGGTTCATTGTCAGCTAGACCGATCTTTCTGCTGCCGTGAGTTCCGAGACCGCATCTAGTCTCGAGTCGGTTCGTGGATTGCTTGTGTATTGCCTAGTGTCGCGAAAGTCAGGCGTACGACAAAAGCGTGACTACACTTCATGTTATCGATAAGCTTGCCTACTACACAGATGTCCTCTGCACTCTGTATCGCGAGTAGCTTGTACCGTTCAGTCAAGCCTTTACGATGACGCTAGACGTTCTTCCCTGTTTTATCACGCTTTCTGCACGAAGCCTCTTCGGGCAATGCACTACTATATCTAATGGCATCAAACGAACATTGCATACGAGCTAAAGATGAGAATTCAAATACATATCGCCCGCTCATCATTTCGGCTTATCGCGTCCAGATGCGTCCAACTCTGCCGAGAAGGACTGCTGCTCCAGCGGTGGACTGTGCAACTCTGCTACGGCAGGTTGCCCGTTTATCTGTGCGTGCTTTAGTTGATCGATCCTACACATATAGTTAGCATGCATGTCTAGACTAGGTATGTTGCGAATGGTTGACACTTACTGTTGCTGCGACAACCCACTGACATTGCTCATCATGCTCATATGGCCGTGTTGGGGCCCAGGACTGGTCCAACCGGACGGGTACTGCTCTCCCACGTTGTGCTGACCGTATCCCGGGGGCGAGTTGAAGCCATAGTCTGGATAGTGTCCTGGTGGCGGTGTTGCATACCCAGGAGCTGGCGATTGGAAGCCTGGCGAAGCGAGTCCTCCATGACCGTACTGTTGGCTCATGTTTGGGTCGTGGGTATTCATAGTGTCGCGCTGCTTGATAACCTCCTTTAACGACTTGGATCGGCCGACAAAGAAGAAAAGGGCGGCACAGATTGCCAGGAAAGCCACTCCGCCAATTACTATGCCAACTATAGCACCTGTGGATAGGCTGGGGCCGCCGCCATGGCCTCCACCACTAGGTGGCGGTGCTGTTCCCGTTGACGTAGGAGCATTAGACAGCGTCGATGTCGCCTCCGCGGGAATTGGGTCGCCGGGTGCTACTTGAAAGTCTGCAGCAGCAGCCGCTTGGACTTGCGACGCCAGAGTCTGCGTAGAGTTCGGGTTGATAACTCCAACCATGTGCTCGCCCAGACACGAGTTCGGTGCTGCACAATAGAAGAAGATGGGTTCTGTCGAATTGATCGTAACATTGAAGTATGTGAGCTGCAGAGCGTTAGCATAAATTGGCCGACTGTTCATCGAAGGACCAACCTCGTTCGTATTGTTCACCCATTGGGTCTCAGACCAGAACCCTACTTTATCTTTTCCCGTATACTCATACGGTACGCATGCTGATCCAAACTCCGCTCTTGCAACCGAATGATCTGGTGGATAAAACTCCCATTGTACGATGTCACCCACGGAGACGTTGTGAAGTTCTTGCGGTGTAAACTTAAAGCCTCCGACGCCAGCTTTGATCGAGTGGATTGTCGGTTCACCCGACGATGTCGGTCTTGCAGTCGACGATTCTACTGCTTCCGAAATCGTAGGCATCGTCGTCGTTGAAGATTGTATATCGTTGGATGCTGTCTGTGAGACATCTTGCGCCATAGTAGACGAAAAGCAAAGTTGGCTGGTAGCGATGGCCACTGCTAGCCTTGCGGTCCACGAGCGTCTCATTGCGATGGTTGTGTGGCGAGTAGATAAGCACAGTAGTAAGACCAACCTCCAGCACAAAGCCCGTGATTTTTTAGTCCACTCGGCTTTCTGGTTGTCGGGAAAATATGAATACAATGCCAGTAGTGTAGCAGGCAGCAAAGAGGCTCAAAGAAGGAAACAGAGCAAAGGTGACCCAGCAGGCTGACCCCCAACCCTTAAGTCACTCTTCTGCCCATCTTGCCCAGTGCTCGATACCGCTGTTTCCAGCCCCCATAGCCGCACTGCGGATAGTGGACCAAGCGACAGGCCACCTTCCTGTATCTACCATCATACATAGCCTTTGTTCGTCCTGTGCGACCAATCAGTACAGTCAAAATTGCCGATCTGGCAGGCGCGCCCTTGTGCGGGCGCATCTGAGGCGCACAGCCATTGCAGCAACATGCTTGTAAATTCGCCAGCGGGGCGGACCATCAGCATGTCAGCAGGGAACAAGACGCACACTCGATAGAATGTTGGATATGTGTAACGGCAGCTAGTGCTGATTCTGGCCCATCGCAACTTGGCCTATTTCCGTGCCACCATCTCTTTGACTGCGCCGCCGGGTCCATCAGTATTCCCAATCTCGTTCCAACCTCGTTGTGAGGAATCTGGAGATGCCGGACAAGGGCGCGTAGCATCTCTTTCCGCGTGTCTAGTTGTCGATTTGAGCTGTTCGCAGCTGCCATGCCGTCTAGATCCTTCTTGTACGCGAGCTGGCATATAGTGGAGCACAGCTGAGTTGTGGTCAAGGAATGAGCATCGAGCGTTTGAGCCGCCAGCCTCGAGTGAGCCTAGCGTTTGTCAGCGACCCGGCCATGAAAGCGGGCCCGTCTTCTTGGCACATGCATGGCTTGGGCGCAGTGTGCTGAATGCGATGAGTGTGCGGAGCAATTGCTATGGTGGGTAGAGGATCATGCGAGCGCGGAGCGGCTGTCGTGAGGCGTAGGGCTCGGCCGGTTCGATGGATAACGGCTGGCGTCATGATTAGCCATCCCCAGGGCCCGTAAGCGAGGCGCGTGTTGACCATCTTGAAGTGGCTCAAAGTACAGAGGTTTTGCATCGCATCAGCAAGGCTATCAATAAGACCTTCATCCAACATCACTGTCATCATCAAAGTATACATATTTTTGAGGCGCAGCTGTCCTCTAGAAGATGCTAATTATTTACGAAGGAAGAAATGCAGCGCGTGTACTCAACACATAGAAGATCAGACACCAATTCATCATATAGCGAAAATGGTATGCCAGATACGCCAGGCCATGCAACGAATGTGAATGATGCCGCCAATAACGCCATCTCTCGACGAGTAGCTTAAAAGGGTGGCCTCTTGATGGGACTCCGCGGACTGCTCGCACTGAACAAGCCCATTTGAGGCATCTTGGGGCTCTTTAATAGGTTCGCGGCGGCTTCTTGCTCGAAACGCCTGGATGTGTGTGACGCGCTCGCTATGGGCGGGCTTCGCAGTCCTGCAGCCATGTTCTGCGGCCCCTCGTCAGTACGACTGGAAATGTCATTCATCTCTTCGAACTCGCTCTTCTTTTCCAAAAGTAGGTTTTGCACTTCCTCCAAATGCTGCTCGAGCATGTCGTCTAGACTGTCCTTGGGCGATTGGATAAGATTGCCAAGCTTCTTGCGCATCTTGCGTTGACGGCTTGGATTCCAGACGAAGTGGCTGTTCTTCACGAAGATCAAAGAGTGCTGCGAGTCTTAGCTGGTGTCATGTTGCGGATTCCAATGCTACTTACGGAGTAATACCAGCTAGAGATCGTGTCGTCTGTCGCTCGTTTAATGGATTGTATCGTTGTTTCTCCCACAAACCCGATCAAGCACTCGACTGGGCTATCAGGGTCGGTGCAGTTTTCTGTACAGTCAGTAGCTGCTACCTGAGGGCAAGCCGCGAGGGGACTTCGGGTGCTTACCGTTGTGGCTCAGGAGGTCGACAAGTCCAAGATACGCATCGCCGATACCCATAAAGAACACTTGCGTCGCCTCGTTTGGTCTAGTTCGACGTCAAGGACTGGTCAAAAGCTCGTAAAAAGAGACCTACTCAATATAGTTCTCCCACAGATATGCTGCAAGCTCACGGGTTTGCTGCGCTCTAACCGCAGAATCATCGGATCTTGTGTACCCGATGATCGACTGATTGTGATTAGCAAGCTGTCTGAAGAAAAGCATCTCGAAAGCTCACGTCTTCCACTGCAACGACTCTCGGAATATTGACATCAATGACCTGAAACTCATTGTTGATGGCCCAGTCAATATACCTCTTCGTAACATCAGTCTTCATCCAAAGTCAGCAATTACACAGTGCGAGACTGCAACCGTACTCACAAGCCATGTATTGTGCAGCTCTCTCTTACCAGTCACCGGATCAGTGTGGTCTTGGAAGCTCGGCGGGTCGTGGAAAATCACAAGGAGAGGATACCGGTCCATGAACTTTGGTCTGTACTATATCAGCATCTGCGGGCATTGGGACGTGAAAGAACTTACGTTGCAATAATGTTATGTTCAAACGTCTGAGATAAGCCAGCCTTGTTGATTTGAAGTGGAGGTAGAGGAACCATCGAGTGTTCCAAAGACAGCCGTTGACTCTGCCATTCGCGGATAATCTCGTGCAATCGATGTGTATCCTTGTAGCCGGGGTCGGTTTTGTCCAGGTGTTTAGGGTACAGTGATTTCCAGTACTTGGAGTGCTGGCGTTTCACGTTCTCGATAACGTAGACCGCACTATCCTTTGGGGCTGGAAGATCCTCGTTCAGGCGATCCGGAGGCTCCAGCATTAGTACCCTCGTCACAGCTAGCGCCGAACGCGCTATTGATCTGAGGTTGTAACCACCTTCGAGACACACCACGATTTTCCCTTTTGCTAGTCGCATAAGCATATGTGTCATGTGACCGTAACACGCCGGTGTCACGAAACAACCACCCAGCAGGTCTCCTTCGGCTGCATCGAAACCGGCCGAAACTATGACGAGATCCGGATCAAACTCGGTAGCGATGGGCATGACAATTTCCTGGAAAGCGTAGAGATATTCTGAGTCGCCCATGCCGTGTTCTGCCCAAGGGATATTCACATTTTTCCCTTCGCCAGGACCTTGGCCGCAGTAGTCAAGATTACCGTCCTTCAAGTTGGGGTAGAAGTTTCCGTCCTTGTAGACATGCAGTGATATGTAGAGTACGTTTGGGTCCTCGTAAAAGGCATGCTGAACACCATTACCGTGGTGAACATCCCAGTCCAAGATCAAGACCTTACGGCAAGTCTCCGGATATGCATTCTGACAAACTCGGGTGGCTATCGGAACGTTGTTGAAGATGCAGAACCCCGAAGGCTGATCTGTTTCGGCATGATGCCCGGGGGGACGAATTATGGCGATTGCGTTGCGCACGATTCCTTGTACTACCGCTTTGCACGCCTCGATGGCTCCTCCAGCTGCGAGTTTGGCGCAGTCGTAGGTCGCATGGTTGAAGTAAATGGAGTCGCGAGCGGAGGCCTCCATTTTTAAATCTTCCGCAGTCATGTCTAATAGTAAAGTTAGTCGAGTTCTCTTGATGTGATCATGAACCCACCCTGCAATGACTCTACGAATGCGTAATGCTCCTCCGTGTGTATCAGAAGGATTTCCGGTCTTGTAGCAAAGCGCGTCATGATCCTCCAGCACTTGTCCTCTTGGTCTTCATCTGAATCACTGGTCGCCACTAGACCAGCTTGCCTAAGCTCTTCGTAGATGGAGTGTATACGACGCGGATCTTCGGGATGGATATCATCAATGAGATCCATGTCAGGCAGCTCGGCGTGGAAGCGCATACGAGAGTCGTAGACGAGGCCGGTTTTGTTCGTCGCATATGGAAGAATCGATGATCTTGGGTTTGGGGGTATGCGAACTTGTGGACTTGATCGCCGAACAGGAGTAGGGCGCGACATGCTCATCTTATCCGACCGGCCACTCGGTGACTTTGTTGTTCGATGTGATCCAGCCTGGCTCTGCGTAGTACTGGGCTGCAGGAATGAGGGGTTCTTCGATGGGCTGTGGAAGGGGAGTTGCTCCCTTTTAGATAATGGTGGCCCTTTGATATTGGCGAAAACTTCAGACGGGTTCACGGTGTCCAGTAGATGGTCGCCATTTGGCTCCGTCGAATTGATGATGGAGTCTTCCCCCATGGCATAGTCTTCGTCTGCCATGACTATATCGTAGGGTAAAGCGGGCATGATACGCCTCGCTTTGCGGTCGCGGGCTTGCAGCTATAAATCCATTAGCGATAGCACTATCAGACGCGTTGGTCGTATGACTTTGGAGACTCCGACCCCGTGACTACAGCCAGGTGCTCTGATTGAACGAAGGAAACTATGCTTCTGATCTCAAGCCGATTTGGGTAGATGGAAATGTGATCCTAAGCATGCTAAGAAACAAAGATGTTGAAGAGAAAGCGCTGCGAGGGCCAACGTCTGGTATGAGAACATGTGTTGTTGATGCGGAGCTAATGTAAGAACTGCTTTAGGATGGACTTTGGGAGTGGTGAATAGAAAGGTACTTACTTGCGATATCGCTACCGCATCGAGCTAGCTATACTGGAGCTAAACGTATTGGTGGAGAATGGGTTCCAGAAGATGAGAGTAAATCGCGCTTCAGTGAATGCTGCAGGGTGAAAGCGCCAAGTGTTGTTTCTTTTGCGATACTTTATTCACGGAGTTGTGTTGATCTGTAGTTGGGTAAGTAAAGGTCGTTATGCACTGACTATATGTTGTTCGTCGCGTTATGTGGAAGGCAGATCGTAAATCGCGACAGAGGTCACCTACATCAGCTGCTGAACAACGTGAGACTGGAGCTCCAGAAATTCTATGTAATGTAAAAGCAGTCTATAGCTTTCTGAATCTCGTGATAGCTGATGCTGAGCTCCAAAGTAGGGGATAAAGTGGAGCGTTGCAATGCAAGTTCCCTACGCGGCCAAGATCCGTCACATGACTAAGCAGCGCCAAGGTATTTAGCGCAGTCTCTCGCCGCATGCCTTCAGTGCTCAATCTAGCGATCAAGTTTTACTCGAATTTGTAGCAGCGATAAGCAGAGCATGAGCAGCAGTGGAATGGGTTATGTGGTTCAGCTGTATACCAGCCTTATCATTCGCTTCCGACATGGCATCTCGGCAACCCGCAGACCAGGCGCAAGTACTCTCCCAGTGTCCTAGTACAGGACCTCTGGATGCCATGATACGACAACGCACGAGTGTGAACATTCACCACTGAGAGACGGTGTTACCGGAGAGGGCATGCTTTAAGGCTACTGATATCCGCAGGACAGCTCCTCGGCATGGCCATACAGAAGCCCAAAGCCGATAGTAGCCATTCACATGCCTAAAACTGCCGCATCACGGAAGCCAACTAGAACACCCGTTCTTCCCCGCAAAATCTTTCGCCAGATTACGGGACGTGAACGAGCAGCCGGGAACTAAGCGGGAGAAAGGGATCCGCGTGCAAGTATACATTCGCGTGAGAGTCGTACCTCGGGAACTAGCTTGCAAGGGAGCGCTAGAAAATGCAGCGACAGGGGCAGCTCCACTACCATGCAGACGGGCGAGGGGAGCCTTATTGTCACTTCATGCTACAGGATTCAGAACGGTATTGTTTTGATGATTATTATTCATTGATTCATGTCTAGCATAACGCATCCATGTTCAGACCATATTTTCATCCCCGCGTTATCCGCGCCTAGCTAAAGGTAGCCCGCTCCATCGAGTCGGTGCTGAAGAAGTGAAATCAGAGTTTAGGTGTTGCCTGGCTCTGTCCTGACTCCTAAGCGTTGCCATCAACCTTGGCAATGTAGACCAGGAGGTCGAGAACACGGCGGGAGTAACCCCACTCGTTGTCGTACCAGGAGACGAGCTTGACGAAGTTCTTGTTCAGAGAGATACCAGCCTTGGCGTCGAAGATGGAAGAGCGGTTGTCACCGTTCAGATCAGTGGAAACAATGTCGTCCTCGGTGTAGCCGAGAATGCCTACGTCATGTCAGGATGTGCATTTGAATGGTATGGGAAAGTGAAAGCTTACCGTTGAGTGGGCCGTCAGCAGCCTCCTTGATGGCCTGCTTGATCTCGTCGTAGGACGCAGCCTTCTCGATGCGGACAGTCAAGTCGACAACCGAGACGTTGGCAGTGGGAACACGCATGGCCATACCAGTGAGCTTGCCGTTGAGCTCAGGAATGACCTTGCCGACAGCCTTGGCGGCACCAGTGCTGCTGGGAATGATGTTCTGGGCAGCGGTACGGCCACCACGCCAGTCCTTAGCGGAGGGGCCGTCAACGACCTTCTGAGTGGCAGTGTAGGAGTGGATGGTGGTCATGAGACCCTCAATGATGGTGAACTTGTCGTGGACAACCTTGGCCAGGGGAGCAAGGCAGTTGGTTGTGCAAGAGGCGTTGGAGAGCACCTCGATGTCAGACTTGTAAGTCTCGTGGTTGACACCCATGACGAACATGGGGGCATCAGCGGAGGGAGCAGAGATGACAACCTTCTTGGCTCCACCCTTCAAGTGGGCCTTGGCCTTCTCAGTGGTGGTGAAGACACCGGTGGACTCGACGACGTAGTAAGCGCCGGTCTCGCTCCATGGGATGTTGGCGGGGTCCTTCTCCATGTGGAAGCGGATGGTCTTGCCGTTGACGGTCAGGTTGTTTCCATCAACCTTGATCTCGCCCTTGAACTGGCCGTGTGTGCTGTCATACTTGAGCATGTAGGCCTGTGTGTGTTAGCCTGCGTCCTGTAGTTGTAGAGCTGCTATGTGGCATCGCAACAGTCTATGTGCAAAGGTGGGTGGCTATTATGGGTTTGTGTTTGCGCAGGGATGCTTACAGCGTAGTGAGGCTCGATGAAGGGGTCGTTTACGGCGACAATGTCGACGTCGTTGTGCTCGATAGCATTGCGGAAGACGATACGGCCAATGCGACCGAATCCGTTGATACCAACCTGTGCGGACGTGTTAGTAGCTGCCTCCTGGCCCAGCGGGGTAGTGGAAGGAGCTTACCTTGACAACCATGATGAACTGAGTGTAGTGCTGCGAAAGTTAGAGAGTTGAAGAGGAAGCAAGGCAATTGAGTTGAGCTCACTCTTTTATAGGGTACAAGCTGATGTAGAAGTGGTGAGAGACAGAGTTTTGTGTCAGGCGCAGTGTTTTGTTGGGTCTGGGCTAAGGTGGGGTGCCCAGGTGAGGGAGGGGCAAGCTAAATAGCGACCAGCTTGAGGACGTCACAAGTTTTAGTTCTTTTTCTGTAATCCGATATGCAGCGCAGCCTGGGCCCCCAATTACACCACCTGCGCCTCCCACACTTCCGGCCGGCTACCTGCTTGTCAAGCCAAGTGCATTCGCATACAGCCTCGGGGGGGCGATATCGCCATCATTCGAGGCCGCGGACTGCACCGGAGAGCAAGGCGGGCAGCTCGGGCAGACTATGCTGAGAGGACCCTGACCGAGGCATCCGTAACTATCTCCAGACGCATTCGTGACGCCAAGCGCTCTGGTGATACCGTACTTGCAGCCTCGCATACTGCAGTATGTACCGCAGGCGGCTGGTCGGCCATTCAGGCCCGGCACGCCACGCAGGACATGATCTATCAATACTCTTACGAAAGAGGTATACGTGCATCTCGTAATCAGCGAGAGCACAGACTAGTGATTAAAATGCGCGGGCGTCAGCCGTTGTCGCTGTCGGGGGCAGGATCTTTTGGTCATTCGATATAATAAACCAAAGCGCGCAGCAGAGTCTGATGCGATCACCGGTTCGTGGGGAGGCGAGTGTTTTGTGTCACCACCGAGATTCTCTCCGCCAGGCAAAGTCAAGTATGGTTCGAGATGAGGCGTGGGTATCCGCGGCCGGCACCGTTGCACTATGATGGACAGACATGTTATTTGTAGCAGCTCTGGCCCGCCACATGATCGCCAGATGCGACGGTGATTAAATAAGGAGCAGAGGTACCTGCATATGGGTGCTGCAGCAAAGGGAGCTCGAGCTACAGCTACAGCTTGAGCTTGAGCTCGGAGTTCAGATGACGATGCAAGCGAGTCCCGCACCGATGCGTATGTTGTGCGCAGGTGCCGAGCCTCCGATCACGGGACGGGAAGACACCTTGGACCTACCTAGGTAGAGCGCATCTGAACAATCAGAAATCAATGTTATCCTATTAGAGACGTCTGTTTGTTTAAACATCTTTGAAAGACATTTATTACAGATTAGCACGTTGTAGACTCGTGGCAGCACTGATCTACCCCGCGCTTGAGGGAATTTGCGAGTGTTTTGTTCCATGTTGAAAGCTCCATGCTCACTCGGGTGCCCAGAAGGAGGAACGATGCAACGCATGTGAGATATTTAGTTCAGCCAAAGCCTCTCGATATAATCGAATTGACGTACCCATATCATCTCGTCTTGACTGCTGCAACGTTTATCTTGCCTGATTTAGCCAAGTCGAGGGATCTCTGTCGACCTAGCAGCTCACGCAGGGCGAAAGCGCACCAATTCAGCACCATATGACCAGTCGTATCTAAATTGAGCTCGGAATCGCGATGCGATTGTAGACCTTCAGTGTCGTCGAAGGTTCCTCGGTCGAATCTCTGACTCCAATGTCATGACTGGGCACTACGAGAGAACGGCCAGAGCTGCTCGACCGGACAGCAACATCCAACTTCATTCCACGTGGCTCCCCTCTCACCATGACATGCATTGGAAACATGGCAACCGCAAGCTCAGGGTAGGATGAGGCTCTCAGATGCCGAGATAGACGGTTGTCCCGGCCAATGAGAGGGTCAGCGTTAGGACGACTGGGGCGCTCGGGCCACAGAAGATTGATCGTTCCACTACCTTGGCGTTCCTCCCGCAACCACATTTTGCAAGACAGCTCTCCTGGCCCACCATCGACTCCATCACCACCACGATCCATTGGCAGCTGTAGGTCCCTCGACGGGAAGCTTCTCCCTTTGTTTTCTATTTTCCGACACTCTCCACTCCACCCGCCGCCATGCTGCGCTCGTCCATTGCCCGGGCTTCAAGCTCGGCTGCCGCCATGTCATCGACCGTGACCCGCACTGCTCTCCCCAGAGCTGCCCCTGTAGCCTGCCAGATTCAGCAATCCCGCCAGGCCCACGCCATCTCCAACCCGACCCTCGCCAACATCGAGAAGCGATGGGAGGACATGCCCCCCCAGGAGCAGGCCGATCTGTGGATGACGCTTAGGGACCGCATGAAGACCGACTGGAAAGAGTTGACCATGCAGGAGAAGAAGGCTGGTGCGTACAATTCCATTCCGCGCATCGGGGTGCTGCGACAGCTCGTATGACGTATCTTGTGTTTTGATCGAGGTACCCGAGCTAGCCCGCGGCATATGGTGCGCTTCACGCGAGGCTATCGCGACGTACCGAGGAATTATCGATACGAACACTGCGCTGACAATACCCTCTGCATACAGCCTACTACATTGCCTTTGGTCCCCACGGTCCCCGCCGACCCCCACCTCCGGATGAGGGCCGTAACGTCTTCCTCCTCTCCTCTGCCGTCATTATGGGCGCCTTTGCCGTCTTCGCCTTCACGCGCATGTTCGCCAGCCCCATCCGGCCCCGCACCATGACCAAGGAATGGCAAGAGGCCAGTGAGGAGTACCTCAAGGTATGCCAATTCCACGCTCACGTGTTTGTATCAACGCTGACACATTATAGTCGCAAGGCAGCGAGCCCATCACCGGCTACAAGGGAATGTTGGTACAGAGCAAGTCCGAGAAGGATCTGCCAGCCAGGGAGAAGCTCAACGATGAGTAGAGAGTCGAATAGAAGCGTCACAGCAATCACCATGCCAATACCGATACCACATTTTCCTTGTGTCAACTTTCCGTTTGGTACTGTCTGTGTCACATACAACAAGATCGAAAGCATTACGAACGGCTGCCGATCGGCCATTGTCATAATAGTCCTCATTGTACAGAAATCTAGAGGCTTTTCGCGTTTACTTGACGGTTCCCCACTTTGATCATGTGCAAGACGCACACTGTATGATTTACGCAAGTCTCAAATCAAGGCGCTCTACCCTCGTCACGACACATGCTACCTGTGCAGTCGCGTGATGGCTAACCAAAGGCAAGTACACGGACTGAGAAGGTCAGTCTCGTGTAAATTTCGACAGACAGATCGGGGGTTCAACGCCTGAGTTGTCTTTGTCAATGGGATTGGACAATCTTTATCACGTTTGTGGGTTTTTCGCCATCTGCAATGCGTCATGTAAAGCACGTACTATTCACACCTGTCATCCCGATACTACCATGCTACTCCAAAGCATAGGCGTTAGCATATATACGGAAACGATGTTACGAAAATAATGTGTTACACAGCTGACAGTAGCTATGTAAGACGACATACCCGCATCCGCGGCCGAGGAAGTCCTTGTCGCACAGAAACGAGATGTCAGCTTTGTAATAGCATGCTTGTCGAAGCAGTGTAAAGACCGCGGCCGTGCTTACTTTGAAATCACAAGCTTGCTTATGAGCTCGCGGCTCTCGGGTGTATAATTCCAAGTCATGAGTGAATACTGACTTCAGCTCTCCAGGGCTTCATCCGATCTAGCAAAGATGAACTGCAACGTCCATCCATTGCGAGAATTACCGGTGCACCCTATTCAAGCAGAATATCAAACACCTACACGAGGTGATCTGCCTAGAAGTCTACATTACCTTCAAAGTATTCTTGACTTTTATTTTCATATCAACGTAGACTACACGACACCTGTTCACTTTGTTCCTTGCGTGAGGTGGGTGCACTCATGGATGGGTTCAAACAGGACTGCTAATTGGCATGTCCTTTCAGACCTACGGTCCATGAGAGAGATTAGATACCTGTGTTCCGGTTCTCCATTACGTAGTATAGTATGGATGAAGTGAATTCACGTAATCTTATCAACTCGAGCTTTTTGCACATCCCGAGCGTGCAGGTGACCTCACAATTTTCATCGCTGGTGTTCCAATGTACTATTACCAGCAACTACCTGCAGCATGCTCTGTGTCTTCTCTCACCCATTCAAGCGAACGATGGAGCTTATTCCTACAGTGTATGGTACGGGTAAATAACCCAGGAGTCTACATTGCATCAGGAAATTGCCAACTTTCATTTTAAAACTAACGTAGACTGCAGAGTACCTGTTGAGTTCTACTATAAATAGAGTGCTCTGGTGTATATGTATTCTGCCATCGGTCTGCAACTTCGGCATCTTGAAATTTCGCCTGCTGCTTCCTCCCAACTTGCAACCAATCCTGGAAAGGACCTGAACAAGTTGTGGCCAGTGACACGGTCTAGCAACACCCTTGATGGAGTCTGAAATAAGGGAGGATACTTTCCTGTTGAGGCCCAGTCGGGTTGATCTGGAACTATTCCAGTGAGAAACATGCTAAGAGACTCTAATAGGTTGCTTGTCATTAAAATCACCAGCACATCAGAATCGAGATGTTTCGAACAAGAAAAAGCGGTCTCTTCATGCAAGATAAGCTACAGGAAGCCACGCGTCATGACACCCGCTAAAGTCCCACAGTTTCGGAGGTATATCTTTTGTACAAAGTGAGACTACCAGCGATTTGCCCTAGACACTTTGGCCGACTCTTCACCCACCACTAAAGTCCGTCTATGACTTCTCGAGCTCGGCAAGAATCTTCTCTCCCTTGGCGCGTGCTGACTCGAAGTCACCGACCATGTAGAAAGCACCTAGTAATGTCAGTTGAAAGCTGCGAAAATGCACATAGAGCAAACTCACCCTCGGGAAGGTCGTCACCCTCACCAGTCAAGATAGCCTTGAATGAGCGGATGGTGTCCTTGAGGTCGACAAGCTTGCCCTCAATACCAGTGAAGACCTGGGCGACAGCGAAAGGCTGGCTCAGGAAACGCTGGATCTTACGGGCACGCTCGACAGTAAGCTTGTCGGCTTCCGACAACTCGTCCATACCGAGAATGGCAATGATATCCTGGAGCGACTTGTACTCCTGGAGAATCTGCTGGACGCGGGTGGCGGTGTCGTAGTGGTCCTGACCGATGACACGGGGGTCCAGCATACGGGACTTGGAGTCAAGGGGGTCGACGGCGGGGTAGATACCCAACTCGGAGATACCACGGGACAAGACAGTGGTGGCATCCAAATGGGCGAAGGTGGTGGCGGGAGCAGGGTCAGTCAAATCGTCAGCGGGCACGTAGACGGCCTGGACGGAGGTAATGGATCCCTTGGTGGTGGTGGTAATACGCTCCTGCATGACACCCATATCGATGGCGAGGGTAGGCTGGTAACCGACGGCAGAGGGGATACGACCAAGAAGAGCAGACACCTCGGAACCGGCTAGGGAAAAATCAGTGAATGTCCTACATACGTGACGAGCGGCGACAACGTACCCTGGGTAAAGCGGAAGATGTTGTCGATGAAGAGCAACACATCCTGACCCTCTTCGTCACGGAAGTACTAGAAAAATTGGGTCAGCGTATGTCGTAGGTACATTTCGTGCTCCAGAACTTACCTCAGCAACGGTGAGACCAGTAAGGGCGACACGGGCACGGGCACCCGGGGGCTCGTTCATCTGACCGAAGACAAGGGCGACCTTGGAGTCACCGTCAAGCTGAATGACGGAGGTCTCCTGCATCTCGTGGTACAGATCGTTACCCTCACGGGTACGCTCACCGACACCAGTGAAGACGGAGAAACCACCGTGGGCCTTGGCGATGTTGTTCTGCCCATCGTTAGCTGATGCTCAGCCTGCAGGCATTGCGTGTCCTTACAATCAGCTCCTGAATGAACACAGTCTTTCCGACACCGGCACCTCCGAAGAGACCAATCTTTCCACCACGAGCGTAAGGAGCCAACAGGTCGACAACCTTGATACCAGTGACGAGGACCTCAGCGGAGGTGGACTGCTCGGTGAACTCCGGGGGGTCGGCGTGGATGGGGGCGTACTTGGTGGCCTTGATGGGACCACGCTCGTCAATGGGGTCACCAGTGACGTTCATGATACGACCAAGGGTACCGTGACCAACGGGGATCTTGATGGGAGCACCGGTGTCGGTGGCCTTGGAACCTCGGACGAGACCCTCGGTACCGTCCATGGCAATGCATCGGACGACGTTCTCACCCAGATGTTGCTGTGCTGTATCAGTGATGCTGTTCCCACTTCTTCCATTCTTGGCGTCCTTACAGCGACTTCGAGGATCAGCTTCTGGTCACCGTTCTGGGTTGTGACAGCGTTGAGAATAGCAGGGAGCTGCTCGGTGTCGAACTTGACCTGCAATGACTGTTAGTCGCTGTTGTGTGGTGCGATGAAAACTTTTCGAAGAGGGAAGGAACCGACATCGACGATGGCGCCAATACTTTAGGAAGGAGTCAGTGTGAATTCAGCAATTTGGGAAGGAGCACTCACACTTGATGGATCTTGCCATCCTTTGTAGCGTCGGTGCTGGCGAAGCGTGTGGACATAGCTGGGGCGAAGCTCTTCTTCATGGGCGAAAATGCGCTGCGGCGGATGGCCGGCCTGCGCATGGAAGCGCGGAGCGCCTGCTGGATCCCACTGTCGAAATAGGCGTCAGTCCATCTCAATTCATCGTCAATTGAACTCAGTGGGCGTTTGGCTTACCTCTTCAGCATTGTGAGATATGTGGTAGACGGATTGGTGAGTGGAGAGAGGGTGGGTTGATGAGGAAAGAGCTTCTCACAGCTCGAAAGGAAGGCGGCGTGCCAAAAGATCCGTGCGCGGCTAGTGCCCACGCGGTTAGCATCCGGCAACGAGACAACCCCAGGATCGATTTTCCCCCAACTTCCAAAGCACGTTGCGATTCTATTCTTACACTTCGAGTGTGATCGCTCTTACCCTCCGAGCATCGCGACTTACTTCTACATACATGCCTGATTAGTCGTTGTCACGACGTCTGCCCGCCTTCCGATTCGCTCCGATTGAACAACCACCTTCAGCGGCCGCTTCAAGATCACAGTACGACCAAGGCATCTCGCCATGTGCAAAGCGTTGGCATCCCGCCACTCGCAAAGGGGAACCCCCTTACAATCGGTGAAAGAGGGCATCTCGCCTCACTCTTCATCGTCGTCGTCCTCTATCGCTATCGACTTCCTTTGCCATTGACGGGGGCCTTCAGTTGCCTGGTCTTCGGTTCGTCCATGTCTTGACGGACCCGCTACCTAGCCTAGTGCATGGTGCAGAGATACTCCTCCGCCTTGACCATCCAACCTCTGCTCTTCCCGGTACATTTTCCATCAGTGGTTTGATGTGACCAAGAACACTCCTCAGACTTCGGCAGATATCTCTTGGCCTTCCCATCGTGCTTTCGCTTCGGCGCTAAATTAATTACAATATATAGGACAGTCAAATTGACTTCTATCCAGGTCTGAATTCGCAGTGTTGTGTTGAGGGGGAGCGTGTGGTGAGAGCAAACGCGCAAACGCTCGTTGCCATGACGCCACGGTGAGAGCGCACGCACCATTAAACAGTATGAGAACACCATAACTTTGTGTCTTGACTGCAGCATACATCGTCGCGTCTTGTTACGCGCTACTCAGCGAAAACCATGCCAGGAGGTATCCGCGATGTGCTCTGGTAGCAGACTTACTAGACGCAAGATCACGTATTCAGCAAGCTAGGCGATGAAGAACAGCAAAATATAATGAGCTCTTTTGTATTCGGCAAACGATTGGAAGGATCACAGCTTGCGGATAGGCTCATTCGTATTTGGCACCCTGAGAAATGATTCACAGCTTATAGACGACAGGATTCTTCGCATGTTGCATTTTGTGAGATGTAAGATCATATTTGTACACATGTTCATCTACCCTTGTCCATCTTAGGCTTCTTCGGCCCAACAAAATTGCATAGCGCACCGCCATTAACGGCAATGACCTTCCATCCCGCAGGAACGATGCTAAACTCCTCGCTCTCTTCCTCCGTCGCACTCAATTTCCAGATCTTCCCTGTCTGTCTATCGAACCACTCCCTCCCTTCTGGGGTCTGTACCAACTCACTCAGCACAAACTTGGTCACAGCTTGGCCATCTTTGGGATTGATCGAGTCTGGGAGTTTTTGGATGTCCACGTCGAACTTGCGTTTGCCGTCGATTTGAACAACGCATTTGCGCGTTGTGGTGAGGAGCGGTATGATGGCGAGATCTGCGATTGGGAAGCCTGTCGCAAAGACTGTTGAGACGCCGCTGTCGCTTGTCTGTACTGTGGTGCATGTGTTCAGTTGGTGCCAGGCTTCCTCGGAGACACCAGGAGCAATTGGGGCGAGCATGCGAACAAGGTGGGCCATGGAATACCATTTGAGAATTGGTGTGACGGGAGACGCATGCGGCGTGTCCCAGATAGTGTTTGTAAGCGTCATTAGATCGCTGACGATGGTGTTGAGGGAGTATGTTTGCGAGTACGATTCTGTGACACTGACAACGGTATGCTGTGTCTTAATCCAAAGCTGAGCCTCATCTGGTTTGAGGGTAGACACCAAGTCTTCACGTGTGGCGTTCTCAGATTCGCGGTTTGTCGAAGCATGTTGTAGGATACTGAGGAGTTTACTGTCAACCTGTGTGGGTATAATGAACTTGTCCATCACATCATCAGGTATCCATGGTGTAGTCGACAGCTTGATGACTCGATGTAACCATCTTTGTACGCCAGTGATCTTTTTCTCATCCCACTCGAGCACGTCACTGATGGGTGCTTGGAAAAGCATATGCGCACGCGTGGCGTCTGCGCCGTACTTGGCAATAGTAGCACCTGGGTCCACACCATTATATTTGCTCTTCGACATCTTCTCGAAGCTAACGTTTGGAGTAACTCCACTGGCCTTGATGACGGGCTTGGAAGGGTTGGTCAAGTCGACTTCCTCTGGGCGCAGGAAGCGACCATTTTCGGGGTCTGTAAATGTCTCTCCGTGAACCATGCCTTGCGTGATGAGACGCGTGAAAGGCTCGCCATTCGTTAGGTAGCCCTTCGGCCATGTTGGAGTGGTAGCCAGAAACTTGGAGATGAAGCGCGCGTATAGAAGATGGAGGATTGCGTGTTCGACGCCGCCGACATAGAGGTCAACTGGCATGCGGGTATTGGTCTTCGTCGGGTCGACCAAGACGTGCTCGTTCTTTGGATCTAAGAACCTGAAGAAGTACCATGACGAGTCCATGAAAGTGTCCATAGTATCAGTTTCGCGCTCAGCAGCCGAGCCGCACTTCGGACAAGAGGTCTTCTTCCAGTTCTCATCTTCTGCTAACGGGTTCCCTTTGCGACCTTCGAAGAAGCTGTCGGGTAGATTTGGTAGCTCAACTGGAAGGTCCTTCTCAGGCACAGGAACAGCACCGCAAGATTTGCAGTGGATGATTGGGATAGGCGCACCCCAGTAGCGCTGCCGACTTATCAACCAATCACGGAGTCGCCAATTTGCTTTCTTTTCAGCCGGCTTTCCAGTATCGAGAATCGCTTGTACGACCGCATTTGCGGCTTGCTTTGAGGTCATGCCCCCGAAGCGCTCTATGTCTGTAGCAACAAAGCCTTTTTCGGTCATAGGTACGTCTTCACCACTATGCGGTACAAGCGGCAAAGGTAAAGAGCCTTTCTTAGCAGATACGACGACTCTGACTGGCTCATCACCGACGTTCTTCCGCCAGAAGGCATGGTCCCGGGTGTCGTGACCTGGTACGCCCATTACAGCGCCAGAGCCATAGTCGTCCAAAACGTATGGAGCCACATATACAGGTACAGAGGGTCCTGTAGAGCCTTGAACATGGGCGAGGGGATTGCGCGCTACAATCTTCCGCAGCTTGAATCCCTCCTTAGTGTCCGAAGGAAGGTCCTTTGCTCGCTCTATGAAGGCGCGAAGCTCTGCATCCTCGATGGCTAATTGCTGGACGATCGGGTGACGCAACGAAAGAGCGATATACTGGACTCCGAAAAGCGTGTCAGCTCTGGTAGTAAAGACATCGACCGGCTTGAAGCGCATTTCACTATCGGTCGAGACGATATCGAACCAAAGTTGCGCGCCTTCAGACTTGCCAATCCAGTTCCTCTGCATGGCAAGGACCTTCTCAGGCCACCTGCCGTCTCGTGCAAGAGCGTCCAGGTCCTTTAGCAAGGGTTCTTGAAACTCCTTGATCTTCAGAAACCATTGCTTCAGCATCACCTTCTCGACCTTTGCACCGGAGCGCCACGAGCAGCCATTGGCGTCTACTTGTTCGTTTGCGAGGACAGTTTTATCGACGGGATCGTAATTTACGAGGGATTTGGCTTGATAGGCTAGGCCGCGCTCATGGAGCATGAGGAAGATGCGCTGGGTGTGTTTGTAGAAATGGGGATCGCAAGTTCGTATCTCCTATGTACATTGATCAGCCCATACTCAACGATCTTGATCGTTGTCCATACAGCGTCCCAGTCCCAACGTCCACCCATTTCCTTCATCTGACTCTTCATAGCCTCGATATTCTGTAGCGTCCATTTCTCCGGGTGTACTCCTCGCTCGATGGCTGCGTTCTCAGCTGGTAAACCGAACGCATCCCAGCCTATAGGATGTAGGACCTTGTAGCCTTGCATATGCTTGTATCGGGAGAGAACATCGGATATCGTGTATACTCGCAAGTGGCCAAGATGGAGGGTACCGGAGGGGTATGGGAACATGGGCAGCACATATGCGTTTCCCCTATCCGACTTCCGTAAGTCGTGCCATTGTGCAGATAGCTGGTCCCAGTGTGGTTGCCATTTTGCAGTCAGCGATTCGACTTTGATTCCCTCAGCTCTTGACTTGCTCTCCAGCGTGCCCGCCCATCGTAGTGCTATGCGCGGTCGGAGGACTGGGAGCCGTGGGGCGTGCCGCCAGCCTACGGACTGCAGACTGAGACGACGCATCACCTAGACGTATGCGCATGGCGTAGACGGGTCGTATTCATGGTCTGGAGGATGCGCGGATCTACGCCAAGCATCTAGTCCTGAACGACTCCCACATTTTTTGGGATGGAGCTCTAGCGCGAAAACGGGAGCTAGTCCCATGACGGCATAGGAGCCCGTCGGTTTCAACAGCGCATGCAAGCTGCACCACTCATACACGGCAGCGGTGAATGCTTGAAAGGGGTGCTGGATATTGCCCCTACACACTGCCTCGCGCTTCATATCATAATTACCTTCCATGGCTAGCCGATAGGGTTGCGCGCAGCTCTCCCACATTCCCTCCGCATCATGGCCTCCGGTCGCTACTCCAACCTCCCACCGCCGACTCGCGATTCCCTCGAACTCGCCTCGCTGGCCTCTTCTTCGCACCCTTCACGGCGGACTTCCGAAGAGTCCTCGGCTTCAGGCGCACCTTCCTCGCGTAGACTGTCTTTTGATGATGAAGACCCTCTGTCAGAACTGAATCCGGCTGGTCACGATCCGAACAGACCACGGCACAATCGCTCGTACAGCGTATCCTCAGCCTTCGATTTTGCACCGAATCTATTCCCTCTCTCTAGTACCGCACAGGGATATACAGCACTGGGCGCGCCCTCCAATCCAGCATTAGACCCGTCGAATGCGCTTAACGGCGGCTCATTGGAGAAGAACAAGAGCTTGACATATCTCAATGGCCTATCGTTAGTAGTTGGGCTTATAATAGGAAGTGGCATCTTCTCTTCGCCATCTCAAGTTAACAAGAATGCCGGGTCGCCAGGTGCGTCTCTCATAGTCTGGATCGTCGCTGGAATCCTGGCATGGACGGGTGCCGCGAGTTACGCCGAGCTCGGAGGCGCCATACCACTTAATGGCGGAGCCCAAGTCTATCTGTCCAAGATATTCGGAGAGTGGGCGGGGTTCCTCTTCACATGGTGCGCAGTCGTGGTGCTGAAACCGGGCTCGGCAGCCATTATTGCCATAATTTTTGGAGAATATCTGGTGCGCGCTATTATTGGCGCTGAAGCTGTGGACGCAAGCACATGGTTGAACAAGAGCGTGGCTTTGGTGGGGCTTGTGGCTGTCACGCTACTCAACTGTGTGTCCACCAAGCTGGGCACAAGGAGCGCCGACGTCTTCATGTTTCTGAAGTTCTTTGCACTCACTGGAGTTACGGTGATCGGGATTGTAGTCGCTGTGACCGGGCTCTCATACAAGGGCGATGCGAATGAGGACTGGAAGAATCGCGGCTGGTTCGAGGACACGAGCGAAAACGTTAGCAACTGGGCAGTGGCACTCTACGCCGGGCTCTGGGCCTTCGACGGCTGGGACAATGTACGTCTAGCGACTTCAATCTTTGCCCACTCCTACTAACAACACCAGGTAAACTACGTCACCGCCGAGTTCAAGAACCCAACCCGCGACCTTCCCCGCGTCATCCACACTTCGCTCCCGCTCGTCATACTATGCTACATCTTAGCCAACATATCCTACTTCCTCGTCCTCCCGACCTCGGTCATCGAATCGTCCAACACCGTCGCCGTAGCCTTTGGATCGCAGGTCTTCGGTCCCGTTGGCTCGCTCATACTCGCACTATTCGTCTCGGGGTCATGTTTCGGCGCACTCAACGCAACGACCTTCACATCCGGCCGTCTGGTGTACGCAGCGGGCAAAGAGGGCTATCTTCCCGCTCTATTTGGCAACATCGGGCTAGGAAAGAACCACAGGGCAATCCGCTTGCACAGCATGAACGCAACACAAGGGAAGAGCAAGATACCGAAGAAGCTAGTAGCCTGGTTCGCAGACGCCGATGCAGGCTTCTTCTTCACGCCCATATCTGCCATGGTGCTCAACGCCCTCCTCACAGCTATTTACATCGTCGTCGGCTCCTTCGACACCCTTGTCACTTTCTACGGCGTAGCAGGATACGCCTTCTACTTCCAAACCGTACTTGGCCTCATCATCCTACGCGTCCGCGAACCCGATCTGGAACGCCCATACAAGACATGGATCACCACACCCATCATCTTCTGCTGCGTCAGCCTCTTCTTGCTGAGCAGGGCCGTATTCGCAGAGCCATTGCAGACTTTACTCGTTGTAGCCTTCATGGTAGTAGGCCTAGTGATTTGGTTCGCGTGGGTGGGGAGGCGAAGAGGGAAAGAGCAGAACAAATTCCGTATGCCCGAAGAGGGGAACGAGAAGGTTGGTTGGAAATTCTGGCAACGCTGGAGAAGATGAAGGGTGAATCTACTGTTGTTTTGTATACTAAGCGTCATGGTTGTATAAAGTTACGTAGCAATGAAGAAATGATATCAGTGTGTACGTGTTCCAGTCTTCTAATATCAGCTACGTTGCACAGTCCTCAGGCCTCCATATATCTCGTTACGAGGTACGATGAGATGTCGCTTCTAGTCAGTGGGTCCCCTCAACACTGCGCAAGTCAGGACCCTAGTATCGTTCGTTCCAAGCCCTAGTATTCCAAATCACATCCTGGTCTTCTCTAGGAAGCAAAGCCGGAACTCGGGTGGAAGCTCCAAGCGTAGATCCATCATTTTCCATTCGCCTCCTGTTTCGACCAGAACGCATAATGGTGTGACTGGCACGTGGTCGGGCAAAGTGGCAAGCGATGGATGGATTACCCCAGAGATGCTTACTATAGACTCGTAAAGATACAGTAGGATATTGGGGTGCTGTATACCTTGGACGTATCCGGGCAAAGCGAGTTGCGCAACAAGCATCATCAAGCGGAATACTCAGGCAATGTGGAGAAGGTTTTTATTTGTTTATATTTCTGCTCCTTTCAATCTGATCAAAGAGACTAACAGAGAATCGGGCTATACTACTCAAAGGCATCAACACCTTCCTTCTATCTCCTCGGGTTATTAACAAGAGCTCCTGGAAGAGGCAACGGGGTGTGCTAAATGAGACGTGAAGAAAGATAACGGTGGGAAAACAAGGGGGGAAGAGAGACGAAGAGGAAGAGGAAGAGATGGAAAAGGTGGTGGTTTGGGGTATAAAGAGCGGACGTGCCATGCTCATTTCCGTAGCAGGGTGCGCAGCACCGGTGGTTCGTGAATGAATGATTCGTATCGTAAGCGACGTGACGGAAAGAAGGTCGAGAGTCAAAACCTAGCCTGACCTGACCTGAAAGGGTCTGAAGTTCCCATGAACCTTCATGCGACAAAGCCAAGACTGGGGCTAGAACCCTGGCCAATGTGCCGAGACGCTGTGTCGCAGGGGGCGGTTGTGCAAAACATGAAACCGAAACCGTAACGCCTGTGTGGATATGTTGCCCAGACGCGAACCACCCGGAGTCGCGAGAGCAAAGGAAACAAGAAATTTAGAAACTCGCGTCTTCCCAGTTAATCGTACAGGCGGCTCGTTGCCGATTCCGGTCTAGCAGTAGAAAGGAAATAGGGTGGGAAAGGTACCCTCGCGCGTTTCGTGCAGCCTCAGGCTCCGCTCAGATCCAGCCGTTGCGTGGCGGGTTCCGTTGCATCGTGCCCGCACCAAGCGGAATGCGGGCTGTGGGTGACGGAGCGGCATGGCCACTGTTCGTTCGCGTGAGGTTGTTGACTGACGCAGGTGTGCCTGGCTGCGATGCTGTTGTGGGTGAACCGACTGATGTAACGGGTGTAACAGGGTTCATCCGTAGTCCGCTGATGCAGGCAGGTTCAGGGATGGCAGGCTTTGCAAGCGTAGCGGAGGGCTGAGGGGAGGCTGGCGACTTCGGGGGTGGGGAGGGTAACACCTTCTCGCGTTGGGTCTGGAGGTAAGCGCTGGATTGACCTGCCGGTGTGATGGGGAAAGGTGGAGTCCGCGCTGGGCTGTTCGCTCTGGGTCGAGTTGGCGAGTCACCACGCGGAGGTGGCGGGGAGAATGTGCTAGAGGTAAGCATCTCTTGCGATGGCGATGTGCTAGTCGTAGAAGGCTTCTGGATCGGAAGAGCCAATGAAGCTTCACTGCTGTCGGTGACACCTCGCTTCAACGGAGGCGTATCTCGTTCAATCCGTGTGCACTTGGCTGCTGCAAGCGTGGCAGGCGCAACTGAGAAGCGGAGACCAATTTGGACGGTTGCACTGCTATCGGTACTTTGCATGCGTTGGTGCCGTTCTGCAAAGGGTAGTTTAGGCTTGCTCAGAAAGTCCCAAGCGTCGCCGACATTCGTTACCGAGCCGCGTCGAGTAAATCGTCGCAGGGCAAGCTTGGAAACAGAGGAACCGTCTGACGTAGCCTTTGGATCGTAAACGGTTGGTGGAAGACGAGGTACCTCCTCAGCGCGTGTGGGAAACAATGAGTAGCTTTGGCTTTGTTTGCGCTCATGTTTCGTAGTTTCGTTGTCGAGAGCAGGTGGAAGAGGCCACTTTGTGGGATCGATAGGGCTTCCAGGTTTGGTCGATGCCGGTGTCAAAGCCCGCTCTGGTCGTTCAAAGTACTGGGGATCAAAGTCACCACGGTTCTTTTCTGGCCCGACATCGATCAGACCCTGTTGGCTGTGTAAACGTTGAGTCGTCTGTAATGCCATTGGGCCACTGATCTGCATCTCCAAATCGCTTGGGCCGAAGAAACGGATTTTTGGCCGTTGCTGTTTCGCGGGCGCCTTGAGTTCTTCGATAGGACGAATGACCATTCGTGTCGCGTTCGTGCGAAGGAAGAGATGGAAGAACGTGATAACCATTCCTGACGAAAACAGCGAGACTTCAGCGACTCGAGAAGCAGCTAGTGCTTCCATGAATTCTCGGCGACGAGACTGTACTTCCACGGGAATGACGAGAGTCTATGATTATTAGCTAAGGAGGCTAGAAAGGTGGTGTAAATACTCACGTAGATTAGTGCCGTAACGATCAAGAAGTAAGTCATACGTGAAGCTGAGATTCGCTCATTATGATCCAGCTCCGGCGTTCTCATCAGCTGGATACTGATCATGGCGGCTACCAAGAGCAGCAGAAAAACAAGGATTGAAAGGAAGATCAGCATCAGAAGATCATATCGCATGGGGAACCAGATGAGCCCGCCAAAGCAAGTGTTCGGCGACGGCCAGGCAACAGTCGGCATCCAGGAGAGAAGAAGCATGAACGATACAACGGCGATACAGATTATCGTGTTCCACTTGCCGCGCGGGGCGAATCGGTCTTGTTTGTAGGCTCTGATTGCTACCTCGATACCGAAGACCAAGGTGATGAATCCGATTAGAAAGATGGCTACTTCTTGTTAGTCTCAATGTTCTCTAGATGCAATCTATGCGAAGCTTACCAGGGAATGTGACCATCGCCAGTCCGCGGCAACTTCTAGAGAACACGCTATGAAGTGTAGTGCCCTGCACTGATACGAAGATAATTTGTTGTAGAACGGCACCGCAGGCCAACGCGAGGGGAAAGGTCTCAGCAGGGTGGACATTGTGGAGAGCATTGAACCTCCTGGGTCTTGTTAGCAATGTCGCAAACCCTGATCATGCTATACTGACTTCTTTCGTGGAAGAACCTGAAGAGCTGCAGCTCGTCGCGCATCCGATACGATTCGATGAACCGTCAACAACGTCAAAGCAAGGCTGAAAGCTCCGAGGGTAAGATGTGTCGTCCGAAGCGTCTGTACTTGTTGAAGTTGCAGACTCGCGATGAGGGTCCTCGTGGTGTTTGATTGCGTCCAGGGAACTTGGCGAACAGCTGAAGTATTGAGAGTTAAGTTGAAGTGCGATCGGACCTCGAGCTGAGGGAAATGGTCGGCCCATGATTCCATCTCGCCGGCTCTAGTTACAACGGGTGTAAAAGGAATAGAATTGTCTCGCTGGTAACCAGCAGCGGCTGAAGAAAGGAAAACGACTAGGTATTCATGGAGACCGTGTGACTGACGTCGTAAACGAAAGAGTAACCAGCTCAGCGTCAAAGAAGGGAATGGCTAAGCCTGCCAGCAGAGCAACGAAAGAAGGGGAAAGAGCGTGAGCATTAGACGTAAGAGACAAGAGACGGGTATGAGACTCCAAACGGTATATGACAAAACCACTGGGCGGTAGCTGCTGCGCACGGTTTCGGAACAGCGGTCCTCAGGCGTCTATCCGGTCATTGGCTGAAGAGACCCGCATTAGCAAAGATGCAGCCAGTTCATATTACAGGTCGCATCTTCCCGCAATGGGTGGGAGTGGGTTTCAACCTCATGCGAGCCACCCGCATTTTGCCAGGTAGCCCAGCCAGCGGAAGCAGCGAAACCCGCGTAGGCCCCGTTGCGCCGAACAGCAGCCACCTGCCTTGGAAAGCCTCTTGTCGCTCTCGTAGCTGCTGTGATATGGACCGGGTTGGACAGGTTCAGCGCGACGTCATTGCTTGACGTTGCCGTAGCGGCCGTCTCCACATGGCCCGCCGGTGAACGTCCCTTCGTTCTCAGCACCGCAGACCCATCTTCGCAAGTCGTTCGGCATGCTGAAGCGCGCAATTTCATCTGACGCTGAGCACTATACTTGGGTTCCTGGGGAGCTATTTCCAGCGCCGAAGCGCTGATGTAGACAATGGCGCAAGTCGTGGTGGTGAGGTGGATGCGGTCGGACTAGAGTTCTGATGCTTGCTGGGTTTAGACTGTGCCGCAGATCCTCGCTTCGACCCTGTCCGAGACACTGCGAACTCCAGAACCCCTGCCGGGTCAACGTTCGCCGGGGAAGCCTCGCAAGCCCACGACACGTCCGTAGCAAAGATGGTTAGCTGGAAGGTATAAGCAATATATTATAGAAGACAGAGGGTGATGTGTAAAGCCACGAGGCATTGCTATATTGGGCTTAGTGCGCAGGTCGGTTTACGTTCTCGACGTGTAGGAATGGTTCGCGGGCGTGAGATTGAAGGATGCAAGACCCATCAGCATGCAGGACGGAAGGAACCGATTGAGAAGCCCAGATGGAAGATCGTGTGTTATCGCAGCCCAGCGTACCTTGGCCTCCACAGAACTGATTCTCAAACTACTGGTACCGCCGAGTGGTAGAGAGTTGTGCTGCAGAAAAGCAACAAACTCGAGACGTAAGTCCAGCGCCGAGTGCGCGACACCATACGATGATCAGTATTCACATCGTCACACTCCCTGGTAGCCGCCGACAAGTCTGATCAAGGCGCCTACACAGCGGGACAGTCACGTCTACACCCAAAGACTCCAGACGTCTCGTCACAACCGCCGTGGTCTGAAGTTTGATCTGGCAAGCCACCAAGACCAAGATAGAACAGAGAAGGCTTTGCAAATCTTACTACAACGGGCAGTGCACGAAATTCGTCAATGCATCGTGGTAGTCAAACTAGGAATGGGAACTTTCCAGAATACCAAGACACAACCTCTACGTCGCCACAGCCACAGCACGAGGCACAAGGGTATGCTTCACAATATTCTCCGATAATGCAAATCATGAACCGGGCGGATACAAGCGGTCTGATTGGGTATTGCGATAGGGTTCAGGCCTCATAGGACTAGAAGGTGTAAATTGAGACTTGATTTCGCTGTTCATTGTGTCTTGTTGAATGACATAATTGTGACAGGAGGGTATTATTCTTTGGAAGGCGTTGAACAGGCCCGCAGCCTGTAGCCTACAGTGAGCGTACGATAAGCAAAGAAGAAGATGTAGCGTTGATGTAGGCTTTACGGTGTTCAATTTTTCCCTTGAATGGGACTGACACACAGTGCTGCGCAAAGCCTTACTCAAGCCGACTTTGCAAATTCTTCAAGGTACGAGACGAGTAGCTTCGTGCCATCTAGCGAGACGGCATTGTCTAGAGCACAAAAGAAGTTAGCCTCAATCATTGATGGGGCTGTTCCCCAGGCCGCATCCTAGATCGAGTACATTCGGCCAGGTCGGCCAGAAGCCGCGTACCCAAGCATGCCTTGTAAAGGCACGACTCGAAGTACGTCTGACAGCGGGATCAATAAGACGGGAGTTATAGGGCCACTTACAATTACTGGCACGGATGCCGCCTACGCTGCGGTGGCCTTTCAGACCCAGCAGACCCTTCTTCTCTGCGCCTGCAAGGAAGGCCTTCTCTTTGTCCGCATCGCCGCCGTTGACGCGGAAGCATATGTTCATTCTACTGCGTACAGACTTGTCTGGCACTACCTGGTAGACATTGGAGTATTTCTCAAGCATATCGTAGATAAGCCGCGCCTTCTCGTTGGAGACTTCCTCTTGGCCACCAATGCGCTTGGCACCATAGGAGCTGACGAGTCCGGACATGACCTGGCCAGCCACCCAGACATCGAAGATGGGCAGTGTATTGTAAAGCGAGTTGTTTTTCGCGATTGTGGGGTAGTCGAGCACGATGGGGCCAACTGATAGGTTGAGCTCTCTCATCAGGTCGGGCGAGGCCGGTGTCGAGTGTGGCGGAAGGAGCGACTTCCGCATGATGACGATAGCGATGCCCGTGTTACCGATGTTCTTTTGGGCGCCACCGAAGATGATGGCGTACTTGCGCACGTCGACCTTCCGGGAGATGAAGTTTGACGACATGTCGGCGCAGACCAGGGGTGCATCGTCGCCCTCGAGGCTCTGAGGGAAAGATGGGAACTCGACTCCGTCGACGGTCTCGTTGTCGCAGAAGTATACAAAGGCTGGCCCGCCCTTGGAACGCGGAGTCAGGCTCCACTGGTCTTCCGAAGCGATCTTGCCAAATTTCCCGTCGTTGATCTTGCGCGAGTCGGTGGCCACGTTGACGTGCTTGGCTCCTACAAGACGTGCTGCCTCTTGCGATGCCTTGAGCGACCAAGAGCCGGTGACGAGGTAGTCGAGTTTGAGCTCGTCGTCAACGACCTTGCGCAGCCTCTTCATTACCTCATCCTTGTTGTCGCCCACTTCTTCCGCAATCTTTGCGCGCTTCCTCTCGACCCATATCGAGACGAGGTTGTATACGGTCGCACTGAACTCGCCGCTGCCGCCGCTCTGGAGAAAGAGGATCTCGTAGTCGTCCGGGATTTCGAGCAAGTCGCTAAGCGCCTTCTTGGTGTCGGCAAGAATCTCGTTGGCCTCTGGCGAGCGATGGGAAATTTCGCAGAGACCAATGCCCTTGTCTTTGTAGTTCAGAAGCACTTGCGAGGCCTTCTCGAGGACCTCAGTAGGCAGGGGTGCGGGGCCAGCGCCAAAGTAGTTGACGTCGGAACGGTTGACCATGGTGACGACGGGCGTAGAAGGTTAGTAGTGGTGTGTGCAAAGTTCAGTCGGAGATACTTGGGAGAAATTAATCAGAGAGGGGCGTTTTGTCTGGTGCAAGTCTTCTCACGTCGCGTCATTCGGATGACTCCAATACCAGCCTCTTGCCAAACGTTGCTTCCGACTTCGGGCTAGCATGCAATACCCAGCTATCTACATGCTCGGTTTCTCATGCAGAGTACTCGAGTATGGTCCAGCCCGGATCCTACAAGCTCCCCGCGCGGGAGTTGTTAGCATTATGCGAAGTCATTGTACGTGTGCGGCTGTCCAATGGCACGCGCCGCAAGTCCGCTGACGGCCGGTTTCGGTGCCCGGGTGGGTCGCGAATTTTGGTCTGGGGATGCGCATCACTGCTGCCAACATCACATTGCTGCCATCTCAAGCATCACCACAGCAATGGCCATGTCGCTACGGGCAGCCCGGCTCCTGGGTCGCAGGCAACTAGCAGTATGTCGGAATTGTCGTCGCCGGCCATGTATTCTCTAATGTCAAATGTAGCCCCGGGCAAGTCTTGCTCTTCGTGCCGCCTCGCTTTCGCCCCGACCGTGTTTTGCACCCCGCACCTTTGCGACGACCGCTACTCGTCGCGATGCCCACGATGTGTTTCCCTCAATGAAGGAGAGCCCGGCGGCGAGCTTCCTCTCTTCGCTCAACGAGACGCCCAAGACACCCCAGACCCTCACCGAGAAGATTGTGCAGCGACATGCTGTGGGAGTTGCGCAGGGCAAAGTCCTCCGGTCGGGCGACTACGTGACGTTGCAACCGCACAAATGCATGACACACGATAATTCGTGGCCTGTGGCGCTCAAGTTTATGGGCATCGGAGCCACCAAGATCAATGACCCCAACCAGATCGTCATGACGCTCGACCATGATGTGCAGAACAAGACGGAGAAGAACTTGAAAAAGTACAGCCAGATCGAGGAATTCGCACAGAAGCAGGACGTCGTCTTCTACCCCGCTGGAAGGGGCATTGGTCACCAGATCATGGTCGAGGAGGGTTACGCCTGGCCGGGAACACTCGCCGTGGCTTCTGACAGCCATTCCAACATGTACGGCGGTATTGGATGCTTGGGTACACCTGTCGTGCGCACAGATGCTGCGAGTATCTGGGCGACTGGAAAGACTTGGTGGCAGATTCCGCCCGTGGCCAAAGTCACACTGAATGGCAAAATGCCCCAGGGCGTGACTGGCAAGGATGTCATCGTTGCTCTCGCTGGCCTCTTCAACAAGGACGAGGTGCTCAACCACGCAATCGAATTCACGGGCACCGACGAGACCCTGGGCAGCATCCCCATCGACGACCGCCTCACTATTGCGAACATGACAACCGAATGGGGTGCGCTTACGGGTCTGTTCCCTATCGACTCTACCCTCCACGGCTGGCTCCGCGCAAGGGCCACTCTAGCAGCTATGGGAGAAGGACAGGCCAAGGACCACCATCAACAACAGTTCGTTCACGAGCGTATTGACAAGCTGTTCACTGCTACTGGTATCGTTGGTGAGAAGATGGGCCACATCTTCAAGCCTGCGTTGGCTGCGGACAAGGGAGCGGTATACGCCAAGGAGCTCTTCCTTGACCTGTCAACTTTGTCACCATATGTCTCCGGTCCGAACTCCGTCAAAGTGGCGACCCCACTACTCGAGCTCCAGAGCCAAAATATCCCCATCAACAAGGCTTACCTAGTATCCTGCACAAACTCTCGCGCTTCCGATATTGCTGCCGCTGCCAACGTCTTCAAGGATGCTGCCGTTCTCAATGGCGGCAAGATCCCCAAGATCCCTGACCATGTCAACTTCTACATTGCCGCCGCGTCCATTCCCGAACAGAAGGCTGCAGAAGAGGCAGGCGACTGGCAGGCGCTTTTGGAAGCTGGTGCGCAACCACTGCCTTCCGGTTGCGGTCCTTGTATCGGACTTGGTACGGGTCTTCTCGAGCCCGGCGAGGTTGGTATCAGCGCCAGTAATCGTAACTTCAAAGGTCGAATGGGGTCGCCTGACGCCAAGGCTTACCTTGCTAGCCCTGAAGTAGTCGCGGCAAGTGCCTTGTCGGGCATTATATCTGGGCCGGGATGGTACGAGGCTCCTGAAGGCTACCAAGGTGTTCGACGTGGAGAAGGCGATGGTGTTCTTGAAGAGGAACGTATGATGACCATCGAAGACATGCTCGAAAAGGCCATCAAGGACGCTGAGGCTGCCATCGATACGTTCGGCAACGCTGAGCCTGACACACAATCTGTCAACCCACCTGCAGCACCAGGTTCGGAAGCCGAGACGCTGACCGAGATCCTGCCCGGCTTCCCTGAGAAGATTAGTGGCGAAATTGTCTTCTGTGATGCAGACAACATCAACACCGACGGTATTTACCCCGGTAAATACACTTACCAAGACGACGTAACCCGCGAGAAGATGGCGGAAGTGTGCATGGAGAACTATGACCCCGACTTTGGCCAGATTGCCAAGGCAGGCGACGTCCTCGTCTCAGGTTTCAACTTCGGTTGCGGTAGTAGCCGTGAGCAAGCCGCAACTGCTATCCTGGCTAAGGGCATACCGCTCGTTGTCTCTGGTAGCTTTGGTAACATCTTCAGCCGAAACAGCATCAACAACGCTTTGATGGGTGTCGAGGTGCCCAAGCTAGCCAACCGTCTCCGCGAAGTCTTCTCCTCCAAGGACGCGACATCTTCGCAACAGTCTGTTAAGGAGCCGTCCAACAACCGCGAATCGCTCGATTCGCCACCTCCCGCCGCCGCTGCTCAGCCGAGTCAGGCCAAGCAACTCACCCGCCGCACTGGCTGGACCCTAGAATGGGATGTTCGCAGGAGTACTGTCTCCGTACAAGAGGGGCCAAATGGCGCCAAGTGGAACGTCAAGGTCGGCGAGCTGCCTCCCAACGTGCAAGAGATCATCGCTCTTGGTGGGTTAGAAAACTGGGTGAAGAAGGAGATTGGCAGCCCTCTCTCTTGAGTATGATGGGGGCCCAGTGATTAGCTTGTAACATTCATGTATACCCAATTGAAAACTTGCATAGATGGCGTTTGAGTATTTAGGTCCATTACATCAAGCAATACAGACTTCAAATGTACCTGCTTCTGAGTATGCATTTCGTGCATCGGTTCAGAAGGTCTTCATCGCACTACGTGTTCACTCGCGCATGGCGATCACCTCACCTCACCTCATATAAACCGGCATACCCTTCTCCCATCCCTTTACCCTACAACAATGCCAAGTATCCGTCTCACTAACCCCCTGCCCCCCACTGCTCTTCTGATCAATACTAGCATACACACTCCACCCCTCCTCCTCCAACAACTCCACCAATACAATCAACAGCTCCCTCACCTGCATCGTCTCCTCCCCACTAGCCTGCCACGGATAGCCTCTGAGTTTGTACTCCCAAACCCCCTGCTCCTTTAAGCCAGACTCCGAGATCCAATTCGCTCCCACACGAGCCGGGAAGGCTTCATACAGCGAAGCTGGTGCGTCGATGAAACGAAGGCGATCCTGGCGACTGAAGGCTATAACACACCATTCGTGATGCGCAGGAAGTGGGTTCTGATACCGGAAGAGAAGGGTGTCCTTGTCCATTGCGGATTTGCTGATGTCGGTGTTGAGCGTCAAGAGCCAACCTGCTGCATGCAGCGTGGCTAGTACGCCGTTCATCAGGCGTCGCGCTTCAACGCCTTCTTTGCCGTAGCCGCGCCATGGGTAGCCGTTTAGTTTGAACTCATGGCTGTTTGCGTAGGGTTGCTCTTTGCTGATACCCAGCGGCCAAGTTGATAGGACTGTTGCGCGACACTTGGAAATGATGGGTTCGGGGAAGCGCAGAAAGCGGAGGCGGTCTTCTTTGTGGAGGGATAGTGATGCGAAGTGTGTTTGTACGGGATGATTGGGTGGGGGTTGCGATGCAGATGGTGCTGTGTAGGCGGGTGGTGGGGGTCCGAAAGATGAAGTGTCTTTGGTGGAATCTGTAGAGTCGCCTTTGGAATGCCCGGAGGAAGATTTGCCGCGGATTTTGTCGAACATCTTGCGTGTTGGGGTGTTGGTGGTTATATGGGGTTGAGGAGTGTGGGGTGAGAGATCATCGAGATGGTACTAACTAGGCAACTGCGCGCCTTACTTTCCATTATCGGTACCTACAACAAACAACAATAGAGTGCACCTTCGACTCAGACTAGGACTTGGTCTTCATTCGGATATGTGTGCATTCTGCTTATATTTTCTTCGCCTATATACAGCCTTCATGCAACATGATCAGGCTCCGATGAGTTTATCCTCACCTGACAAATAATGTAGCTTCCCTATTGGTACTCCGACATTCCGAATGATCCCATAGGCTGTCACGTTGTGGAAGAAGCTACCAGCCGTGTTAGCGAGAGAGCCATGTAACGAGGAGACACAAAACAACTTACAAGTTCGGTAGAACGAATTCTTGCAAATAAGTTAAGCCGTTCAGGTCGAAGTGCCACATGTTAGGCACATCGATTGTCACAGGCATGTCCTCTTTCCCAGCGAACGCCTCAGGCTGCGCCTTCTCGAAACATTCCAAGGCCTGCTCAATCTGTTTGTATAGATCTTGGAAAGAGGCCGCGTCGAAACCGAACGTGGGTACTTCCATCTCACCAAGCCGTTCAAGAGCTTTCGTGGCGGTAGTAACTTGGAAGAAGATTTGAAGGGCGAGTGGCTATGAGAAAGCGTTGTTAGTCATAACTCTCATCTTCTAAGAAAGAAGTAAAAAAGATACATACGTGCATGTCTGGAGCAAGCCTAGCACTGAGAACTTTAGAGTGCGGATATCCGTTGTCATCGCACCACTGCTCCCCCTTCTTCAAAACCACCAAGTGGTTCTGCATCGCTTTTCGCAGTGAGGGTACACATAGTTCGTAAAGAGGAACGGTCGACGTCATGTTGATTGCTTTGTAGGTCTACCTAGGCATCCTTGGAGCCATATGGGAGTGGGGCTCTTAAGTGTACCTGCATCACCGATCACTTGAGACGAAGGCCCGCTCTTACAATGTCCCGCATCGACCCGATGCTAAGGCCCGAGAAGCCGTTTCGCATATTCGGTATGATCCAATGATGTGCTGTCAATCACCGTTGTAGTCTGCCACGTTCCCAACGCTCAACAGTCTCTTTCCATGCTCCATGCCGGCGCCCACGTGGTCTAGCTCGCCTTGGGATCGATAGATCGATACAAAATCCTGACAGAGATCTAGATTCATGAGGCGCATGACGCATGATGATGAGGATTCGTTGACGGCTACAGACATCCATACGCGGAAGCCTCCCAGACTTTCGATAGTATCGCCCGCACTTTCACCCCAAGCTCATCATGCATTGAGCCAGAGTTGGCCCGCTTTTGCTCCGCTTGCACTATCAACAGCTTCTTTTGGAGATGATCCAGACCCTGCTTCACGACAATGCGACCCACCACCTTAGATTCCTCACTGTCCAACACAAATCGGCCAAGTTGAAACTTGCTGTCGTCCAGCGCTGCGCGGCTTCCACTGCTGGCGTCGTTAATGTGGCTGTCGGATGTCGCGAATCTTGCCTGTCCTGCAACATAAAGAGTGCAGAGAACGTCCAGCTCTTCCAAAAGAGCCATAGCGCGCATTGGATCTGAAGAACATGTGCTGCACTCCATCATCGCACTATACAGATTCGATAGCTTCTGGTCAAGTTCCAACACTTTCTCTAGTGTGTTGTACTCTGCAGCGGGATCGTGTAGTTCGATACCGATTGGGTTCTTGAGGAAGCATTCTGTGTTTTTCGGGGATCTCCAACACATGCACTGCCTAGTCTGGTCGCTTGAAAAAGGGCCCTATGTATGGAGTCAGCAAATGTGAAGCAATCCACTTGGTTACTCAATGCCGTACCCTAATATCCATTTTCAACTGCGAAATATACAACGTTGTTTGGGAAGAGGATGAGTGACTTGCGGAATGGTCCATGCGGGTACATCAGCCAAACGTGATGCTATTGTACACATCTCTCCACTCCCAATGTCTTTACCTTCCTCCAAGCTATGATCTATTTTGGACTCATGCGTAAACACAGTATCAGAAAACGTTGGCTAATTCATGAAACAGGCAATCTTCTCGCCTCCAGTTACCTCACGTAGGAGCGATCAGAAGACTGTTGGTGCCCAACATCCAGCAACGTGGGGAGTCGTAGCTGATGTTTCGGGCTATGATCACGACGCGGTAGTTGTGGGTGCGGGAGATGGGACAAGGCATCCCCAGGCAGATCATGGCCAGGCAGTTGAACCACGACGTCATGCACACTAAGCTTTAGCGCCGATCTCGGGTCTACAGCCGAAGAAACGGAGTTTGGCGCGTGCACTCGACGCGCCACATTGAGGCCTTAAGGGGCTCAGCAAACTCCCAGCGCTTTCGCAGGGCACAGCCCAAAAGGCTGCAGCAGATTCCTTCATTATCACAAAGTTCATTCTGACTACAGCCTCGATCGCGACCCGACACTTCCAACGCTTCCAGGCACAGCGACAACGGGTACCTAAAAATACGCCGGTGTTTCGGCATTGACCCGCCATTAAGAGCAGGCACTAACAAGATCCATGCGCGACCTCGTAATTAAGATGGGCAAAGGAGCTGTGACCAGACCCCCGTCCGTGGTGCTGGTAGGGCCAAGATATGTGCGATGCACGAAGTCTGTTGTTGTCATCACAAGGGAGTGCCAGCCTTATCCGTTCGTAAGTTCGATCCCGAGGCTGCACCCTGACTACCGTTTCACAACTACTATCCACGGCGATTGAACTTGCGACATATCAAGATCAAATTACCTGTTAGAAGGCTGACGCATAATGCACGACCCTGCTTGAAGAGAGTTAGCGATTGCTTGTTGGCAAGTGTGAGACGTGCAGGCACCGGGCCGACTACATTCTCACCCTCCGCTGTATGGAGAACCGGTTCGCTGACGCTAGCACAGCAACACCTTGTCCCGATCTTTGGCCGTCACGAGTATCCTGGTCAACGTACATCAACGTTCATACAAACATTCCGGAGTGGCGCCTCAGCTTATGGCTGGCGTTCTTCGACGTCATCGGAGTGCTTCTCTGTCAAGTCAGAAGCGATTGTCTCAGCGCTGGATGCGAGTACTGCGGTCGAATACGCAATCACAAAATAGGATGCGCAATACAGGTACACTAGCCCAGCTGCCCCTTAGTTGGCTGTACGTTGGCGTGCCACGATCGACGGAAACTCCCAGAAGCGAGGCTCAGGTGTCAGCCACTTCAACGAGCACAGTCTACATCTGCGGTCCATGATCTGCACAGCAGAGGGGGACACCCCATCAGGCCTCAAGACAGGCCCGCTTCAATGGCCTTCTCGTCCAGATAAGGTAGCAGACACCTGACACGAGACACGATCTGTGACTTTTACTTGCACATCGTGCTATCGCGGAGACGGTTTCGAACGTCAACATTGCATCGCGATCGTTACTAGAAGATGCCTGGCAGCCAGTAACGAATGCCGCTGTAAACGTTTTGAAGAGTGCCAATGCGCCGTTGTAAGGCGCTCACAGTCATAGGGTGCGCACCGAATGCGAAAACTCAATTTCTGGGTTGCCAATTCTCCTACGATGGTACAAAGTTTGTTCATACTTCTGGTCGGCCATGGATCCCTGGGAGTACACAATGTACCATACCGGTTAATAGTAGTCCCCTGCCAATTTATCAAGCAAGTGAATATTTACATCTAAATCAGATAGCATCACATAAGCTCGTAATCATCGCCTGTCAATATCAGCACACTCTCATTCCAAGTCTTTCACATTCATCTATTCGAGGTCAACTTCCAACTTTCATACTATCGACATATCTCTGGTCTCTTCGCGAAGCCACCAAAATGGATCCAACGCGTCCGGGAACCCGCCGGCTGCGTAATTCTTGCGATATCTGCACTTTATCGAAGCTCAAATGCAGTCGCGAAAAGCCAGTCTGTCAACGTTGCGTAGACCGTGGCTGCCAACAAGACTGCAACTACAGTGTGGCACGGCGCCCGGGCAGGCGGCGTCAAACATCTATAGTCTCAGATGACGCTGGGTCGTATGGTCATGATGTCGGTGCCAATGGAATTCGGAAAAGGCGGGGAACAGCACCGCTGACACCCTCTTCATCTTCTATGGATTCGTTATTCTCGACAAAGAAGCGTCACGATTCGACACGGAACACCCCACAACAGAGAGAGTCAAGCGATGGAGGGGACCGGCGTGTGCTCATGAGGTCTCCGGAAATGGACTTGATGGAGTCGTTCACCAACATACCGATGGAACTATCAAATAGTGGCGACGGAGTTGGCTTTGAGCCTATCGACAGCCTTTCGCTATGGGAGTGGGGCGAGAACGGAATCGATATCGATGCATCGAACAGTCATCACTCGAGTTCCGTGCCTCAGATGTGGGATATTTCATCAGGCCAGGCTATGCTCAGTGGTATGGAGTTCGACGTTGGTCACAGTACCGGGGGACCAGGACAGGAGCCATCACCGCCTCTAAGCCACGCAAGCCAACAAAACCTGTTTCAGGACGACCGGACTTCTCTTCTACCGCCAGCAGACTTTACCAAAGACTCCACTTCTTCCTCTCCAGCTGCTTCAAATCTCATCTTCGACCTTTCCAAGGATGTGGATTGCAAATGTTCCGCTCAGATCAGCCAGCTCATTTATTCGGTCAGTCTACGGCGCGCGACAGCAACACCACTAGACGTTATCTTCGCTGTGGAGGAACAGCTCACCCAGACCAAAGACACAATCACCGCATGTGCGAAATGCTCTTTCAGCTCACCATACATGAGCATGATGTTTTGCACTGCCATGAGCTGGGTGATTGAGCATCTAGAAACCTATATGCGCGAGGCAACGGCAGTCAGCGCTTCCAACGGCCAAACGACATACCTGACCATCGGCGGCTTGACGCTGAGTAAAGATATGTCTCAGTCGTGTTTTGAGGCTCTAGTGAAGCTGCGCCTTAGACGACTTGTCCGAACAGCACGAGAATTGACACTGTTCAACATGGTGACGAATAGTACGCTTTTGCAGGGGGTACGGTCGACAGCAGCTGAGATTGGAGCGGCAGCGCAGCAGATGTTCGGAATGTTGGAGATGAGAGGTGCCTTTTAGAAAAGAGAAAAGCTCGCGTAGCGGAGGATGCCAGCACGATGTCTATGAGAAAGTGGATAACAGGAGTTAAATGGTAGCGCTGGTAGCACCTCATGATATTTAGAGCAGAAATTTCCAAATACCAAAGCATCAAAGCTTCTATTCTATTTGTATTAACAATTCTGATTGGCCACCGAGCACGTGGTATTCGGTACATATACCTGACATTATTGCTTCGGTGATATAGATGCGATGTCCAGCTGACATGTCAGCTTGGGCGTAAATACCGTAGACGGTATACTGATGTAGGTGAGATTTGTCGCTTCACGAGTGGCTGCCGGCTCATTAACTACTCGCATTCGAACGATATAACCAGAGACGCTTGGCTTCGTATGAGAAATAGGGCTCTCATTGGTCACCAAGATAATTTGCATACGCACAGAATGCCGGCATGTTGACTGATACCTATAGATCTCACTATATACCGAACCCTCTTACTTGAGGGTAAGCTCCGGGGTAATTGCCACGCTCGTTCTCATGTCAATTGAGTAAACTTTACACGCACGTGGCTTTGACCCGAAGTAAGCTATGCCTCATCGAATTGCGTAACCTACCATCTTTTGTATCTTTCGCTAAAGAAAAAGAATAGCTTGCAGAGATATCCAGAGGGAAGCAATCCTAAAGCTTACAAGCCATGCCAGCGCAACCACTCAAGGTATGTCGAACTACTTTCATTGCTGCCAAAAAGAAGAAGAAGAAAGCTAATCAGATCTTACAGATGCAGCTGAGCTATGAGCTATCACATGTTCCTTCCGACAAACAGTCAATATGCGCCATCGCCCTGACATTTGTCACCTTCTGGATAGTGCAGGGCTTCATCCGAGCATGGTGGCGTCTTCGACACATTCCTAGCGCGCACATCACCGCGCCATTCTCCTACTTCTGGATCGGACGTACCACATACAGCGGCCGCCAATACTGGGTACTCCGCGACCTACACACCAAACACGGTCCGCTCGTACGCGTCGGGCCCAACGAAGTCGTCACCGATGACCCCAACATCCTGCGCACCATCTCTGCGGCACGCAACCATTACCCTCGCAGCGATTGGTACGAAGCTGGCCGGTTCAACCCATATCATGGTAACTTGTTCACGACTACCGATCCGGCAGAGCATAAGAAGGCGAAAACAAGATCCATGGCCGCATATAACGGGCGCGAAACCCAAGGTCTTGAAGGGTTGATCGACGACCAGGTTAAGACGCTTATCGACGTTGTCCGAAACCGCTATGTGGTATCTTCGCCAGGAAAGGGCCAGCCTCTGCTGGATCTGGTGGCCATCACGAAATATTTCACCATGGATGTCATCACACGTATGGGTTTCGGTAAAGCGGTTGGCTACCTCGAGGACGAAAAAGACCACTACGAATTCTTGGGCACAGTAGACGAGCTTTGGCCGAGGATGTCGACGGTGGCTGACATACGTTGGATCCGCAAGATTGCGTTCTCGCCTTTCGTGCTCAAATTGGTCGGTCCAAAGAGCAGTGATAAAAAAGGGTTTGGGGCGCTCATGGGGTAGGTACCTGCCTAACGGCCATTCTGTTTACATGTTTTTTCTTCTTCTGGGATCTCTCGCTGACTTCCGATTAGTTTCGCAGCTGATCAGGTCAGCCGTCGCTTTACTGCATCCGATGGTGGTAAAAGTCACAAGGACTTTCTGGCGAGTTTGATGGCTCGCGGCTTCACAGAAGAAGAATGCCAATCCGAGGGCCTTTTCCTCCTGCTCGCTGGAAGTGAGAGCACCGCCAACGCCATGCGCTCCATTCTCATACACACCATAAGCTCGCCCGCCGTGTACAACCGACTCGCTGCTGAGATCCAGGACGCGGTGCGGACGGAGAAGGTGTCCTACCCTATTACCTTGGAGCAGGGAAAGAAATTGCCGTATCTGCAGGTATGCCTCATCGGAATCGCGCCCAAACGTTTTGATCTCCCCCACTGACGTATATATCTTTCTTCCAGGCGGTCATCTACGAAGGCCTACGCATGCGTCCGGCCATCCTCGGCCTCTTCCCGAAACGAGTACCCGCAGGCGAATATCCAATCTTCCACGGAAAGATGCTTCCCCCAGGCACCGATGTATGCATGAACATGTCAGCCCTGCTGCAGTCAACAGATCTGTTCGGCGCCGACGCAGCCGTGTTCCGACCAGAACGCTTCATGGAGGTAGGCGGCGAGAGACGCAAGCAGATGGAGCAGGACGTGGAGATGTCGTTTGGCTACGGAGGCTGGGTATGCGCAGGCAAGAACATCGCTATGATGGACATGGTCAAAGTGGTCTTTGAGGTACGTTCGCAACTTGCACAATGGTTTTGGTGTGACCGTCGCTAATCCCGGCAGATGCTTCGCGTGTTCGACTTGCAGCTTGTGCGTCCATTTGAGCCGTGCGATACGATCAGCTATGGCGTATTCCTTGATAAGGGGCTGATGGTGAAGGTGTCGGAGAAGAAGTGAGAGCTTTGGAGGTTGTTTTGACCACCTGGGCAGGCTTGGGGGCAGGCGGCTCGGAGGGCTGATTGGAGGATCTGGCGGGGCCATCACCCCATGAGGCAGTTCAGCTGGCGAGCCACATCTCTATGGAGTTTGCCTTTACAAGACTATGGCTATGGGGCAACACTAAGAATCTACAATTGCGCGATATTCTGCTGCTGTACTATGTCGACGCATGCGAAATCTTTATGCTATCTAACATCCTTTCTTGATAACACCTTCACTATCTCCAGCGATGCAGATATGACTGACGTTTTCCTTGTGTCCTCTGTCATGGATGAAGATGTTCATTACGCATTTTCTCTCCTTGCCTATCTTTAGATGCGCTGCATCTTTAACTCATGTGAAGAAAATGTCGGTGGCGTGCATGCATCATTGTTTACCCTTATGATCGAAGCACTCAAGTATGTACCCGACGCACGTCGCATGGACCTACGAATCAGTGACGAATGCTGTTGCGAAGACTGCAAGTAATACATCGTTAGCAGAGAACTGTTGCGTGAGATATTTGCGCGGTTATACGGTTGTGCGTAGCGATTCGAACGCACTTTGACGATCGAACGGCGACTGGGCGGCGTTGTAGACACATTAAAAGCACGTCACAATAGTATAGAGTCCAAGGTTGTTGATCACTGCATTTATTCGACTATCTAATCCCTTCCTCATCATCCTCTCTTGAGTATGGTACAACATGACTACCCCTCACTACCATGCTTGAGTGCGTTTCAACTTCAACGGCAAACCATCCTTGGGCTTGATAGCTGTAATACCAGCAGGTTGTGGCACATAGGTCTTATCTGCCATCTCAAACTCGAAGCTACCCACAAAGGCGGAGATGAAAGCCCGCAACTCGACCTTCGCATAGCCCGCTCCAATGCACTTACGCGGTCCATGCAAGAAGGTCATGAAAGCGTAATTGGTGTGTGCATTGCCATGGTTGTTCGCTCGGCCGCTGTCTTCATCAATCCAGCGAGCCGGTTCAAAAGTATCGGCAGTCTCTCCGTAGAAAGACGCAAAGCGATTCATAGCCGCAGGAACGATCCACAGACGTGTTCCGGCTGGGATGCGGGTACCGGCGATGATGGTGTCTTCTACGGCGACGCGTGAGGTGATGGGTGAGGTGGGCATGAGACGTAGCGTCTCGTTGACGACGGCGTTGAGGACGGGAAGGGTATCGAGGGTTGCAGAGTCGCTGAACCTTTCTGCGTCGTTGTCGAAAAAGCGGTAGGGAATGTGTTCGCGAATTTCGGCACGGAGCCGATCTTGCCATTTGGGATTGGTGGCAAGTAGCCACAGACCCCAGGTAAAAGTTGCTGAGGTAGGCTCGTATCTGTGTGACTGTTATCAGCAATTCCTATTGTCCATCGGTAAACGCTGACGACATACCCTGCGCCGATAATCGTTAGAAGCTGGCCAACAAGTTCCTCGTTCGTTAGCGTTCCGCTTTGTATGAGCTGCAGTAAGAGGGCTTTTTGGCCGGTGCCTTCCGCGACTTCTTTCTTCCTCTCTTCGACAAAGGCAAAGCAAAGCTGTCGCAACTTATTGCGAGCGTCATCAAGGTCTCGATTAAATTTCCGTGGGAGGAGTTGTAGCATCCAAGTCGGCAAGAAAGCATTGGCTATAAACAAGTGACGAACGCTTTCCTTGCTGCCAGTCAACAGCTCATACAACTCTGTGAGCTCATTCGGTTGCCGTAGTGTGTCGAAGTCTTTACCCAATGCAGCCAGACCGATAGCATCAAGAGTACCTTTATTACCCCAGGGCAGAACATCCACTACGGTGTGCTTTGCGTCAGCTGAGGCAGTAGATCGTTCCATTGTTTCTACCATATCAATGGCCTTTGACCAGAAAACGGGGCCAAGATCTTGAACCGTTCGATGATTAAATGCCGGTTGAATGCGTTTACGAAGATATTTGTGCTCGTCGCCTTCTAAGATGAGGAGGGACGGCCCCAGGATTCGGCTCATCAGTCGTCGAGATACCGCTGGCTTGGTGAATGAGTATGCGCGACGAACCAGCACCTCAGAGAGGGCCTCGTTGCTGACTACCAGGATATGATTGACGTTCATAAATCCACGGAAGTGGATTAAACCCTGGTTGGGTATCGAATTGGCCATGTCCAGATAGGCTTGTCCACGGGGGTTGGTAAATTGAAGGAGTCCATGACCTAGGAATGGTAGTCCACGCTGTAGCGGCGTTGTCAGTTATGCATCAAGCATTATGTGACAAATTCTTACTTTCGCTGTAGGAAGATGTCGAAACGGATTGAAAAGACGGGGGTGGACTTCGACCTTGTACACTAGGTAGATCACATAACCCACAGCCAGCGTCGTACAGAGCGCTGGTAAGGACAATGGAATCGACGCAAATCGAGAGGAGATCAATTCTGTATACATGGCAAAGGTATGTAATGCTGTAGAAACCTTTACGCGAAATGTAGGATATGTACACAGATCGTGCCTGCGATTCTGATTGCGAATGACGTCTGTTTACTAAGACGAGTTCTAAGCTCATTGTGTCCAACAACAATGTTTCCGTTCCGGCGCCGGCTCAGAAAAGAGTTTCAGGTTCTGAGGCTTCGCGAGACGGATAAGGCGCGATCGTTGGCGAACGGCTGACGTTGGCGAGGCTGGTCGGGTCAGATGCGGGTGGTAGGCAATCGCCCCGAACTACCGGTATGGAAACTAAAAACCCGACGTGTCGAGGAAAACCACCCGACAAAGGCATGATTGCAGTATGACCGTAATGCGACGATCTTGTGCCAGCTTACCTGTACCAGTTCCGTGCTAGCCTGCTGCTGCGCAATATGATAACGAAGTCGCGGTGTAGGCAAGCGAAGAAGAGAAACAAGTTGAAGAACCCCCCCATATCCTTGACAAAGTCATTTATCTTGTGTTTTTCACCGATAGCTCAATTGTCGTCACCTTTATAAATTTTACTCAACAATTACAATCAGCTGAATCATGATGGAGATCCAAGAAAAGCTATTCATCAACAACGAGGTGAGGACAGAGACAGTATAAGATATGTCGCGTGATGGAGACTAATGAGACTGATTGCAGTACGTCGCTTCGCATACTAGCGAGAGGCTCACGGTGCATAACCCGTACGATGGAAGTCTTGTTTCAGACAATATCGAAGTAGCGCTAGAAGAGGATGTCGACTTGGCTGTGGCGGCAGCACAGGCGGCGTTCCCAACATGGCAAGCAATGACAGGCGTACAGCGTAGTGCGCTTATGCTCAAGTACGCCGATCTGGTCGAGAAACATACGCAACAGATAGCCCAGCTCGAGTCGCAGTGCATGGGAACGCCCATGATGCTGGCGACCAGAGTCGTGGGCAATCATGTGGCTGCATTCCGGTACTACGCAGGGATGACAGATAAGATCGGTGGCACCACCTACACCGAAGACGGCGATGGCTTCTTCAAGATGGTGTTGCAGGAGGCGATTGGAGTATGCGCAGGCATCGGAGCGTGGAATGCGACGCCCATCTTTTCGGCATGGAAGGTGAGAATGCCGCCCATGTCCATGTTTCTAGGCGATTGCTGACTGGAATGCGACAGATTGCACCCGCTATCGCAGCAGGTAACACATTTGTGTTCAAGGCGTCCGAGAAGTCGCCGTTGGGCGCGTTGTACTTTGGACAGCTTTTCCGTGAGGCTGGCTTCCCCCCAGGTGTGGTAAACTTGGTGTCCGGTGGGCCAGCGACGGGCGCTCTCCTCGCCTCGCACATGGGCATTCGCAAAATCTCCTATACGGGGTCTGTCAGCGGCGGTCGCGCAGTGCAGGATGCAGCCACAAAGAGCAACCTGAAGTCAGTCACACTTGAGCTGGGAGGCAAGTCGGCAGCACTCGTCTTTGACGATGCCCACCTCGAAACCGCCATTACGCACTGCTCGCAGACATTTGCCCTCAATGGTGCGCAGGTGTGCTCCGCAGCCTCGCGAGTGCTCGTCCACCGCGATATCGCCGATGCCTTCATTGCAGGCATCAGCATTGCTTTCAAGCAATTGGCTGCAGCCCACGGCGCGCCGACGGAAGCCTTCTTTGGCCCTTTGGTAGACGAGCAGCACCGTCAGCGAGTGCAGGCCTTTGTGAATGCTGCACGCGACAAGGGCGTCAAGGTAGTCGCAGGCGAGGTGCCTGACCACCCCACCGCCCTGTTCATGCCGCCAACGCTTCTGATCGATCCTCCTACCAACAGTCGCGCATATCGCGAGGAGATCTTCGGACCTGTCTTGGCTGTGAAGACCTTTTCTACAGAGGAGGAAGGCCTTGCACTTGCCAACGATTCATCCTACGGGCTCGCCGCCGCTGTCTTCACATCCAGTATGCCGCGTGCCCTGCGCGTAACCCGCGCCCTTCAGGTCGGTATGGTAGGAGTCAACAGCCCCGTCCTACCCTTGACCCAGCTGCCATGGGGCGGATGCAAGGAGAGTGGCTACGGGCGTGAGGGCGGGCAGGCTGGTCTAGAAGAGTACTTGCAGTCCAAGACCGTCATGATCAGTATGAAGGACCCCAGTTTGGCTAGATAGATTAGTTCGCAGCGTTATGGCTCTACCAATAATACTTCCTTGAAAACTTTTGTAGGGTGTGCTGCCCCTGACTTTTGCGTGAGGTAAAAACGCATACCGAGGCCTGGTCTTGTCTTGAGCTAGTTGTATACGTATGGAAAGGCGTAGGATACGGTCACACTATGGTCGTTGATAGGGTGCTGTAAGTGCTGAGCCGAACTGAGAATACTGAGAGGGTAAAAACATCGACGTTTGAAGTGCACGGAAAAGCATTGACGGCGTAGTACCTACACGAATGTTCGCATCAAGATGTGCAGCGTGCCAAGTCTCGGAGCTTCGGTTTCAGAAGTGGTCAAAGCTCTGCTATCTGATGGACGTATGGAGCAACACTACAAACTTCAACCTTCACATGTCAAGATTTATCGCGATGAATATATTACAACACATTGGTTAGACTTTTTGATATACAACTTCTGGCTCCCTCATCAGTCTAGAGTTTCTCTAGATGCCCGCTCGTTCCTGAAACCGAATGTACAAATCGGGTCGATTCAAAGTCTGGAACGATCTCAGAAGCCCGAAATGAGGATCCAGGCTCCACAGGCGATTCTTCTCACCCTCCACTCCCTCGGTCTCCAATTCAAAGTCGAAAGACCAAAGTAGATGCGCGATGGTCAATCGGATTTCGAAGTAGGCCAAATTCTGGCCTATGCAAAGCCTTGGCCCAGCCCCAAACGGCGCTGACGCAGACAGCTTGTCGTCCTCAAAAGCTGGGTCCCAGCCCTCATCGGGGTTATTGCGCAGCCATCGCTCGGGGTGAAACTCATTGGGCAGATGGAAGTTACGCTCTGAGCGTACTGACGCCCATGGCGACGTGGAGACTGCCGTACCTCCAGGCACTACAAATGGACCGATCTGCGCGCCCTGCGCCGGGGTTTCGCGTGGAAGACTTGAGCTAACCGGTGGGAAGACACGCAACGCTTCTTTGATGCACGCGTCGAAATACACCAAGTCTTCCAACTTTTGTAGTGTGATGTCATCCGGGTCGGCGAAGGTGGTGCGGATCAGGGTAGCGAGTCGCTGATGAATATCGCGATGAGTGCTTAGAACCCACACGAAACTGACGAGAAGCGAGGAAGTGGTTTCGGAGCCGGCAACGATGAGGGCCATCATATCGAGGTAAAGCTCGGTTGACGACAGGGCCTTTCGGGCGTCCTTGTTGCGTTGATAGTGGTAAACTATGTCTTTATGATCAGACGTTTCGTCGGCAAGACCTGGTTCAATGTCAGCTGACTTTGTCTCTGTAGATAGATAACGACGACCTACGCTCGAGAGTCCTTTTTTTCGCGTTCACGAAAGAAATCATCCTCCACTTCATTGCTTCCTTTGGCATAAGTTTGAGCGCGATACGGTTGAGCAGTGTACCCACTCCCGCCACTCTCCGGACGGCCATGTCCAAATTCGAGGTAACGAGAACCTTCGTCGTTGCTTCTGCCCATTCAGTTGCAACACCACTATCCAAGCAGTGGAAAGACTCGCCGAAGCATATATCGCCGATGATATCGAATGTCGTAAAGGATACTATACCTCGTTAGAACATGTCACTACTCCCAATGACGAGATGGATGGGAGAGGAACTTACACCAATCGGCCATATTCAAGGCGTTACCGTTCTTTCCTCGTGTCTTGATTACGTGCACCAATTTGGAGATCTGAGTCTCGAGTATCTCCTGCTGTGATACAAGTGCAGGCTTCGTAAAGCCAACTGCCATTCCGCGTCGGTGCCTCTGGTGCTCGGCCCCCTTTGAGAGACCGATCCCGATACAGCCATCGACGGGTGTTGCAATGCCAATGAAAATGGGTGACTTCTCCAACGCTTTGCCATGCTAAAACTAATCCGTTAGCTCAGACTGTACTACATATGTAGGCGCTGCTGATTGCACTTACGCGAAAACCGTAGATCTGCTCGGCTCCATATGGCTCCGCAAAGCTCAACTCATTGGGGGAGGTGCGAACGATTGGTCCGTATTTCTCATGCAACTTGTAATTGTACAAGTGTTGAACACCACGGAAAACTGCAATTGCGCTGGGGATATTCGATATGCTATTCAGCCACGGCCCTGGATACTTCCTCAAGGGATGCGTCCATTGGCGATAAACGGCTGGTCCTGTTATAGAGACGAAGATCTTGAGGCACGAGTCAGTGTTTGTTTTGTTTGTCTTGTATGTCGGTGCATGTCTAGCTCACCACCAACAGAATGGTCCACCCCGCAAAAGGGTGGTGGGAGAGGGCGAATTCCAGCATTGCCATCACCACAAGTAGGCTGCTATGGTGGAGAACTTGCGGGAGGGAAAAAGAAAAGCGATATGAATCTAAGTGAACGAATCTGGGAACTCCTTGTTAGTATTCTCTCTGGGGTTTTTGAAGTGGATCGGCGTGCGTCAGAGAACACTCAGGAGCGTCAACGGCACATATACCAACTGTGCTATCGATAGCAAAACACCGTCAGCTTAGTAGACCACAATGAACCGAACTGAATGCTGCCGGAATAAGCGGATGCAACGGTTCATACTACGCCATAACGTCAAAGGTTGTCGTAATACCCCGCGGCCCTTATTCGGGGCTGGGTTTGGGTTTCGGGTCATTCACCATCAGCTCTGTCCCCACGCATGAGTCGCAGAAGGGCAATTGATGAAACGATGACTACGCGATTGAGTTGTGTACGTCGAGAATGGCATGTGCTATGAAGACACCAGAATCGGCCAGGTATACTCTGATATAAAGGCAGTGCGCCACAAAGTGACTATATTCTTACACCACTACAACATCTCGACGTACTCAACTCATACATTAAGCTCCTCATTCAACATCACCATGTCTGCCTTCCCGACCAAAGTTCTGGCAAATGTCATTGGCTTTGGAATCGTTTGGACCGGGGTTTTGATGTTGCAGGTACGTTCAAGTCAGCATTAGTAAACATCAAGTGCAATCCTAATTCGAAGATAGCGATTTCGCTCTCAAGCAAAACAAGACTTTCTTCCCATAGATGATCAGAAGCCCAAGACAAATTCCGATCAAGCGACTCATAACAAAACCCATGTTGTTAATGAGCGCTGGTATTACCCACCCGACATTGCGGATGACTTGAAGGATATCGACCTTCCGTTCCGGGTCAAAGAGGAGGTATTTGCAACGGCTTGGGAATATACTCGCTGTGTTATTCCTGAATACACCAACTGGTCCCGATATGTTGCCTTCATGCGCATCATCGTGATGGGCATCATCGCGGAATTCAAGGGTGATCTCATGGATGTTGCCAATGACGACAACGTCGTGGGTTACAGTCTGACCGGAGTATTGAACACATTGTGCGGAGGAACAGCAGGAGGGTATGTTCCCACCATCAGGAATTCTCATCTTTCCAAGGTTTTCCGCTAACATGTTACCGTTCTAGTGAGGAGATGTGCCGCGAATACCGCTGCTTCCTCTTGATGTCATCGCAAAAGTCCCGCCACCAGACAAACACTATGCTGTTCCGCCGTTACAGTGTCGCTCTATCCAAAGGTCCTTGGCAATTCTTCCGCATGCGCGATACCGACGCACTCGCCCGCTTCACGATTGGTGTAGCGCTAGTCTGCAACGATCTCGACAACATCTGGTTCACTGAGGAGCAATTCGACATCATGGCCGAGATCGGTAACACCATGTACGACGGTATATCCTACTGGAAGCATCGTTCCGAAGGAGAGATCAACAGCACCTTCGCATATGTCCCGGAGGAGAAGCGCGTCTTGGCGTACCACAAGTGCCGCGAGGCGCTCTGGGCTTTGGACGTAGCGTGGGCAAGACAGCCCGAGCTGAAGTGTGTCATCAACTTCCTCCGCTACTTCGGTGGCCCTATCCACATGATTATGCGACGATACCGCTTTGTGGAGGAGGGTCTTACTCTAGGCCGACCCGAGGACCAGCGCGTCATCCAGCAGACACGGAGTAACGTCAAGCTCTGGAACAGGCTTGACGAGCAGAAGAAGGCCAAGGAGCAAGAGAAGATGAGCCTCGAGCAGTACCGCCACGTTCTCGCGAATGAGAAGGTTTTGTTGTTCAATGGCCTTGCGCCAATGCTAGACAAAGCCGAGCAAGGCTTGTGCTCCAAGTGCTGCTACCGTGAGACATATGGTGCCCCACAGGCCCATACCTTTGGCGGAGTTGTTCTGTGCAACGAGTGTCAGCAGAATTGGGGCGATTACACGGAAACCGTGCTACAGCGCATGGTCACAGCCTTCCCAGAGGCTGCTGAGACTGTCCGTGTCAGTGAGATGCGATCAAGGTCCTCAATGGCACCGTGAGTATTGCTCTGAGCTTTTGACGAAGAGATAGTGTATTTGAGTTGGAAAGTGCGGTGCCGTCTCTTGTCAGATTGTACATTTGAAGAAGGCGCATGTTCTTATCTGCTATTTGTCCGAGAGATGTCGCAGATCCAGATAATGGGAGTGAAAATGGTGGGGATAAGCGATATCGCCACGTCTTGATACCAGGCCGGTTCTATTTGTATAGATATTAGAGAATGAAATTTTCGCTCGTACGAGATGTTTCGCTGAATAGTTCTTCACTAAGCAGAGTCGAAATCCTCGCTCTTCCTGCCCAGGCTGGAAGGTATTGGGCACCTAGGCACTACTGTTCCTGGTGACAGCATCTCCGTAATGCTGAAGTGAAGAGGATAATACGCCTGTGGCTCGAAGTAGGGCGTGGTCTTGGTTCGTTCGAGTCATCGGAATTGTACGTTGGTATACGGGTCAATTGTAATAGCTTTGGGGTGGTGCGCCTGATTGCTGTCTGGGGTGTCATCCAGATGCAAAGTGGTGTGCATGCCAGTTGAGCGTGCAAAATTTATGGCAAAGTAACGTGTGATGTATGCGACAGTAGATGTGCAGGCGTACAAGTGCAAACACTATGTGTATTGTGGGGGCTGTTCCAAGCAGTCGAGTGTCTTGCGGCAGGCCTCAGTGGGGCGGCGCTCCTTGCCGAAAGCAAGGTGGGCCAAGGCATCTTTTAAACCATCGATGTCGACAGGTAGCTTTATCTCGCTGCTACACCATCCCGTGATGGCTACTGGAGAGAACTCCTATGGCACTGGACGCGTCTCTATCCACGCATCGGAACACAACCTTCATCAGCCTCACCGAATTTTGTTCTCACAAACTCCCCACAGTGCACACATCAAGAAGGCTCGGTTCATAGCAAACATTCGATTTACTACTGGCTAATTTTGTTGCCCTAGATCAAGCAGCAAGTAAAAGAACCACGAACAATAAGGCGAACCGGCCCTACCCCATTCCTCTTCTCAAACATCCTGATACACTTCGCAACCCCCCAATGCCGGATCAGACGCAAAAGCTTCAAAGATCTCCTCACCGATGTTCAAGAACAAGTGAAGCCCATTCTTATACCAGGTATTACCAACCGCCTCACCACTGGGTACAGCCTCTGTCAGGACGAAGAGGTTAGGTATGGAAGACGACGGGATATAAAATGACGGGCTGATCGGTCCCAAGTGGAACTTGTCGTATCCCAAGTGAGCAACTGAGCTGAAAATAAGATGTTCATCCCCTCCTTTGAACGCAAAGGTGCGCGAAGGACTATCTCTGAATGTCGCATCGTAGGTGATTGCATGCATTGCGTTGTCATCATACTGGCCAAGGGTCTCCGTGACTTTCATGGCCAGGTTGATGGGATCTGTGGCGTTGGCGGGCTTGCTCTCGGCATCAGGAGAGATCATAACGTTGACGTATGGGGACCCCAGCAGTCCGTCACGTACTCCTAGGAGCCAGCGGAAGCTGCTCGAAAGATGTAGATCGACTGGCGGCCGCTGGACATGACCGCGAGCTCGGTTGAGACACGCCCAGAAGAAGCCAATCAGTACCGCCTGATCGGTTAGACGCATTGAACCTTTTGACTGTAGTTCTTTGATCTTGTGCTCGACTTCCGTGGCTGGTATGTGCAAGAGGTAGTTGTATATGGTCTCCGGTTCCGGGTTCTGCGCGGCGTCTGAGCCATTTGGATTCAGTGTACGGCGATACGGGCCTCGTGTGGGAAGTTCGCGAGCTTTCTCAAGGAGCGCAGGGCCATGTTCATCTAGGTCGATCTCAGCAAGTTGCTCACTGAATATCTGTGGCTGCCATGACGGCGGGTTCTGGGTCCCGTCGTTCTCGCCATGAAACATCTGTCCGTAAGTCGAAGACCAGCTTTCTAGAAACTTTGCCGCCGTATAACCATCAGCCAAGCCATGTTCAAAGTCGATGCCGAGACTGAATCCGCCGCATGCGAACGCCGTGAATTGGATCTGAATGCCAGGAGGCTGAGAGGAAGGCGTCGGAAACAGGGCGCGGACAGAGGAGGGGGTATAGTCCCATAAGAATGTCAATTCGTTCGGAGCGGCAGGTGGAAGGAGGCTGCGAATGCGCGATTTCGTGCTCGCTTCAATGAACTCTACTGCCTTATCGCTGGAACAACCCCATTTGACAGTGGTTCGCTGGTACTTCTGTTCGCACTCCTGTGCGCCCGAGGGTTTACCGGTTTCCAACGTTCCAACAAAGCGTGGGTAGATATCGAGTGTCTTAGAAAGACTTGCAGTAAGGCGCGCTACGAGGTCTTGTGGAGGCTGTTTCGGTTTCTTGAAGAGATATATCGTTGGAACTGTGCGACGGTAGGCATACCACGCGTCCAAGATGGGTAAATTCGCAGATTGTGGTGATAGCTTCTCGTAGCACTGGGGCCAGATCTCGTGTACTTTGGCAATGTCGACTTTCATAATTGTGTTGGGGAAATCTGATATGACGATTACACTCCGCCAATAAGGTAAGATGAGACAAGAACACAGAACCCCAGCAATGATTAAGAGATACTAGAATTACCAAAGTGGTGGGTGTTGGCCCTTGCGCTGAGAGACAAGTCGCCAATTCCCCGTATGTCCCGATGACGTTCGGCTTACTCTATACCGGCTCCATGGATTTATCCCGAATGTCCCATGCGATGGCAAACACTATCGGGCTAGTTGACCAGTTGAACCTAATTGCCGTGCTGCATTAGATCCAACTTCTAGATCATGCGCCGCGGGAAGGGCGTTGCGGGGGCTTGCAACTACCCCGAACGACCACTTGATCATGGGAGACAGTGGTCTATTTCAGATCAACAACAACATTCCGATGTCGTCATATAAGGACGCGCAACGTTTTGGCCATGGTTTCGGGTCGTGAAAGAGTTCCATCGGATGCAAAGACCGCATCGCGATGGCGGGTCAGCGTTGTTTAAGCCGGGAGCATACGTAGTCGTCCTTCCATGTCTGATTACCTTTTGCACCAAATAGCAATATATGCCTAAGCCTACCTCTTGGAGCACTTCTTTCTTATCTAACTGATACCAATAACGAAGATACCCATCACACCTGCCTTTTCATAATGCCGCTCTACTACACTGACACCACTCCCACGAACGGCATCCCGGATATGAACGGCGTACCCTCTGATTCTCCTCCACAACCGAAATCCGATGACCTCTCGAACGCGATAGCGATAGTCGGCATCAGCTGCAAGTTCGGCGGGTCCGCATCCAATCTCGATGGTCTATGGCACACATTATCCAGCGGCGAAAGCTGCTGGTCAGAAGTTCCCAAGAGCCGTTTCGACATTAGCAAAACATCGCATCCTGATCCTCTGCGGACAGATAGTGTAAGTTTTATAGTCTCTCTCGAGATCAAGGGCGGTAGCTAATAATTCGCTTGTAGCTCCATGTAAAGGGCGGCTACTTTATTGAGGACGATTTAACTGAGTTCGATGCGCCATTCTTCAACCTTACGGCGGAGGTTGCGAAGTCCATGGACCCTCAGCTGAGACTGTTGTTAGAAGGAGTATACAATGCGACTGAGAGTGGTAAGCCAGCAACCCAATGGCCTAATGCGTCTTCTTGCCAGAGCTAATACAATGACAGCGGGACTTCCCATCGAGAAGCTTTCTGGTTCAAATACCTCTGTATACTCCGCGACCTTCGGCAGAGACTACACCGAGATGATGATGAAAGATGCGGACGCAATGCCCACGTCTCTCGTCACAGGAAACGGCCCAGCAATGTTCGCCAACCGAGTTTCACATTTTTACAACCTGATGGGACCCAGTGTTACTGTCGACACGGGATGTTCAGGTGGTCTAGTAGCCCTGCACATGGGTGTCAACAGCATCCGGAATCAGGAATCAGAAGTCTCCATCATTGGAGCTTCCAATGCGATTTTGAACCAAGATTTCTACATCGCCATTTCGAATCTGGGTCTACTACACGAAGATGGAAAATGCTATTCCATGGATCATCGCTTCGGGGGTTATGGCAGGGGCGAAGGCATGGCGGTGCTGGTGCTGAAGAACTACTCCGCAGCGGTGAGAGACGGCGACCACATCCACGCTTTGATTCGCGAATCGGCTGTCAACCAGGACGGTAGGACCGGGACGATAACATCTCCGTCTATGGATGCACAACAGCAGCTCATCAAGCAATGCTATAGCCGGGCAGGAATTGACCTCTCGTCGACAGGCTACGTCGAAGCCCACGGCACAGGAACCGGGGGTGACGCTATTGAAGCCGAAGCCTTGGCATTGACCTTCGGTAACTCAAGAGAGAAGTTTGACCCAATCTGGGTCGGCTCTGTCAAGAGTAACATCGGCCACACTGAACCTGTTAGTGGGCTAGCAGCAGTCATCAAAGCAGCTCTCATTTTACGCCATAAGCAAATACCGGCAAACCCTACCTTCGAGAAAGCCAATCCGAACATACCACTGGAGGATTGGAAGCTTCAGGTACCGACAGCCCTGACGCCATGGCCACAAGACAAGCCGCTCAGGATATCTGTCAACAACTTCGGTTATGGTGGAACCAATGCACATGTCATCCTCGATGCACCCCCAAGCCCTAGCACACAACGTCGCTATGCACTTCAGAATGGCGACGGCGAGATCGCCAATGGACATACGAGCACCGATGGACACGCCAGCGCTAATGGACATGCCGACATCAAAGGACACCCAAGTACCAACGGTCATGCCCTTAGCAACGGCCATGCGACCAATGGCGTTGATCAACCTTCCGACAGCTCTACCGAACCGTCATCTCTGGTCTACATGCTGAGCGCCAAAGAAGAGGCCGGTGCAGTCACACGATGCAAAGACCTAGCAAAGTACATCCGCAACACTCTCCAGGAAGGGAATGCCCCAGCGCCCAACGACTTAGCCTACACGCTTTCGGAGCGCAGATCGAGGTTCCCATGGACCGTTGCCGTCAAGGCCCGCAGTCTAGAGCAACTGGCCGACGCCCTCGAAGACAGCCGCTTGAAGCCGACCCGCGCATCTTCTGCGCCAGTCCGTATAGGTTACGTCTTCAACGGTCAGGGTGCGCAATGGTACGCTATGGGCCGCGAGCTCATGACCTCATCTGAGGTGTTCAGCTCATCCATCGATCAAGCGGAGACCCACTTGCGGGAGTTTGGTGCGCTTTGGTCGTTGAGAGAAGAGCTATCGCGTGATGCGAAGACGACAAAGGTCGGTGAGATTGAGCTTAGCCAACCGCTCAGTGTCGTTGTTCAGCTCTGCTTGGTAGATTTGCTGCGATCGTGGAATGTCGTTCCTTCAGGTGTTGTCAGTCACTCGAGTGGTGAGATTGCGGCAGCATACGCCGCAGGCGTTCTTTCGTTCAAGGAAGCTGTTGGTGTCGTATATCACCGTGGACGACTTGCCAAGAAGTACCAGAAGCTCACAAACCTATCGGGCGGCATGATGGCTGTTGGTCTTGGTGCTGAGGAAGTCCGAGAGTACCTGACTGATCTCTCTTCTGATGGTAAGGTGGTAGTTGCTTGTGTCAACAGCCCATCCAGTGTTACGATCTCTGGTGATATGGATGCCCTGGAAGAAGTCGCAGACCGTTTGGCAGAAGATGATGTCTTCGCACGGAAGCTGAAGGTCCCTCTCGCCTATCACTCTCACCACATGGAGCACATGGCGGAGGAGTACCAGAGTTGCCTCGAGGAACTTCTAGGACCAATCACAGAAGGCAAGCTCGACGTCCTCTTTGCATCTCCAGTGACGGGTGACATTGTCACTTCGCGTTCTACTTTTGAGGCCGCACACTGGGTACGCAATCTCACTAGTCCCGTCTTGTTCTCGAACGCGTTGGAAGCGTTAGTCTTTGGGTCGACAAAGCCTGAGGGTGAAGCGCCAACACCGAATCGCCGGGTCTCCATCTTCCTGGAAATTGGAGCGCACGACACCTTGTCAGGTCCCGTCAGACAAACGCTCGGCGAGACACGCATGCCGTATCTTTCTTGTCTGAAGCGGCCTTTGAATGCGATTGACACCGCGCAAGACGTCGTCTGTGCCCTCGTGGCGCGAGGCTACCCCGTCCATCTCACTATAGTAAACAAGCCCCAATCCAACATCTCACACCATTCAAGGTATATACACGACCTTCCAGAATATCCTTGGAATCATCAGACTTCCTACAAGATTGAGCCAAGGGCTTCCGAAGAGCACCGATACAAGCGCTTCAAGCCCCATGAGTTGCTCGGCAGGGTTATTCCTGGATCGAACCCTTTGACTCCGACCTGGCGCAACTTCCTTCGCACCAACGACATTTCTTGGCTGGTTGACCACCAACTGGAGGGGAGCGTGGTTCTGCCAGGTGCAGGATATGTGTCAATGGCTATCGAAGCAATGTGTCTTCTTAAGAGCAAGCCTGACCAGGATGTACCCAATTTGCACTATCATTTGAGAGATGTAGACATCATCAACGCTCTGATCATACCACAAACGTCGAGCTTGTCAAACAGAGGAACAGAAATTCATTTCTCGCTCCGTCCTTGCAGCGACAAAGACCTCGACAACGCCGATTGGTACGATTTTGAGTTGTGGTCGGTCAGCGCCAAGCATGCTTGGATACAGCACTGCAAGGGCTGCATCACAGCTAGACCAGACCACAGCGTGCAATTAGTAGAGGATGCCAGGGCTTCTCTTGGCTCTGTACTGTCTCACCAAAAGCACACCAAGGAGATCGAGCCCGAGACCCTGTACCAAAGGTTGCGAGATTCGGGCTTCCACCACGGACCAACATTCCAGAACATTGTTGGGAGTCGCGTTCTTCGTGAACGATCGGAAACCGAGTTCTCTGTCGCTCCAGCGGCCTTTGAACGCGAACAGCAATACATAATACACCCAACGACGCTGGACTCAATCTTCCAATGCTGTTATGCGACCCTACCCGCCGCTCTCACGAAGGATGCAATGTTCATCCCTCGCTCGATCCAGAAGGTGATCGTGGCGTCCCAGCTCGGTACGCATGCGGACCAGCGGTTGCTCGCAAGCCTGGACTGCCTGTCGTCAGGCACCAAAGGTTCGACCTTCACTGGCTTAGTGTTTCCCACAGGAGATGATGCACACCAAACAGGATCGTTCGAGATGCAGAACTTTCGTCTCCAGCGGGTTACCCAGGCGGCCACGGGTGCGCAAGATGCGAAGTCAGGGCATCCTGCGATCCATTCCAAAAGCCGATGGGAACTCGACATCCACTATGCTATCCCGGATGATATCAAGGACTTGATGAGGATTCCCCTAACCCAGTCTGAACTAGACTTTGCAAGGGATGTCCGCGAGATATCTTACCACCATATTGCCAGAACTCTGGAGCAGCTGGGACCCAAGGCTGACGACCAATGGACTTGGTATCACAAGAGGTTCTACGAATGGATGAACTCCATCATCCTGACAGCGGACAAAGGTACCCTGATGTCAGGGAGCGACGAATGGTCCACGAGAGACAAAGCTTCTATCGAGGAGCTCTGTAATCGAGTGGCTCAAACCAACGCGTCCGGAGAGTTGGTCCAGCGCGTTGGAAGCCATCTGTGTGACATCGTGCAAGGCAAGTTGACACCTTTGGAGTTGATGATGGAAGACGGACTTTTGAATCGCTACTACGAGCAGCTACCGCAGCTTTGCAACGGCTCTTACAAGCATCTCCGAAAGATTGTCGAGCTTTACTCTGTTGTGGAATCCGGAGCCAAAGTAATCGAGATCGGTGGTGGAACTGGCGGAGCAACATCCGTTGTTTTGGATGCTTTCGCTGCGCGATCGGAGCAAGAGTCAGGCGCTTCGCTACTGGGCCATTACGACTTTACGGATATCTCTTCAGGGTTCTTTGGCGCAGCAAAGACCAAGTTTGCCACTTGGGAAGACAAGATGGACTACTCCAAGCTCGACATTGAGCAAGACCCGACCGAGCAGGGTTTCGCAGCCCATAGTTACGATCTTGTAGTTGCCTCACATGTGCTTCATGCGACACCGAGCCTGGAGCGCACCTTGTCGAACGTCAGAAAGCTGCTGCGACCAGGAGGCCAGCTCGTCTTGCTCGAAGGAAGCCAGGATTCGCTCGACGTCCAGTTGATCTTTGGAACTGTTGAGAGATGGTGGTTGAGCGAAGAGCCTGAACGCCAAACATGCCCTTACGTTAACCTGGGAGTATGGGACAAGGCCCTGAAAGCCGCAGGCTTCACTGGCGTCGAGTTCGAGATTGGAGACTGCGAGAACCCTGAAGTCCAGTTTACCAGCACCATCTTGTCGCACGCCAAAACCCAGGATCCATTGTATCCGTCTTCAATTTCCATTGTTGTACCGTCAGCTTCGGAACCTCAAGCCTGGTTGGATCAAGTATCCGGAACTGTGCAGCACGTTACTGGTTCAGCTCCCTCGGTAGAGACTCTCGATGAAGTTGAGGCAGACAGTGACCGTCTGCTCATCATGGCGCTCGACCATGGCACACCTTTCATCGATACCATGGATCGCGATACATTTGCGAAGCTCCGTAGTCTCCTGTTTCGGTCCAAGGGCATTTTTTGGCTGAGCTTTGGTGGAGCTGTCGATGATGAACATCCACGCTTTGCCCAGGTGACTGGTCTCTTGAGAACTCTGCGACGCGAAGATCCAAGTACACGATACGTTCGGCTGGCATGCGAGCCACCCCAGCAATCATTACCAATTGAGACCATCCTGATGCTTGCGCATGTGTTCAAGCAAAGCTTTGATTACAGCTCATCTGAGAACATCAACATTGATTGGGAATATTCCGCCAAAGACCAGAACTTGTACGTTCCCCGCATCTATCCGGATTTTGAACAGGATCGGGTTGCCAGCGGAGGCGCACAACCTCTACAGCTGCAGGAGTTCAGCTATTCCGGAAAATCACTCGTCCTACAACCACCAGGCAGCGGTACATCTGGCGCAGAGTCCTGCTTTGTGGACATATCTGATGCGGCGAAAGATCTGCCGAGTGGATTTGTTGAGATCGAAGCGAAAGCCTTTGGGCTGAACATTGTAGGGGCGAGTGAAGAGAACGAGTCGGCTGCGCATGAGAGCAGTGGTATCATCAGGAACCTTGGCCCGGACACACGAGATTCTGGACTTCGCGTTGGAGATCGAGTGTGCGGTATCTTCAAAGGACCTATCAGCAACGCCGGTCGCGCTCACTGGACCAGCGTCGTCAAGGTTTCCGACAAATTTACATGGGAAGAAGCCGCGTCCACCCCATATGCATATTCGACCGCCTGCTTAGCCTTACGCGACATCGCAAGACTTCAGAAGCATGAGCGAGTGTTGTTACACTTTGATACGGTAGGTGTTGGCCAGGCTGCTCTTGCACTGGCGGAGAACATCGGAGCCGAGATCTTCGTCACTTGTGGAACAAACGAAGAGCGTCGAGTTCTGCTGGAAAATTACAACATCGCTCCCAGCCATATCCTGCAGGGTGAAGCCGCCTCTCTCGTTTCTGCTATCAAGTCTCAGACGAACAGCGAGGGAGTGGATGTGACGCTAAGCTCGGTTACCGGGCCGTTGCTCAAAGCATCTTGGGAGTGCACTGCACCATTTGGTCGCTTCGTGCAGATCGGTAAGGCTGATACCGAGAAGGCAAAGTACCTTGACATGTCACCCTTTGGCCGCGGAGTGTCCATGACTGGTCTTGATACCGTCCAGTACAGCGAGATGAGAGGCGCCATGTTTCACAGAGCATTAGCCAACTCCATCGAATTGTTGCAGTACAAAGAAGCGAAACCCGCGACGCCAATCAAGATCTTCAAGCTGGCTGAGATCCATGAAGCGCTCCAGTATGTCCGAGGTGGGAGCAACTTGGGTAGTGCTGTGATCCTGCCACAGCCAGGTGACGAGGTTCATGTCATCCCGAAGGCTGAAACGTCGCTTGGCCTAGAAGCTCCGGACTCTACCTTCATGATCGTTGGAGGTCTTGGAGGTATCGGACTTGCCACCGCTTCGTGGATGTTGGAACAGGGGGTCAAGAACCTGTTGATCGTTTCCCGCAATGCTGTCGCTCATCCGAAGGGATTGGCGTTAGTTGAACAAGGGCAAGAGCACGGTTGCAACGTTCATCTTCGCAACTGCGACATTGCCGACGCAGGAGCGGTCTGTAGTCTCCTCGCAGACGTGAAAGCAGAGTTACCTCCGATCCGTGGAGTTCTTCAGATTGCTGCAATTCTCGACGACACGGTCTTTGAAAGCATGACCTTCGAGCAGTGGCAGAAGGCCATTGGCCCCAAAGTCACTGGCACCTGGGCCCTTCACAACAACCTGCCCGACCTCGAATTCTTCATCACGACCTCTTCTGCCACTGCAGTTCTCGGCAACGTGTCACAGAGCAACTACACCGCTGGCGGTACGTTCCAAGACGCGATTGCGCGATACCGCACTTCCCTTGGCCTACCTGCTGTGACAATTGATCTTGGTCCTATTGACGATGTCGGATATGTCGCACAAGGTGGAGATGTGGTGAAGAACCGCGTGGAGAAGGCCCTTGGCATGAAATGTCTTCCAATTGCCCACGTATTGCGACTATTCGAGGATGCAATCAGGAACCCAAGTCGACGCCGGGCCGAAAACAGTCAGGTCATTACGTGTATCACTGGATACAGCAAGTTGGTTGACGATCCAGCGGTGAAGAACGACCGTCGATTGGGAACCCTTCGACTGGGCGATGACACAACGATAGAAGCCTCAGCTCAGGGACAGTCTGAGTCCTCCAAGAACATCGATGGATTGGTATCTCAGTTGTCGGCACTGTCTGCGGGTGACAACAAGGCGAAGGAGGTTGTTACGGACCTGCTGGTAGCCAAGGTTGCCGACTTGTTCAATCTGGAGACGAGCGCCATTGACACTGCTGACGCGCTCACAAGCATCGGCGTCGATTCCCTGGTTGCTGTAGACTTCCGAAACTGGTTGGGTAGCGTTGTTAAAGCTAAAGTCAGTATCTTCGAGATTCTGCAGACACCTTCACTCAGCGAGTTCGCTGGCTTGGTCGCAGAAAGGAAAGGATAGGCGCAAAGCATTTGTTTTTAAACCAGATCGCGCGTAGAAACGGAGCGTTTGTTATGTTGTACGAATCTTCTTGTATGTTATGATTAGCTAGTTATTGAATTACTTACGATCTGAGAACTGGGCCTTCATCGTGCGCGTCACGTGTCAATTGTTGACTTCCGACCTGATTGATTCCCTATGCTATTCGAAGCTGGATTCGCATATCTCGGGCGAAATACACCTCAATCGCGTGATGTGATGCTGCTGGTGCGAGTCGGGATGGAAGGACAAAGTTTCGCGTCTTCGGCGCGTGTGGTAGTGGCGTGGTCAATGCTTGGCGGGGCGATGCCGGACATCGAACTCGCTTCCCCGACGATTTTTTGTTTAGAGCGGGTATCGTTGGGCATCTTATCTCTAGCTCCCGTTCTTCACTGCTCGGTACCGCAATTGCCTTGCGCTGTTGCTCCCTCTCACTCTTGTCAATTGCCAATTTCTGCCTTGCTCCAAGTTTTCGAACATGACGCCATCACCTTCCGAAGCCGCTGCAAAGGTTGCGCAAGTCGCTGCCGGCACCAACTCGTCCGCAAAGGTGTACAAGAGGGAGTCCAACACAGCTAGGGTCTTGGGTGCAGGTACATAAGTCGTCGTGAAGTCAATACAGCATATCTGACATGGACAGGATGTGCGGGAATCGCAGAGCTCATGGTCTTCCATCCGGTCGACACCACGGCGAAGCGGTTAATGAGCAACATTGGCAAGGTGCGACATGTGGACAATATAATACCCCGACGGCCTCTGACTCGAACACATGTAGATTGAGAACGCAGCACATCTCAACAAGGTCGTCTTCAGAGACGCGGCCGGCGCGTCAGTCTCTGGGCGATTCCTCTCACTGTTCCCCGGTCTCGGATATGCCGCCGCATACAAGGTGCGTTGAAAAGTGCGAGCACGTAAGAACTCAGACTAACAGGAATAGATCCTTCAACGAGTATACAAGTTCGGCGGACAGCCCTTCGTACGCGACTACCTTGCCCACAACCACGGTGACAGCTTCGACCGCGCATTCGGCAAGGGCAACGGCAAAGCCATCATGCACGCGACTGCTGGTTCCATAATCGGTATCGGTGAGATTGTCCTCCTGCCGTTGGATGTTCTCAAGATCAAGCGACAAACCAACCCTGAGGCTTTCCGAGGCCGTGGGCTGTTCAAGATCATCTCCGACGAAGGGCTCGGGCTATACCGTGGTTGGGGATGGACGGCAGCACGTAACGCGCCAGGATCATTCGCAGTATGTGCACCGCTCTGCTTACAGCTACCTAGATACTAACATGCCCCCAGCTCTTCGGTGGTTCCGCTGTCGCCAAGGAGTACTTCTACAAACTCACCGACTACAACTCGGCATCATGGTCGCAAAACTTTGTCGCCTCCATCGCCGGAGCCAGCGCATCGCTCGTCGTCTCTGCCCCTCTCGATGTCATCAAGACGCGTATCCAGAACAGGAACTTTGAGAACCCCGAGAGCGGCTTCAGGATCGTGTCCAACATGATGAAGCACGAGGGATTCACTTCCTTCTTCAAGGGACTGACGCCCAAGCTGCTCATGACAGGACCCAAGCTCGTCTTCTCCTTCTGGTTGGCCCAAACACTGATCCCTGCTTTCGGCAAAATTATGTAATATGTAGCGATGAACTTGTCCTGATGTCTGTACTATATGGGGGTTTAGGGTTATGGTGCTATAGAACTAGCAGGTTGGGCTACGTCAAAGGCAACGACGTACGACGGACCGCACACTGCTGCAAGCGAATGACACATTCTCCATTCCATGATGAAGTAGCCTGAAGTCACCCGTAATCTGACGGCGGTGATGTGTGCCATGGCGGGCTGAGTAGGGCGGTGGACCCTGGCGGCTGTCACGTGGGTGCACTGATGGCACCCACCTGGCACTGTACATGATGATGCGTGATCAGCGACTGTCTTGGACTGGCAACGAGACACACCGAGAGTCATACGTCAGACGGGAAACGGGCGTCTCAGTGGAGAAAGTTAGGCGGCAGATAAGCAGGCGTGAATGTGATGTTGATGGCGCGACAAGCTACGGCAACTTGTGACCACGGATTTGGGCCTGGCTGAATGCCAAGCTATTCACATCTGGTATCCGCGCATTGCACCTCACCACCCTCTACTTAACACCGTCCGCCTCGACGACCCGCGATACCCCACAACGACTGCCTCTGACTACCCCCAACTTACATACATTAGTCTCTACCCTCCTCCCGCCCCCGCAACACCGCCATCATGAACCCTGAGTGGTACGTAACCTCCGCGCGACGCCCACCGCCACAGGCCGGGGACAGCGCCGCCAAATTTGGGGTTGAGACTGTGCTAACTTGAAGACTTGCAGAGTTACTTTTTCCCATCACCGGCAGCCCTGATGCTGCCCGTCTCGCCCTGCAAGGCTCCCACTGACGGCTCGCTTCCACAGATACGACTACCTCTTCAAGCTCCTCCTCATCGGTGACTCTGGTGTCGGAAAGTCGTGCCTGCTCCTTCGTTTCGCAGACGACACATACACCGAGAGCTACATCTCGACCATCGGTGTCGACTTCGTGCGTTGTCCCGCGCACCTGCAGCCCAGGTCGGCGATAATCTAACACGCCCCAGAAAATCCGAACGATCGAGCTCGATGGTAAGACGGTGAAGCTACAGATCGTACGTACACTGGAGAATGCCGCGTCTTGGCGAGGGTACTGACCGTCATCGCAGTGGGATACCGCCGGCCAAGAGCGCTTCCGAACCATCACATCCTCGTACTACCGCGGCGCTCACGGCATCTGCGTCGTCTACGATGTCACCGACATGGACTCCTTCAACAACGTAAAGCAGTGGCTGCAGGAGATTGACCGATACGCAACCGAGGGCGTCAACAAGCTGCTGGTGGGCAACAAGTCCGATATGGCGGACAAGAAGGTTGTCGAGTACACCGTAGCAAAGGTACCATCATGCCACCAACACTAAAAGACGCAAGCCATCTAACAGCGCAAATAGGAGTTCGCAGACAGCCTCGGCATCCCCTTCCTTGAGACCTCCGCAAAGAGCGCCACCAACGTCGAGCAAGCTTTCCTTACCATGGCCCGCCAGATCAAGGAGCGCATGGGTACCACAACCGCCAACACCAAGCCCACAGTTCCCATCGGCCAGGGCCAGGGTGTTCAAAACGGATCCGGCGGTGGTTGCTGCTAGAGAAAGAGGAAGAGTTGTTATGTGTCGGAGAACGGACCGGTGTCTACGGATGAGCAATACACGGCGTAGGTGTTGATCTCCTGCCTTTACGCCATGCGAGGATTGGTGCAGTACTACGATAACGCGCACTGATACATGACCGTCATGTCCCCCATTCGTCACCATCTCCACGTTTCCATCCCGAAGTTGTGCTAGCATGGCGACATCCGATCGCATAGAATGGGGGCTCTCGTTTGGATTTCTGGGATGGGCTGGTGTCTGCATTACAATTTGTGGTGGCCACTAGGTCTCTTCCCTTCGGTGTCTCAGGTGTTCTTTAATATGGGCAATCAGACTTCATCTTCTAGATCCGTCGTGCAGGTTCCACAAACAAACTTGCGCTCTAGTGATGTGAAGACGCCAGTTCAGTCACCACAAAGCTGATGAAAAAAAGCTTCACAAACAACCTCGCTACTAACGTTTCACTTACAAAGACTGCTGCGCGATAGTTTTCACAACTGATTTACGCCTTTGATGCGCCCTTTGACATCTATGGATGCCGAGTACCCTTCGCCCCTTCCCGCTTCCGGTAAAATGCAGGCGCTGACGTATGACGCGAAACTCGACTAGGCCAGAGGCCTCCAGGCAACACTAAACACTCCGGTCCGTGATGGCTTCGGAAAAGCAATCATAACCCGAGCCCCTTCTCTTCTTTTTCGTTCCTTAACCCTTCTAGCCTTTCCAATGCCTTAGAGTGCTGGTGTTTTAACTTCGCCATTCCTGTAACACCCATCCTACCCTGAGCCTCGGAGCATGTCTGTTCGTGATGCGCCTGTCAAAGCGGCACAATGGCTCGGCCGCGAACTCGGTCTCGCGACGATGAAACATGCTGGAAAAGACGTCTACATCCTCATTCTGGCACGGTACATTCGTCTGTTCGCATATGGAAGCGTTGCACTCATTCTCGCACTCTTCTTCCAAGAGCAAGGATTTTCAGACGAACAAATCGGTCTCTTTATGTCATTGACGTTGCTGGGCGATGTAGTCGTCAGCCTCCTCCTCACACTTGTCGCGGATACGCTAGGACGGCGCCGAACATTACTCCTTGGAGCCACGTCCATGGCAATATCCGGCGCTGTTTTCGCGACAACGAGCAACTATGTGGCTTTGCTTCTAGCAGCTATCGTCGGTGTCATCAGTCCTAGTGGGAACGAGATCGGGCCGTTCAGAGCTGTGGAGGAGTCGACGTTGGCGCATCTGGTAGCCGAGGATAAGAGGTCGGATGTGTATACTTGGTATGTCGTCTTGGCTGTACTGGGCACGTCAACGGGGTTGGCAGTTGGTGGTGTTGCTGTCGATAACTTGCAGGCTATCGAGGGTTGGTCGGATCTGGATGCGTATCGCGCCATCTTCTGGATTTACACTGGTGTCGGGTGTGTCAAGGCTCTGATGACTCTCTTTCTGAGCCAGAGATGCGAACATAGCGACTGGAACGATGAACGGAACAAATCTGCTGCATCAGCTGAGACCGAGCCGTTGCTGAACACCGACGAGACAGAGAATCGAGATACCGCAACTCAAGATGCAGCCCCCAAGAAGCCTAAGAGGTTTTGGCATTCCCTCAGCAAGATCTCCAAGTCGAGTCGCATTGTTCTCATTAAACTCTGCAGCTTGTTCTTTCTGGATTCTTTGGGCTCGGGGATGGTTCCCTTCAGCTTGATCAACTACTACATGGAACGAAAATTTGATCTACCGAAAGGGAAGCTAGGTGGCATCATGTCTGCAACATGGTAAGTACCTATCTAACTAAACCGTATCCTAAGCCACATACTCATGAACATACAGGTTCGTGTCGACGCTAGGCAACGTGTTCGCCTCAAGCCTGGCCAAACGTCTCGGCTTGATCCAAGCAATGGTCTTCACTCATCTGCCTTCTTCTGTATTCCTCGCGCTACTGCCCGTGCCATCGGGGCTGGCTCTAACCATCTGCCTACTCGTTGGCCGCTCTGTGCTCAATTCTATGGATCAGGCACCTCGATCAGCCTTCCTTTCGATTGTCGTCTTACCAGAAGAGCGAACAGCTGTTATGGGCGTAGTCAACATACTCAAGACACTATCCCAAAGTAGTGGACCGAGTCTGACAGGAGTACTTGCCGGCAATGATCGTTTCTGGGTAGCTTTTGTTGCAGCTGGTAGCTTGAAAGCGACGTATGATTTATTGCTTCTCGCATTCTTTGGCGGGAGGGTGCAGCCGCGGAGTGAAGAACCGGAAGCAACTACTGGTGTAGAGGAGGATGACACTATTGACGAGCCCGCGAATGGACACAGGACTACTTGATGTAGCTTGCACGAACTTGACGGCATAAAAAAGGAACACTACTAGACCAATACCATCTCGATGCAGATTCAGTAGATTCCACAACTTCTAGAATGTTCAATATGCCGTTTGACACTACACCGCCAGGTACGGGTGGAAGCCGAAGGCGCTACCTCGGCAAATTCCTTCTTGGGCTGACTTGGATAATTCCGCGTGTACACTGGCAACATCCTCCGACATCACAGCTATCAGCAATTCACTACGGCGCGGTCGCTATTGCCGATTTTCGGTGTGGCTGACCTAGAGATGCACATAGTATGCGCGAGTAGTCCAGCTCAACGGTCAGCTTGTCGGCCACCGCTCCGATCGTGAACACCCACGATCTAGCCAAGGACAGACCACCTGGGCATGCACAAGGCGTGCCACGAGACCATGTGAACGAAGAATTACCCGAGCCACCAGCATCCGTCTCTGTCTTCCTAACCCATAGCAATAAGGTCGCATATGGGACGACCCAATCACGTCCCTGCACGGCCGCAGGAGATGAAAGCTCCACCTGTCTGCACGCGACCCAGACCCTGGCTTGCATGGTTCGCCGCTACAGCCACGCTTACCCGAAAGCCATGCTAGACCCCGCAAAATTTTATGCTTAAAGACCGCCTCATGTCCTACCACCCAATGTCACGGTAGCAGTTTCCCCGGATTTCTCTTTACTTTTGTCCTGGTTCGAGAGTGTGTGGAGCAGCGTTGCAGCACCCCACTATCGTTCCCAAAGCAGCCCAGCCCTGGACGGATCGCCATCGGCCCGATATTCTCTGGTTTGCAAGAAAGAGAGTTGAAGGAAGAGAGCAGTCATGGCGGAAGAGAAGGATATTCAGCCTACGACAACGCCCCCGTTCGAGCATTATGGAGATCATGAGGAGTCAGATCACAAGCGCGCTGCTAACAAGCTTGTTGGCGATGCGCGGCTTGCTACGGACAAGGAGCGCAAGATGACGCTGATGCAGGGTATCAAACTCTACCCCAAGGCGATTGGATGGTCTGTCCTTATCAGCACGTGTATCGTCATGGAAGGCTACGACGTCTGCTTGCTGAACAACTTCTTTGGATTCCCGCAGTTTAAGCAAAAGTACGGCGAGCAGCTTCCGGATGGCTCTTGGGAAATCCCTGCGCCATGGCAAGCTGGACTGTCCAACGGAGTTATTGTGGGCGAGATCATTGGTCTTTTCCTCAATGGATGGATCAGTGAGGCTATTGGATACCGATACACTGTCATGGGTTGCTTGCTTCTGATCATTGGGTTCACCACCATCTTCTTCACGGCTCAGACGGTGGTGCACTTGCTGATTGCGGAGATTCTCTGTGGTATCCCTTGGGGTGTCTTCCAGACACTTACTATCACATACGCTTGCGAGGTCTGCCCCGTTGCTCTGCGTGGATACTGTAAGTTTTCCAAGATCTACTCTCAGACGCACAAGCTTACATTGATTAGTAACTACCTACGTCAACTTCTGCTGGGGTCTCGGCCAAGTCATCGGTATCGGCGTCATCCGCTCCATGGTCGACCGACCAGATGAGTGGTCCTACCGCATCCCATACGCCCTCCAATGGATGTGGCCCGTCCCTCTCATCATCGGTGTCTTCCTAGCCCCCGAATCGCCATGGTGGTTAGTCCGTAAAGGACGGATCGAAGATGCGAAGAAATCCCTGCTTCGACTCACCAGCCTTGACCGAGAAACTGATTTCGATGCCGACGAGACGGTAGCCATGATGGTGCACACGACTGCGCTCGAAGAGAAGATCACTCAAGGAGCAAGCTATTGGGACTGCTTCAAGGGTACTGATTTGCGTCGTACGGAGATTGTCTGCATGGCCTGGGCGATGCAAAATTTGAGTGGAAACGCTTTCTCGGGTTACTCTTCCTACTTCCTCCAACAGGCGGGTCTGCCCGCATCGACTTCGTACGATTTCGCAATGGGTCAGTACGGTATTAACATGGCCGGTGTCTTTGGCGCGTGGTACCTCATGAAAGTCGGTTTCGGACGTCGAACGCTCTACCTAGGTGGTCTCTGCGGACTATGCGCTATGCTCTTCGTCATGGGTTTCCTTGGCCTGGTACCAGCATCTCAGCGGGAGACAGGCGCCATGGCTACCGGAGCCATGATGATTGTATGGGCTATGTTCTACCAACTCACCGTCGGCACCGTATGCTACTCCCTCGTTGCCGAGCTATCCACCCGTCGCCTCGCTATCAAGACCGTCGTACTTGGTCGCAACCTCTACAACGTAATCGGCATCATCACCTCAGTCCTCACGCCCTACATGCTTAACCCCGGAGCCTGGAACTGGTACGTCCCCTCCCTTCTCCCCTCTCTCTTCATATCCACCCACTAACCATCATCACAGGGGTAACTACGCCGGATTCTTCTGGGCCGGCTCCTGCTTCCTAAGTATCATCTACACCTACTTCCGCCTTCCCGAACCCAAGGGCCGCTCCTTCGCTGAACTCGATCTTCTCTTCGAGAAGCGCATCAGCGCGCGCAAGTTTGCGAGCACGACTGTCGATGTGTTTGAGGACAGCCATATCCAGGGAACTGCTGCTTTTGATCGCTATGAAGAGAAAGTTGATGCTGCTGTGAGAACTGAATCTGTTGCTGTTGGTGTTTCGAAGGTTTAATGACATGAAGATTTAGGGTGCGTATGTAGTGGTGTAAGGGGGGAACGTGTATGAGCGTATGATTATGCATGTCTGTTGTATAAACGATTGTGGGGTTGTTGGGTATCATTTTGATCGAACTTCTTATCATGAAAGACTCTACGATTCGATTTGTGTGGTGGAGCAATGCAATGCAATGCAATGCAGACGCGAGTGTCTATGCACGTTATTCTATGTACAGTATAGCACTCGTCCAACCTGATTGAACTCCACAAGTAAGGGTACTGCGAGGGCGGGGCATTATGCCGCGGACATAGATACCCTCTCTCTTCTGAAATTTTTCTGGTTTCTCTCAACAGATCCGTCTCACCTCCCTCAACCATTATGTATACGGAACCTGATCACGATGCCCTCGTCGAAAGATCCAAGGGATTAATGCGATGCAAATTCAACGAAGAGATCGACTTGATACCAACGTATGATCCATCGGTCCCATTTGAATTAAAATCTCTGCTAACCGCCAAGTATTTGTAGATACAAGGCCTCCCCTTTAGAACACCAAAGAGCAGAAGAAGCCGCAATCGCTGCGCGAAAATCATGTCGCGAACTAGCTAGCGAGTTCCACGCCGTCTTACCAAGAGAGCTGCGATACATGGTATACATCTACATTGTCGGCCCGACAGCCCAGCCTCAAAGTACACCGGAATAACCCGGGCTAGAGTTTCGTGATGCATATGGCAAGAGCATACGCACCGGATGGTTCGACTCGCAGTGGAGCGAGGGTGTTGAGGCACTTGATGTTTCGGGTGAAAGTCTTCACATGCAACCTAAGTCCTGGGCCATGGATCCAGCATACTTCGGAGAGCACGTAGCACAAGAACTCACAGAGTCGTATTACAATATCAACAGTTTCTACATCACATCCGCTCAAGAGACGAGCAAGTTGTTCCGCGCCGATCCGTTCAAGCTCGGAACGAGGCCGTATCAGTTCATCCGCAAGTTCATGCTCGCGCTCAACCTCTGCGAGGCTGAACTGCAAAGCGAGGATGAATTGGCGACTATTCGTAAACATCTCCAAGACTTCGAGCTTCTGCCTGCGAAACGCAAACACGAGATTTGCATCCGCCTTGAGACATCTTTCCAGCTTGGGCAGATTTTACTTGGTGGATCTCGATTTCGCTATCCCTACGATATGGAACATGAGCGAGTTATACTCAATGTCCTCGAGTCGATCAGACGGCCTGTGTATGATCTCATACACAGAGGCAAGTCGATCAGGGTTTTTCAAGTAAACCTGGATGAAATGTGTACACCGAGACAGAGAACAAATGATGATGTAAGAATAAGGTATTTGGCATCTGCTGAAAGTGTGAAGCCCTAGTGGTGGCCGCCTCGTCGATTCTCCAGCATGACGGAAGAGTAATGGCGAAAGGTATGCGGTTTGCTCGTTACGACGCGTATGTTTGCATCAGTGGGCTAACGTGAGATGGGAGACAGAAGAGGATACGGATGAGGACCCAACGCGGCATTATATTCTTCATGCGCGTAATGTTGCAAACGACAAGAATGAGCAAGACAGGGATGAAGAAAGCAAGGAAGATGAGGAAGCAACCAACGAAGAAAGCGACGAGGACGAGGAAGAAACAGATGGAGAAGGCGACAAAGACGAAGGACCAGAAGATGAGCGCTACGACTGGGAAATTCCTGTTCAAGCGAGATCAGACTCTAGACATGGGGATCAAGCTCAAGGTGCGCGAAGCCCTGAAAATGCGATGGGAGGAATCGGGTGCTTTGAATCGCTTTAGCCACCGCAATATTTAGGAGGGTCCATTTGGATTCCAAAAACGATAATCACGATACGAACCGTGTGATCAGTATGGCGACTTCATGTAGCTGTGCTACACGGCAAGACATTATTTGAGTGGGGGGGCTACAAAGCTCTAATCAACATCAAAACACATGTTCACTGCACAATAAGCACACAACAATTCATCAATAAAGCAAAACCGAATTAGATTAATTAACTAACCATATGCACAAGACACACCAATCGCTCAGACCCAACCCCTCCCTACTAAACAGCCAGCATCAAGACTGGCCCAAAAGCCTCCGTCTCAAGCGCAAAGCTTTAGTACAAGAAGAGTAAGCGTGAACAAAGGAAAAGGGCGTGCGTCGCAGCGACAGTGGAAAACAGGAGAGAGAGAAGCCCAACGCTCAAGGGTGTGAAAGGTTTGTTGTGACAAAGCCATGCTAAACATATGTACTCATACAAAAGAGCGATCCGGGGTGCGCGAGTGTGTGTGTGGCGGTTTGGAGTGGGAGTAATCGGGGGGTTTAGTTTCCTCCGGAAGCCAGGTGGTCGGCGGCCTAATGGAAGTTGTTAGTCTGTGTTCGTTCATACTGAAGAGATAAATGCATTGCTTACCTTGTTGATGTCGTAGTCGTACTTCTCGAGCGCAGACAAGGCGTCGTTGCGGCCATAGCCCATACCAGTCAGCTTCTTGAGGATAGGATCATCATGCTCGGTTCCAGTGCTGATCGCACGACCAAGCGTGGGCATCTGAGGCGATAATCCCTGAGACTTGGATGAAGAAGCAGCAGCCTCTTCGTTGTCAAGAGTGTCAAAGACGGACTTGCCAAAATCAGTTGAGGCCTGCTGCGAGTGCGAGCCCTTGTCGGTCTGCGACGACTCGAGGTTGGAGAAGATGGCGTCCCAGTCCTGAGACGAGGCTGCGGGTTGAGGCTGCTGGGGCTGTCCTCCGAACGTTTGTGACAAATGTTCAAAGTCACTGAAACTGTCATCGCCGCGAGGCTTGCCGGTGGGAGTCTGCTGAGAAGCCATGGTGTTTGACTTGGAGGCAGCTGGAGAGTCAAATACTGGGTTGAACTCGTCGAGACCTTCACGGTTCTGCGAAGAGAACATGAAGTCGTCATCAGCCCGGTCATCCTCCTTGGCATCTGCTAGATCATCAAATCCGGCGTCGAAGTCATCGTTGAAAGCAGACTTGCCGAGTTGAGGGACGTTGCTGGACGGCGATGGGCCCTTGTTGTTCTCATTGGCACCGTACGATACTGCAGAGTGGTATTGGTCGGATGGAACAGTCGAAGATGGAGTATCTAGAGGAGGGGGCGATGTGGTCGCAGACTTGGAAGGGCCACCAAATAGAGCAGCTCCGTGACCGCCAGGAGGATTGTACGACTTCTCCGGGCCTTGCGCGGTGTCAGGAGATCCCGGCGACGTTGGGTCCTCGCGAGCAGGAAGAAGACCACCGAACTCAGGGGGGAATTGGTTCGATCCACTTCTGGTCTGGTTCACACTGGACTCGTAGGTAGGCGGCGACTTCTGCGCGCTAGGAGAGGGCAAGCCACCGATGTTGGAGTCGAGGCGAGTAGTTGGTGGTGGGGCTCTGTATAGCTCGTCACTTGACGCAGTACCTGGCCGCTGCTGTTGCTGGGAGCGTTGCTCTTGACCAGTGCTAGTACGCTTCTGGTTTGGCGACGCGGATGTGAAATTGTCATCGAATCCACGCTCATCGTTACTGTCGCTGTCATCATCGTGAGCGAGGTCCTCGATCGGAGGGAACTCCTTGTTGAACCTGTTGGAGTTATCCGCGGGTGCGCTTGTGGTGGATGCCGTAGCAGTGTTCTGACGACTGGGACCGAAGCCAGCGAATGCTGCATCGAAATCATCCTTGCCTCCACGAGGTTGTTCGCCAGAGGTGCTGCCGAAGGGGTCGGCGCGGTTGATGTTCCTGTTGGGAGCGCTCAGACTGCTCTCTCCAGTCTGGTTCTGCTGAAGGGGCGTAGCAGCCTCTCGTGGGAAAGCACCAGGAATGTCTTGTCCAACACCAGCTGAAGGTGCTCCGAAGTTGGAAAAGGCATCCTTACGGTCTTCAGCCCTGGTTGAGCGCTGAGTATCACTGGTGATACTGGCTACAGGAGATGCTGAGAAGTTACGGTTGAACAGAGAAGGATTAAAATTGTCGGTCTCCGTACGGTTAGTTTCTGTTCGCTCCACCGTAGGTTTTTCTGCTATTGGAGTGCTCGCAGGAGATGCCTGGGAGATTGTAGGTGTCTCGTTGCCAGGGCCACCATATCTGCTGGCAGGAGCAGTACCTCGCACGGAAGAGCTGAACGAGTCGGATCGCTGACCCCCTTCCCTCAAAGGCAGGAATGAAGAGCCGAATTGACGCGACTCAGGGGGAGCTGGCGGGTCTGCAGCGCGTGGAGATTCTTGGTAAGAAGACAGAGGGGGTGAAGTAGAGGGTGTGGGAACGTCAGGTCCTTCGGAAGAGCGTACTGATTGGCCGGAGGGAACAGAGAAGCTGGGACCTTGGCTCTGGTTATCGGGACGGAAAGAGACGGGAGGTGCTGTGCTCTGGGGAGTGCCGAAGCTACCAAAAACGCTATCAAAGTCCTTGTGAGGTCCTTCACGTGCGAATCCAGATGGCGACATGGTGTTCTCCGCAACGGGCTGGGGCGACTTGCGGAAGAATGGGTTGGTGCTCTGGCTTGTAGTGGACGCCGCAGGGCTGACGGCGACGGCGGGGGTCTGGGCCTGCGGACTGCGGGTGCCCTCTTCCTGCGACCTGGTCAAGTCGTTCATTTCGTTCCTAATCTTGTCGCGTTCTCCCTCATTGGTAGCAAGCTGCTTCTTGTTGATAGCAACCATGCCCTTCTGCTGTCGGGCATCGTTCCTCATCTTGTCAAGCTGAGGACGCAGCTGTCCAATCTCGGTGTTGAGCTGGCGGATGCGTTCTTTCAAGCTGTTGTTCTCGCGTTGGTCAGCCTCAAGTTGACCTCCCACCTGGCGGTGCTGATTCTGGAGATCCTGGTAAGAGCCCTCGATCATAGCAAGGTCCTGTTGCAGCTTGCGTGTCTCGTTGCGAGAGGCAGCCAGTCGGTCCTCTAGCGCCTTGACAGCCTTGACTTCCTGGTCGTACTGGGTCTTAAATTGCGAGAGGCGCAGCTCAAGGTCGCGCTTCTGAGTGTTGACACTGTTGAGATCGCCCTCGGTCGCAGTCTTCTTGTTCTGAACCTCCTGCATCTGGTTTCGGAGAGTGGTCATCTGGTTAGACATGTTGGCCAGGTCAGTCGAGTCTTGCGTCAGCTTCTTGTTGATCTCGGCAACATCCTCTCCACCCAGCAAATCGTCCATCGCGGATGGTGTGGAGTGTTGTGGCACGCCAGAAGTACCCGATTGGCCTGTAGAATGCGCAGTAAGAGTCTGACCAAATGAAGAACTAGGCATGAACGGCTTGAAGGTGGAAGCGGGGTTTCGCGGTTGAGGCTGGAATGGGTGAGGAGACGTGGGCGAAGTTGGCTTGCTTCCGAAAGGATCAGCCTCGAATGGCTTGCTGAAGGTAGCAGAGCCGCCTGTCGATTGCGGTTGCTGAGGAGCAGGAGCCGGTGCTGTGAAGGCGTCGAGTCCGAAGAGATCATCTGCAGCTGATTTGGCGGCGCGAGGAACGGGTGGCGCTGGCTGAGGAGCGGCTACTGGTACTGCTTGGTTGGCGGCTGTTCGTAGGCTCGGGGGGATCAGGCTGGGTGGTAACGTTGCTGGAAGCTGGTCTCCCTTCCGTTGTTGACGGATGAGGTACATTGCGACTGCGAACTCGTCCTTGGACAGCTGACCCTCCGAATTGATGTCTGCGAGGTCCCATATCCCTGCGAGGACATCTTCGGGCAGCCCGGAGTCGCTGAAGAAGCGCACTGCCTGGTCTCCAGTAATGAAACCGCGACCCATAGTGTCGACCGTCTTGAAGAGGTTGTCGTATGAAGCCTTCTCTTGTGGGCTGATCAGCCAATCGCTGCCGGTTGGTTGGGGTGCTGGAGCCGGTGCTCCAAATGGTGTCCGTCCAAGCGGGCTCGATTGCCGTGGCTGGTTTTGCTGCCCACTGAACTGGCGCGGGATGGACATGGATTGGTCGGGTCGGCCTGGTGGAGGTGGGAGTTGTCCTCGTCGCGAGGCGGCTTCGTACAGGCCTGGGGGTAGGGCGGTCGGGAGGGCCTTCATATTGCCTATTCGGTAGGAAGCGAGCATGTGCATGGCAATGATGAACTCGGTCACATTCAAGGCGCCACGCTGCTCCGTATCGGAGAGGTTCCATATGCGACCAAGGACTTCATTGGGTAACCGCGCTTTCTCGAAGATCTCCTTTGCATTCTCGCCTGGGTGTGTTAGAGAGTCGCCCTACTCGCATATCGAGATACCTACCAGACAGCACGCCATTGACGGCACCAGACTTCTCGAATAGGCCTGCGTATTCAGCAGCCTTGGCGGGTGCTAGCGGAGGCACTCGGATGGGGCCATTGCCGCTCATCTGAGGTTGTATCGAACCGGTGGGCTGTGGAGAGAAGCTCGGGGCGGCGGGAGGAGCGGATGGGATGTTCAAGCCCTCGAACTTGGGCAGGGGCGCAGCTACGAGAGTGTTAGCGCATAGCGATACTAAGAGCGATTGAGGCCGTACGTCTGAATGCCAGCTCTGGAGCCGGATCTCTGCCGGCCTGGTAGTGTCCAATGAGGCGCAGGACCTGGCAGAAGCCAGCCATGGTCAGGAGACCACGGTTCTCCGTGTCTGCAATCTGCCATATCTCGCCCAGGACAGCGGGTGCTAACTTGGTGCGCTCGAAGAACTTGACGGCAATCTCGCCTGTTATGACGCCCAGCTTCTCCGTGTCGGCTTGCTGGAAGAGGAACTGGAAGACGCGCTTCTCCTCAGGCGTCAGGTTGAGGACGGGCTGGTCTGCGCCGCATTAGCTGGGACTTGTCCAAGTGTATGTCAGCACGCACTCAATTCGCCGCTCTGTGCGAGGTCCGCCATGGCTGCGTGGGCTCCGTGGACGGCGCTCGTGGTTGTTAGGCTTCTGCCTGGGTGGATGAGGCTGAAGCTCCCGGCGCTGTCGTGTAATGGAGCGGGGAAGCTTTGGGCGGCCGGGCGGTGGAATGCTGCAGGGCTAGCGGCCGGCGGCTACACGCGAAAAAACACCTTCGAGTAGCGATGGAAAGCCGTTTGGGGTCAAGGGGCGGCGATGGTGGTAGCAATGTTGATGGGGAGTTGGCCTTGAGGGAGATGCGCCGGAAGCTTGATCCTAGTGATGCTAGGCGCGAGTTAGTCGTTAGTGCTGCGTCGATGCTCGCAACTCGTCTATTGGGCGGGAACACAGCAGCTGTCACGGGCCCAGCCACGCTGTCCCATGCATTACATCCCGCGCTGCCACTCATTTACATGCACATGGCCGGCCTCCGCATTTCACCCAGCCCTCGGCCAATCGCGCTTGAAGAATTATTCCGCATGTGTGACCTAACGCACCTGGTCATCAGCGGTGGATACGCATGTGAAATTGACGCTGTTGTGTGAGCATGGGTGTTGTCATTACTTCGTGATTACAAGTCTTGTACAATAGAGTGGTGAAGGGCCTGTACACCAACGCCTCATCGCCGCTCGCCACGACCCCGACTGTTCTTCTCTCTCCAGCATTTGACAAAAGCCAGACTAGGGCTCACTTCCTCACGCCTGCCCCACGCCCGTCCCAGAAGCCAATCAGTCACACTGATAACCTTGGCCGTCCTGTCCCAGTGCTGGCCCTCTTCTGTGTGCTCGATGATGTGATTCAAGATGCGCCCCTCTTCGTCGAATTCAAACTTGAACAGCCCAGTAAACTCCTGGTGCGGCCTCTTGGATCCCGCGACGATGCTCGTAATCTTTTCGACTACGTCGCTGACCTGGCCGTTCTCCTTTTCCGATTTGCATGTTTGCCACCGGACTATGAGCTTCTCGTTGCGTACGTTGCTTGTGGTTGATCCTCCATTCTTGACCATGCGCTCAGACAATATCTTGAGCTTCACATTGCCCAGCACGGGGACCTGGCCCCATGCGACCGGCGCAGTCCATAGTGCTGCTGCGTATGAAATCCTCCCGCTGACGGTGGGTAGGTGCGGGTGCGTTGAGGGGAATAGTTGAAGACTGATCTGCGGGGAAAGTATGTCTTGCGGTAGGGGCGATATTAACAGCGTGGGTAAGCGATCGTGGAGTACTCGGATTGCTGTGACCGTGTTAGCCATCCACTCCTGCTTGTAGAAGGTGCCATCCTACTGTTTCCGAGTTTCAAATTGCGCTCATTCGAACGCGCCTTCTCGCGCTCATCGGATTTCGCATGGGAGCATGGCGACGAGCTAGTAAACCAGTGCCTTGACACGGATGCCTGTCTCGCGCCAGCGTCGGTGAGGGTCCTCTTGTACTGCTTGAGCCCCAGCAGCCGGGGCGCAGTGAGCGATCTCGCTGTCCTAGTGGGGAGTTGCGTGCGGGCAAATGTCGAGAAGCGCCGCATCAGACCGCTGGTCATCTGTGTGGATAGGGATATGCGACCATAGGTGAAGATGTGCTAGGTGGTGAAATGGCAATTGCGGAGGATTCGCTGTCTTCGTGCGCTAGTCGTGCCACCGAAAAGCGTGCTTAGGTGGGTCCAACCTCCAAATGCCGGGGTAGGGGTTGTGACGTAGGTTTACCGACCATCTACATCCCGCTGTAGCTACCGTCCCTTGCCACGCCTGTTCGCATTGAGATGTCCCGGTGGGACGATCGATCTCCAGATGCACAATGACGCCTATAAAGATGAGGATATCTCTGCTCAACGATTCTTTGGATGAATTTCCAATCCTGTCTCAGCAGATTGACTCAGACGCCAGTTAGACCTTTTGTTTACAACGGGTAAGAATGACCCCGCAGTTACCCCATGCCCAAGCCACCACTAACATATCGAGTATCAGATCGCGAACATACAGGAACATTCTTTCAACCCTTAGGTTCTCCACAATGGCCCCCTCAGGAAAGCGTATCGTCTTCACCGGCGGCTCAGGAAAGGCTGGACGCCATGTCATCCCAGAACTCGTCAAGAAGGGCTACTCAGTACTCAATCTCGATTTGACAGGTAGATCCTCATTTTCTTCGCTGCAGTGTTCTGTTGATTGACAGCCATCAGACTTCCCCGATCCGAACGCCGGAGTCTTCACCCTCAAAACCGACCTCACAGACAGCGGCCAGGTCTTCAACGCACTCACAACCCACTTCAACTTCGCTGGCTATGAAGGACCTCACGTACCCGGCCCACCAGACGCAGTCATCCACTTCGCAGCCTACGCACGAAACATGCTGGTACCCGACAACGAGTGCTATGCCGGCAACGTGAGGTCCACATACAATGTCATTGAGGCAGCATGCAAGCTTGGTGTCAAGAAGATTATCATCGCCAGCAGCGAGACCACCTACGAAGTGTGCTTCGGCCAAGGAGATCTCGACTACACCGCTTTTCCGCTATCCGAAGACATGGATGTGAACCCCATGGACACCTACGCCATCTCCAAACTCTGCGGCGAGCGCGTCGCCCGCGGATTTGCCCGCAGATTCGACGCAGACATATACGCACTCCGCATTGGAAACGTTATCGAGCCCCACGAGTACGAGCGCGACTTCCCAAAGTACATCAAGTCCCCAGAGTGCCGCAAGAGAAATGCTTGGGCGTACATTGATGCTCGTGACCTTGGTCAAATTTGTGATCTATGTGTACAGAAGGATGGACTGGGCTTCCAGGTCTTTAACGCGACGAACGATACCATCACTGCCACTTTCCCGACGAAGCAGTTCCTGGAGCAGTACGCGCCGAATACGCCGATTACGAGGGAGATGGATGAATGGGAGGCGCCGCTGAGTAACCGCAAGATTAGGGATGTTCTTGGGTTCAAGGAGGAACATAACTGGCGGAAGTACTACAACCCTGATCATTAGGCGTGAATTTACTACCATCAACAATACCATACACATATTCAAGGGTCAGATATCCGAATGTCGTTTGAGTTCTATTATATCCACATCTTAATACTCTTACACCGCATCTCCTCTTTCCTCCACATCACTCCGTCCGTGCTTCTCACTCATAGCAGTGACGACGTTCCCGTTGTCCCCGCCCACCTTCACCCTCCCAGTATCCCCCTTATGTCCCTGCGTCCCTATCCTCAAAAAGGGAACAAGAAGCAATCCGGGCACTGAAGCGGCTACTGCGAACCAGAACACCGCCGCAAACGGCTCAGCAGCATTTTTCGCGTAGTAGCCAGACGTAGCAGGATGTCTTTGAACGGCATCGAATATGGCAGTCGCGGCACCATACGCAATTGCAGTACACAGACGAGTCAGAGTCTGGAATAGTGAACCGGCAATAGACTGTTTGTTCGTGGGCATGGATGAGAGGACATACATCTACTCGTAATCAGCGTCAAGAATCACTAACGAGATAAATTGAGACGAAGAAGATACTCACATTAGCGACAATGAACTGAAAGTCCACCCCAATAACACACAAACACAGCGCGGGGAAAGAAAACGCCCAATACGAGTCTCCATACCTCTGCACGGCGGCAAGAGTGAATGAGACGGTTAGTGCAGCCGCACCAATACCCACGAGTAGTTTGTTGGAGACTTTGTGTTGGACGAGGGCGGCTACGGCATTGGCGGTTAGTCCGACGATGACCATGGGGAGCATGTGCACGCCCGTCATGAGAGCGTTGTAGTCGAGTTGGGTTTGGAAGTAGAGGGCGATCCAGAAGGAGAAGATGGGAAAGCCGAGGAAGCCGCAGGAGAGGATGGCGAGAAGCTGGGGTTGGTGGGCGTGTTAGTGGGTCGTGTTGGATGTCTTCTGGTGGTGGAGACGGGGATAGGAAGGAGGACTTACAAGGGAAAAGTCCCGGTCATACCAGATCTTCATGTCGATCATAGCATATGGGTATTTGATCTCCCATACGACAAACGCCGCAATGAGAATAAGACCTAGGATCAGCAGAACGAGCACGTACGGCGTCTTCCACCCCTGTGGTGCATCGCCTCCCAAACTACCCCAAAATCAGTCCGACACCCTCTCAACCCTACATAAAGAACATACCTCAACGCCGCACAAAACATGCCAATCCCCAGCACCGTCAGCCCCGTCCCCGGCAAATCCAACCTCTTAACCGTCTCGGCATCCAACCTCCTCTTGGGCGTCCCATCCCTCGGCACCGTAAACGCCGCGACAATACTAGTCACAAAGTACACAATAGCAAGTAACCAAAACCCCGCTCTCCAACTAAACACCTGCGTAAACAGTCCCGATAATATCGTCCCGAAAACAAAGCCCATGGGGTTTCCTGCGCTGAAACAGCCAAAGGCGCGGTTCTTCCTTCGGCTGGGCAACTCGTAGATGGCGCCGAGCATGCCTTGAGCTGGAGGTACGGAGGAAGCGGAGAAGATGCCTAGCACGCCGCAGAGGATATCCAAAGTCATGCCGGAGGTAGAGAAACCGGCACCGAGACAGAAGAGGGAGAAGAGGAACATGGAGGCTATGAACATGGTTTTACGGCCGAATAGGTCTGCTACGCTGCCGAAGAAGAGCAGGAGGGACCCTGCTGTAAGTCTGTAGTTTTTAGTCTGCGTCAGTCGAGATGTTTTGCTGAATATATGCATACGATGTCGCTGCATTCATCCATGTGATTTCTGCATTCGTCATGTTAAGATCCCGCGCGGCGAAGGAACTCATGACTGTGATCGAACCGGTTAGGAAGCTCGTCATGGCTACGGCCATGGTGACTGAGGCGATGAACATGCATTCTTGGAACGTCGATGTGAAGCATTCTGGTCGAGCGTTGGGGTCCTTGTCGCTGATTGGCTGTTCATGATGGGAGAGGGAAGCGGCGACTTCGGCGTCTGCGTCTGCTGCGTCCGCCCCCATTTCGTCTCCGAATGCTGAACGGAAAATTGAAAAAAAAAGCGCAAAGAGCAATTGATGGAAAAGATGCTATGTGTGTTCCGAATTGATGAGACAGGGATTTGATAAGCAATGATCGAAATGCGCCGATTGTGGAATTATTCAGCGCGCGGAACTGGTCCATGATGCGCGCGTGTTGCATGATGTCTAGCCGCTATTTAGGCAAGTGATGGCTGCACTATTCCCGGCTTGCATATATGCGCACTTACGGACTCGCAGAAACACCGATGTCAAGGTCCGCGGAGTGTGTTGAAATGCGCTAGGAATCAGATGGTAGGCTCATAAAGAGTGTAAGAGCGAAGATGGATATCATGGTGAACGTATGTTATCTTACAGCTTGATTACTTTCCACTCACCTAGTTGCATCCTTCCTAGCTGACCACCTAATGGCCCTTGTACCTCTCTTCCGTTGGCCCATAGCTTCTTGCCTGCCCAATGCTCGATGAATCCATCTGGGCCTGATACTATGATCAATCTTGAGCCATTCTCTGCTGGTGACCTTTGTATCCTCTTCTCGATCTCGGTTGGGTGTATAGATGTCTTCTCGTCATCGACGTAGTAGTTGACACTGAGGCCTTCGCCTTTCGTTGCTTCGCTTCGCTTCTTGAGCGCATCCAGTTCCCTCACTATAGTGCCCTTGGGCGCGGTAGATGAGTCCTCTGCAAGTGGTGCTGCTGCAACAGACTCGCTGGAACCGAAGAAGCTCTGCCACCAGCCTACTCGGTCCAATGCAGATGTTGTGCTACCTCTGTCGTCGCTAATACCCCCTACACATTCTTCACGCCGCCTATTCGCCCATAGGATATGCATTCGGCTTCCAGTCCGTCGGCCTAGCGCTTGCGCAACCTGCATTGCGGGCGCTATGCCAGTTCCGCCTGCCAGGAAGACAACCTCTATGATATCACGCGGGAGCTGAAGTTCGGTGTTCGGTCCTCGTAGCTCGACGGTGGACTGTTCGGGTAGTCGGTGCAGGTAGGTCGAGACCTCGCCTCCTTGCTCCTGTCGTATGAGTAGCCTCATGTCTTCAGGCTCATTCTCGCCATTCTTATGGACGTCTGGTGGCAAGGGTGGGAGCGGTGTGTATGCGCGCGCAATCTGTAGTTGTGGCTGCTTAATCTGGACACTCCAGATACTGCGCTTCCACACCTCCTTGACACTTTCCGTGTCTGAGACGCCATTGCTGTTGCGCAATGTAAAGATTGCGCTGGTCGACGAGACGGGCTGCTTGTCTACAAGAGTGTACGGCGTGAATGTATGCGGGTTCAACGATGCGTCGGAGGGGTCTGTAGATTTCGTGAAGCGATACGCGGCGCCGCCGATGGCCGAGGTTCCGAGTACTATCAGGGGCCCTGCTCGCCGTTTGAGCCAGGACATGGCGTCTGTGGGACTTGGCCGTTTTCAACAAAACGTGGTGTTCACGCGCCGTGGGAACTCAATGGAAGAATCTCGACATGACGACATGGCCCAAGCGCGATGCCCACTCTAGTATGCCGAGGCGTGACCATGTCCGATGCCATCATTGCCTAAAGGGTATCTTGTGGCATTCTGATGCATGATGCGCAGATCGAGAGTGTCAGGCTAGGTCAGAGACTATACCAATATTGCTTTATGTGTCGTCCAGTAGACTCTTTCCTGGCACCTGCGAGGATAAAGAGGTTCGACGTCGTAGGGCTGCCGTAGCGCGCGTGGGATGGCTGTAACGCGTCTCTGACTTCTAGAACATGGCGCGGGGTTTTAAGGAGGTGGCAAGAGGCCGATCTGCCAGGTGAAACAACATTAGCGAAGGTTGCTTTCCTTTTCGAGCACATGCACACCTCAGATGCCTCGAAAAGCTAAGCGGCTGCTTCCGTTGGACCCTGCATTTGGCGCCTTTTGACCCTAACCAGGTGGCGGCCTGGCATGAGTTCGTTATCGTACATTGTGACACTTTCATCGCTTTGCCATCGCCCTTACCGCTCTCCTACTGTCACCCTTCCATCTACTCAACTACAAGCCAAGGTACTCCTACAATTCCGATCCACGGTTTCGCACTTGCACCGGCGAATCGCCGGAGTTATCGCGGGATAAGATTTCAGCCCTATTATCTCTTCAACTTTTCACCAACCACGATACAACACCTGGCTGTCGCTTAGACGTCCAGTCTAACTCTCTTGACGCTTCAATATCAGACTCCGTTGTAGAAACATCTCACGCACTGCCCGATTGTTCCGGGCTTCAGATCCGTGACCAAAGCGATGGCGCCTGCCGTTCTGACTCAGCGCCCAAGGATACTCTGCCTGGACGCCTACGACTCTTTTTCAAACAACATTGTCGCGCTGGTCGAACAGAACGTAGACGCGGATATCATCAAAATCTTCATCGATGATCCTATTCTTGCGAAGCCATCGGCCTCTGGGGAGTACACAGCGTTTACCGATTATTTGAAGAGCTTTGATGCCGTCATCGCAGGGCCGGGACCTGGCTGGGCAAAATGTGACGAAGATGTTGGTCTAATGAAGGAACTCTGGAAATTTCGGGATGAGCAGATCATGCCAGTGCTCGGTATTTGTCTCGGGTTCCAGTCGCTATGCCTTGCATTTGGAGCCGATATTGAACGGCTTGCGGAACCAAAGCATGGTATCATAACGGCCGTCCTACACAAGAGTCAGTCGATATTCCGGGGTGTGGAGAGTCTGCTAGCAACGCAGTACCACTCTTTGCAAGTCAAACTCGATCACCCCATACAGAACAAGCGCGCTGTACGCTATCCTGCACAACTTTGGGAACCCACCGAGACCTGCCCCCAGTTAGAGCCGTTGGCATGGGATTTTGACAGCGATCTTAATGGTGCCGTTCTTATGGGTGCCAAACACTTGCAGAAGCCGTTCTGGGGAGTTCAGTTTCATCCAGAGTCGATATGTACAAACGACGAGGGCAAGCGCATCGTCCGGAATTGGTGGGAGGACGCCCAAGCCTGGAACCGGAAGCGCATGTTCAGAAACGTCCCCAAGCATGGTCTGACGTCCAACGTGCCGTCTTTGCCGATGACTGCTGATGACTTCCGACGAGAATTGGGGATCTACGGCACAAAGAAACAGAGCAAACGCTCTTACACCGATTTCGTCGCAAAGCTTGATAGCGACACAATCACGCCGTTCGAGCTGGCTTCGCTCATTGCGCACGGGGACGGGCAGTCATTACCGGATCTACCACCGAGCACTGTGCATTGTGCGACCACGGGAAGTGGACGACTTACCGTTGCTGATGCCTGTGAGCTCTTCGAGTTATCAAGAGGTGAAGCCATAGTGTTAGAGTCGGGACTGCAATCGAACCTCGTACCCATGGCTGTGGGAACAGGCAGGTACAGCATTATCGGTGTCGTCATCCCAGAAGAGACTCTGCGCCTACATTACTACGCTGGCACCCGCAGAATGGAACTCAGAGATGGTAAAGACCAAGTGCATACAGACTGGACCGTGGCCGACCCATGGCCCTACGTACGAGAAGTCATGAAGAGCCTCCAGCCTTCAACTCCGCCACAGGGTTCAACATGGGCTCCTTTCTGGGGAGGTTTGATGGGATATGCATCTTACGAGGCTGGTCTAGAAACAATTGACGTCAAAGGCCACGAAGAAGCCTCATATCCGGACATCTGCTTCGCCTACATAACAAGGAGTATTGTCTTTGACCACCAGATCAAAAAGATCTACGTTCAAAGTATTCGCGGCCCCTGTGACCAGGATTGGGTCATCAACACGACAGAGAGGTTGTACGAGCATGCAGGCTTCAAATCACGAGAGACTACCCCGAACTCCGCCGCAATGAGACAGGTCGACCCTTTCGAGACGCATGGCACCATGCAGCAGTATATTGAGTCGTGTCATCAGCTCACAGTTGGCGAAAACGAATACTGCGACAAAGTCGGTGCCTGTAAGGACTCCATAGCAGATGGCCAGAGCTACGAGTTGTGCCTCACAACTCGCAACGAGGTCCGCGCTCGCAAGCCAACAGCGTGCAGAATATCTCACTCGGAGGACAATGAACATTCCTGGAACCTCTACAAACGTCTGACTGGCCAAAACCCCGCGCCATTCAGCGCCTACGTGAGGATGCACAATGTACATATACTGTGCTCCTCACCAGAGCGTTACATAAGCTGGGACCGATCGCAAACTGCACAATGCCGGCCGATTAAAGGAACAGTGCAGAAAAAACCTGGTGTAACTGCCGAGATGGCCCATGACATCCTCTCGTCGTCTAAGGAACGCGCAGAAAATCTCATGATTGTCGATCTTACCCGCCATCAACTTCACGGCGTCTACGGCTCCGAGAATGTCCGAGTGAGCCAGCTCATGGAAGTCGAAGAATACGAAACACTGTGGCAACTAGTTTCAGTCGTCGACGCAGTACCCAGCGGAATCTACAAGCCTACCACCCCGGAAGATTGGGAAGACCCTGTGGAGTACGCTTCCAAAAAGCCAACCAAACATTCTGTTCCATACCTAGGATTCGACGCATTCGTCGAGAGTCTGCCACCAGGAAGTATGACTGGGGCACCCAAGAAACGCTCATGCGAAATCCTTCAAAATGTGGAGAGTGGTGTGAGACGAGGTATATACTCAGGTGTTCTCGGGTATCTTGACGTTGGAGGAGGCGGCGACTTCAACGTCGTCATCCGTACTGCTATCAAGATCGACGACGACCAGGACGATGACAAAGAAGACGTCTGGCGCATCGGTGCTGGCGGGGCAGTCACAAGCCAGAGCACCCCACAAGGCGAATTTGAGGAGATGATTGCTAAGTTCGGCAGCACGAATAGAGCTTTCATGCCCTTGCCACCACCAAAACCAAAGACAAAGGGCAGGAGGGTTGAGATTATCGAGCCCGATGACCCCGAATTTGCGGAGCTGTTGGCGAGCATGAGAGGTGGAGAGGAATTGACACTCGACGATGCGCAGCTCATGTTGAGGGCTGTGGAACGCGAGCTGAGAAGAAGGAACGCTGCAGGTGATACAGCAGGCTTAATTCCGGGGGAAGAATGATTTGTTTGGTAGGAGTTTGGATGGGCGGAGTCATTTGAGCTTAACCTGTGATACCATGTTTTGAGATGAGATAGAGATAGAAATTCTTGGTTTCAACACCAATGCCATCATGTATTTTACATACCGATTATGTTTAAACCCCCTTCTTCGATCAGCTCCTACGATCACAGATCAGACAACCGTTCCTGTTGGCGATTGAGAGTTGGGTAGGCGCGATGACTAAGCACGCGATTGGTGGGGAGACGTAGCATCGCCGCGTACCTCCAGGTGTAGCATTGCGACGCCAACACGCGACTTCCAGTACCCAACGCCAATGGCGACCGAAACGCCAGACCCACGAACCTTCCAGACGTGGGAGGATGCGTTCCAATACCCTATACCCATCGTCCGGAAGCTTGAACAGCAGCTCCGCAACAATGCCGATGACAATCGAGAGAAGCTACGGTCGCTCGTCGGGTACGAGATGCCAGGCTGATAGGGAGATAGAGATCTAAGAGGCTGACGGAACTACAGGGCAAGCTATCGTAGCCTCCTCGACACGGCCGGTACGATCATCGACATGGAAGTGCGCATGGAGCAGGTGGAAAGTAGGCTTTCAAGAGTAGGGCAGAGCTGTAATTCACGGGGCCTGGAGAAGATCACAAACAACGCGGGCAAGATGGATACCCATACACGAAGTCGCGGTCAGTCTAGAACAATGCATTGGCAAGGGACAGTGGGTTGACGCGCAATAGATGCGGAGCGCTATACTTTCGCGGCCCAGCTTGCAGTCATGCGCAACGCGCCTGTGGTCATGACGCGCCTCATGAAAAGAGAAGGATCATATCTGCTCATCGCGAAAGTCTTGGTCATCTCAAGATTACTCCACAAATCGCTCAGTCAATCCAGCAGCAAAGCGCCAATTGTCGATCAGCTGTGGGACAGACTCCTGTCGGTACGGAGGAAGCTTCTCAGACGGATTGATAAGCGCCTCTCGAACACAAACGGCGAGACCGCCAGCCTGCTCGAAAGCATGTGTGCCTATGCGCTCGCGACGAGCTCCACACCGACCGATGTCCTACACCATTTCCATAAGATGCGAGTGGACAAGATGAATAGTGAGCTTAGGGCAGGAGGCGATGAGCTTGCGAAGCATGGCATCAATGCGCTCAAGCTGTGCATTCAGACATGCCTAGATACGCAGACCATATTTCCACGGCGCCTAGCAGAGGCATTGGGAAAGCTAAAGGCGCACTCATTGATCCAGGACCCCGACGTCCGCAATCTCTACGAGTTGAACCTGGATGTACACGACCGGTGGCTAGGAGACGAGGCTCGGAACTACACACCATGGCCGAGGCACGACGAGTTGCAGCGACCGGAAGCAGAGCGGATACTGCACCGATGGTCGAAGGATGCCATCGCCGCTTTCCTCAAGGGTGTTCAGAAAGCACTGGAGGAAGAAGAACGACTCAAGGAGGTTGCAGATTTGAGGCAAGAGCTGATCGAAACCTGGATATTGTCTGGCTCGCGAATGGCGGGTGTCAAGTCGGCCAACGTTTTAGATGATCTACGAGATGCGATGAACGACAAGCTCGAGGGTATAGTACGATCGCGCACACAGGGGCTGCAAAATGTAGTTACAGAACTTACGACTCGACTGGACACAGTGACTTCATCAGACAAGACTGTAGCACCGTCACTATGGGATACCACCACTAAGGCCTCCGATCTGAGCAATGGCGCGCAGAACTTCAAGTCCGCTATACTCGACACTTACCAAGGCCGGGATGAGCCTGTCATCAGCGTAACTTCTGCCTTTGACAAGTGGATGGAGTCTATCCTGGAAGTCAAGGGCATTGTCAAGAGCATGAAGGAAGCACGATGGGATGACACTTTTGCGGATGATGTAGATGAAGAATCTGATGATGAGCTTGGCGATTCGAAGCAAGCTCTACTCAGCGACGACGATCCGAAGCTGCTAGAAGAAGCTACTCAGGACGCCTTGAGCGAAGCCATGCAAAACCTAAGCCGAAGCTTCAACGCTATCGTGAAGAAGTCTGATGGCGAGCAATCAACACAGAAGGCCACTTTCATGCTGCGCGTGGTCAGGGAAATTGGCGATCGGATACCGCGGTTACGCCTCCAAGATAAAGCAACACCTCTCGCGTCACCCTTCACTCCAGAAATCCTTCAACCTTTGCATACCACCCTCGCTTTATGCGTCACGCGACCAAGCATAGAAGTATTGAAGACCTCGCTTGCAGATTCACTCAAAGTCAAGACGAATAGCCACATCCTGTGGGAAGGACACCCGCCACTACCGAGCCAGCCGTCACCCAGCGCTTTCAGATTTCTGCGGGGCCTGAACAAAGATATGGATGCGCTCGGTAGTGATGTATGGGCGCCCGGCAGCGTCGAGGTCCTGAAAAGTAGCGTCGCCCACGAAGTAGTCAAAACGGTTCAGGAGCATCTCGACGCCATCGTCGCGCCTACGAAAACTCAAAGCCTTTCTATGAAGAAGGAAGACGAAGACAAAGAGGAAGATGGAGCCGAAGACTCTACAAATACTGGTGAAACTGAGAAGGCAGACATTACCCCACCATCATCAAGCCACAGCGAGGCAAAAGAACAGAGAGTCAAACAACTGCTTTTCGATCTTCTCTACATCCAACGCTTCGTTGGCGATACAGGTGCAGACAATGCCGAACTCACAGCGTTCGTACAGAAGACCGAGCTAGTGGCATTGGACGAGGCCGCTATCAACAGGCTGAGGAAGAATGCGGTGGATTATGCGAAGAAGACGTACCTGCTTTTCGCACTGCTCGCGTAGATAATACGTAGACATGCACCAATGATACCAGTACCTATCCTCACTCTGCACTTCTATTGGGCTGATAACATGATGCTCGCTTCCTATAGCCCACACTCCGCGGAGACTGGGGAGATCGAACTTGTTTGAAGATCAAACTAACGGCCATGGTTCCCGTGTGGAAACCCCACTTGGTTCGAACGCCACGATGGGTCTGGTGCAAGACGTCGTCGAGCAAGCAGCTCATCGCTTCGTGCTACTTTGTGTTTCCACTACCTATGCTAAACAAGTTACATGCGGTAAAACTGTATGCCGAGAAGAAAAAAAAGTTCAAACGCCATGCATGATGGATATCTCAGGTTACAAAAGGAAAGATGCTCGAACCCAACTCCTTGTCCCCAGCTTCCTCCAGGAAACCATACAACGCATCACATGCAGATGTGCGCACTACGACACGTCCATACTATCTCCACCCGCCCTCAACCCCTCAATCTCTTTTCGCAGCAGCTCAATCTCCTTCTCCTGCGCCTTCATTTTCTCCAACGCCATCTCAATCAACCGCGCTTTATTAACCGTCTTCTTCTCTCCTGGCACAGACCCCTTCCCACTCCTCACATCGTCGTCAGCACCATCCATGCCCGTCACCTTTTCGCTCCCATCCTCGCCGTCTTTTCCCCTCATAACAACAAAACACGTGGTCCCGCTCCCAAACGTAACTTCACCGTCGAGCAAGAATTCAGCTAGATCTACCATGGCTGTTTTCATGCGGTCGCGCCGGGCTTGCTCGGCGGCGCGGTGCGTGGCGCGCTTCATCATTACGCCTGTGGCCATGGCGGTGCTGAAGTGTAAGCCCATTTCTAGGTGCTGGCCAGAGGAGATTAGTTCGTAGTTTGATTTGGAGGCTAGGAGGTCGGCTTGGGGGGTTGTTACGCCGCCGGCGCCTGGGGGAAGTTAGTTGTTTTCTTCATTTTGTGTTTACGTTGTTTGAGTGAGATTGAGGTCACGGGACTTGATGACAAAGAGGAGGCTTACCGTTGCTATCCGCAGGTACTATGTTACTGCTCCTTCTTGCAATGGCAACTTTCTTAGGTGTTGCGGATGATGCATGGGATATCGACGATATGGTGCTCGCGGTGTCTGCTGCTATTGAGGGCGATCTTATTGAAGATACTGTGGGTGATGTGATGGATTGCGTGGTTACTGATGGTGATTTTAATGGGCGAATGGGATGTATCGGTAGTTGTACGGGCTGCTGCTGTGGCTGTATTTGTGGTGCTGGTTGCATTTGCACGTGCTGCATCTGCTGTACTTGTTGTTGTTGCTGCTGCTGCTGCTGGGCGCTTTCTCTAACCGGACTGTATCTCCTCCTCTTTTTGAACAACTGTGGCCATGTTCTACTCAGCGGACCCCGATGCCCGCCTTCATTCCTCTCGTTATCGGGCGGTCCACTCGGCTGTGGATATGGCTGCATGATTCATCGAGCCGCAATACCAGACGCTTTGCGGTGGATGTGATGTTGTAGAAGTCTCCAACAAGCAGTAGTCGTAGCAACAGTGTACCAGAGGTGTGCCTAATGCGGGTTGGATGTCAGACTGGGCTACCACCCACAAGAGGCAACAACAACAACGACGGGGTATCGAAACAAGGCGCCAACAAAGACCAGAGCGAAAGCACGAAGTCGACGGATCCAAGGCTCTGGGGATCTTGAGCTTGTTTAGCTGAGCTGCGCACGTACAGCCGCGTAGCAGGCGGGTACAGGTGTTATGCGTGAGCCGTCGAAGTCGGCCTCATCCGTGGGTCGAGAGCAGCGGTCGCAAGAAGGCGTAGTAGACGCGCGATCTGGAAGGAATTCCGCGCATGCTTGCACTGGGCCGTTAAAAGCAAATGGCGTCCGCAGCGCGACTGATTGTGAGCGAAGCTTTTGCTTGGCGCAACCCAAAGACGTGGTGTTGCTGTTGACTTGGAGGTGCGTGAAGGCGTGGCTGAGCCAACCAGACCTCGCCCCGTGAGCACATGGTCTTGGCGCGTCGACGCATGCTAAAGCGCCCCTTGTCTCAAACCTAGGACGCCGAGTGCTTAGTTGCCACTCTTACTGCTCAGCACTGCAATCAAGTGACATTCCCTCCGTGCGCAGGGTCGAGCCTCCGCTGCGGAAGCTACTCCAGTCTACCGAGACGGAACGTCGCGGAGGTCACCTTCTATATTCGGAGTCGTCGATGAAACAGCCGATAGCTTACATATCGTCGCGGGGATCAATGAGCGCTGGACAAGAACACACGTGCTGGAGATCAATATGGAAAGTGTTTTCGCGGCTTCTGCCGGCCCACGATATGGTGGTCAGATCATGATGATCGAGGTCGTGCTCAGAGTATTGTCCATCTAGCGATTCAGAGGAAATACCCCGCCTAGTCAACCAATGCTATTTGGTTGGACAACAAGGTGTCTGCATGCACATGTTGTTCCTTTCCCATTGTGATACGTGGCCAGACGAGTGATCTCCTGTCACATTAAGATGGGAAAGTTATATTCGTTATGGACCGCATTCAAATCATGCTCACATGTCGCTAATCCAAGCTGTTCGTTCTACTGGCCATCTCGTGGCTTTCGTAGCTTCGCTTGCCTTTTACCTGAACCCCAGGTACATACTCCAGATCCTCATCCTCCAAATCGGTGTCCAGGTCCTCCTCACTGAGCATCTTGGGGTTTAGTGCAAAGGCGCCTTTCGGTACAAAAGTACTTGTCAAGACCAGCACACTGATGATGGTGAATTGTACAGCAGCCACGTTCAGCAAAGCCCCGTGTATCTGTTCGTTGTGGCGATCGGAAACGCGGTCGATGTAGGTCCCGAGGGAAACGGATGCGATCGCGTACGTGACGATGTATGTGCTGTAGAGGAACGCCATGACGGCACCGAGTGCGGATACGTTCTGGGTCTTCGATTCGATGCGCGCTAGCGATGCCTGAATGTATGCGGCGAGCGATACGTCGCCGGCAGCCCACCCGAAACTGATCGGGAGGAACGTCGCTCCCACAATCCAAGCTTGAGCCACGTCGTTCTTAGGTGGGTTCCAGAAAGGTAGATACCAGACTATCAGGAGAGCCAGGGCGTCTAGCCGAAGCCATGGTATCGGAGTGTGCACCAAGTTCGTGAACATGAATACAAACAGCGCCCCTAGCAGTTCGCCAAAGTTTGAGCCTCCCACTATGATCTGTGACCATGCTGAGTTTCCGAAATAGCGACGTGCTACGGCAGGAGCGATTGCGTTCTCGAGGTATCGGTGTGCATAAAGCGCGACAGCATATCCGGGCAGTAGCCAGATAAACTTGCGGTGTTTGAAGATGATCTTAGCACCAGTTCCAACGGACTCGAAGAAAAGGTAGAATCCGCCTATAACGGCCTTGACGTAGGTTGGCTGACTCTCCAAGATCAGAGACCTGCCCTCCTTCGGTATGCTGGCTTCCTGGATGAAGTACCAGAGTATGGATGCGGCGGCGAAGAAGATGGGCGTGATGATGAAGCTGAAGTTGTTGCCGAAACGGGGAATGAGCGCAAGTGCTGTGCAAAAAGCACCAGCAGTACCGCTGATCTCGTAAAAGATGTGGACCAGAGAGTCCATTCGTCGAAGCTTTTGGATGTTGCCGCCAACCAGGTCGCGCGGAATGACTCGTCGGATCAACTCGACCATACCGTAGACTATACCACAGACGCAATCTATTGTTTGTCAGTAAGACGAAATCAGATACGAACCTGTACCTGCTGCTCTTTTGCATGGCCCACCAGCGACAGCTTTAGCAGCAGCATACATCAGAGTAGAAATGACCGAGAAGGCAAATCAGTTGGCAGACTGGAGCTGTAGACTTACAAATGGGTATCATCGCGTCCGTATCATAGTCACCATAGTAGCTAAAGTCATCCTTTGGCCATCCGCGCGGAGCGAACCTGCCGCCAGTTGCAGCGTCCAAGATGAGCAAGACGCTGCTCATAAATGCGAATATAAGCACTGCACAAGCCAGAACGTTCTTCGTTGGGTATCTCTTGATGAGTGGCGCGATCAGTATAGATCCAACACACTGGAAGGCTTGATTTAGTCCAGTCAAGACGCCGACGCGTTGGAACGTAATGGAGATGTGCGTTGTCTTCTCGAGTTCATCGTATCGGTTAGTCGCAAGCGCAATGACAGATCCGTTGAATGCCTCGAGGCCGAACTTGTACATCATGATGCCAGCGATGTAAATGGCGATGTTCCGTCGTTCGACAGGAGTGTAGATGTTCCATGTCTCGCGCATGACAGCGATAGGCCGGACCATGGTGAGAGTCGGGGCACGTAACGTGCGGTGGTGGTGCTACGAGTAGAGACAGCTAGCCCGCAAATGCGGAGAGACCTGGTTTATACGTCCACGATGCCGGAACGGTGGTGTTGAGGAGTGGACCAATTGGGTGAGGAGGCTATCGCATGCGGTACGCTACGGCGTCCCGTGGGTGTTCATAGAAAATGACGCCCGCATCGGTGACGAGGAGGCATTGCAAGAGCCCTGTCGTTCGTGTTAATGGAAAAGACGGCGTGGAGCGTTTGCGAGCCAAGTTGCACGGGCATGACCCCAGTCGTTGTGAGGACTTGGCGCGCCCGTCAAAAGCTGGCCATTCAGGTGACCCACGTGGGCCGACAGCTGGACCGCCTGGGGTAAGCACCTAGGCCGATAAGAAATGCCAACCCGAACAGTGCGTTGCAGATGGACAAGGTTTATCGTTCAGCTGTCGTGGCTGTCACAATGCGTGTATTAGATGTGGTATCGTTACTTGTGATAAAGCGACGAGGTGTGGTGAAGACGAAGCCCTAGCAAAGCATCTTGCGCAATGTGCGATACGCCTCCATTCTCTTGACAAGCCCATTTAGTACCGAAACACAGGTTGGAGTGGAGATGGGTTCCTCGCATGCAGAACTAATGTCGCTTATGAGCGGCGGGCTATCCTAGGTGCGCATCAGTGGAGGTGAGACGTCACGAAAGCAGTCAAGTCAAGTCAATTGACATGGTGTAAAGGGTTCCTGCATTAGAACCAAAATCCAGTAGACAAGGATACACTGCGTGCTCGTTTAGATCTCGTCTGTTCAAGTCAGTCTGCTTCCTAGACTGTAAGCCGGAAGACGAAGCTGACCTGTCTGTGCCTCCAGCTTCCGCACCAGTAAGCGACAGTCGCTATCCTTGGTACAGGAAGTATGTCGTAGAGATGCCAGAGACCGATTTCTGGATGCTAGTCTCTCCAGGCAGTAGTGCCATGCCTTCAGAGTGGTGCACAGTGGCTGTGGGTATCGGAAAGGGTCATAACGCCAAATAGCAGACTCGCAGAACCTCAATCAGAGTCGTCCTCCCTGTGCCGCCTGGCTTCTTTAGCTCTGGCAGTCCTTTCCTCGTCTTCAGCCTCCCTCTTGGCTAGGCTGTCGCGCATTCTCTCCTCTTGCTTCCTCCAGTGACTTCCTTCCTCATAGTCTGCGCTGATGCCCAAGGCTTTGCGCAGCCTCTCGCTCTCTTCTGCTTTTGCTTTGGCAAGGTCGTGAACTTGGTGCGACTTGAGGCGCTTCGCATTAGGACCGAGATCTTTGCCGTCTTTTCGTTCCTGATCGAGTTTGCGGCGTAAGCCTTCGCACTGATCGTCAATCTCGTCTTCGTCGACGCCTTCATCTTCAAGCTTGTCGCGCAGCTCAAGGACCTTGACTTCGATGTCGCGCTTTGCTTCGTGTTCGAGGATCTCGGCATCTGGCTGTCTTGGGCGGTGTTTGGCGTGTTCCCAGTCTTTGGGGTAGGGCTGGATCTTGTCGCGTGGTCGAAGAAGGGATCGGTTCTTCTGGACGTAGCCCGAGGTTCCGCTACCTCTTGGCGTGGTGAGGCCTACGTTGTCGGCCATGGTGCTTGGTGGTGTGGTGGGTGGAGATGGGTGTCGCGTTGGGGCGTGTTGCTGGCGAGAATGATGGATGGTTTGCGGAGAGCTCGGAGGTGAGCACGGAGGCCCAAGCGCAATGATGGAATGGCTCGCCCCACCAAAACTTTACCCTTGGTACTGTGCAGACTTACCCAGAGATGGAGTCATTGCCTTGCGATATAAATCTTTGGGGACTTCTTTCCCATCCCTTGTCACACAAATCCCAGCCACCATGACTCCACAAGACGCCTCAAGCGACGATGCCGCCTCTGCGCCTGTCGAGGTGGGGTACAGAGAACTGCCCTTCCCGCCAGTCACCAAAGAGCACATTTTGAACTGCTCATACCACAAATGGCATCCCAAGTAAGTCACTACTTCTTTTAGTTGCTAGATTCTTCTCTAACAGCAATAGATACCGCGCCATTACCCCCAAAGCGCGTCTCATCCCCCTTCCACCTGCCTTCCTCGACTACCTTCGATCAGACGGTATCATCCTACCTCCCGATGAGAACGACGACCCTTCGTGGTCAGACAACGACAGCGGCATATTCTCGGGTGCGGACAACAATGACGACGATGAAGACGAAGGCCAAGACCCGAGCGCCAATTGGCGCGACACACACGAAGCCATCGAGCGGATCATCGAGGAGTTGGGCGGCAAAGTCGCACCCAAGCTGAACTGGAGCGCGCCAAAAGACGCGACTTGGATAGCCGCCACCAACAGCATGGAATGTCGGACACCAAACGACATCTACCTACTGCTCAAAAGCAGCGACTTTGTCACACACGATTTGGCGCACGCCTTTGACGACACAGCCAACCAATCCACAACACCAGACCCGGAGATCCCGTATCATCTCGTGCTAAGGAAGTGGATCACGCTCAACCCCAGTGTTGAATTCCGATGCTTTGTGCGGAATCGCCGGCTGATTGCCCTGTGCCAGCGGGATCTGAACCACTTTGATTTCTTGTTTAACATGCAGGACAAGCTACGAGATACCATTCAAGACTTCTTCGACGCGAAACTGCGCGATACATTCCCCGATCCCAACTTTACCTTTGACGTATACGTACCGCCACCGCATGATAAGGTGTGGGTGGTCGACTTCAACCCATGGGCTGTGCGGACTGATCCTCTGATTTTCTCATGGATGGAACTCCTTACTATGGAGGTACCCGACGCAACACCTCTCGAGGAAACGACTGTGCGTTTGAAGATTGCTCAGCCAGAAGACAAGGGCGTGCCAGTTGAGGCAGCTAGTGACACCGTAGATGAGGATGAGGACACAGATGAGGACGACATTGAGGAGTTATGGCAGCCAGAGTTCCGCCTTGTACGGAGAGATGACCCAGAAGCATACGGCTTCTCGACTCCACAATATAGTGCGCATAAGCTTCCCAAGGACGTAGTAGATGCAAGTAGCGGCGGAGAGGGCCAACTGCGAGAATTTGCAATGCAGTGGGAACAAGCGCAGAAGTTGGCTGAGCAACAAAGAGCGGAAGATAGCGAGGACGATTAGCTACACGGACCTACCGTAGCGTAAGGGAGGAGTCATAACTGCATACATCTTGGCGTAAACAAACAGACGTTTGCAAAACCGTGATTGGGCGTCTGTGGATGTTGGCCAGCCTCGTCGCGTGAGGCTCTGGGTCCGCCACCGGGACTCGCAGTGACTCGCTCCTGCAGGGCCTCTGTTTGTTTCACCGCTCCACACCCCACATCCATGATTCGTCGACATCCCATCCTTCACCCAACCTTACAATAACACGTCGCTCGACACGTTGTTTTTGCTCGTGGTCAATTCATGCTACAATAAATACTGATAAAGACCCATACTTTTGGCCAACATTGAATACCACAAATTTTTCATTACGACTACAAAATGAGCGTGACGGATAGCAGCAGCTACAGTGGTTTCTTATCGATACCCACCGAGATACGATGCCAAATTTACGACTACCTCCTCACGGAACCGCACGCAATCACAATTAGTGCTGGCTACACTACGTGTTTTGGCAACCGGATACAGGATCGCGCTCGCAAGACGAAAATTCCTGGTCTACCACTCGATCTCGCGCCGCTGGCACGCCGCCACCACGATGCATCTCTCCTCTCAGTCGCGAAGCCACCCACGATTGCCGTCGAGAATGGACACATGGAAGACATTGAGGGCGAGAGGCTGGGCTTCCCCGCTGCGGTGGCGCTGATGTTGACGTCTCGATTGATCAATGACGAGTTGAACGATTGTGTTCGTAGGCGGAGACACATCGCGCAGGCGCGTTCTACTGTTGATGCCGATGGAGTCGTTCACGACGACGAACAAGACCAGGAAGGCCTGTCACTTTACGTGTCTTATCCTTACGGCGTCTTGGTATTGAAGCACCAATACCCATACCTATTGAAACAAGCGCGTCGAGTCTACATCTCTGGATACTACACACCTCAGCAAGAGAACCAGCTCGATCAACGAGATCTCCAGACAAGCCACGATGAGCGCTTGACGCCATCCAGCAGCTTCGCAGCACAATCCTTCACCACGCCGTCATCCGGACCAACAACAAGCTTCACACGCTCCACCTCCCGACGAACAGCCCGCCACGGCGTCTCCATCAACGCCGCGCGCCCTCGCCTCCGCCTCGATCCTCCCCTCCCACGCGAATCCCGCCAAACAACCAGCATACCCACAATCTTCCCCTCCTTCTCCGTCTCCACCTCGACCGAAGCCCCTGCCGCCCTCGCCCACCTCATCACCACCCTCTTCCCCAAACACACCACGCCCCTCACGAAACTCACAACCCGCATCCTCTTTCCAGGCGAAGATTCATACGGCTCCGTCTGGGGCGACGACAATAGTCCCGTCTCACACATCCTGCGTAGTATCCGCGGCGGCAAGATCGATATGAAGGTCCTGAGAGGTAGCCTGGGAACCGGCCTGAGGCTGACGGCTAGGCCGAAACCTGAAACGAGGATTGTGAGTACGAGTTGGGTTAACTGGAAGAAGGGGGATGTCGCCACGAGAGGTGCAGCGGGGACGGTGAGGAGGGCAGGTGGAAGATTGGGTGTGGGTGATTTGGATGCGTTTTTGATGGGTGAAGAGGGGGCTTAGGACGACTTTGACATCTACGGAGAAAAGGAAGGTGTCTGTGGACGAATGGCATGGCTACTGTGTGGCATGTACAGTTTCACAGACTTTTGACTATATATGTTTTCTTTGTACGATACATTCAGTTATATATCTTTTATGTTCACCCGAACGAGCGATTCACCAGACCATTCGAATAGAACAGTCTGCTGGATTTCAGCCTCTTCTCTTCAATTCCTGGTATCCTCCGTCTCTATTACGCTCGATATATCTATTCCAACTGTGCACTCTTTTGGTAACGAGTGCGCTACCCGACGTGCTCTTCGAGCCTTTCATCCTCTTCGTGTGACGATAAGACGATATCTTCATCCGCAGTTAGAGTAACCTGGCGAAGCGAGGAATAAGGTTTCCCTCCATCCAGAGCCGATCGGAGGGAGAGGAGCGATGGAGGTGAGAGGTACCTATAACAACCTCTTCACAAACGTTATGAGCGAATGTAAAACCAGACTATGGCTTCTGGAATCGGCGGGAGATCGCAGAGTGTCATGTGTTGCAACGTGACGAAGAGGACATCGCCGCTTATCGTACTCGGCCCACATCTCGAAGCGCCGGCGTAGCAGTGGAGAATAGGTAGGTACTCTCTCATACCTCAGGTGAAGACCTTTCTACCAAGTAATCCACTTAACCGACCCCGGAATCCCAATCGCCAAATCCCTCGCATCCGAAAATTCAACCTTGACCGTCCGATCACTATCTTTCGGATGCGTCAAATAGAACGCAATAATGCGCAAATGCTCCGGTACCTCCATCTCCGCGCATACATCATCTTCCTCAACACCCATCTCCGCTCTCGCGCGCTCTTGCTCCAACTTCAACGCCTCTTCCGCGATCTGTCCCGCAAGCATCCCATCCCAAAACCCTTCTCTGCGGGGATGGCTCAACATGAGCTTTACAGCGCGCTTGCGTAGTGCTTGACATGAGGACGGTGCGCGCACAGCGATGGCCCAGAGTGCGGATGTGGGGCCAACGGGGGTTTGGAAGATGGGTGTCTGAGCGCCTGAAAGAGGGAGGAGTTTGGCTGCGAGTTCGAAGATGAGGACGAATTGAGCGGCGATGTCGAAGGGTTCGGTGAAAGGTTTCCGCGCGGGCTTGAAGTCGCCTAGACACGGGAATTTTTGAATGAGATCGGCCCGAGGGGCGCGGAGGAGGTATTCCATTTGGACTTGTGTCAGTTCTAGTGCCGTGAGGGGTTCGGTGAATTCTTCGCCGTAAGCGGGGGCTTGCTTCCAGAGATTGTCCATGACGAGTTTGCCGCGATGGTAGCGTGAGATGAGGTCGAGGTATTCGATGTATACTTCTTCGACTTCGTCCGCGGGGCGTAATTTGGTTCTTTGGTTGAATGCGTGAATGCTGTTCAGTAGGCTCTGTGTGTGTCCTAGCATCGCGTGTAGCGCAGTCATATTGAGCGTGCTAGTTGGTGAGCTACATAGTGGTTTAGTCTTGGGCTTTGTGACCCAGGTGGGTGACATGTGCGTTGGCATTATCGCTCTGATTTGTGTGTCGAATCCTACGAAGATGGTGCGTATGGACTCTAGTTCTATCGGGTGGTCAAACTTTTCTTTCCCTTGGTCCACTTCGTTCAACATCCTGATACCGCTGCGTACGTGCTCGATTGCGTCTCTTTGGTAGCCTTGCAAGCAACACATGCTGGTAAACAGGATAGCGCAGGTCATAAGCGTGACCTTATCCGATTTGACTACTCTGTCGTTGGTCTTCGGCTTCTTTAACAAGTCCTGAATTGCTTGGTTCGATTGCCGCAGAGCAAATTGTAGATAACGGTCGAGCATGGCTGTCTCCGTAAGATGTGAGTCGCTGCCTTCGGAAAAGCGCCGGTACATAGCGCCCAAAGCGATGATGCAATGTTGGATCGCGGGTTCACGATGAGCGGCTTGAAGCAATTCTCGTTGCCAGAATGGCGAATCCAGGAACCCGCGCAGGTTTGTAACGGCATGTGTCATGAAGAATTCGAAACTGTCTCTTTCCTCTTTAGTATCGAGACGTATGGCTGGAGCGATGAAAACCGGCGAATTAGATCGCGTCAGACTCCAACTTGATCCGGATTGAGGTGAGCTTCTTGATGACTCTGGAGGCGAGGGTGTTGATGACGGCGGAGGTCTGAAAGTCGGATCGTAGCCATCGCACGTACGGCCCGTTGAGGTGCATCGCCTGCAGTGCGGTTTCTCCTCATCACACTTGACTTTGCGTATTCTGTACAGATTAGCAAGAGGCTATTGGATACATAACAGTACTAAAAGACCATGTCTTCAGCTTGGAGTTTGACCATGATGAAATCTGATGACGGTGCGGCTTATAGTTGAAGAAGGGTCTGTCGGTTTGACGTTTGGGGCTACCTGCCAGTGGGCGGGAGCTTTGCGGGCTATGAACCCAGCCACGAACATGGTGCAAGCCATGCCATGCTATGGAGATTGGCGCACTTTATAGTTGACACAAAGACTTACTTGCAAGTTTTACAACCAGAGCGCGCTTTGGGTTTCCAGGCTCTTTGGCGTGGTTTACCGGACACCGTCGCCATGTTAATTTGGTTGAGTTTCATCTGACCAATGGGAGGGGGGCCAGCGAAATTCAGTTATACGAGCGAGCGTGTAGCAAGTACGGAATGAAGGATTGTACGACCGCGCAAATGACATCGGTGGTTGAAGAGTAAGTTGTGAGGCTGCATGACACTATGCAGCATTGCGGCGTGGTCGCCCACACGGTCAGGCTACCACGACTAGGTTTGCGAGCAGAGGCCCACGGCTATTATTATCGAACATGGCCAATGAGACGACGGCACAACAGGGTTTGCGATCCTTCTGGGCGTAATGCCGCGAGAGAACTTGACGGAGTCGCATCCTTCTGGACCTTAGTGAACCGGTATTATTAGATTGTGGTGTAGTCCACGGCGATTGATGCGGGGTTTTTAGACCGATTGGGTCATTTGAAAGGCAAGCACCGCGGTATGTCGCGTGAGGCGCTTGGTATCATTTATCAGCAAGCGGCGATGATCAGCCTTTCTCTGTAGCTACATATGTTTGCGTGAATCGGAATTGTGGACTGGAATTATTCTTTTGTCGATCATTGCAATGTCGTACAGCGGACCAAGTACCCTGATCATCCTACTCAGAAATTCCGCCAGAGTTTCTGCACAAAGCCTTGCTTCACTCGCGGCTCGGTATGTGGTTCTGTCTGTACGTATTCATCCTTCATATCCAAGTCCTTCCTCATTCCCGTGTCAAGATCAACCTCTTGGCTTCGTCTGAATCTTGTCTTGAATAGGACTTTGTATCCCACAAACATGATCCCGAACACTGGCAGCATAATGTAGGCATCAACAAATGTGCCTGCATCGAATGGGCTCAGGGTGGTCCAGCCCTGGACAAGAGCGAGAAATATGTTGGCAGATACTCCAAAGTAGGCATTCCACGGGTAAGCGAGCGACTTGAAAGGCAACATATCGGGCGTTCGACCTTGTGCTTTCCAAGCTCTCCGGAAGCGAATGTGTGTAAAAGAAATTGAACCCCAAACAAGGAAGGTAGAGACACCGCTCAGGTTGACGATGTAGGAATACGCCTGACCACCTCCCGTGCTGACGTTCATCATAGATATCGCACCGAACAAGTTTGTGAAAACTATTGCGTAAATAGGCACGCCGCGACTATTCGTCCTCCCAAGGAACTTCGGCGCCATCTTCTCTTGTGCCATGAAGAGTATAGTCCTGGATCCAATGTAGATTGAGCTGTTCGCAGCGCTCAAGACCGTTATAAAGATGAAGGCGTTGATGAGATGCACGCCTCCTTGCCATCCAGCATTCTGGAGCGCTATGGTCATAGGGCTTTTGAGTGCGCGACTGGCTCCGTTCGCTAGGCCGTCCGCATTCGAGGGGCAGGTGAGCCCAAAGAAGAAGGCAACTCCGATGTATACGAAGAGGATTCGCCAGATGACTTGTCGGATTGCAAGAGGTACAGCTACGGATGGGTTTCTGGTCTCTGTAGCGGCCACGGCGACTGCCTCGACACCCGCGTAAAACGTTGAAGCGAAAACGAAGACTGTGGCTACTCCACGGAAGCCGTCTACCCACGGGCCAGGGTTGTGCCAGTACCGGAATCCGAGTGCTTCATCCTGCCCAATGAGACCGCCAGAAGCATAGATGATGGCAAAGATGAAGTAAGCGCAAAGTCCTGCAAGCTTAATTAGGGCAAGCCAGAACTCTGCTTCGCCGAAAGACTCGACGCCCAACATCTGGAAGCCTAGGAATGCAAACCAGAAGATGAGGAAGTAGCCCCATAGAGGCACCTCTGGACCCCAAAAGACCAGAATAGAGGAGATGACGTTGTACTCGTTGGCTAGCACGCATGCCCACACCAGCCAGTACTGCCATCCTACCGCAACTCCGAATGCTTTATCGACAAATCGATCAGAAAGCGTAACGAAAGCGCCACCGGTCGGATACAATGTTGTCATTTCTCCCAAGGATTGCGTAATACTGAAAGCGATGAATCCGATAACGCTGAAAGCTATGAGCAGAGATGCCGGTCCTCCCTCTGCGAGAGCGCCACCAGTACCGACCAGAATACCAGGTCCAATAATTCCAGCGAGCGCCATCATGGATAGATGGCGAGTTTTGAGCCCTCGCTTGACTCCACTGGGGTCCATTCGTTGGAAGTCATCGTCGCTATAGTTTGCCGTGGGTGAGGGGTGCTCAGCGTGAGCTTTCGAATCGAAGAGGGCCATGTCGCACCGGAAGATGGTGGTCAGAAGTACAGACGCATAAAACTAGGCATGCTACCGTTATAACCGACCTCCTAGTTTTTACTTGGCGTGGGAACGGTAGATCTGTGACGAATAATAGCGGACTTTGGCTTGGTGCATGTTGCGATTTTCAATGTGGATTGCGCGATAAGAGGATCTGTGTAATCTCGTATCATTCTGGCGAAAGGCGACCATGAGCAAAATCGCTCCAAAGCTGGAAGGCTACACATCGTCCCAACTTTGGACTGTTTGTTGCTGTGTTGATTGCTGGCATTAGAGTAGGACAACAACCGGGTGGCGGGGGCAGAATAGCAGTTACGATAAGCTTGGTCCACCTTAGGCTTAGCTTAGTGGGTTTTCGATCCTTCACCTTGGCGGCACTTTTCCCGGTAAACCGCCACTCTTAAATCCACTAATCCCGACGCCAGCTACCACCCGGCATCACGCCTTCTTTGCCTATGGTTCTGGATCCAGGCTCCCAGCAAAGTACTCCACAGAGGCTTGTGCACGAAGAAAGCAGATCTCTTTTCTCATGAAGCATTCATTGTGATTCGTTATACTCTACAATACTCATTATCCATATATATCCGATTTCTATCATCGATCATTGGCGCTGAACCAGCCAGACCATATATTAACAGGGAGGTAGAGTGTCCTTCACATCTACCTTAGTTCTTGTTGCCAATCTCCATGCGCTTCTTGAGCTTGTAAGCGATGGCTCGCTTCCTGGCGGCGGCACCCTGTGTGAAAGCAACAGATCCACCGAAGGGACCCGCGGCAGCACCGTTGCGGACGCGCATAACGCAGACGTTGTTGACACCAGCGACAGTAGCGTCGCAAGTCATACCAGCAGGCATCTGTACCTTCATGGCAAACTCGGTGTTGGTGGCGAGCGAGATACCCTGAACACCAAGGCCAGGAACGTCCTGAGTGACAGTAGCAGGCTGCATGGCAGCCTCGTCAGTACCGCCTGAGGTACCATCAACGTCGGCAGTAAATGGTCCAGCACCGTCCTGGTTGATCTGAAAGGAGCAAGTTAGAATTGTACAACAAAGGGTGTGAGTGATCGCTTACCTGGCGCAGAGTCATGGTGACGGTACCGTCGTCAGCGCATGTGGGCATACCGCTTGTGGCACCCGCTCCTACTGCGGCTGCAACACGTGACTCTGGCGGGCCGTTGACCTTGTCACCACCTCCGCCAAGCAGTCCAGCGATACCAGTAGCACCGGCCTTGCCGCCAGCACCTCCAGCACCACCAGCGCCTCCACCAAGAAGACCACTGAGGAATTGACGCTTCCTCTGGCCAGCCTGCTGGATGTTGTCCTCGACACCAACACTTCCAGAAGCACCGTTGTTCGCAGGAGGCGCGGCACCCTGTCCCATGAAGGCGCCAACCATAACAGCAGCATCGACGTTGCCGTTACCCTGTGTACGACCAAGAGGACCAGTCTTGCCACTGGCGATTTCGCGGTCCCTGATGATGGCAGTGTCGGCCTGAGAACCGCAGCCGCTGAGGATTGGTTAGTGACCTGTTTCAGGAATAGAAGGTTTAGAGACTTACTTGGAGGAGCAGTCGCGAGGAGTTCCGTCTTGGATAGTCAAGCCCGGCATGGTGACTCCATTGGCGCCCTTGATCTCAGAGACCACACCGTGGGCAGAAACGGCAGCCGCAAGGGCAAGAACGAGAGCTGGTGAGAAGTGCATGTTGTATATGTGTATTTAGAATCGAGATCAACTCGGCGGATTAGAAGATATGGGTGATTTGAAAGTAGAGGTGAAGAACGATAAGCGCCAGGCTAGTGGAGAATGAAGTATTAGTAGAGAAGTTGAAGAGTTGAATGCTGATGATAATTGTAGAGCCGGCTTCAGCAAGGCATCTTATACCTCTTTCCCATTGAGCTGCCTTGTCGATCTACATCGCATCGTATTCTCCATTGGGATGACAGTCGCCCACCGCTCCACCCAGCTCGTCATTGCCATGTACAGGTCGGCATGGAGACAAGCAGGCTCTTGTGTCAAGATGCGTTTTTGATGGTCTTCCGGCAAGGCCAAACGTGCTTGGCGACGATGAGGCGTTTCCCTCCGATACTTGGCTGTGGCGGAGTGCCGATTATCCAGGCGCTGAGAGGTGCCAACGTTCCGATGCGCAGTTTCGTCTGCGCCTGGGGATGAAGGCTAAAGGCGCCAAGGCAGAAACTCTTAATGCAAGATCGTGGATTTGCGAAACGCTGTACTTGGAGTTACAGAATGCCGCTAAACAAGCAAACGCATGTATGTTTCACATAATACCACCATCACATTATTGGCCTATCAGAATATCCAACTCACATTAAACCTACTCCATGTGCTGAAGGTCGCGATCAGTATTGATGAGTTACTCATGTGTGAGGCTCTGTCGTAGTGCTGATCGCACCGTGGTGTTGTTCTTGTGGCCCTCACCAAAAAGAGCAACTCCACCCCGCACGCATGACAAGTCAGACCAAACACGGTTGAATCCGAACATGCAAAACCACACACTCAAATCATCGGTTTCCAATCACTCGCAACTATCCTGTGCAGCATCAGCTTAGGCGAATACTAGTTGCCGTGATCCACCCGCAGCTGCATGATGTTGCAGGCCCGTCGCCACTAGCGTTTCACCAAACGACACGGTCGATCTTCAAACATGAAATGCCTGGTCCCTCAAACTCGAGCCCTGGTAGGATATGCGACGGATCCTGTGATCCGAGGCTGGAGTCAGGATTTTAGATATGGCTGCGATGGTTGGTAAGTGGATCGGTCGAGATGTTGATGATGTGGAGCGGCCAAAATGGGGCAGGCGGCGCGAAAGTTAGCTCTGCACATGAGCTGTACGGAAACTCAGGTATAGAGGTGATAGCAACCTCTGAGATTGCAGAGTCTGTATTTTGCTCGCTTACTATGTTCACGAAGTCTCGAAAGGTCGCCATCAAGCTTTCCCAGAGGAGACCTCAGCAGCAATTCCGTGTGACTGCGAAGTCGCGTTATATGGTTTCAAACGCCAGCAGAAGCTGCAAAGTGGCGATCGCCACAGCTCCAATACCGACAATGAAGCCTGCTACCGCAAAACCGTCCTGCAAACTTTTCTTACAGATTGCCCATACGATTCCAAATGTTCCACCGGATACAATGCCAAAGAACAGCAACAAGCAAATACGCTCGAAGTCCAACCCTTCCTCTATGTGCATTCCCCAACCGGTGTACAAGTCTGGGTCGATGCCTGGTTTCGGAGGCTCCCCAACACGTTTTGGCATTTGCTTGAGACAGATGTCATCATCGAAGCATTCCATTGGTGAGATAAAGCGATGCATGAGGAAGTCGCTACCCAAAGCGGGTATTCGCTCGGGCTTACGTGGGTCGCACGTATAGTGCTTGAAGGTATCTGGTGGCATACCAGTCATAATCCCATCAACCTCTGAGCGGTCGTGTAGAGCGAACTGGACCATTGCGTCAGTAGCAACAATTGTATATCTATAGTGTATTACCTTCACGAAGCTCATACGCTGGGCTGTACGAATGCTGAAATGCCGGAATGCCCATCGAACTTTTCCGTTGTACTCCTTGCGAAAGGCTTCGAACAGCTTGCGATCGCATGTGATACCGAATAATCCAAGGTCATGACGATTAGTCAAAAATCTTTTCGCTCTCATACACAGGAGTATAAAATCCTCGGGTATGTTGATGGCGATTTGGTTTGTTGAGATGTCTGTCGTGGATGATGAACTACTCTGACTCGAATGTTCAGCCTCACTCATAAGGTCTGTGTCTGCTGCGCCTCTGGTAGTCGGGGGAGTATCATTTGCAGTGTATTGCAAACTTGCTGTTGGAGAAGTCGTTACGCTTCCAATACAGGGCATCTTGCCTTTCGCAACTTTTGAAGATGGCTGATCTATGATTACAGGCATGTTGGACAGCCATCCCATAGTAAGTGATTGGCGATAGGTATGCATAGATGTAGCGAGCCATCTCCATATATTCTGGACGGTCATGGAGAAGCGCCTGAATGCGAGACCAATATCAAAGCGTTCGGGTTGGAGAGGATCCCACGGTTCGATGAACCCATCGATACCGACATCTTGAAGACTCTTCAAGAGCTCTTGTACTGACCCAGAACGATGTTCTATGTAGTGATCGAGGCCCTTGTGACCGCAGTTCTACTCATCTGATTAGCCGGGGGCTTTAGAGTTCTGGCACTAAGTTCTGGCCTCATCCATAGTCCACTAAGAGTTACTCAAGAGTACTTACACATGTCCAGAACATCACGTAGCCTCGTATTGCAACATCTGTTGTTTCCAATTGCTCAAAATTGCTTGGCGACCCTACTCGTTCGGCACTATATTCCTTCTTTTCTGCCTTGTTCGTGCGGAGTGATGCTGCCAGATTATGGACCATAGTTAAGTTGGAATTATTGTTGTTTTCGTCGGATTTGTGAGTATCATGTATGAACGTTTGCAAAAGCTCTTCTGCTTCCAACTGGCCGAATCTGGCGGCGATGGCGAGAGGCGTTAACGTAACCCCGCTGTAGGTTGAATCAGAAAGTTGAATGAACGAGACGCTGGTATTCGAAGGAATGCCTGATTCTGGTTTTGTACGGCCATTCCAGTAGTGAGCAGAGAGTATTCTGAGATACGCTTGCCGCAGATCGTCGGTAAATCTGTCCTGAGTATCTATTAGGTTGATGAGCATGTATATGCGACACATGAGATCATCACGTATACTGTCTGCAAGGGCTTGGAAGCCGTCTGGATATCTGTGTGCAAGCATGTGTACTCCCCTTTTGGTAAATACGAGCGTTTTTGGCGTCCCCAAGAATTCTTGGACTATCCAGGAACGGTAAGGCAAAAGTGTTGCTGCTCGTGCTATTGTCCAGTCAGAGACCCAAGAAAGCTCAGCCTTGTTGAACCGGTCACCATGGCCCCTCAAGTTTAGCGCCAGCGAATCGCCTGATGTCCTCCAAGATGCTTCATCACCTTCAGGCAACCAGAGAATGATTTTTGCAGCTTGTGAGTATATCTGGCCCATAAGTCCCACCTGAAAACTCAACTCTTCCTTATCGAATTGATTGATACAAGGTGCATCTGCCCAGAACCGTATTCTTTTCGTGTTATGCCGTAGGCTCAGCAAAAACTTCTGCAGGCTCAATGGAATCGCCAGATCTCCCGTATCCAGCGCTATTGACCCTTTTTCTGTATTGCTTCCCCAGAAGTAGGAAAGTGCCGTATATTTCGTCCGACCAGGCGCTTGGCCGCCGTCGGTTCCTCGCGAAACAGTCTGGACGTCAAGCTGTCCGGCTAATCGAGCCTCCCGGTCTTTGGATGGGTTGAGAATAAGTATCCGGATTTGATCTTCGCCTAAGGGCCTGAATAGGTTGGGGGGCACAAGTGCTTGATCTGGCATATCGAATGAGTATGCTGCACATGTGAAAGAGGATAAAGATAGCGAGTTGTAATATCACTGGAGACTGGGCAACTTCACTCTACATATACAGCCGAAATCCAGTCACTGCGGTGGTTCCCATGCGGTAGGTCAATTTCGCAAGGCTCGGCGAACCGGTCAGATATACAAGCTTCTCCTGGCGCCTCGCGTGGAGCCGATGAACATCGTTCTGCGCCAGTAGATATTGAGGAGTGCGCCACAGTGACATGATGAAGCCATCATCATCGGACCGGTGAAACATTGTCCAATCGTAGTTGTGAGGCGCTCTCAGCCTGGTCGACGTGTGAAACCTTACCCCTCATTCGAGGCAGACAAGCGCATGATGTTATCGCGGACGCGATGTATGACCGCGCCACATCATGGGTCCACGTTAACAGCCCCCGCAGGTGGTGGAAGTAGAAGGCAGGAGTTGGGCACAACATTGATTCACGACGACAGCCTGAGGCGGTCCGCCAGCCTGCAGCTGCGTGATCTGCGCTAGAGCAAATGCGGGCAGCGAAAGGCGCCATCAACATTGACCTTGCTACAATTTGTATTAGAAGAGCAAAGCATTGTTGCGTAATATTGTATTGCATAGCCAAGTTGGAGATACAGTCGTGCTTTTAAACCAGTACAACCGAATCCCAGAAGTATTCTTCCTAATTGCGCCGACACCATATACACAGCCTCGTGTTATCGTGAGCCCCGCTCGATGGTATATACCTAATAATTATCCCCACATTAGTGTCCCATACCTCAAATCTTGATTCGGTCAGTTTTCAGAGATCGTCCTTTTATTCCAATCCCGTGCCCCTCCTCCCCAGACTCGGTCTCCCCCCACTAACACTCCCCCTATGCATTCTCGCCCCTCCGCCACCATGCATCATATCCAGATCAACAGGGGTACCCGCGCCCAGCGCAAAACCATACGCCTCAGCTCCCTGGCCCGCGAAAACTCCATCGTCGCCTAGACTATGTTGCGGTGGCGGTTCTACATTGAATGGCACGAAGTAACTGCTCATCGGATCGAAGAAGTTGTTGTTGTTGTTTGCATTGTTGCCCAGACCCATGGCTTCGAGGTTCCAGAAAGAGTTATTGAAGTCGGTCGCTAGGTCAGGGAAGGGCGAGAGGTTCGTAGGATCCATTTGATGGGCGTGCGAGGGGTGGATCATCGTTGGTGAGGTGTTGATGAGTGGAAGCGAGGGGTGGTGAGGGTGCTGTTGGTGCGCGTGGTGGGAGCCTGCGAAGTCGGCGAGGAATTGCTGGGGTGAGGTGTGTTGTTGCTGTTGTTGGGCGAAGAGAGCAGCGGGGTCGTAGCCAGCGGCGATGGCGGCGTCTATTGCGTCTTGCGAGGCCATATTGATGTTCATTTGCTGCTGCGCTTGCAGTCGAGCGGCATGGTTTTGCTGAGATTGGCTGTTGTGTCGTTGTAAGCGTGGAAGATCCTGTGGGTTTGCCGAAGCGAGATCGGCAGGTTTCGAGATGGATTTCGACTTGTTCTTGCGCGCTTGTTTGCGTTGTTGGTCGGTTTTTGAGGGTGGGGATAGCGATGCGAAGAACTCTTCCACACTCTGCAGGTCACTCTTGTGCCCCAGAACAGCATCAGTACCTGGCTCGTTCGGATTTGACTCTGCTGCATCTTCGTAGTCCGTTTTCGAGACACCGTGCGGGTATCGATCGAACCAATCGCCATATTGGAAGATGCTGCCCTTCTTCTTCTCGCCACTCGCATTCGGCCCCTTCAGCTGCGCGTCGGCGTGTTGACGGTACAGCTCCTTCAAATTCTCTGCGATGTAGTGGAACATGCCCCAGTACTTCTTCATCTTCGTCAGGTATTTGACGTTGTATGCCAGGTACTTCTTCGATTGCGCTTCCAGCTTCGGGTTCTTTGAGAAGACCCCATGGACATGTACGGTCGAGGAGAAAAAGGCTGAGTAGCCGGCGAATGGTGCGACGACGTTGTGGTCCATGGCTTCGTTGATGAGTATCGAGATCTGGTTCGCGGCGTCGAGCGCGGAGCGGGCGGACTCTGTGAGGAAGTCATGTGGCATGTCCTTCGGCGGCCTGCTGCCTGCGGTCGAAGGTAGCGCGAATCTGTGCATGAACAGCATGATCTGTTGCCATAATATGTGAAGATACAAGTACGAGTTCGCAGTCTTGCCGATAGCATGGCTCTTCAGGTTCTCAGGGTTGTACACGAGCATCTCAGGCAATGCCGCCTTGAACTCTTTCGCCTCTTTCTTGATGGCGTTGTAGGTCGAATCGGCTGACCACATCGGCTCTGCTTCGCGTTCCTTTCCTCCTAGATTCATGTACTTGATGAGTTTACCCCATATGCAGACCAACCGTATAGTGTACGCCGAGACGCCCATGTTGTCGCGCGGGTTCGCTAGTTGACCGCTGTCGGGTGGAACGGGGTTCGGCACGTCGCCTTCTAAGTTCTCGGTGGGCGCGTGTATCTCGTGTACGTATAGGTGCTCTTTGACTGGTAATTGCACTTCGATGTACTGTTCGTGTACGAAGAGCGGTCGGTCGGTACCGGAGGAGTTGAAACGGTCCATCAGGAAGCAAGACCACATGGTCCGCCGCCGTATTTCGCGGTCAGTAGCGCTCAGGGGTTTCCTGTCTGGCTCGTTGACCAGCGGGTCGTATTCGTTCTCCTTGTGCAGTTGTAGTGCGTATGCCATCCTCTGCGCCATGCCACCAAACATCCAACTTCGTCCGCCTTGACAGGTGCCAAACTCATGAAGCCCTAGCAACAGGTAGACTATCAGGATGGTAATGTTCGGCGCGTCGTATCTTTTTAGGGCAATCTCGCGCGCTCGTTCAGCCCAGCTGTCGCCCCGCAAGAAGCATGGCTCTGTCCGTAGTTGTGGGTGATTCGAAAATCGTGCCGATATGGCGCACATTGCTAGTATTAGTACCGGCGGAACCTTCCCAGCTGCTAGTCTTCGCATAAAGCTCGGCTTGTGCAGGAGTGGATAGCTTTGTCCGTAGACAAAGTCAAAATACACCTCAGCCAAGTGTTCTTGGATCTCTTTCGACGGCAAGCTCTCCGCGCCTTCCGTGAGAAGCTTGCTTTCATCTGATTCCTTGCCGTGCGATGCCGACCCAGCGATTTCCGGGTCTCCTCCCTTTGCTTTCGACCATTCGTCCAACTCGTTGCCAAAGGCTTCTTCTGCAGCGCGTTTCTTCGTGGTGGGTGTTTTGGGTGGGGCGCCGGGGATAGCGGGCTTAACGACGGATCTGCCCACATTCGCAACTGAAGGTAAGCTTTCCTTTGGTATCAGCTTGATGACACGATCCTCCATGCGCTTAAGCCTCTTGTCCAGCATCGCCATATAATCCGTTCTCGGTGCAGCCTTCCTAGTGGTGACCTTGTAGACGCATGGTATCCGACTCCTCAGGCAGTGTTTGCAGGCTGGCTTCTCGCCTGAGCAGCGAATCTTTTTCCTCCGACATGCGATGCAAGCGAGAGGCAGCCTTTTCCTCTCCTTACCAGCCTTTGTCTTCATTTCGCTCCAAAGTGGCGGATCATGCACATCGTCCTTGCTCCTTCGCGATGTGGTCGAATGGTTTGTGCCGTCATTGCCGCTGTTCATGGCATGTGCCGAAGCATCGTTCATTGAGTCTCCAATTGCGAGCATACCCATGGCAGGTGCGCTCTCGGGACTGGTGTTGTTTTCGTCGCGGCCGGGGCTTCCTCCAATGCTCATCCGATTTGGATGCGCACTCCCGCCACCACTCATACCCTCTTCGCTCATGTTGCCGACGCTGCCTCTGTGGTCCGCGTATCCAGCCTCAATCTTTGGTTGTATGCCATCGAAATTGGACGCGAATCCTTGGCTCTGCGCAAACGTCATGTCGAAGTCGGAAAACGAGCCCATAATATTCGTAGGACTAGTCCCAGTCGCATTCGGAGAGGCTCGAAGTTCAGGCAGGCCGAATTCAGCCAGCATGAGCGAGTCGTCGTTGTCGAAGCGCGCGTGCGAGGGCGTGGCTATGGAGGTTGCGGTTGCGCCGGAGTCGGCCATGTTCTCGACGACTGCCTGCCGTCGTTGAGCTGTCGCGTAGCGCCGAGGCAGCCAGTCTTACATCAGGTTCCAAACTTCAAGATGAGAAGAAGAAATATTTCATATGCGCCTGCACCCGAGGCCCCAAAACAACATCGCAGGCAGAATCAGGCGTCGAGACGTCCAAACGTCGTGTGCTTGGATCGGAACGCCGGCCGAAGAAGGGGAAATGGTAAGCTCCGACTTCTCCACAGGATAGTTACGGCCCTTGCTTGGAGTCCAGTGGGGGCGCTAGTCTCTATATCAAAGCGCGAGTTGGGTATGTGGGGAGGTGGATTGAGCGTCAGCGCGCGCGAAGGGAGCAGAGAATCAGCACGCAGCCAGGGCGACACAACTCTGGGGCTGGATGAGACGAGAAACGAGGTATGACGACGGTAGGTGATGTATGAAAGCCTTCCAAGAGGTGCTTGCTGCGGCCTATCCCTCCGCCTATACTATGGCTGCATTCCCCATGTCGCCTGGACAAGGGACGGAAGCATGGCCATGTAATGGCGCCCTTGCGATTCGTACGCTTGCCTCCCGTCGACGTCCGATTAAACCGCGATCAAACTCGTCGGCCCACTCAAGTCACTGGCCGCACGTTGGCCGATGCAAGCCACACAATCCTGCCCTTCCCCACATGGCAATCCTTGCACGTCGAGACCCGGTGCTGATTATTCAGACATCACAAAGCAGTTTCCAATGCCACCTAGGCCTCGAGCGGACCATGATCGACGCCCAGGCTGTAAGCTGCCTATCCTCATAGAACAATGTGAGGCGCCTCATACGCACATATATAATGTATAACTCGATACTGGCTCTGCACATCACGAGCGCATCTCCGTGGAGCCAGGTGCGCTTGGCTGGCGAGCCTGACGGCGGGACCCGTCGTGTGCCAGGTGGTCGCTATTCTGCGGGGCGCCCGCCCTGTTCAACGTTACGACACGTTAGACGCACGCGAGGTATATGAGCTCTTCATTGCGCCTCTATATAACCCATATGTCTTATTTTCCGATTCGACCACTTGCGTCCAATCTCCGGCCTCGCCCTTTTGCGCGAGACTGTGCGCCGGTCGCTTAAGCCTGGTGCCACGATGTTGCCTACAAACATGTGCGGCGGGTGCATCACGAGGGTAGTGCACAACCATCTCCATCTAACTTGGACAAGTGGACCATTCGCAAACTAAGGAATGCGACTACCACCGGGAAAATGGGTTTCAATATTTGGGGCGCATACATACATGTTCATCGTCAGGACTAGAGGCAGGCATCTGTGGGCTTTTCGTCTCGGGTGCGTCATCGATTCGCGCGTGTCGACACGACTAACCCCCTGCCCCCAGTTTAACGTTACGGACTGAACCATGACAGGCCTTCTAGCTGGCTTCCGCGAGCACGGTCCAGGAATCGTCTAATTATTTGAGATAACCCATCTTCCCTGGTTCGTAATTGCATTTGTCTTGTGAGGGGGCCATTCTACACACATCCCTGCACGTCACCCTCATAATATGAGTGGCTGATTTATCCATATTTCTTCATCTCGTGCTGTACACTTGACCACGCGCACATGGGCAAACCTCTCAAACGTATCACTCGAATGTTATTCATCCCATGGTTGCTTCGCTGGCACTACACGCTGCGACCCTAGGATGAGGTCTGTACATCGTTGGGGCCGTATGCAGCCCGATCCGAGGTTACCGATATTCGATATTGGAAGCGCCTATACGGTCATACGCGACAGCCGATCGATCCAGCAAGATCAGTATATCCTGTTGCTGAATCCTGAATCCTTTTCATCCCACGCATAACGATTCTGGTGGTGCCATATGTCATCGAGTAATTACTAGGGGCGGCCTTGTTACCCATTCGCCAACGCCACAGACGTTCATCCGTAGTTCTGTGTACTGTACCCAGATTGCTCCACATCCCGATGGCGCGTACCCGATGCGGCCACGCACGACTGCATCAACTTAAACGACCGAGCCAATATCACGACTAGTCTGGGAATGAGGGTCCGAGGGTCGGAACGCAGGTAGAGTGTTTACTCTTCACGTTGACGTCGAACGAATCTTTGCTGCTACACCTCGTCGTCACTAACCGAGTCTAGAGAGAGCTTTGCTATTCTAGAAGGCGACCATTGGATAGCTTCAATATTGAGATAGGTAGTTCATTGACATGGAATCGTAAATCTGATCTAAGGTCATCTTGTCAGGAGTTAAGCACCCAGACAGCCCGAATCATCAAGTCAATTCACCAAGCTTTACACATCATAGTACCACATGCAAAGAGTGACGATTTTCATTTCCAATCTCCTCATTACAACCCCTCTAGCAGAGTTACATACAAATGAGCGACAGCGCTATCATCATCACAAAAGACACCGCCATCGTTAGTGTGTATCACTCGTCCATCCTCCACTTGCAAGAAGTCATCGCCCTGACCTAGGACTCATTCTACGCAGCCACTCGCAGACATGACGCATCCAGCTTTGGTGACTTCAGCCTCAGCTGCACCGCTGTATTTGCCGTAGTTTGAGTAGGGGCTAGAAGGGAATCCTGTTAGTATGGATCCGGCATATAAATACGTGAATAATTACAATGAACAAAGAAGAAGAGAATGCTGGATGACCAGGAGAGAGTGGTCCGAAGAAGAAAGAAAGAAAGAAAGAAAGAAAGAAGAGAAGAGAAGAGAAGAAGCTTACTCATAACGTTGGTACCAAGTATCCCCTGCAGTCTCAACCTCTTTTGGCGCGCCACGCCTTTCGCTGCTGCCATCGTTATGCATCATATCCTTGGGCATATTCATCATATGGCGCTTCATTGTGCCGGTGTTGACGTTCACCTTTGCGGCTTCGGCATCACTTGGAGGAGAAGGGGGAGGAGCAGGATAGTCGCCGTAGGACTCGTAGTATTTGCCGTATTCGGTGTAGCCTTCTACCTTGGGCAGGGAGTTGTCTCGCTTCATGTTCGAGGCTGATTCTTCTAATGGGAATCAGGAGTGCTCTTGTGTTCAGGGTTGCAGGGTAAGGCAACGTACCTTGCTGGCTCTTCGCAGCCTCTGCTTCGGCTGGTGCACCATACTTCCCGTACTGATAATACGGATGATAGTCGGCGTAAAGCTTGTAGTTGATATCTTGGGCTTGATTCACGGAGTCATCACTCTTCTTGTCGAGCGGCATGGCTACCGCGATGGTAGCGAGACCCATGAGAACCAATTCGAGATGCATGGTAGGGAAAGACCGGCTGTGAGACAACCGGGAGTATCAAGGATATCGAGGAAGTAACCTTGAGGGAAGGCTGCTGTGGTGAGTGCCCGTTTTCGCCACGGGAGTCACCTTTTTGTACATGTCGGCTTGCGGTGTCTATGGAGTACAATCGCGATACAGGGGCTAAGTGTAGTGAGCATGGCGTAAGGTTTCATCCGTATGCGCGTAATATTGTATCTGCTCGCGTTTACAGTAAACATCGGGAAACCACGTACCAGATAGCTCGCGCAGGTGCAACGAAGTCGTTCCTAAGTTGCGCAGAGAGGCCTTTGGTACAGTGATATCAGCCAGGAGTCTTGGGAAGCTATGGTTTAGATGCGCGCATCAATACACACCGCCTTCAAATGAAGCAAGCAAGACGTAATGTTCCGGTAAGAATGTTCACTGGTAGATTAGTGGAATCTGCAGGATGGGTGTAGCTGTGCATCGCTGCTATGGAGTCAGCGTTAGGTGTCCAGACTAAGTCGGAACAGTTAGTTCAGAGTACATGCTTGCCTATCCTAACCCCAATTCAGTATCAGCGCAAAGCTCATCCCGATGGCAGCAAGACAGGGCAAGTCATCTGGTCGACTTATGCTAGCGTTGAGGTACCTTTACGCAGGTTCGTCAATAGTACTGTACGATAGTGACTAGCAAGAGGATTGCTGCCTCAACACAAGCAAGCTGGAAATGGTGAACGAATATGGAAAACGTATGATAGGATGTGATGCTGCTAGCGGAGTGATACGTGTTTGACATCTCTGACGGTCATCACAGTGTCACTACTTGTCCTACACGGCCGGGTCAGTCGTACTCGTCTCCCACTCGTACCAAAGGTCGTGCACGACAAATTATGGGGAGAAGTGATGTTGAGGCCCAATCGTCTGGTAAAGTGATTTGAGAAGACTCGCATCCCTTACTGCGAGAGCAGACCTGTTGCGATTTTCCCACTTCTTTCCCATCATAGACCAGTATCCTAGTTGAGAACGTGTGCATTCTGAGCCGCAGTCTTGTCATGTTTTATATCCTCCGCAACCGTCCTCGGCACGAGCGTTTACTCCAACACGACTCCGAGAGCCATGACGACGACACTCTTTTGCCTGGCTCTCCCTCGTCGACCTCGTTGACTCTCAAATCGCCAGCATTTGAAGGATCGAGCCGCAACGTACGAGTCGCAGTGAGGACTCTCATCGCATGTACCATCGTATATGTTGGTGCTGCTCTGTGGATTGCTTTCACAGTGAACAGGTCGGCTTTTATTTCCGATCCAGACGACTTTTGTATCCATCATGTCTCGCGATATTGTATGTAATAGGATTGCGAAGAAGACATGTCCTTACTGATGAAACCAGCACCGGTCGTCCGAGATGTGAAGCCAAATTGGCACACGCAATTGTTCAACGGCAGCTTCCTGCACCAGAACATATATCGACAGTCAGCAGGACCAGAGGTTGACGCTGCATGGGATGCACTGGGTGTCAACTGTAAGTCATTCATATGGCAACATCAGCGACGCGCACAACCAGTTCTGATTACCATGCAAGATCGAAGTGTCGTGATACCCGAGGACGAAGCTGAGCGAACAGGATTGCGTCACGACCAGGTGAAGGTCAGCCAAGAGTATGGCGGTGGCTTCCCAGCGAACGTGGAAGGTCTCCACCACCTGCACTGTCTGGTATGCAGCAAAATCCACCTGTGGATAGCACATCACTAACGTTTCCAAGGACCTTCTCCGAAAGACACTACATTGGAATTATGAGTATTATTCAGCTCAGAAGGAGGGACCTTTCATTAATAGCGGGTACATCGTGCGCGTACACACGACGCATTGCTTGGATATACTAAGGCAGGTCCTGCAGTGCAACCCAGACGTCGGGGTACTTGGGCAGGTGTGGTGGCAGGCCGACACTATGCCGGACCCGACACCGTTTGTGGACTTCAACACGAGGCACCGGTGCCGGGACTATGAGCAGGTCCGACAGTGGGCGGAAGCGCATCAGCTTCCACCAGGGACAGAGGTGAACATGAGCCGTTTCTACGAGATGCCGAAGCCAGGAGATTTCATCTTCCCTGAGATCCCATGAGGATCGTAGATGCTAGGTATGTCAGTGGACGTAGCTGAAAAACTTTCGGTCCTTCGTAGCCGTATGCACCATCTCGTATGTGGGCTTTTTGTGATAGCCTGGTCAATATGCGCTGCGATAGCAGATGTGTATGACGACTGGCGCAACGCCCTGTTCAGTTCTGGCGGGGCTTGACAACGCCATCGTGCACAATATAGTAGACGACCGTGCTGTCCGTGTCTACTGACGCTAATAGTACGCGCTTGGTTGTTCTCCATGGGTTGGTAGGGCGATCCCCCTCTACTGTCGACGCGTCTGCTGCAGGCGGGACCATAGTGATGGCATCGAAGACGTGGGCCAGCCGACGCAGCGTCCACTTCTCGTTCAGCCTGGTGGGCAGTATCCATTCGCGCTCAGGCTCTGCCTTGACCTCCAAACCACCTGCATCGCCCTCAGCGCGCGCCTTCCTTTCGCGATCGGCCTTCTTCAGCAGCTCCACCTGCTCATCGGGGTGTACGTAGAGGCGGCGCGGGGGCAGGCCAGAGACCAGCGGACGGGGAAGGGGCTCGTGGGTAGTCGGTGAGTGCGTGTGTACGTGGAGGTCGGACCAATAGTGCTGGTACTGGAGGTTGTGCAGTATCTGGCGGGCGAGCGATAACTCATTCGGAAGGTGGCTTGATGCTGCGGCTGCCTCGGGAGCGATTGATACGAACGTCTGCAGCGCGGCGGGCGCAACGGCACGTTTCATCTCTGTCGTTACGGCGACTGTCGTCATGCTGGAGGCTGGGCGCGGAGAAGAGCTTGGGGATAATTGGTGGTGCAAGGTTTCGCACGTCGACGAAGCTACTCGGTTGTGGAAGGAGCGAAGATCTCAAAAACCACCCCGCCAGTCACACGAAGGCTGCCGAGCGACTATGGGAAGGGGCGACGCGGCCTAGGCAGCACACAGCGCCCATTCTTATAGCTTGTCCAGTTTGATTGTTTTCGCATTTCCAAGACTCACTCGAAACTTGCAAGAAACATTCAATCATCTTCGCAAGGCCGTTGTCATGCTCGCAGCAATCTCCATCCCCACACTTCTGCTTCTGGCTAACGTAGCCGTTGCCCAAGACGATACACCCTCAGTCGCGACCTCGCCATTCGTCAGTCCCACGCCTGAGTCTGAAGCCCTCTATACTATTCAGACCCAGACCGCTACTGATGATGTCGACCCATGGTCGTGCTACATGGACTGCGTTCAGCCTCCATGCCCGGCATGTAAGTACACCCTCTTCGGCCTGTCGCGAAATATGCTTAACAATGGTAGGCACCGGCAGCATGATGAGCGTTCCCCCGGTTCCTATGCCTAGTGTAACGGACGTATCGATCGTCCCTCCGGTTCCCATGCCCACCGTGACGGACGTGTCAATTCCACCGCAATCTGGCATATCGGTCGTCACAACCCCTGTTCCCATGCCCACTGTGACGGACGTATCAATCCCCCCTCAAGACTCTACTGGCGCCATGTCAATTCCAGAGGGCGAGACACCCATCTCTAGCGGCGCTGTTGACACGCCTTCTTCGAGCCTTGGCTCGGCCGCGAGTGCGACTAGCTCTGGTCTACCAGAGCAAACAGAAAACGCTGCCGCGGCGAGGGGTCACGACATGCCGCTTGTTGTCGCTCTTGCCGGCGCTCTGGCTTTCTTGTGAGTATTGGATTGAGAACGAGGGTGTCGGACTGTTCAGGTTGGTTGTTTGTATTGTGTTGTCAATGCGATGGCTGCGTTGGGCCGCGTCGGAGCGACTCCGGTTGCCAATACTCCATGCACTCGAACGATGGAACCATTGTAGGAAGGTGTTTTCGCAGTATAATTGTGCTGAACACGATACATAAACGAAAAACAAAACTCACCCAATACTCTAAGCCATCTCGCAAGTCTAACCGTGACGCGCGGTCTTCAGCGCCAGGATATGTGGCGAAGTGCCTATACGCGTCACGACGTATCCGTATAGCGATCTAACTGTGGCTTAAACGTGCTGCACGTCAGTGGGTCTGGGGTTGGCAGGGGCCGCTTCCGCAACAATCTAGGCCGTCTCCTTCCCACCACGCCAGTGCCAACAACTTATAATCTTGGGAACCCAGCACTCGAAACCATGTCGTTGATGATACAGCTCCTGCTATTCCTCAAAGCCGGTTTCGCGCCAATACCCCTATACCGGCCCAAGTGATAGCGGACGGAAAGCAGGGATCTCGCCAAGGCACTGCGACATTGCCAATCGTACCAGCAATCGACCACCTTGGCTGACACGTCGAACCGCACACGCGCTTGAACGGGGCGAATTCCCTACAAAACAAACGCGAGCGTGCACTTCACTCTCCGCAGTCATGGCTTCCCCGAATAGCAACGTACCTACGCCGGTACCGTTCCCTCAGCCCGAGGGCATTCGCAACCCCAATGCATCGAGCCCTACCGCAGAGTCACCCTCTACCAAGACTCGCGAACGAACCTCCACCAATACCTCGATCGTCTCGAACAAAATCCGTACCGCGACTGGCAAACTGATGGACGTAAACCCGCCGCCCGGCATGTGGGCAGCCACGGGAACCACTGCCGCCAAAGCACCCTCGATATCGGACATTAGAAAGGGTTCGTTTGGTTCTGACGGATGGAACGAAGATTCGCAACGGAAGAGAGCAGGTTCACGAACAAGCCAGAACGAGCAGCGGTCGCGCGCTTCCACCAACGCGGCATCACCGATAGATCAATCTGAGCGTCCGTCCTTCGGTGGTCAGCGCAAGGTATCGTCGAGCAACGCATTGAACACTGAACCCTTTCCTGCTCTGGCTGAGGAGGATACACGACAAGTCGCGGGGTACGATGGCCATGACGAGCGCCTCAACACTGGCATACAATCAAAGCACGACTCCGATACCGCGACAGAGCACTTTGACGACGATAGGCCGCAGCAGCTGAAACGGACATCCTCTGGACGGGTACGTCTTCTGCACCTGCCTCCAAACAAACATGCTAATCATGGAACAGTACGCCAACGGCTACGTACCACCTCCCAAGTTGCCGTGGAAGCGGTCGTTCATGATCGGTCTTAAGGGCTTCTGGAAGTGGTTCCTCACACCCGCCGGCTTCCTCATCACGCTTTACGGCCTGAACGTCGTCGCCTGGGGCGGCATGCTCTTCCTCCTCCTCTGTAACGCCGCACCCGCTATGTGTACACCTACCTGTGACGATATCAATTCCCCTCGCCGTAAGTGGGTCGAGTATGACTCGCAAATCCTCAACGCACTCTTCTGCGTTACAGGGTTTGGTCTTGCGCCTTGGAGGTTCCGTGACCTATACTATTGGGCTTGCTGGAGAATCGGAGGTTCAGCCCGCACAGAGACGGGCATCAGACGTCTTGCTGGCATACACCGAGGATGGTTTCGGCTCCCAGGTTCAGAGCGGTTGCCTGACAAAGCAGGTGCAACCGTCGTCGATCCCGAAGATCCAGCTGTACCAATTCCCGTCCAGATGATCCCCGACCCACCACCCACGGCGATTCGCGCCCCACCCACCAAGAGTTGGAAGATGGATTTCGTCATCTGGATGAATGTATGGAACACCTTCTTTCAGGTGGTTCTGTGCTTCTACATGTGGCACTATAATCGTATCGACCGTCCATCATGGGCCACAGGTCTGTTTGTGGCACTAGGTTGCGGCGTGGCGGGTGCTGCAGGCATCATGATGTGGCACGAAGGCAAGAACGTCAAGAAAGTCGAAGGCGTGCCCATGCGTAAGGATTATGGAGACCAGCGAGACGACGAAGAAGCGCAGAACATTCCGCTCGTGACCACAGGTGTGGCGACGAAATCCTGAGAAATCTGCCCAGCGCCTTGTGTGTCGTGCAGGCAGAGAGGCTGAGAGTGCTCATTGGAGCGGGAGCCTGTTCTTTCCTTCTTGGCGTTTGGTCTAGCTGTGGCGTTGCGTCGAAAACAGCATAGACATATTTTCACGATCGATACCCCAACAGCCCACGGGCATTACATTACCACTATCCAATAGCGTACTCTAGCCTTTTCTGAGTCAACGGTTCTCTGTTTTTCTTTCATCACGTCAGCGTTCCGTTGCGCAAAAGAAGGTGCCGGAAGTTCCCTCCGGACTTTGCCATAGATCAGCCTTATGTGAGCCTCGTGTTGACAAGCTTGCCGAGCTCCCCGGACAGGCCGACCTGCATGCTAAGCATCCCCGAAGCTGATCCGTTGATCAAATGACGTATCAACGTCGTACTTTCTACGGACTGGTGACAGTTGCACGCGCTCTTGGTACTTATTTAGCCAAGGCCTTGTGATCTTGTCGTCTTTTGCGATTTGAATCCTCTCCTACAATATACCTACAAACATTTCCTGTCGCACTGTTTTTCTGTCAGAGCAGCAACGTCGTCTGCAAACACCCTCAAAGGTCACAAGAGATGGCAGCACAAGAATACTATCTAGGTACAGCGGCCGCCCATGAACTCCAGGGCAGCCAACCGCCAAATCCATATCCACCGCAGCCACCAAAGCTGCCACAATATCAACAACCACCCGCGCAACCTCCACGACCACATGTTAGCAACCCTCCATATGTGAACACGCCGCCTCCATCATACTCAGCATATCCTCAGCCTCCACAACAACCCTATGGCTACCCACCTCAACAGCAGCAGCAGCAGCAACACCAGTTTTACCCCGAGAAGAAGAACGCCCAAGCCATGACAGCGCCATACCCCCAAACACCACCAGCAGGCGGCTACTACCCACCCCAACAGCCGATGCCTCAAAACAACGGCTACCTAGGCGCCCCTCTACAACCGTACAGAAGCCACTCGCAACCCGCGCGCGTGCGCTTCGCAGACCAAGACTCCGATCGCAGCACGAGTCTAGGCTCTATGTCCGACTCGGACGACTACTCCCCTCCCCGCCACCGCGACATTAGCAGACACCACCGCCACCATAGCCACCCCACCCGCGACTATTCCTCCGACCGCGACCGCGATCGCTCGCGCAACGAACGCAGACACAAGCCGCGCAAGACACACTCATTCGACAAGGCACACGAAGACAAGCACAAGAACAGAGACACGTTCCTCGGCGCAGGCGCAGGCACCATAATCGGGGATGTGATCTTCCCTGGCCTGGGCACAGCAGCCGGATTAGTGCTGGGTGGCTACGGAGGCAGGAAGTATGCTGATACGAGGAGTAAGAGCGATTATGCTGGGAGCGAGAGGAGGAGTCATAGGGGGAGTCGGAGAGCGGGGGATGATGGGTGGGACGAGAAGACGAAGACGTATCGGAAGGGTGCGGCTGTGAGGTGATTCTGATGATGATGATTCGCCTATGGTGTTGATGATCTTACGATTTCTATTATTTTTCTCTACGGTTCACGACGAGGATGGCATGGTATGACGTACCGATGGCTTGCTTGGTTTACTGGCTGCTGGACAGCACGTCTGTAGTGATTTAGTATAATTGTATTCTCACCTTGATACAAAAACACACATCCCGTTGCATTGTTGGCTCGTGTCATATGAATAAACATTAATATAATTTGACATGTTCGTCTTCGATCGCTCGAGAGCGATAGCGCTACATGTCCATCTACCTGTCCCTACATTTTCGGCGCACGTCTTCAATCGCCTTCGCGATAGCGTTGCAACCGTTTTCCTAATTCCTTTCCTCGAACTCGCTAGGACGTATGTCTTTGACCGACCATGCGGTAGCATTCCATCCTCCTCCACAATAGTCGTACATGGATGTATGTCTTCAACCGACTTGCAGTAGCATTCCATCCTAAGCATCCAGATATAAATACAAACAAAAACATAGTGGATGCACGTCTTCAACCGCGCGAAGCGGTAGCGTCGCACCCCAATTTTGACACCCAATCAGAAGTTTTGACATCTTCTAGTAGATGCCAGGCACGATTCGGTACGGGACAAGCTCGACGTAGCGGTCCCAGTCCTTGCCGTACTTCCTGCGGCACTTCTCCTCATCGCGGCGCTCACGGTGGATGAGCAGGATGGCAAAGTAGACCATGAAGAAGTAGGTGAAGATCATACCCCAACCCTTGGCCTCACCGGGCACGGCGTACTTGCCGTAGCTGTTCTGGTAGAAGTAGGCGTCGGTCTGAGTTGCTGTGATGGGAGACTGAGCCGCGTTCTTGATGAGGTAACCAGACATGGCGGTAGGTAGAACGTAGCTCCAGCTCATGAACCAGTCGCCGAGGTAGTTGATGTGACGCGCCATACCCCACCAGCCACTGATCAGAAGCTTGGAACCTGCGGCGGTCTCGATGCACTTGAGGTGCTTGACGCGTGGGTCGTTGGGGTCGGTCCTGAATCGGTTCTTCTCGTTGTTTACCGAGCGGAAAATGTAGTATCCGATACCCTGGACGGCCAAAACGCCAGCAATACCAACTGGACCGAGATCAACGGGGTAGTTAGATAGATAGCGGGTTTGGATGGAATAAGTGAAGGGTACCCAGACAAGGTCACCGAAGGAAAGCATCATACCAAAGCCGTCGGCGATGATGTCGATGGTGGTCAGGATAGCGGGCTCCATGAACAATGCATCGAATGTGTAGACGGTGTGGGCGACGGTAACAAGGAGGATGCTGTCAGTGACGCGACCGAAGTTGCGGTATTGCTGCATGATGAAGGCCAAGTCAAGGATGATCCATCCCAGCATTCCGGGGCGAAGCTCGCACCATGCCTTGATATCAACTTCTCCGAAGATGGGCATGTTGACACGAGGGTTCAACTCACGTCCGATGAACCAATCGTAGAGCATGTTACCAGTACGGCCACCGGCAGCCAGCTCGCGCATAGACGGATCCTTGGGGTGCTTGACACTGAAAGAAGCGACATAGCAGTAAGTGGCCAGGAAGTAGGAGATGAGAATGTTGCTCGTCAGGATTCCAACGTAGTTATCGGTGATAAAAGTCCAGACGGGGAACTCGGCACCGTGGGAGATGGTGCCAGCAGCGAGAAGGGTCATGATGAAGAGGGCTGAGTTCCAGGCATTGAACCTGTACTTGAGCCTTCCGCCGCTCCTGAGCTCGGTACCCTCAACCTCCTGGCCAGGAAGAAATCGGTAGAGAAACAGACTCAAAAAGTAGTAGGCCAGAGTACCAATGAAAGCTTGGGTGTTGAGTAGACCCGAGAAGCCAGTCCACCCTACCTCCCTCTTCAGCTGCTCGAGAGTGAAGCTGTAGGGGTGAAGAAGGACAGGCGCCGGGCATCCAGAGATGTCATTGCACAGGAACGTGAAGACGTACACCAAGACTGGAAGACCGAAAGAGATGATAAAAGCTCCGGGGCTGGAATGAGGTTAGCGCTGGGATCGTCAGGGCGCGCAAAAGTTGTGGATGGACTTACGGTCCTAGGAACTCATAGCCATGAGGTTCTTCAGCCAGCGACTTGGTCGCCTTGTCAGTCTTCGCTTTCGACATGTTCTCAATGTCGAACTGTCGCGTTGTCCAGCTCTTTCCGTTCCGGCTAGATCCGCCAAGTGAGGGAGCTCAAGGAATAGGGGTCCGGTCGCGTCTTCACAACAAAGGTTCCTTGTCGCAGTTGTTGTCTTCGCCGATAGTGATTGTCGCGCCGCCTGAACCAAAGACAGCCACGGGTGCAGTGTCCTATATAGCAATGAATGAGGCTGAGCGCATCAGACGATGGAAGGGAACTCGGAATTCATTGCAACCGTAATGACGCGCACACACCATCTTGGCCACGCTAACCACCTTCGGCGTTACCGCCCGTCGTTACTGCCGCTGCAAGGCACTCGACATGGGGGGCGCGGCGCCCGGAAGTCAACGTGTTGCGAAGATGGACAGTCGTATCAGCTCCACCTTCACCGTCACCACGCCTCGACCCTCACAGTGCGTAGTGCGTCGATCAACTACGCGATGATATCCCTACTCTACTCGCTCCTGCTTCTGGCAGTGTCGGGCCCATTCGCAGCGGCCGCTTCGGACAAACAGCTCAAGCCATGTACCGTCATCTCACCCGCGTCCGAGCGCTTCTTCGACCTGAACCCTATGCGCCGCCTGCCACCATCAGAGTCAGATGGCAAGAAAAGTAGCAAGAAGGAGGGCGAAGAAGGCAGCTGGCATGCCAAGGGCTACGATTACAATGCCAACTTCACGATCAACTTCTGTGGACCTGTAGTGGAGGAGCTGGACAAGGTGCAAGATCTAGACGAGGGTCTTTGGAAGAATGTCAGCGCATTCTACGAGAGAGGAGACAAGCAGTGGGCTATTGGGTGAGTCTCACATCCTACAAAGTGGTAATAGATGGAGGGATTCAAGGTGCTTGTTCACAACCAGGCAGAAAGATCCTTTGAGGTGCAATGCTGACACCTTGCGATTTCCAGTCTCGAGAACTCGGAACCCATCTTCCGCGGTCGCAAGCTCATTCTAAACTACACCGGAGGTTCGCTCTGCCCAGATCTGTCCTCGAAATCCAAGCGCACGCTCGAACCCACCTCTCTTGACACCCGCGAGATCATTGACGGCGACGACGATGACAAGGACGATGGCGACAAGAAGAAACCCTCGAAAAAGACTGAGCGCCGCAAGACTACCATCATTTCGCTGCTTTGCGACTCGGACCCGCTTGCAAAAACCAGTGTGTCCTTCGTCGCGGCGGTAGACGACTGCTCGTACTTCTTCGAAGGCCGCTCACCTTTCGCATGCGGCGGCGTACACCAGGATACCCAAGCCCTAGGCCCCGGCGGCGTCTTCGGTGTCATCGTCATGATCGCCGTTGCCGTATACTTTGCTGGTGGTTGTGTATACCAACGCACCGTCATGCACCAGCGCGGATGGAGACAGCTGCCCAACTACGCCATGTGGGCAGGCATCTGGCGCTTCTTCTCTGTAAGTCTACTCCGCTGTTGTCGTAGAAGGAGTAGTAGTAGCGCCCGGTGGTGATGACAGACGTTCGTATGTCTTGTTGGTGTTGCTGACATCGTGAAGGACATGTTCATCATTCTTACTTCGTCGTGCGCGCGCTTCATGCCTTCCCGCCGGGGCTACAGTCGCGTCTCGCTCGGCCAGGACAGCGGACGAAGGGGTCGGAGGAATGAAGATGAGGATAGGTTAATAGACAACCTGGATGAGGAGTGGGACGATTAGTTGTGGCAACACATTGGTATCGGGCATGGCATAACGACGCGGCGTTTACGGGGCTTGGTTATGGACAATAGACGCTCAGGAGCGCATGAACAAGAGACTTGTTGACTCTGATACATTACCGATGAGTTTACTTTCACGGTGCACGTTCATGGAGATTTTCGAAAGACTGCATTGGTAACGCACTGACACCAAGTACCCATGTCCCCACCCGGTTCAGAAATGAATGGCTAAAGACGCCATGCACACCGGAGAAGTACCGACTGAAATTGCAAAAGAGATCGTTCGTCCCACCTCACACGAGAAAAAAACCGAACAGCCCTGCAGACTACTTCAAGATGAAAACATGCGAAGTGGGTGACCTAACATCGATGTAGGCTCCAGGGTGTTCAGTTTTTTTCTAGTGGCCCTTCATATTAACTGATTCGGGAACGAAATATACCATTTTAAACGCCCTCTTGACAATTCAACTAACGGCTGGGGTATAAAGCAGCGAACCATGAAGCAATACGGATATCAATCGCTGAGAAAATGCTGTGTCGTCTGTGGTGAGCGGACTTACATCTCATCGATGTCGTCGTCGACTCGTGCGCGCCTGTCAATCTGCTCGCCATCGTTCTTGGTCATAGATGATTCAGTCTGCATCGGTGCTGCATCGTCAGCATCGTCCTCGACGGAATCCCGTGCAGAGTCAACGATGCTGCGGTCATCCTCCATATCAACGTCCATCTGTTCATCCCCCTCCTCGGCTGTACCGTTTGCACCTTGCTCCGGTGAGATGTCGCCACGAGCAATGGGCTCGAACTGCGCATCGATGCCTTCCAAGACCTCTCTGACCTCTGACCTGAGCTCCCTCTCTTCTTTTGATTGTAGATTAAGGGGCTGGTTGCCAGCCGCACCACCAAGCACTTGGGTATAGTCCCTGTTCATCTGCACGAAGATCTCATCGGCCTTGGCCTCCATCGACTCTTGCAGTGCTTTACACATATCGTTCAGATGCTTGTTCACTGTGGCGATCGCTTCATGGAACATCCTGTGTCGCTCCCGCTCAACGTGATTCTCCATGTGCTCTTTCATGCGCTTGTAGGATCCAGCGCCACGCTCTTCAGTGCACACGTCGTAGACGGTATGCATGATGCCTGCGATGCAAGGGCTGAAATCACGGTTCGCTTCGCGCTGAAGCTCGTTCATTTGAGTGATAAGGGTAACCCCAAGATCCTTGAAGAGCTGCTCGTAGTTGCAAACCTGTGTCTTTAAGATTGAGAGATTCGCCAGGCCGACTCTGCTGGTCCTCGCACGCTCTTCTATGGCCTCGTGAAACCTGTGGAGAAGCGTGCTCGAATTGCTGATGTAGGCATCAAATGCTTTTGGAAGGCGCGTCTGAAAGGCTCGCTCCCAACCCGTTGCTAGTTGTTTGATAATAGGATCCACAAGATCGGAGTTGAAGTCACGGTGGCCAGCTGTAGAGGAATGATAAACGCCGTCGCGTCGGACGACAGCCTTGTACGATGACCACGCGAGGCCACCTTGATCCTTGTAACCCCAAGCATGTGCTGTAGCTGGTGCAAACTCAATGGCTTTGTTGATGAGTTCAGGGCATTTGTCAAAGATTTGAGACTTCATCTCAGATCGCATCTCCGTGATGCAAGCACGAATGGCCGCCTCCAACCCCTCCATCAATTGACTGAGTCGCCACTGTAGGTAATTGACCTGCTTGCGCTTGTCTTCGTCTGTCATCTTCAGATCTGTCCAATGGTTTGACGTCCAGAGATTGAAAGTCGTCAGCATCTGGCATACACTCGTCAAGAACGTGCGGCTGGTGTGGATACGTCCGCCTTCAGTAAGCTTCTTGCAGTGGTTCTGAAGTTGAGGCACTTCGGTTTCTTCTGGTGTTACGAAACCGGGCACCTCATCATCCTTTTGCATCCGGCCACACATCTTCTGGTACGCTCGACTGCTGACGCAAAAGACTGGCAGAGACCTAGCAACCTGGTTGTAGTCGCGCATTTCCTCGTCGGGGTTAAAGTTGTCTTCGTCTTCTTCGGCCGCATTTTCCTGGTCGATTTCTTTGATGCCAGCAGCGAAATCCTGCTGAATAGCCGATTTTGAGTATTGGTTTCTGCCTGCAATGCAAATACGGCTGATCTCAGCTTTGATTTCATCCTTCTTCGCTTCCAGTTCTCGGATTTGGGGTTTCAAGTCGTCGATGGAGTGCTTGATTGCTAACCCTTCTCGCCTAGCATTCTTCTTCGTTTCCCTTAGCTCCTTGAGTTTCTCCTTGATGTCAGTTTCGAATAGCCGCTGCCTTTCTCCCTGGAATGTCACTTCATCGTCGCTCCCAAACTCATCGGGATCGGAATCCTCGAAATCATCATCCGTATCGTCGTCGAAAACCTGTCTCTTCTTGCGTGACTGCTTGTTCGACACAGCGTTCTTGCGTTTGTGATTCTTGGGCTGAGGAGCGAACACAGTTTTCCCGTCGTCCAGTTGCTCCTGCAGTGATTCCCACACCTCAATGTCCTCATTTGCGCTCGACATGGCAAGCTTGTAGACCTCTCGCGTTTCGTTCAACTCTTGAATTTTGCTCCGGACTCGCTTTATCTGCTCATCGTGGCGTTCCTGATCTTCTTCAAACGCTGCAACATTCTCTTCAAGCCCAAGACTGTCGATTGCTTCAGTGATAGAGATGTCGTCCGTCTTCGAACAGATGAATGTAACACTGGAGAAGCCGCCGTCGTATTTGAGCTGCCGTTTGAAAGAGTCTCCGAGCAGGGTTTTAGCAGCCTTGTCGTCTACAGCCCGATTGATAGGAGCAACGATCCACAGACCGGTGCATTGCTTCATGTATCCCTGAGCAACAGCAGCTCTCGCGGCGTTACTGTCATGAACACCCGGCAAATCCACGATCACTGCACCCGTTGAGAGCGCATGACTCTTCGTATAGATTTTGACGACCTTAATCAAGGGCCAGTACTCTGTTTGAAAAGCTGGCTTGGAGACCTTCTCCTTGTTCTTATCCTTCTTTGCGACTTTCTCTTTGCTATCCACGTAGCATTGGAGCTCTCGGTAGAAGTAGTCAGGTCGAGCCGCGTGGATCTTTTTGGTAGTCCCAAGTACGTCGACAACGGATCGCTTGGACATGAGCGAAGGAATGGTGCATTCACCCAAAGCATCTTTTGCGACAGACGGGTAGACAGAATGAAACTTGGCCCATGCAATACCGGCATCAGAATTGGGATCCTGCGCCTCGCGCGAGAGAGACCCATTCTCGGTGAGGAACTCGTGTAGAAGGACTGTGAGTTCCTTTTCCCAGTCCGTCTGGCTGATGAACTCAATCTCGGCGCAGTATTTAGAGCCTGGATCGGTGCTGCTGTTCCACGAGATCTCGGTAACCACGGCGGTGCAAGCACGCATACAATTGGTTGGAACGAGCCGCTCTTCATCAAGCATAGCGTTGATGACACTACTTTTCCCAGCGCCAGTGTTACCCACTACGCCGACCACAGTGCGCTTTCGCTGCGCCTGAGGAATTAGCTTCTCAATGGCTTGTAACCATGCCCTGGCTTCCGCGTTAGATGTTGAGTATGTCAAAAACCTATATTTGAGGCATGCGAGAACTTTGAGAGATGTGGAGACGCCAGCCTCAAGGACATCAGGGTCTTGTAGCTCAATGATTGGGCGAATGCATCGATCAACGGAGCCCAAATCTTCTTGAATGACCTGTTCCGGTGAGCCACCTCTGTCGAAAATCTTTTCCGGGTCAAAGTTGCTTTTTAGCTCTACACGGCCGCCACCCTGGGCAAAGGACGCATCTTAGAAAGCACCTGGGGACTGTCTCTCCTCCTTGATGGCGGAAAGTCCGAGAGTATCTATTGGGTACATCGATGATGCCGCAGGACACGTCTCAGAAGGCTCATGATGAGCAGCTTGCGTTACGCCTTCCGTGATTGAAACAGCCGTTGGTCGCGAGCTTGCCTGGGGAAAATTGTCCACTGGGATTGATGGTGTACTTAGTTCACTAGAAGAGCGCCATGGTAGCTGATGAGATTCGTCTTGCACAAAATGTCGAACAGGAGACCGTGACTGAGACCACGGCGGGTACCTATCTGCGTCAAGTGCAGGCGCGCGGCTACTCAAAGTACTGGTATACCTCGATGTCAACGGCGAAGCAAAGCTTGGGTTGTGTTGAGTTGCCGAATGGCCCGATGCATCATGAGAAGAAGTGGAGGCTCTATCAGCACCATAGCGTATTGATTCTCTTCCCATTGTTCCAGGGTCGGCATGGTTGTTTGCTGTTTGTATAGCGTCATGACCAAACTCCGTCTCCTGGTGTCGACGCGCAATTTCGGCTTGTATGAGCTCTTCCCTGAGCGATGGAGGGTCTTGAGTCTGATGTTGCACCGTTGCGCTGAACGGTTCTATGGCATTAAAGACTACGACGCTGTCTTCTGGCACTAAGAATGACTTGACGATGTCGCTTTGGTCCACCATGCAGCCTTTATAACCAATGCGAACACCGATAAGATCATGCCGTTTCTCGTAAGTATCTTGAATCTTCTGGATAGGGATTTTCTGAAAGCAGGTCAGCGGATCCACGATAGGTGGGTGTGGTAGGACATCGGCGCATTCTGGGTACATTCCGCGCGCATTGATACCGTCAAAATATCGCTATCTCTTGGATGGGGAAGGCTGTAGAGCTTACGTTGTGGCCTATCATCCATATGAAATCGGCTTCCTTGAACTCATCCTGGGTGGACTTGCGGTGATCGAGCACACCAATCCAGCACCGGCGTGCTTTGAGCTCCTGTTGTGGCACAACACGCTTGGCGCGTCGATGAAAGTCGTCCCAGTCCATTGCTAGATTATGCTCATGACTGAAATGCTGCGGAAGTATAGTAATGTATGCAGAAGCTGGGTTGACGCGTTAGGCGGGAGCTACCCACGGGTGCATGCAGCTTGCGAGCTAGCGATGGCGGAGTTTGCAGGATGGTGTGACTGAACACATTAGAGCATTGGCCAGCTGTTCGTCGCTAGTGCGTGTAACGGTGAATGAGGAAATTGAATGCGGTCGAGGTGACCAACGGTCTTGCAGAGGAAACAGCGGGGCAAACGCGCCTGAACACGCTAAGACACGCCAGCACATGACGCCAAGCCTCTCGACGCATCCCTCGCTGCCGTCCTTCCGTCCGAAACCTTCACTCTGTGATCTCATAACATCACAACTGTAATCATTCTACACGATCATCGTGTTCTACCTTCAAAAGTCCTAGCATTTGCACAACGCCAATAGAGATTATCTCGATCGTTACCCATACCTACCTGCAGCTCCTCACTACGACGCGATCTATTCACGGCAGGAACGGGAGCCTAGTACAGCACTCATATAGTATATTGAAGCTATTCGTAGTATCGTACCTACTGGATCATTTTCCTGGATATGCTGCGAAGGTACAAAGGTGCCCCGGCCACCCACATACACTCGGAATGACAGTGTTACTGTTTACGCATCTGTCAGCCATAAAGCGCACCAAGGCTTTCAATGCGCTTAACAAAATGGCTTCCGGCTAGCGCAGGTACCTGTGCACGCATATAGAGCGGTTGTTATCACATCCATCTCTCGACTTCTCAAATGCCACTGTCCGAACTTTCACCGAAGAACCGATGAGTATCGCTACACACTACATCTGTTTACTTCCCTGGTTCACAGTGATCAAGGCTTATTTACGATGACTTTCTTATAATCATCACAATGTTTCTCGAACTTCTAGCGACCAAGCGTTGTTTTTGCATTGTTCTAGTCTCAACGCCCTTCTTCCTAATGACAGGCAAATCGTTCATTTGACTCAACGCTTTGTCTCATTATGTTGCGGTTGACTCTCAACAATGGTCATACCTTCAATATGTATACTTTACTGGATTATGACGAGTACGGGTGCGCAAACGCCCATTCTATATCCGCAAACAATGACGGAACAGACGCCGCTGCGACAAAAACGTGTCGCCCCAGAAGCCAACCCCGGTATCAACGGATTGATCGCAGCATGCAACAAAAACGACAGGTTCAAACTTCTAGAGGACGAAAGTGTTCTGCCTGGAGACTTGCGCAATTCGATCCATCCGACGTTGCGATGGTTTGATAGTGAAGGGCCTATGCGGCAGATGCTTCAGTTGGCATCACATTTCCTCAGCCATGACACCGTCCTCGCTTTCTTTGTACCGCTTCTATACGGACGCGACTTAATAAGCATAGTTGACGATGCAAGGAAGACTTACCTCTCAGACCCGCTCGCGCATGCGTCTGAAGAGAAGCGCGGTCAATATCTGGCTGGAGTGCGTGAGGCTTTGCATTGCCTTGGGCACAGCGTCTCCTTCCAATTCCTACCGTCTGCGAAGCGAGTATACGCCCGTTCGCTGCGGGACAATGCAAGTCCACACCATGCCGCGTCATGTTGTCCGGCGTTCCAGCGCAAATTTTCTTGCAGGATCGAAATGGCGGACTGGCTGCGCAATTTTTATTCGACTGGTGAGTACGAAGCGGCGTCGCGGTGTGCGCAGTTTCGACACGATTTCCTTTTTGCTGCAACACTCGTGCATGAGATTGCCCATGCTGTGGGAATATTGCGACGGGGCAATACGAAGGAGCCGCACATTCGAGCTGACTGTCCAGAAGCCGAGTGGGGCTATGGTTGGGAACACTTCATGTTCGGCGCCGTAATTAACCCTCAAGACTTGTCGGTACCAGGCACTCACCTTCTTATGCGTAAGATATGGGTAGATCGAAAGACGGCCAACGAGATTGGAGGTAAGGAGTACTGCGATGTACCCATGTCTTACATAGCGCAATGGTTTCGGAACAAGACATGGAGCATTGTAGCCAAGTACGGACCAACTACCGTTGCAGCACCAATCGCTAATTTCAAGGTACGACCGTCGGACCAGCGTGGGGCCTGGGTAGTGTCAAGTGACCATCCAGAGATCGAGAAAGATCTGAGAATGCTGCAATCTCACTGGCGAAATCGCTCTTTGAATCCAAGTCTAGGAGTAGGGTCGTCATCATCACCGGCTGCTCGTTCGCGTTTTGTCAAGATATTCTGGCACGTTGTCACTACGGAACAGTTACAGAAGAATAACGCGCCGGTTCCGCTACGCACTTCGATCATATCACGGGCTGATACGGGCTCCACGCCAAAGCCCACTCAGACCATACGAGTGTGCTGCAAGCCAACAAACACACAGCCCCTTGCAGGATGCCAACCAAATTACTCTGATGGCTGCGATACGTCTCGAAAGCGGCCCGCAGAGTCACGAAAAGAGTGCTGTCGCGTCAGCAAAGCAATGAAGCGGTGAACTGTGGCAGCGACCCTAAACCCCCAGGACGAGCTTCAAAGGCCGTAATTTATTCGATGAAAGTCATGATATTAGAGTGAGTGTAGCACAGGGTTGGCAACGATTACAGAACGAAGCAAGGATACCGACTTACTGGCGCACGCACGCTCGTTGTGCGGTCTCAACTACATATCCACGTCATGAGTGATGTAGCATATGACGAAGTCTCAGCCAACACAGAACCTAAGTCTCAGTCTAGCAAACCGTAGTAGTCACCTGTAACGTCTCACCAGTGTTTTTTCCACCCCTTGGACACTTGTTCGTCATGCCAATATAAGAGACTTAGCCCCAGCCCCTAACGTGCATTTCTCGTAGTAATCTAATCAATCCAAAGCCAAGACCATCAGCGTTTCAGATGCCTGATAGTACGCCACTTCCCACGCGGGAGGCATATGTCAATGATTTGGTACCCGTCGCAATATGTTCTGCAGCAGATCCTTGCCACATTTGTTGGGACATTTACACCAGAGCTCACGAGCCGGTCCTTCTGCGTCCTTGTGGGCACATTTTCGGTAAGCCATGTATACAGCAATGGTTCGAAGAAGGCGCAAACACATGTCTCTTCGATAGAAAGAGGCTTTTCAACTCCACAACGGATGCAGAAGAAACCGACAGCTGGTTTTTGGTGCCGTTTGGCGTTTTTCCAAATCAAGGCGGTAAAGATGCGGCAGGAAGTGGCAGAAGGGGTGGAACAGCCAATAGAACCCATCCTACATCAGAGCAGTATCTGTTCTTCAACGGCGAGATCATTGGGATAAACAGTTGCCCAACACTAGAAGGCTGTTGTCGCGTCGTTCGTGACCTCTGGTATGTAAGCAATCATCTTTACTACCAGATTCGTAATCATGCCGATGATCACGACCCACTATCCGTCAGCGAAGACACCCTGAGAGAATTGATACATGATGCACTGCCTCGCGGTATCGATGTAGATGACCACGCTTGGCCGCTAATTTTCAGCATGGCAAGAAGTATGCTCACATCGCGGGGAGGTGGCCTGGGAACAGGGGTTGGAGGCGACCTTGCGTAGGGAAGAAATGATGGGCTAGGGAGAGAAGCTCTGGGGCGCATGCGGGAGTGTTCAGGACCGAGACTGAAAGTAGATGCAGGCAACGAGCTTCAGACCAAACGATGTTCAGCGTGTTGATAGTAGCTAGTCATATGTTAGACGTCTAAGGGCTTCGCTTCTCAGGGTCTCATGTGCTCATGTGTTGAAGTTCCAGGTTCGCGGGCACTCAGCGCGGCGACGGGAAAGCTCGTAATACCAGCGGACTTGCATTCAACGAAGATGCTCGAAGACGTGCATTTACAGTATACTGCACCTGGTATCGGACGTGTTGTGCTAGGCAGTCAATGGCAAGTTCTTTGGCTCCTGAGGTCGTGACAGCTTTTGTGCCGTTCTGAAGTTTCCATCGAGGCTACGGAATTTCTAGAACACCACCACTGGGCACGGACTTCCACCCTCGCCGTCACCAACTTACTCCCCACCCTTTGCTCTAAATTATCCAGCTGCGTAAGATCCTCGAGTATTACCACCGGGTCTCATACAGTAGTCGCTTGGGTTTGATCCAACGACGTTCACTTGCACTTTTCGCACTGCGCAGGCGCCACACGTGCCGCCCGACGCCGGCCACTACCCGGTCAAAATCCTCACCGCTGGGTTCACTTGGTCGCGCGACACTTGAATAATTACACCACCCGCACCTGGTCTATTCAACAGTATTTACTCCACAGTCACCGTGGTCAGATAAGCCCGCAATAGCTCGGCTCACACACACCCAACGCTGTTTCTTACCTTCTACTCAAACCAAAAGAGCTTTCGTCAACACTACGACCATGGCGCCCACACCCAGCATGCCATATAATCCCGCTGATTACGTCGTTTCTGAAGCATTAATTCCTGAGGAATTTTTCGGTTATGCCGATATAGAAGCTTTAGTGAAGATTCACGAGGTTCTATGCAATAGCGAAACACAGGATGACGTTGAGCTCGCCACATGGATACGGGAGAATTATCTCAGCGCCCCCAGAAACGCTTCGGGAACAAAAGTGATGCGTACGGCACAAGAATTCGGCAGACTGGACAGGGCTTACCGCAGGGTACGGTCTCTCAGTGGAAAAACCCAGGACAAATGGCCAATTCTCGACATACATTTCAAGGAAATGTCATCAGCTATGGTTCGGAATAACGCGCGCGGTGAAGCCGCTCCCGGAGTCATGTTCCCAATTGACGGATTGCAGAAGAAAGCTTGTCTGGCTGGGCAGCCGCCCAACGGGTTTGTCAGACCTGATGGTAAGTAAGATCTCGCCCAATCCTGCCCGCAAATACTGACTTCTGTCGTTACAGCTTCCGCGGGACCAGAGATCCAGGTGCCATCTGGTACAACCAAGCATAGCCGGTACCAACCATACGTGCAGACTTACCCACATCTAACACGGCAGACTCCTGTACCACTTTCAACCAACGTTCCTTCCAAATCGTCTGGCGAGCGGAGTTCTGAGAACGAGTTCGCACCGCCAGAGCAGCCTCAGCTTTCTACAGCCTCTTCACAGAGTATTCCGCAGCATACAGGTATGGTACTATCACCTGATTTAGATACCCTCACTTGATTACCTCAGTCTACCGCAAATTTCGAGGCTCACTTTCACTTTTGATTTGTTCATCATGCTGACACAAAAGCACTAGATATCTCGTCAGGATCGGACGGCCAGGCAATGTCTCAGTCCGAGCAACCTGCATCGGTGCTGCCTCAATCCGTGGAAGCTCTTGGCCAAACTTTGTCGAACGACAAAAGTGACGCCCCTCCATCAAGGCCCGTGGGCGGTACCATGTCGCGCCGCACCAGCTCCAATCTCGGTGGTGATTTGCAAGCAGAGCCGGCAGTACGAGATGCGGGCGCGGGTAAGGTCCGCGGCCCAAATGGGCGCTACCTACCCAAGGATGATATCGAGCCCGAGACCAAAAAAGCTAAGAAGTCAAAGAAGGTAGTCAAGCCCCGTATGGGCTTGAGAAATATGAAGAAACGCGAATCACCTGCACCAGATACAATCGGCAAAAACCCCGAGACTCCGCGAGCCGAAGATGGAGATCTGATGGTAGATGTCCAGTCGCCTTCGCCTCCAGTGTCTGGCCATGATGTTGAGGAGATGAATGGAGTGGAAGATGTCACACCTGTCACCACAGCTTCTAACATCGTCGTACCATCCACAACTAATCTAGCTACATCCCCCACAGTCGTAAGTGAGCGAGAGGCTGAGATGGAGGAGGAAGTAGCGTCTGGCTCGGGATCTACCCCTGCGTATCTTCTTGCAGCCGCGGCTGATCCAATACCGTCAAATCTGGACAAGCTACCTCCCAACTCTAGGATATCCATCAAAAGAAAGAGTGAGCCAACTGTCACGTCTGGAGACCGTAAGCGGGGTAAACACGGTGGGATAGTCGGCCGCCCGAGGAAGTCCGAACAGCACGGAAGCCACTCATCAGATCAAGAGCCATTTCAACAACAAGATGAGCACATCACAGAGACAGAAGATCCGCCTCAGATGGTAACACGTCGAACCACGCGACGCTCCGCGGCAGCAAATCTGGATGCTTCCGAGATCAGTAAGCCAGATGCGACGTCAACGGCAAGACTGCCTATCAAGGCCTCAGTCGAACAGCCGGTCTCAACCTCGAAGAAGCCATCAAAATCAAAACTAACCCTAAAAAGATCATCCGCTCCTGACGAAGACGAGTTAATGAGTGGGGTTGAAGACCATGCTGCGGCTAGCCGTGAGGAGACTCTTAAGCCTACTACCAACGTTAGCGAAGCGAGCACTACGCCTTCATACGCTTTGGGAAGCATTACACCCTCGCAGCTTCCGGATAATCACTTCTTGAGCATCGGTATCAGCAGGACCAGCTCCCCCGCCTTTCATCCTCAGCCGTCTTCGCACCAGCCCTATCAATCACCTTACCAAGCGGTGCCACCAACGCCACCACCTACAGTTGTTGCAAAAAAGACCATCATCAACGGCATAACCTACACTTACCCGCCAGGTCACGTGGAATATTTCGCTCGCATCACTACAGGCAACGGCAGCACAATGGACTTACCGATCGAAGAAGACCAAATCGAGAGCAAAGAGATTGAGATGATCAAGAAATATGCCGATTATAACGCCGCACTCGACGCGGTACCAGTATTGTATAATCATTTCCGGAACATATTCGCTTTTGCGAAACAGGATTAAGACGGAGGAGGGACACTATGGAAGTCTTCAGGCTGTACTGAACGTGGTGACTGTATGGATAGAATAGGCATGGAACAATTACAACAACAATGATCATCACCGGTTCTCATGACATCCAATTCCCTCATTCCCGAACTTCAATGGTGTCTCCCCTCTCCCTTGACCACTTTCTTGCTCCTACCATCAGCGTCTCCGCCTCTGCGGGCCCCTCCTATCGTACGGCTCAAATCTGCCATACCTTCCACTGTCGGTATAACTCCAGCCCCTGTCGCCACTGCCGTAGACTTGGTTGTATCGTGTCTCGCCGCCACGGGCTCCGGGCTGGTGCGAATACATGCGGTCGGGGTGGAAGCCGCCACCGTTGTTTGGGTCTTGGAGCGAGTTCTGGTAGGGGTAGTACGAGCGGCCGCCTGGAAACATGATGTTGAGTGGGTGTTTGGTGGATATATGTGTGGGTGTTTGGTCTTAGGCTTTCAGGGCTGGCTGCGGTTGCTTTGTTTGTTAGGTGGAAACTGAAAAGTACTAGTAATTGTTCTGTTAGATGCTGCTGTGCTTGGTATGATGGATAAGAGAAAGGAAAGGCAGAACCTCAAGGGTTTATATACGAGAACTGGATTAATGAATAGTCGACTACGACAGTCAGACGTCGACTCGATGCGTACTCTGTGCTGAAGACCCAACGACTTGATGTCTGGTGCGTGAGTTGGCGCAGGTGTTGCCGGCAGTCTACAAGGCCGCATAGTGTATAGCGTAATCGTGGATGGTGGAAGGTTTGGTCGCTCGCTTGATATCATTGAATCAGCGGCATCCGTAATGACATCTCTCTTCACCTCACGCTCCCTGACAGTGCCTCAAGCTGGCACTCATCATCCCTGCCACGTCTTCTCCCGGTACCTAGGAAGACATATGCTTAAACTCACTCTCCAATCGTGACGCATTGCCACAGCATTTCGTGTTGATAGACCATTGGTGTAGGATAATGATCGCGACTGACTGGTTTGAAGAGATGCGCCACAATGGTGAACGGTACCTAGGTAGCTGATGGCCAGGTGTGCGATAGCGCCTACCTACAATGCCGTCAACCTCCATACACTCAAGACCATTCATGCGACGGAGGGAATTGCATCAGATTCCATACTCAATGATCTGTAGTTGAAAAGTCTTGGAGCTTCGTTGTTCCTCATCCTGGCGACTCTTCGTCGACTTGTCATGGCAGAGCGCACGACCCGGGCCGAATCCGTTAGCATGGACAACACCAGCCACCACAATTCTCTTAGCATGTCAAACACTGGACAACGTCAACACATTACATGCGCATCCTCGACAACCTAGCCCCCCTGTCACAAATTGTGAGGAATACAACAAATGGTCTAGAAACCGAGTCCAATGACGACAATCTGCAGCTCCGCAGCCCTATATCTCCTGGCTAGGGCTCTTACGGCAGGCGGGAAACGGCAAACGTACCGAATCGGAGGACATCCGTACGAGCATGCCAATCAACGCATTGATTGCCTGCGCATTGAGCCATGCTCATAAAGAATTTCGCTTATCGTGAGTTCTGCAGAAGGCTGATATGCAGCGAGAATTCCTAGCGTTGTGCAACGTTTGGCTTTGTGCCGCGGTCGATATCACATGGGTAGCCTCCAGCGCACGCGTGCTTCAGCGACGGTAACACCCTCCCAGACTGCTTGTACTTCTCCGAGCACGAACAACAGTCAAGATGAGATGCCCGAGGATCGTGTTGGCGCTTGCGCTCCTGGTCGCTGGATCTGGCGCTGAGCCGATACCGCGGGCTGTGGAACCACCCAGGGTTGATCTGGGCTATGCTGTCTATGAGGGGAGTTATGATGCCGTTACCAACATCAATATCTTCAAAAGGTAATTTTCCGTCTGAGATCCTCCCAATCCTACAAGAGTTAACCTTGCGTTGCAGTATTCGGTTTGCCGCTCCCCCGCTCGGAAAGCTCAGGTTTGCAGCTCCTCAAGCCCCTGTGCGGAACAGAACGATAGTATCAGCTTTGAGCGATCCGCCAGCTTGTCCGCAGACTGGCGCCTCTTCGCAGACACCCGCGGCTTACGGCTTCACTTCCGCGATCGGGAACGAGGATTGCTTGTTCTTGAACGTATATGCGCCAGCTCACGCGAAGAACTTGCCTGTCTTCTTCTGGATTCGTAAGTCACTTTCCAAGCAACGCGCAAAACGCAGTGGACCCCGCTAATAGGATCAAGACGGTGGAGGGTACGGGCTGTTCAGCGCCTCTGGGCTAGACCCAAGCGAATTCATGAACACCAACAAAAATGACTTCGTGAGCGTTATAATCCAGTACCGCCTGGGCGCTTTCGGGTTCCTCTCTAGTCCAGAGGTGAAGCAACATGGTGCACTCAACGCCGGGCTTCTTGACATGAACCTCGCATTGAAGTGGGTACAAGCCAACATCGCCAAGTTTGGGGGCGATCCTAGCAAGGTCACTATTGCAGGCGAGAGTGCAGGAGCAGGCGCTGTTCTCTATCAATCTCAAGCCTACGGTGGGCGGCAGAATGAAGACCTCTTCCGTAATGTCATCACAGCGAGTCCATGGGTACCCTATCAGCACGATTATAACGACGAACAACCCGCAGAAGCCTATGCGGCGTTCGTTGAAGCATCCGGCTGCTCAGGAACGAAGCAAAGCATCGAGTGCCTCCGCGCAGCTGATACCATCATTCTCCAGAATGCCAGCGCCAAAGTTTCGGAAGCTGGCCCTTTTGGTACCTTTGCTTTCTTGCCAGTAACAGACGGTACATTTGTTCAAGACCGCCTCTCCACAACCCTAAATTCGAAGTCGTTAAAGGGAAAGCGTGTTTTGTCGGGTAGCATGGCAAACGAAGGCGTGCCGCTTTCGCCTCCAACCGCGCGCACGTTACAGGATTTTCGAGACTACGTCGATGTAACATTCCCCGGCTTTTCGGCATCCGAAAAAGCCCGACTGGAAGAAACATACTCATTCCCCGGTGATACCATCGACGTGAAGCCCAATGCTACGCGCTTTGCAACATCCGGTACTGGTCTACCCACGGCACTAAACATGAGTGGATTTGGGACAGGAAATCAACAACGTCTCTTCAATGTCTTTGCAGAGTACGCCTTCGTCTGTCCCAGTTACTGGGCTGTTGAGGCTTTTGCAGAGGGCTGGAAGTATCAGTTCAGTGCGCCTCCGAGCTATCACGGGTATGATCTACAAGCGCTATGGAGCGGAACTCCAACCCCCGGCAAAAGCTTCAAGCACGCTTTCCGTAAGATTTGGGGCAACTTCATCACAAAGAATTCGCCGGTAATAAGCTTGGAAGACGCGAGGGGTGGTGTCGCAAACTCGACGATTCCGCCTGCGAGTGGGTATGGTTCGAGTGACATCTCTTGGCCAAAGTGGAACGAAAACAAACCGGTACTACTGAATTTGAACGCTACAGGCGGCATCTCTTCCTTCGTGCAAGCGACAGACGACCTTTACTACTACGTTTATAGCGATCCGGGCGTCAACAACCAGATCAGTTTGGCCGATGCAAATGCATGGGAGGGCGGAAGGGGCGGGCGATGTGATTTTTGGAAAGCTATGGCAGGCAAAGTGCCATACTGACGGGTGGAGACGTTTATGAGCTTGAATGTCCGAGGAATGATAATTGTGAACTACGCTATATCGTAATTACAATCCCGGTCGCTTGCCCATCGCGACTGAAGATGTGCGAATACCCATGGTTGACCCGCTCACACACCATCATTGAACTCATAGTCTTTGTCCCATCGCTATGCTGGTCAACAACATGTATATTCATGGGTGCGTTGTACTTACAGTGTCCCATGGTTTGCTGCCATCGACGAATCTCAGATCAGTACCCACTCTAATCACATTATTTGGGTCGTGATTCAATGTAGATGCGTGTATCTGACTACTGTTAGCCAAGATCTGGGTCAGCTCAAACCCAAGAATACGTACCGCAAACGGGTTATGGAGTACTACGTCGCCCGCTTCGTAGGTCGTCACCAACCAACGTCTGTCAAAGGTGTCAGAATACTCTCGTGGACCGTCAGCGAGCAGCCCTGTTGATAGCATGTTCTGATTGAAAGCGTTCTTTGTTTCCTCCTCGCTTAATCCACTTTCCGCTGCCTTTCGGTTAAAATCTTCCTCTACTTCACGGCCAAGCGTATGACCTACCAGACTCGTTAATTTTGCTCGATCGCTCATCTCACGGATGAGAAGACTCACCATTCTCCAAATATATTAAGCCTCCGCCCGTCAAGCTAACATCGCCCATTGGTACCCATGCAGTGACGCTGGTGGGCTCGCCATGACGGAGGAAGATCTGATCGTAATGTACGCCTATGGCCTTGTTTCCTGGTGTGTTGTTGCGCAACAAGCTTCTACGGACACCCAGAGTGTTGTCGCCCCATTTTGTCATGCGGGCAATGAAGTCTTTCAGCGCCGGGTGCTTGCAGAACGTCTCTTTGTACCAGTCTGCATAATGCGCTTCGAGCGCCAGACTAACGAATTTCTCCGCCGTCGCTTCTCCCGGCTTTCCATTTCCAGGGGCTGCGCCAGCTCCAATACCAGGGAAGTCTGCCGCGTCCTTCTCTGGATCGAATATGCCGTCTACCGGCTGGGTGCCAGGTTTCAGCACGCCGCTCGGTGCGAGCGACTTGAAGTACTCTTCGCGAGCTTTGAGGACATCACTCCTCGGTAGTAACCCTTTGAGGAAGACATATCCATCTTCGTTGTAACGCCGACGCAGCTCTTCCATGGGCATATCTGGAGACGACTCCTTCAACTTTCCGACCTGACTTGGTCGGAGCAACCCATCGTTCACGAAGAGTTTCTTGCCATCGAAGCTCGGCACGTCTTGCTCTGGTGATAGTGCATGGGGCATGATGAGGGGTGTGATGAAGTAGCAACCAGCTTCGAGTTTTCTCCACAGAGAGAGATATTATCTAGGCGTCCAGCTTATTGCCAAAGTCTTCCGGCAATGTAAACGTGGTATAAACCTATCGCCACCGCCGTGAGTGTACACGACAGACGAGTGTGCCGGGGAGACTTACCTCTTTCGTCCCTGCCAAGATGTGGGGTAGGAAGCGGGGCTAGTCGACGCTGTGACACGCTATCTGGATTTTCCGAAGCCGCAGACGCGATCGTCAAAGCCCGTCTTTAGTAACTGGCGAAACATGGTTGGACACGACTCTGCTCATCTCGGCGGGCATTCCTCGTCCTGGACTCCTTTGTGCATCGTTATCGCGCGTGTCCCAGCTTCGTAAATTAGCCCGCACACGCATCCTTCGCGATTCCACGACCACGTTAAGGTTTATCGCAAATGCCATGGTACGAGACTTCGCATCCTTTGCGCACGACGTGGACATCGCTTAACCGTTCGTAGCAATCGATGCCGCACGCGTCATTATCGATGTAAGCTTTGTGCCTCGTGCTAGTGGTGCCGGCATACTGATGACGTTGCGATAGGTGATGGCAAGCAGCCGGCATGTGGAAGGTGTGAGCAGGCGAAGAAAGAATGCGTCTACGAAAGCGGTAGACGGTTCCGGCGGTCGTCAATCTCAGATTCATTCACTGTTGAACAACCTTGGGTCTCGTACCCTCCGCGAAGTGAGAATCTACCAGAGCCTGTTGCATCTGTCGCTGACACGATTTGGCAGTCCAATTTTTGGACGAATCGAGTGAAATACGCTCTCAGTACGTGCAGGATGGCTACTCTCCGTTCGACAGCCCTTCAGTTCATGCGCCATCACCCAGCTGTACCCCTGGAAGTGCTCCGGGTACTGCTTTGACTCCAAACTCAACCCTGTTCACCCCTACGGAAAACCTCACAGTTCTGTCGTTACTAAACTCAGAATCTCCTGTGCAACACCAAGCACCTGCGCCTCCAGCATTACATGGCCACCGAGCAAGCACGAGCACATATCAGCCACATCAGGAAGAGGGAGCTAGTACCTTTGTGTATCAACAGCCTCCCGGTGAGCCTGTGCTATGGCCGTTAGAGCATGAGCAAGAGGCAATGCTTCTGCAGCACTACATCGAGAACGTCGCCTTATTCGTGAGTATCTTAGTCCGGAGAAATGGCCTTTCACTGACGGACACAAGTTTGACATGGTCGACACCAGAGATCATTTTGGGGTTCACATCGTCCAGATGGCCAAGCAAAATAGTACCCTGATGTATGTAGTGCGGCTAATGCGAACACATGTTAGCAATCAACTGACCACCACTATCGTTCAGGAATGCCATTCTTGCGCTATCTGCTCGTCAGCTTAGTCGAACCACCGACTTCGACCCTTACATCGCAGATGCCTACTATCAGCGCTGCTTCGACACGCTGATTCCAGCACTGAACGACAACGTCACCATCAAAGAAGAGCCATTACTTGCTGCGACTGTCATCCTGCGACTCTTGGAAGAGATGAACATCTCGATTATCGGTTCCGACCCCCAGGGCCATTTGTTCGGCACCCAAGCTATAATTCGCGCTGCTGAACAGTCGTACGCTGCAACATCTGGACCTGATCGGCGGCAGGCTATCTACTGGGCTGCTTTCCGTCAGGAACTGTGGATCTCACTCATGACGCAACGCGCGTTCAAATTACACATCTTCCCCGCTGATCGCTCGCTTGAGCCGGCTAACGACTCCATCTGGGCTACACGAACGATTGCTCACCTCGGCGACGTGAGCAACTTCGTCTTTGGGGAAGGTAGGAACAGCATTGCTCGCTACAATCAACTGATGGATGAGAACAGATCCTGGACACAGTGTAGGCCTGACAGCTTCGACCCATACTATTTCCGGCAAGATCGAGACGGTAGCGGAAGAAACTTCCCGGACATTCGCTTCCACCAAAAGACCCACGTTATGGGCACCCAGTATAACCTCTTAGCTCATATGCTGCTGATTGTACATGATCCGACGATTCCACAACTTGGACCAGCACACAAAGCATCGCGCGCTATCGTGGATAGAACCGTGCAAGACAACGTCCGCACACTATGCGGAGTGGCTCAGTCGAACTCCAAGTGGTTTCCTTGCAAATTCGTTGCCTGCTTCGCGATCGCATTAGGTAAGCTTATTCCGATCCCATAACGCGACCACGACGAGGATTAGTCGTGTGTAACATTTATATTGCTTTTATATCTAACATTCCCAGTCGGCGATCGCTTCACGCTTCGTGAGGATCAAGAACAGCTTCGCGATCTATGGTATGCCTGCGAACGATCGCATGGCTTTCCTCCCACAGCGACCATTAACCAACTCGAAGAGTCGTGGGGTTGGCACAACTCTTGAAATACGTGATGCGGCTATCTCCAATGGCTTCAGCTACCTGATCACGCCTTTGGACTCACTATAAACCCTGGTTGAATGCATTCATGCGCCTCGGGTCGAAATCACCGGCCACATGAGGACCAAATCCCATTCCGAAGTTAAACTCGTCCAGCTCATCTTCATCGAATCCCGCTCCATAGAACGGCATCGGCTTGCCATGGTCACCTGCATGTCCGGGACGAGCCGGGCCCTCCCACTTCGTGAAATGATGCATTGGTCTGCGATGTCCCGCTGGCGGCTTCCCTTTGCCGTGCTCTTCGACTAGATCGTAGACTCTATTCAGTCGTTTGTCGACAGGAAGCCGTTCCTTTATCTCCGCATATTCAGCTTTGATGTTCGTCAACAGGGGATATATGCACACCCGCTTTCGAAAGTCTTTCTCTAGACTTTTCTTCAGTATGCTACTGAGTTCTCTGGTGTAGCTGGAGCCGGCCGGTTGTTCTTTGTCCCATCTTTGACCATGAGGAAATTCTCTGCTTCGCGGCCCTTCGATCCCAGTACATGCGCAGACCATGCTCAAACCTAGTTGCCAGACATCTGAAGGGCCGCCGAAGAGTGGCGATTCTGGAGCATCGAACCCGGGCGTCCCCCCTGGTCCCATTATAGCGCCTTCTACGCTACGCTCAAGCGACAGATAGTCTTCAGTTACAGCTAATCCAAAGTCGGCAAGCTTCGCTATAATTGTATCACCTTCCATGGTCAGCAGGATGTTTGCAGGCTTAATGTCGCGATGATATATTCTACTCCAACCGGACTGGAATATCTCGTCATCAGTCATCTTTGGCTGCGGGCCACGGTGACAGTACGTAAGGGCAGAAGACAGTTGACAGAACCATTTCCATATCTTATGTTCGTTGACGTGGGCGCCTTTAGCAACATTGAACGCCACGTCTGCCAGGTTACCTACCGTACGATACTCCAGATATACAGCTCCGTCTGGTTTGCGCTTATCGAGGAAGTGGTCCACCATCTTGGTAATATGATTGTGGTCCTGGATCTGGCACAAAATCTGGATTTCTTGGCGCGGTATGTCGCTCTCGAACAAGTCTCTGCTAAAGCGCTTTTCAATGAACACCATACCCCGAGCTTCTGGTTCATTACATTGAACTTTACTTATACCGCCGTTAAGACCTCCGCCCATGCGACCGAGCTTTTGGATTACTGTCCATTTTTCTCTCGATTTTGGTCGATAGGTTACGGAAAGCTTTTTGCAAATGTAGGGCATGGTAGTTCTGAGATACCGCCGTTTGTGCAGACTAATTAGAAGCGTGGTCAACAATGGCTTCTGGAAAAGATTGGTTTGCGTCGTGGAAGATGACTGAATGCGGGTTCAGCGAAGTCATTCTCCTGTTCAAGTAGCCTGCGATCGGTCTCAGCGATTGTTTTATTACGATAGCCCTTCCATCCCTGTCTTCAAGCCAAAAGGTGACGCGTCCTGCATTTGTGATGCTGGGGCTTGTCTGACTGGATTCAAAAGTACCCCAATGATGCCAAATCGTGAATTGACTATGATTCGATGCGCGTCTCGTGGCTCATATTTGTCTGTCTAATGACTCTTCATGTGATGTGGAATCTCCAGGCATAGCAAACCTCTCTGCTTCAAATAGTGAGAGGAATCACGTATTTCTAGTCACAGAGTCAGCGAGGCCATCATCATCTCGTAACGACTTTACCGCAACATCTCGTCGAATGGCACGGAATGTAAGATCTCGCGGGCGTGGTCGAGGGGAAGATCCCATGGTAGATGATGCAGTGGATCTTGACTACTCACCAGACGATGTGGAAATGCAGGCTTCGCCGCCAGAGGCCACAGCATCTCTCCCTAAAACAACCCGACCCGTCAGAACTCGTAGTCATTCATCATCGTATGCCATAAGTACGGAAGAGTCGCCATTCTGGACAGACCCCTCACTAAGAGAGCCCGTGCCCGACAGCTCGGCCTTTCCAGCGTCTTCAAGCTTAAAGCAACCTATGGCATTCAAATTTCGGAACCATAATGTTGGCCAGCCACCCGGCTATGTTCGTGGATCTGCTCCTCTTATCCGTGAAACTATGGAGGGACGCTGGCCAGATGGGGTGCTAAGCGGCGGCGCACTGATCCAGATGTTGGAAGACCTATCGCGCAGCTCGAAAACCGAACACTGGCAGATCTGTGTCTGGCTAGATGGTTTCGCCGCAAGATTCGGTCGCTTTCACAATCCCGATGGTCTCATCGTTACGGACGCACATGAGATGTACATGCTCATGCTCGCGCGTCAACTTTGGGTTGGTCACAAAGGTGAATTTGCCGGGGGAGATATCTTCTGGATACCAGGACTAGAACCTAAAGCCATCACCGACCTGAACTGGGAAGCCGACGCAAGGCTAAGCTTACCAGAGTTGCCTTACAAACATTACCAGCAGCCTTGGTTGGCGGCAGAGAATCAGTATATGCACCGCGTAATGGAACGGCCACAAAAGGGAGAGGCTGTCTACAAGGGTTGGGTTGATGGCATGAAACGGAAAAGAGACATTCGCGAGGGTGAAAACATTGATCAAAGTATGCCCAACTACGACTCTCTTGCTTCCACATCAAATCCATGATGAAGGGTAATAGGCTGTTCAGTCTTTGAGCTAGGTAGCATTCAATTGAAGATACGTCGATAACGAAGACGTTCTGGGTAGTAGTGAAAACGTGATTCTAGAGCAATGTAATCAATGGTCAATCCATACCTAGGTAGTCGCACGGAAGCGACACGCTATCATGACGTCATTAGATGGAAGTTGCACTAGGCTTCTTATGGACGAACATGAACGAGATGCTCAACACTCGTGCGCAGCAGCGCAGTCCACTCACCCTTGCCCAGGTATGATGATTACCGCAGGATTGATTAACAGCTGAATGGAAAACCTTGCGCTGTCGCTCACGAATCTAGCGCAAGATGACCAGTGTGGGAACACAGGAATCTTGGGAAGGGCCGCCGAGATCCCGACAGGAGAACGAGCATCAACTCAACGCGAAAGTCAAATACTGCACCTACAGTGGGAGTATTCGCAGATAAATGAGTTCAGTCGATCGCTTAGGCGAAGATGGCTGTCTTCGCTGGCTTGTATGCGACCTCCAGTCAGCTCTACCTGCACCTGCACGCTCACCGTTCTTCCAGACCCCCCGAACCATTACCCCTCCAAGCCCTCTTCGTTCTACAACGACACATTGTGATCACCACTGCAGCTTAGAACTATTAACTTGCTAATTCCTCCATCACTCCCATTATGCACCATCTGCTATTTTCAAATATTCGTTGATCGTTCCGGCCCGCGTGCATCTGACGTGCGTTTGCACAGCCTCACTCCCGGGTTGACGGGCATAGTCAACCATAACTCTTGGTAGGGGCGATAGCGACCGTGCCTTTGTTCCGCGTAACGTTGCGCTTAGGCGGCTTGCATATACTCATCCAGCGGGATGGTCGTTCGGCGCAGAAGCGGGAGTGATACCTCAAAAGGGAATGGCGAGAGAACCACGGTGACAGTGTGGTGCTTTGCCTACAGCAAGGCATGGTGCGTAGTATTGCCACTTGAACAATCATTGGTCATACCGTACTTTTCGGTGATTAGGACCTCATTGATACATTATGCAGTCGAAAGTGCTAGGTCGCGATCTTGACCCGCTGGGTACACTACCGAATACAACGTGCACATGATAAGCTTTTCCGCCCCCAAACTCCCCACACATACTTTGCTCTCCTTCGGGACTTACGTGCATTCTAGTGGGTCCTTAGGTACTTCTGTGTTACCATTGATGTGGTTAGTGATGTGTAGACTGGTCAGTTGAAAACGCGCAGTTGTCGGAGTGTACCATACATGATCTTCACGCCTTCCTCTTCTCACCGCATACGGAAGCTAGCACCGTGACGGTACCTAGGTAAGCTCAAAAACGTGGCATGAAAAGGGTGTGGCCCAGGAATCCAATGATTGGCCAGCCTCCATAAGTACGTATCACCGTCCATGTTCATGCCGCTCTCTTGTCATGCGGAATATCGACTGGCCGGGTACATCACGCAGTCAAATTCCCGATCCGTACGAGGCTGTCCGCAAGGCATATTTCCACACCTTTATCAATTCTCACATAAGTGAACGGATCTCTACTGGTCAATTTCCAAATTGCCTACAGCGAAGTGACAACGTAGAACATGCTATATGTGCAGGGATCTGGTGTGTGTAATTGCTCATGTCAATTTGGGCGTGCTAGCGCGATACACGCCTGGAGACACCTCTCCAACAATATTGACCATATTTCCTACTATGACTGCCAACTACAACAGTAATCACTTCAGAAATTGCTTTCATGCAACCTACTTTTTTGTACACATCATGTCAATCAATGTAGGGGCCAAATATCCGACACTTACAAGTCCTATTGGCATAACACTAATGTAGCCAATATATATACTCGAACAACACATCGGCCCGGGATAGGCGATCGCGGGGGCGGTTCCGCAACGCTGCAGCAGTTATGTGTGTGCGTAGTTCACTTGAATATCAATATGTCTAGAGGAATACGGAGGGATGTGTTCGAATCCAGCATCTGGGAAGATGGTTCGAGGCCGAATGCAGTCCAGATACCATTCGGGGCACCGGAAAAGCCGGCAATGTGAAGTAGTGAACCTAGATGTGGGTCTCGAGCCTATTGCGCATGCCTTCGCGAAGGCTAGGAAGATGAACACTAGCAGGCAAATGAACGTGCACTCCATACTATGCAATAGACTTGAATTTTATCTGTTCGGATGACCTCCTGTATCCTGGTCATGATCATCTCCGCGTACCCCTCCACCTCGCTTCTAGTTCGCGAGCCCTTGCTGACGCTTCTTGTCTCTTTTTCGCTGCCATCTCCGCCTGGCTTTGTTGGTAGTCCGGAAGTTCATCGTCGGAGCCTTGAGGGTCGTTCAACCCCAGCAGGTTCAGTTCCGCTGTAACGGCGTCCATGCGCGATGGTGGTTGCCATTGCTGGTAAGCATCGAAAGGGGGATTGGGCACCGACATTGAATGGTTCAGTGCAGGTGCTGCTCGTGACGAGATAAGCGGCGGTGGCTCGAAATTCTGCCAGTCATATCTTTGTTCCCTTGCAGGCCGCCGTGTCGGCTGTGACCTCGATGAAGACTGGGGATGTTGAAGAGGAATTGGGATAGTGTCGTTGGTATTCCTTCGAGCGAAAAGTGAACCGCGGAGCTGCGGCGGGCCGGTTGGCGAGAAGGCTTCTGTGTCGTTTGGCAGACCTGTCATCGCCTCTGCGAAAAGATGAAATTGAGACACGTCTGTAAATGCCTCGGTGGGGGAACCCCATGTTGTGTGCGGCCGTGGCCGACCAGAGCCGTTGTCGCGGGCTGTAACGCCGAGCGTAGATTCAGGGAAGGTACGCGATCGTGGAGTTGATGCTGTCTCGAAGTAAGGGTTCATGGAAACAGCACGTTGCTGTTGAGGTCGGGAGGACTGCTGTTGTGGTGGCAGCGAGTACGGTTGATACTGCACTGCGTCTGAGTGGTTTGAGGCAGAGGAATGTGCTCGAGGAAAGGTCGCTGGATCCTGGTAAGAAGACTGAGTGAACCCGTAGGGAGAATTTGGCATGCTTCTGGAGTAAGTATGGCGGTGCTGGCTATTCGTATCTACATTTAGGCTGGCGGAATGCCTTTTTGGGTGATATGGTTCAGGTCGGAGATGCGTTGACTCTGGTTGCTCTGAAGGTTCGCGTCGGAGAAACCCTCGCAACGAGGTTGGTTTGCGGGATCGCTTTTCGGAACCGGATGGCGATGGTGGTAGTGGTTTGTTAAGGTTCGAGCCGCTCGTAGAGGATACGCTAATTCGCTGCGACGTTGCTTTGTAGGCGGATGGCTCTAATCGATGAACATGCTCTTGTTGTTGTGCAGAAGAGGCAGGCATATTTAGCCACAGCTCATTCTCAGTCTGCAAGCGGCTGGAACGGTGATTATGTTGTGCCATGTATTCCTCGTCTTCGTTGTGCGTCGAGCCGCCTTGGAGGTGAAGAATGAGTCGATTGGAGGATAGGACTAGCTTGCTTGTAGACGATATGTCGTCAAGCTTATAGTTAGACGATGCGGTCGGGATCGTCAGCAGCTGGGCGCCGGGTAGCATCCTAAAGAGAGCTGCTTCGTATGCAGATATGTCCAAGGCTGAACGCAGGGATGCGCAGACCAGGCCTAAGAACTTGGTGTTGAATGTGGAGGTTAGGTGCGGCTTGAGGGCGTTGCGCTACTGCACCACTGTAGTATTCGAGTGAGTTTAAACGATGCTAATAGCCGATTCGCAGATCCGATAGCTCCAACTATTCTATGCTTCCGAAATCCCGGGTGCGTGGTATTGCCAGTGGAACAGGTGCGATACATATGGTTGGCGACCTTAGTGCGGCGTGGCAGAGGGGTGGCGGTGGTCGTCGGGCGCAGGGGTAAGGCGTGAGCCGGTAAATTGCTATGTGTAGATGTCGGAAGGGACAATCCTTACAGAAGGACGTGCAGGTTGCTTAAACGGTGCATATTGAAGTCATACCAACGGGGCCAAGACAGAGAAACTCCAATTGAAGCTCAAATCTGACGGAAATGGATGTGAAATTAGAGGACTCCATATCTGGGTTCATCTGGAAGGATTTCGAGACGCATTGCTGGCCTAACTTTTCAGGCCAGACGCCCAAGCTTCAACGAGGCTCGCCGTCTTCGATACGGGTCCGGCACCTAAGAAACCCTTCCAACGCCCTACGCACTACTGACATGATATTACCGAACAGTAAGCGGTGAGGCTCAAGGCGGTACGTGGTCACTCGACCTCTGTGCAGCCAGCCGCTCGCCTCTGCATTCAGCGCAACAGCAAGGAGGGCGCCGAGGGAACACGCCCAGCGGCAACAATGCTACTCTGAGTATGCAACGAGTCGGGCAGGTGGCAATGAGTAGCGGAAGAAGCGATCATCAAGGACCATTGAGATGAAAGAGAGTGCGCCAGCACTGCCTCTCCTATCTCCTAATTTTAGATAGAGGGCGCGCTAAGCACAAACGTGGCAAGTATTTCGTAACCGAGGCTGCGACGCCCCGGTCCCCTGTCCGCGTGCATCCTCAACCATCACTGTCGCCTCCAGATATCACCACACCTTCTCAGCGGCAACAACAAAAGATCTTGCGATACTCATGTCTTGTGCATCTCGTCGATCCATTGCTAATCCTACCCATTTTGCCAAAGCCCGCGTGGGCTGAGCCACATGAACGCACAGGTGCTGATGCGCATCAATGCGAACGGGCGATGACATACATCAGCTCGGCATTCCGTTGTCTCGTGATGCTTTCAGCTGCGGTGACGATAAGGAAACATTGTCACTACCCTTTGTTTCTAGTACTGGACCATGATGCGCCGGAAAGCGTCACGAAAGCCTTTCGTCGTCGCTTCAGCAAAGACTCTTTAGCCGCGGATCTTGGGCGTGACACTTATCAACAAGGCAGACTTCGTCTTTATCATCTTCCGCCTTGACATCGTCTCTCGCGATGTAAGACGGCTGGCAATGTCGGGCTATGGCGTCACAACGCTGGCCTGATGAATTCAACCACTGCCACCGAGGACCTGCGTCAAACCCCACAGAAATTGCTCCAGGTCTGAATTACGGGCACTGCGTTTCGTCTAATGTCTTTTACCGATTATCCCGGTGATGATGTGTGTCTGGAGTAATCTTGCGACCGTCAACGAGATTCAGTACCCATCATAAATCGGGTTTACCACATGGTGGACCAGGAAGGGAGCGGTGAACACGTCTTTCCTACATACTGCGCCAAAGCTTAACGGCCAGTCCAGGACTCAGAATTCTGACGAGATCGCACAGTTCTTATCAACGAAACGGATTGTGCGCATCGATGCCAGAGAGATCTTTCAGACAAGTGGCAACTGCGTATCTGACAGTACACAAGGCCACTACACCGAGGATACGCATTCACGTAGCCGCGACACCCGTGGGTTCGATTGCTCCAGACTTTGTATTACATCGAGAACTGCGGATTATCTTGTTGATCGTTTGAGAGTTTACTCCCATTCAGCCCCTCACTGCCCGGCCTTAGGCCTCCCAAACCAACACTGAAACTCACATGGACCGCCGCCTTTCGCCTGGTCTCTAAACACTTTGGCACTGAGGCTGTGACCGGCAGAAATTGACCTGCGCAAGAAGTGGAAGTGTGCACAAGGGACGCGCGGGACCAGAGTAGACTTTCAATTGACAGTGCACATGCCGGATCACAAAGGCCTTACTCCACAGCCTAGAGGGGAAGCTGATTCATATCCGAAGGATGGCGTTGCGTAAAGCCCTATCATGACTAGATCTATATCTTACATAAACCCTGATGCTAATTCGACACTGCCTCCTAAACTTCGGAAACGACTATCTTTGGCTTCTTCTGCACGCGCATGGGCGTCGGCTTGACCACCCCGACCTTCGCCGACCAAGTGTCGGACCGATCATCATCAAGCTGGATGCCTTTTTCGCCATACTCCATTTCCTCAGACCCCTGCAGTCGTCGCGCTAACATATTTCGGGCTATAATTGCGTACCTTGCTAGCACGAACAGCGCAATCATTCCACCTGCATAACCCAAGACATGCAAGACAATGCTGGCGTTGCCATGTGCCGGGTTCATCCACTCATACACGTAGAAGCCCTGAGTATACCGCGTGAGGTATGAGAGCCCAAGGTAAATCGATAACACCCCAAGGACAACGGACAGATGATGCCACGGCTGTGGCTCGGTAGCTGATAGTATAATCTCAGTCGCAGCAAAGACGCTGTTGAGACCGTGAACGGAGATGTTAATCCACTGCTCGAATCGGCCAGCCGGCCATCCAGAATTCATAGTCCCCCAAAAGACAATCGTGACCAGGAACGGGAACGAAGTCATGGTGGAGTAGTACATGCTATGCAAGAGCTGCAAGTACTTTGGCCAGGTGTGTAGCCATGTTCTTTGCCGGAATGCGTACATGAACGTGTGTACGCTCGACACGAGGAAGTAGAAGCCAAGTGACCAGAAGGTGAGGTAGGTGAAGAACGAGAACGACTGCCCAATAGCTGCATTGCCTTGTTGGATGGTATAGGATCCAATATTGACATCTTTGAGTTTGATCGTAGCTGTCTCGTTCGCTAGCCAGGTATAGCATGTTATGATAGTCGTGAAGCAGTAAATGCTCAGCAAGGCGCGGACGCATGCGAGGACGATGGGTGAGACGAAGTGCGAACGGACGAAGTTGTATGGCAGATCTAAATATCAGAGTACGACGTCAGTGTTTGTCTCCCATACAGTTCTTACACGGATATTACTGACCGAAGCCGGCCCTGGGCACACCCCAGGTCTCGTAAGTGAATAATTTCATGATGTTTGATATGAGAGTGGAGTTTATGAAAGTAACGAGCGAAGTGCAGATGGCCTGCTCTGAACGTATACAACTCCCAACGCGGAGTTTGCAAGGTCGTCGGGTAGCGAGCCGTGTCTCAGGAAAAGGAACAGGTGCATGATATATGGATCAACCGCACGAAACAATACTCAGAGGGCTTCTTACCGCACTGATGTTGTGCAAGATTGATACAGCAAGCCACATGAAGGCCTCAGTTCAGAGAATGCGCCCCTTAGCGACGCCACAAGATTCCTATCACATACCGACATCTGCATCACTGCGCTATCGTCATGCAAAAGTCTGTAGTACCAACCACGTACGTTTTAGAGTACCGTTCGTGTAAGCCTTACGCCAGCCCTATAGGGCTCAGCACGTGGCCCTCGCGCTGTGATTCCTCAGTCTTCGCAGATGAAGGCTTGTTATCAGCCTACAGGCGCCTACGGTGCTACCGAGGGCGTTCACACAAGTACACTATGCTTCGACTAGCTATTCGTCGTGATGTCAAAATTGGTTATTATCCAGCTGGGCCAATGGCATTAGCGAAGGGGTAACGCTCAAAGGGGTGTGGTGCTTGCCGGATCAGTGCTAGTTCGAGCCTCAGCCTTACGATAGCCTTGCTTTTCAGCGCATGCTAGACGCGCCCAGATCGATCGAAGAGTGCGGAGGTCGCGATGCATCGGATGATGTTTGCATGTATGCGAGAAAGTGTATTGCGCATTGTGGTGCGTGTTGGGAGATGATGGGAAGGTACGAATTGAAGAGTCCGGAGGTTCTCTGCGCGCTTGAAGGAAGCCTCAAACCTCGCCAGCTAAAAAGCTCCGACGCCGCGCCTCGTGCAACACCTACATGGGCACTACTCCCGATTCATTTCTCCTTCCAAACAAGGGCATTTATCACAAAGCATATTCGCGCATTCCTCAACTTTGCTTTCCCGATTACGTCATAAAGATATGCATGATGCTTGTCAGTTTCCATCTTTGCCTTCATCTACAAAAAGCACTGCACGTCGAAACGCCGAAGCGCAAGACTCATGTCGCTTGTTGCAACATCAATCTCGTACTTAGAGTCAACATGTATGAATCGAAGGACAGACGAAGTTGTCAATGAGGTCATCGAAGAAAATGTGTTAGGTTATTATACACTCGCGACAAATGTGATTAGATGTGTAATCGACGGTATGGACTGAGACCAACCTCTATCATTCCCATGGGCTTATCGTGTTCATGAAGGCCCTTTTCATATAACCAGCTACCTCGTACCAGGATCAGGTAGAATATATGTGACATTCGCAGAAGAGTAGTGTCCCAACATACAACGCAGTTGCACTATTACCTACGAGCGGGACTTCTTCAGCCAACCTATTTCCTTCGCCTCGGTGATAACATTGATACCAGCAGCCTGACAAGCCAAGACACGCTTTGGCAACTCTGCGAGGACCGAAGACTTCTGAGTCTTGGGCTTCCTGTAGCTAACGAAGAGTGTTGTGAAGCCAGGAAACAACCCTCCAGCGGTCTTCCCGAACTCAAATAAGTCCATAACCAGCAACATCTTGTCCCAGCTGCAATCGCGTAGAATGAGCGTCTGGAGGGAGTTGCACATCGATATGATCTCGATTGCATAAGCTGCCCGATCCTGAGGCCTTCCGTTCACCTTGTCGGGCAACAAGTGACGCGTCTCAACATCCAGATACTCCAGCGACCAGAATCTATCCATTGGACTCAGGCGCAATAATTCAAGCTTGGGAACAAAGTCTATGGAGCCGACCGTGATTTTCTTCAGCACGAGGTCGTTGTGTCTCAACTGATCAACCATCGGCAGATCTCCGTTCTCGGCGTAAGGATCGTGAGAGTTGCAGTACTGCACACCGCTGACCGTATACTCGAAGGTCTCGAGGTACGCACAGGCCGTAACCATAGACGCGACAGCTGCAGGCGTTGCATAACAACGGAGGAAGCGAAGAGTTTCGATGTGTACCGTGTCTACCCCGAGATTCCGGATCTTGGTCTGCGTCACACTCATGTCAGAGAATATTAGCTCTTGCAAACTTGAGAGTGACACGATGTAACGACAGCTGTCAGAGAGCGTCCCGTCAGTGATGTCGGATAATTCCAGCACGCGAATTGTGGAGAATTCGGCCGCGCGTTGAAGAGCTGTGCTTAAAGGCAGACAGTGTGTGCTGCCGCGCAGGACAAGGGTATCTAGGTGGCGAAGGACTGAGAACAAGAGGAGGAGAATGGCTCGATCCTCGCCACGCGAAAGTGCATCACACCATCCCTATTTTGTGTATGATGATAAAGCCCGGAAGGACTTTATGGTTTTCTTATATTTCGCCATGGTGCCATCATCGAGTGGGTGAAGCTCGGTCGGGCGGAGATGGGGCGAGCGTCGGGTGATGTTGAAAGTATTGAACACTGAAGCCGAGACCATGACACGATCAGTTGTGTTATCGTTTGTGTCTGAGCCGTAAATGGCTTGTTGCCGGATTCCACCTCCAGATGCGAAGAGGTACTCAGCCAAGTCGAACGCGGTGCGATTCGTTTCGCCACTAGTTTCGAGACATCTACCCGCTTGCTGAAATTCGTTCGCGACATGCGAAAAGACTTTCGAAGCACGGTATATACTAAGCAGAGTCGAAGGGTCGTAGGCGACATAATCCAGGGTGTTACGTTGAAGCTCGATGGGTAGGGCGCTCAGGCAAGGCTTCACCTTTTTATCGTAGTCTGTGCGAGAACGGGGGAGGCGGAGGTCCAAACACTTGCCTTTCGGATGTCAGTACTGATTCAGAATGACTTTAGTACTGTCGCGTACATGTTGGCCATGATTTTGAGTGCTTCTAGTTCAGTCGCTCTCCAGGGTGGTAGATGCTGACTGCGAAATTGCTCGTTGTCGCTCGTCTTGATTGACCATATGGCTGTACACGACGAAGCTGGAGAACTCCTGCGTAGCAAGCGTAGCAACGTAGCTGTGCGAGAAGTCAACAACAGTTTAGCAGGCGGCCAGGTGTGCAGACTACTCACGGTGAGGTCTTTCGGACTCGTGTATTGGCGTTGAAGTGCCGCAGTAGAAGTCACTGCGTGTCCAAAATACTTGAATTCCGATGAGACGTCTGCTAAGATCGTACGTAGTAGCGAGCTCTCGCGAGGTTTCTGTATCGTTTCTGCTCAAAATGTCTGTCAACGGTTGCTGCACGTGAATTTGATAGCCCTTCGATCCTGAGCTATGCAGTGAAGGGCAACTTACGAGCTAATACACCAGATGCCCTCTAAGAAGCGCGACCGGCGACTGATGTATCGTCGTGGTGGGATAATGGAGAGACCGAAGTTATACGCAGTGTGCGGAAGCTCGGGCGTCAAGATACGCTAACTCCTGGAGCGCTGCCTACGGAACGACGAGGCCGACTGGACAAGCCTGCTACTGTGATGAAGCTCTCCGGGTCTCCCTGTATTTCAGGTCGAGCCTGAGTAGATCTTTTAAGCTAGCTCCAATACAAGCAAGCTAGAGCGCGACCGACTGAGGAGCTACACGAACCGACGGTTCAGCCGACGCTTTCCCTCACAGCAACCAGCGCGTACATCCCTCCCAGGAAAGGGACGCTGAGACTTGATCATCCAACAGCCGAGCAGTCCCCGGGAGAGACATCAACGGCGCCTCTGATAAGTGTATCCCCCAGTTTTGTTGCGATGGAGCGAACAGCTTGCGCTGACCAAGCGACAGCTTGCCGGCGGGCATGTCATTCTACAACGACTTCACGTGCATGTCCAGTCGTCTTATATTGGCATGTCGATACAGGTAGTGCGTACTCTGCCGCCTACCTGGCATTCGCTGGATCCCAACTCTTCTTGTCTTATGAATCCCATCTCGAAACGTCAAAAACCCCACCGTAATACAAGGGCTCAGATGGGGACCTTAAGTATGCAAGGATAGAAAGATACCCATCACCGTCGCTGGAAATGCTGCTGCGAGCCGACCTATCTTGCAAAACACCAAACGAACAAGAAAGTAAGAGCAGGTACATGAAGAGGCAGCGGCAATTGCTGGCTAAGGGGACGGCTACAAAGAGTCTCAGAGGGAGCTGTAGTGACGATGAAGTTACAAACTTCGTGGAAACGGGCGAAGTTTGAAGTGGAAGTGGAAGTGGAAGTGTCTTCGAGCCGCGCACGGGCCGCACCCCATCAAACTTCGGACGCGTCTCCTCAGCCAACTTCGGTCTCCTGGCTGCAATGCCAGGTGACGTTCGTGGTAAAGAGATATACCCCACAGGGGTTGGAGGACGCGCAATATAGGCAAAGTCTCCGGTTGTCGAGACGTCAAGCTGGTCGTCGCAGTCTATGCCAAATCGACGCGGACAGTCTCCATCATCCCTAGTTCTTGTCAGCCAGGAGTCAACGCCGGTATTGAGCCAGTCATTCATCGCGTCTCTCTATCCATCGATCATCGACCTGTCCATCTGTATCTGTGGAACAGACAGCCTACCAGACTCAGGAGAAGCGGAGTTATGCGCAGCTCTACTATATTTCAATGGCGCGCAGCAGTCGAGCTGGCATAGCGCGGTTCGGCCATGCTCAGGTGGATAACACTTCGCGTTCTCTTCCCTTATCTGCGCGCATCCCGCAGGCCATGTATGGGTGCATCAGTCGCGAACGGTGGATCGAGGCAGAGGGAGCGCGGCAAGCGACTCTGCTTCGGGAGGCCGGCGAGGAAGCTGAGTTCGGGAATGCAGTTATGCATTACGCATGGGCAAAAGGGACGCTTTTCGAACTACGCGCCGTGGGAGACGTCCAGTGTAGCAGTCGTTCAAGCCCTCGTTAAGCCGCTGCTCAAACAGAAGGGCTTCGAAAGGTCCGACCACGTTATAGGTAGCGTCGAGGGTGGAGGCGACCTTTGAACCACGTTGGTGCACCGTGCACCAGCAATCCCGTCCAAAATCAAGAAAAAGGAACATCGCAGCAATTGGGCCCATGGTGCGTTTACCGGAACCCTACAAGGCACCTGTGCAGGTCTTCGTAGAAGCACAACCTTTGCTCGAGGATCCTACGTGTCGGTTCTCCGGATTCAACGCGCGGTCAGTTTCTGACGCAGGCCGATTCAATTCTTGTTCCATACTATTTATTCGCCTGCTCCAAGAGACTATCGTGCAAGCTCTCCAACCAGTCGGGAATAGGGAAGCCCTGCCAGAAGCAGTAGACTGGGGCTTACAGACGCGCACATCGCGGCGGACTACCGTAGTGACAACACCTCCTTACACTTCTAGCCAGACCATCATTGACATTAAATCTGGATACCAGCATTGGGACCAGCATATGCCCAATTGACGCGTAGGACTCGATATGGGTTGAGTCAAACTTGGCGCTGCCGAAGACTCTATTTCGCGAAGTCCGTCATATCCATTCTTTGGAGTTCTTTGTTGCGTCGAGTCAACGAATAGAAGGATTACACTTCATTGTAGCGCGCTGAGAATGAGGTTGATTCGTGTTGCAGCGCCATTGTCGCGCTCATTTTGGATGAAACTGCCTAGCCATACAAATAGTTCTGGTGTTTTGTTAAGAAATATCGAGCCTCTCAGAGGAGTAGCATTAAATCGTGTTGAGAGGCTCGTTTGGTATCCGTAAGCTCACAGGAACACGCAACGTCATGCCGAAGATGATCTCTGACAATATTTGGTCGATTTGAGTTGGCGACATGGGATGGGCCATGCTAGGCGCGGGCTTGGGATTTAACCCACGGAAATTTATCGCGCAACACATCACCACAAGTCCTGGAGCAGAACATCACAAGATCAAGTAACGCGATGAGGATCGTATACACTGAGATTCCTAGACGATACAGTTATCGTCTGGTGTCTTTCGCCCAAACTAACGCAACGTAGACACGCAGACTACATGCAGATTGCGACGCCAAATGCACTAAACCCCAAGGGCGAGGCTAGTAATCTTAACCAGGCCGCTGCAGCTCACAATCCCAGCGATCCCGCAAAGCTGGCCACCTTATCTTGGCGGCTGGTTCTCGACGTGACCCTTTAACTGCAAAACAGGCTAGGCTGATCATGCGCGTCTTTGTGGCCTCATCAACCCGTGGGGTTCTCACATCATTCCGGTCAGAGTCGTTCCAACCCACCTCGGTCGTTCCTGCAGGCTCCTACGACGACAAACGTCGCGTTGCGCGATCGCGACTGTGTTCTTTAACGCACCAGGCTCAGGGTTGTTTTTCTGCGCTCTGAAGTCCTTCCCGCGCAACGATGCCTCAGAGGAGTCCTTTCCACGGATGAAAGCGCATTGGCCCACACTTCACTCAACATCGACGCAGATGCACTCGCAACATAGCTAGCCGCTTCGCGTATCCGACGAATATTTCTTGGCTGATTGTACCATACAAACACCAAACTGCATATAGTGTTAGACATTACTAGCGACTAGTATCACATTAAGATGTCCGAGGTAAGTTGACATTCAGCCTCAATACTAGGCTTAAACAACCAACTGTCTAATCAGAGCTGACTAAATGCAGTCGCCTGCTGGTACGTCGCCGGATCGCGATGGCATATATCCAACAAATGGCCAGACGTACGACAAGTACCATTTCCAGGAAAAGAACGTTCACATGGATGACATCGAGTTGGACGATGAAGAAGAGGACGAGGACATAGATCAGCTCATCGAAGATCTGGAGTCGCAAGATGGCGAAAACGCCGACTACGAAGAGGAAGAAGCGCAGCAACCAGGCGGCGCACGCCTCATCCCAGAGGAACTTCTACAGACTGACACGCGCATTGGCTTGACGTCCGCAGAGGTACTCATACGGCGGAAGAAGTTTGGCGAGAACAAGATGAAAGGTACTTATACTTCGTTCTCACGATCAGCGCTTGCTCACCATGTGCAGAGGAGTCAACGAACAACTGGGTCAAATTTCTGATGTTCTTTGTCGGACCAATCCAATTTGTCATGGAAGCGGCTGCCATTCTCGCTGCAGGACTTCAGGACTGGGTCGACTTTGGTGTCATTTGCGGCTTGCTCCTTCTGAATGCGAGTGTAGGCTTCATCCAAGAGTACCAGGCTGGCTCCATCGTGGAGGAGTTGAAGAAGACGCTGGCCCTCAAGGCCACTGTATTACGCGACGGCACTTTGGTCGAGATCGAAGCATCTGATGTGGTGCCTGGCGACATCCTGCAAGTCGAAGAGGGCGTGATCGTTCCAGCTGATGGGCGCATTGTTACGGAGAATGCGTTCGTGCAGGTTGATCAGTCTTCGATCACTGGAGAATCATTGGCTGTCGACAAGCACCGGGGAGATACGTGCTACGCATCTTCTGCAGTCAAGCGCGGCGAGGCTTTCGTTGTGATCACAGCTACTGGCGATTCTACGTTCGTTGGACGTGCAGCATCGCTCGTTGCCAGCGCCTCCAGCGGGCCCGGTCACTTCACCCAGGTACTGCACGGCATTGGAACGATTTTGTTGGTTCTAGTCATCGTTTCATTGCTGGTTGTCTGGATAAGCTCTTTCTATCGATCCAACGACATCGTCACCATTCTCAGGTTCACACTCGCGATAACGATCGTTGGAGTGCCTGTTGGTCTTCCTGCTGTTGTAACAACGACCATGGCAGTTGGTGCAGCCTACCTAGCCAAGAAGCAAGCGATTGTGCAAAAGCTCTCCGCCATTGAATCGCTTGCTGGCGTCGAGATCCTATGCTCTGACAAAACTGGAACGCTGACAAAGAACAAGCTCTCCCTAGCTGAGCCATATACTGTTGAAGGTGTTGATCCCGAGGACCTAATGCTGACTGCTTGTTTGGCCGCGTCACGAAAGAAGAAGGGCATCGATGCTATCGACAAAGCCTTCCTGAAGTCTCTACGCCAATATCCGCGTGCCAAGTACGTGCTGAGCAAGTACAAAGCCATCCGCTTCCATCCTTTCGACCCAGTATCCAAGAAAGTACAGGCAGTTGTTGAGTCACCCCAAGGCGAACGCATAATATGTGTCAAGGGTGCTCCTCTCTTCGTGCTTCGAACTGTTGAGGAAGACGGTCCCGTCCCAGAGCACGTCGAAGCGGCCTACAAGAACAAGGTCGCGGAGTTCGCTACGCGCGGCTTTCGCTCACTTGGTGTCGCTCGCAAGCGCGAAGATGAGCGCTGGGAAATATTGGGGATCATGCCATGCTCAGATCCTCCGCGTCATGACACGTATCGCACGATCAACGAAGCGAAATCTCTAGGTCTTTCCATCAAAATGCTGACCGGCGATGCCGTTGGTATTGCGCGAGAGACGTCGCGCCAGCTTGGCCTAGGTAACGATTCAACCTCTCGACATTTGACCCTTGACTGACTCTAGAAATAGGCACAAACATCTTCGATGCTGAGAAACTCGGTCTGAGCGGTGGCGGCGAAATGCCTGGCTCGGAATTCTACGACTTCGTTGAAGGTGCAGATGGCTTTGCAGAAGTGTTCCCGCAGCACAAATACAACGTCGTGGAAATCCTGCAGCAGAGAGGATACCTTGTCGCGATGACTGGCGATGGCGTAAACGATGCGCCGTCGTTGAAGAAGGCAGATACTGGTATTGCCGTACAAGGCGCTTCCGATGCCGCTTGCTCTGCTGCTGATATTGTGTTCCTTGCTCCTGGTCTCTCTGCGATCATCGACGCGCTGAAGACCTCGCGCCAAATCTTTCATCGCATGTATGCTTACGTCGTTTACCGCATCGCTTTGTCTCTACACCTCGAGATATTCCTGGGTCTCTGGATTGCTATTCTCAACGAAAGTTTGAACCTACAACTAGTAGTGTTCATCGCAATCTTCGCCGATATTGGTAAGCATCGCTTTACGTGTTCTTCTTGCATGGGCTAATTGAAATGTAGCGACACTAGCTATCGCATACGATAATGCGCCGTACAGTCGCACTCCTGTGAAATGGAACCTACCAAAACTCTGGGGAATGTCAATTCTGCTTGGCGTCATCCTCGCTGTAGGCACCTGGATCACAATGACAACAATGCTGCCTTACCTCACAGGCGAGCAGCAGGGCGTCGAAGGCGGTATCGTCCAGAATCATGGCCAGCGTGATCCAATTCTATTCCTCGAGATCACACTGACTGAGAACTGGCTCATTTTCATCACCCGCGCCAACGGCCCATTCTGGTCATCCATACCTTCATGGCAGTTAGCTGGCGCGATCCTGGTTGTAGACATCTTGGCCACATGCTTTACCATCTTTGGATGGTTTGTGGGAGGAAGAACGAACATTGTTGCCGTGGTTCGTGTCTGGGCCTTTTCTTTCGGCATTTTCTGCATCATGGCGGGAGTGTATTATATTTTACAGGGTAGTCAAGGCTTTGACAATCTCATGCATGGGAAGCTTCTCAAGAGGAAGCAGAAGCAGAGGAACCTCGAGGATTTCGGTAAGCACAATGGATGTCTGCATTCAAAAGCAGACAACTGCTAACGCTACTTAGTGGTTTCGCTGCAACGTGTGTCGACACAGCACGAGAAGACGACGTACCATGAGAAGACGAAATAGTATCTCGGTCTCAACGGTGAATTGCAACCACGTCAGCGGTCTAGCGTCACGCTGTGATGAGGACGGGTTGATCTTCTTGGTAAGGACGTGGGGGCTAGTAGAGGGCGTTTGGTTGTGCGGATGGCAAGTTCGATATTCAATCATATTCATAGTGTATTTTCTGATACTTAGTTGTATTCATACTTGGTTAAGAACGGAACCAGACAGATAGCGTTGTGGAACTTCCCACAACCACAGTAGAGACGACGATGCTCACAGCATCTCGCGATGCATTCTACCAATATAGTTGCAATGCATTTCGTTACTTCTCTAAAGCTACATACCATCTCCTTTGGTGTTTGCATTAGACTAGCCCGCGGTAGCTTGAGCGACCAGTTCAGACGGCGCATCTGACATGCAGGAACAGAATCCTGGAAGCGAGCAGCTCGGCGCATGTTAAACGACTTGGTTTTCAATGGACGACCGTCCTGATAAATCAGCAATCAAACTCTGAGCTTCGAGATGGCTTGATGAAATGCTTACCATCGAATTTCGGGGGAAGGCGCTCGCGGTGACGTCGCTTGCCAGCATCACCCCACCTTCGGCATTGAGACACGCGCGGCGTCCTGGTAATCACGTAACCTAGTAGGACTTGACCACCATCACACTCCTGTTCAGTTGATGCTCAATTACGTTCGAAGCATAAGTTGTCGCGCTCGATACCAGCTCAATTTCAATCAAATTTCGTCTTACCACATTAGAACACCTTTCCTACCGCCAGCACAGGCATTCGCAACAATGGCCAACCTCAACATCACCATCCCCAAGTTGAAGCTCAACGATGGTACTTCCATGCCAATGCTAGGCTACGGTACTGGTACTGCCTGGTTCAAGACTGGGGAAGAGAGCAAGATCGACCAGGCCATCATCGATTCTGTCAAAATTGCGACCAAGCTGGGATACACGCATCTCGATGGTGCCGAGGGTATGCAAATCGTCGCACTGTATACATCGGTTCTGAGAAATCAGCTGATCGTTGGCAGTCTACAAGACCGAGACTGAGTTGGGCACCGCGATCAAGGAGAGTGGCATTCCACGTGAGAAGCTGTATGTTACGACTAAAGTCAACAACGACAACATCAAGAATATTGCGGGAGCTATCAAGACGAGTCTGGAGAAGCTGCAATTGGATCACGTTGATCTGTAAGGTCTTCAAATCTGCACCAGCGATCTATATCCTAACGAGTATAGGTATCTCATCCACCAGCCCTGGTTTGCAGGCTCAGACGAAGATCTCCAGAAAGCATGGGCCGACATGGAAGCCGTTCAAGCCTCCGGTCTCGCAAAGTCCATTGGCGTCTCCAACTACCTCCCCAATCACCTCGCTGCTACCCTCAAGACAGCCAAAGTCAAGCCAGTGTGCAACCAGATTGAACTGCACCCCTACCTGCAAAGGCCAGAGCTCCTCGATTTCCACAAGCAGAACAACATTGCCACGGTCGCCTATGCGCCTCTCACCCCTGCTACAAAGGCAAAGCCTGGTCCTCTGGACGACTACGTGGAGGCACTAACGAAGAAGTATGCTGTGAGCGAGAACGAGATTTACCTAAGGTGGTGCATGGATCAGGATATTGTGCCCATTACGACGAGTGGAAAGGAGCAGAGGTTGAGCGATTACTTGAGGGCGAACACGTTCAAGCTGACGCCTAAAGAGATCAAGGACATGAATGAGATTGGGCAGAAGAAGCATTTCCGCGGATTCTGGGGACACATCTTCAAGGACGATGATCGTTCCTAGTGAGCCTAGGTAGCAGCTGCATGAAGCAGCATATTGCGTTACGTCTGATCCGGCAGGCCAAGAGTATAGAACTCTGCATATTTCGAAACTGCAAATACACTGGCTTGTTTGATGTTCTTTAAAAATTACCTCTGATGTTCCGGCGTGGGTGAATACAACTACTAGGGCTGGGGTTGGGGCGAGCCTTGTTAGCGCCAAGACAGTCTCTCAATCTTTCGGCGCGAGCTCAGCAACTTCAACCTACACTCGACTTGTCGCGCATCACCCTTTGCACCCACCCACATCGCGCGATTATACACACGGACCGGGCCGCGCATATCACCAAACATCACAAGTTTCAGTGTCGCGCCGCCCAATCACCGCCGCCATGTCAGGCGCAGTCGCAAAGGGCAAGAAGCAGGTGAACAAGAACGCCTATCGCCGGGCGAAGAAGAAGCAACAGCGTTCTGTAGGCAAACCACACGCATCGCATTGCGCATCGCAATACATCGTACTGACAGCCATACAGGAGACACCGTCGGAGGCCGCTGACTCTGCGCGTGAGAGCGAATCTCCCGCACCCGAAAGCGACAGCAATAACGAAGCACAGGCGGTCAAGCCCGCGAACCTTCTCACCGTTGACGATATCGCGAACCAGTACGACCTCGACGACCCCGTGTTTGAGGAATATAAGAGCGTCTTCGAGAAGTTCAGGGAGCCGACCGAGGAGGAAGCGGCGACCAAGGACGAAGAGAAGCCAGAAATTTATCTTTCCGACGACGACATTCCCGACGAGGACGAAGACGATGGCAAGCCCAAGCTCTCCAAGAAGCAGCGGAAGCAGATGAATAAGCTGTCGGTCGCGCAACTGAAGTCACTGGTCCCCCGGCCTGAGTTGGTCGAGTGGACGGATGTGTCATCTTCAAATCCACAGCTGCTCATCTCCATCAAGGGAGCGAAGAACGTCATACCAGTCCCGACCCACTGGTCGCTCAAGCGCGAGTACCTCTCATCGAAACGCGGTATCGAGAAGCCCCCGTTCGCTCTACCCAAGTTTATCCAGGAGACTGGCATTGCAGAGATGCGCGATGCAGTTTTGGAAAAGCAAGCAGACATGACGATGAGGCAAAAGCAGCGAGAGCGCGTCCAAGGAAAGCTCGGCAAGCTCGACATCGATTACGCAAAACTATACGATGCTTTCTTCAGGCGACAGACGAAGCCAGAGTTGACGCGGTACGGCGAGGTCTACTACGAGGGCAAGGAGTTCGAGACCAATCTCGTCAATCTCAAGCCCGGCGAGCTGAGCGAGGAGCTCCGCGAGGCTCTCGGAATGATGCCAGGCCATCCACCCCCTTGGCTCATCAACATGCAGCGCTTCGGCCCTCCTCCATCCTACCCGAACATGCGCGTCCCTGGTGTAAACGCTCCGATCCCTCCTGGTTCCTCCTGGGGCTTCCAGCCCGGCCAATGGGGTAAGCCCCCGATCGATGACGCTGGCAAGCCACAATTCGGAGGCGATCTGTATGGAACAGCCATATTGGAAGAGCAACAACAGCCTACTCATGTCGGCGAGCCCGTAGAGCGTGGCATCTGGGGTGCACTACGAGCCGAGGGCGAGAGTGAAGACGAGGAGAGCGACGAAGAAGAGGAGGAAGATGAAGATGACGAGGAGGGAGGCGACGAAGACGCTAGCGGCATCCAGACATCGATGACAACAGCATCTGCCATGCCATCAGAGATTGGAGGAGCAGAGAGCATCGGTGGAGAGTTCCAGCTCCGGAAGCAGCGGAAGGGAATCGAGACGGAAGAGCCGGGTGTACCACGCAGTGCTGGCACAGTGCTTCCTGAGAAGAACATCTCGGCAACTGGTTTCTTTGGCGGCGAGCACGCTTATGACCTGGATGCGGCTAGGCGCGACGCACTTGGACACGCTCAAAGGAAGCGCAAGGCTGGAGACATCGACGTGTCGGTTGATGTCGACCAGTTGGCAGATAGCGACAAGCTTGATAAGGACGCACTGAAGAAAGAGTATGAGTCAAGGCAAAGAGCCGAAGCGCAAGGCCAATGGCAGAGTATTGATCAAGATGACTTGGCGGACATGATCAACCAGGAGAGCAGGAAGCGCGCGAAGCGGGAGGACGAGCGTAAGACCAGGCGCTAGGTCTGTTTGATCAAGAGTCCGCAAAGGACATGTGTTTTGTACAAAAGATTACGGATTGCATTTTTCAAGAGCTCTGTGAGCGAACAGGCGTCACGGATGTCGATGGTCAGTAGGGCTTCGGCATATTCAGCATTGGGATACGGCGTTACATGCGGCAGCCAAGGTTGACCACAGTTGAACATAATCAAGATGAAGAATTCCTCACTTTCAAGGACAAGAATGACGGAAGAACTGCATGCTGACCTATGGAGGGAGTGGCACGCCTCGCGACGACGAAAGGCTTGACGGATGCGACATGCAGGACAAGGGATGTGAAAGACAATAGCTGAAAGCGTGAGTCAAGGGGTGGTGCCGTCAGACTGGGACGACAGACGCGCAAAGACGAAGTCTGTGCCGAGGAACAGAGAAGGGCCTCCAGTTGGAGGCACCGAAAAGACGTAGCCATGTTGCGGTTGCAGAAGGAAGACGCAGATGCTGTCTAAAGTGCTACCTATGGAACCCTGGATCTACCGCGCACACGCACACGGTACCTTCTCTCGGCTGCCCGATTGCACATCCGGCGACCAAGTTGAATGTGAATCAAACGGTTGGCTGTTTGCATGATGTGACTGACCAGCGGCCAAAGCTCGCACGCCTCGCCTGCACGTGACCTACGAACGCGTCCAGTTGCTGGAGGCTTGGCTCTGAACTTCTCTTTTTGCGACCCAACACACGACCAGCAACCACCGCCCAGCAAGCGCAGTTGTTAGCTATCAACCCGGACTAATCGCCACGGCCACATCACTTAGTATTGTTTACCTGCGATAGGCACAGCACATCATCTTCGTTGCAGGAATGGACAGGGATCGTGAGCGAGAGCGAGATCGAGGAGACCGAAGGTTTGTCGACTCCAAACCAAGTGTCGCCTAGGCTCCGATGCGCAAACATGTTACCAGGCACACGACATCTAATATAGGCGCACCTGCTAATACCGGCATAGAGACGACAGGTACTCCAATACATACCGTCCTCGTTCTCCTGGCCCTCGCCCACGCTCTCCACGCGGAGACAGCTACCGAGCCCGTTCACCTCCTCCCCGCCGTGCTTCGCCTCCTCCCCGTCGCGCTTCACCCATTCGTCGCGGTATAGCTTCGGCAGATACATATGTTCCTGGTGGCCGTTCATCGCGTCCGCGCAGTCGCTCGCCAGGTTTCCGGAGACGGTCCCGCAGCCCACGTCGCGACGACAACTGGAGGGCACGACCTCGATCACCCCCGCGCCGAGCATTCTCACCGCGACGAGACGAGCCCAGACGGGATGACTACAGGGCAAGGTCGCCGCCGCCGCGACGGGACCGTGATCAGTACGACTCTTATACCCGCTCCCCGCGACCACGCGACAGGTCTCCACCACCAAGAGAGCGCGATGTATCCCCAGCTAGGAGCCGGGGCATACGCTCGCCCGTTCGTCCGAGCCGGTACGAAGAGCCGCGCTCCCGGGTGAACAGGTATACTTTCAGTCTACCCTCGCGACATGCCATTTGCTAACCTCACATGAAGCCCTCCCCGCAGATACTCCCCGGCCCGCGACACTCGTGACACGCGCGATTACCGACGCCGCTCACCCTCTCCAAGACGCGAGCGCCCGGACCCTTACACTGCAGATACATGGAGAAGTCGCAGGTCTCCTTCGCCAGCGCGGCCAGCATATGCTTCGAACGATGCGTCGGGTAGGGACTCCGCAGCAACATCCCGCCGCTCTTCCCCACCACCCATCCATCCTAGCCGGGCTGCCCTTGTAGAAGACCGACCAGTCAGAGAGCCCGCCTCAGCACCACGATCGCCGTTCCGTGAGCGCCTCCCCGATAGAGGACGGGACTACAGTCGCGAGCGGGAGCGGTCGCCTCCACGTCGTCGGGACAGTCCTCCGACGGGGCCGCGCGGAGATAGAGACTTTGCGCCTCCTACTGGGCCATCGTCATCTTCGTACCGCAATGGCGATAGCAATTTCGCCAGAGCTCCACCAACGGGGCCTTCCAGCCGGAGCTATCCCTCCCCTGCGATATCCCCTCCAGTTGGACCTTCAAGCTTGACACCACAAGCTCCCTCCTTTCCCCGGGGCAATAACCCTGTCCTAGCAGCGCCGACACGACCGCGTGGTGGTGGCCGCGGTGGCTTCGGAGGCTATGAAGGACGAGGAGACTTTTCTGGCCCATCCTCACGACGAGGATCTTGGGGCGCAGGACCACGAGGAGGAGGCTACTACGGCGGTGCGCCATCCGGTCCGCGTGGTTCCAGCAGTGGACCTAGTGGTGCAGCACCTTTTGCTCCCTCGTTCCGCGGATCCAACAACTCTACTGCTACGACGTATCCCCGTACGATGCGCTTCCGAGACCATCTCTCCGACCTCCCCAAGGAAATTCCTGGTGGTCAGAGAGCGCCAGAGCTGTACGACAAGAGCAAGATTCTGAAGCTTGAGGCCGAGGCGCAGAAGTTGAGAGAGATGATCGATAAGAAGGAAGATGCGAAGAGGCAGAAACTCAGGGAGTGGGACAGTCTTGAACGCGAGGCAGATACGGCTCAGCTGAGGGTTGACCTTGCAGAGGGTTCACTACGAAGCATAAACGGCGAGGCGGATGTGAGCGATGCTTTCTAGTAACGGCGTTCGCTGGGTGACGATCTTGCAGACTACGACTGGTGATTTACGGCTGGTGGCTTCTTGGCACGAGGTTCATTGGAAACTTGCAATGGTAAGCCTGATTTGACTCGCATCTTGATCTCGGAAGATGGCTTTCTGGTGGCATAGCGGGCGTTGAATGGCATAGCATTGGTAGCAACCAAATCCTGATGACTAAATGCTTGAACTTTATCTGCAGATAACTTGTGCTTTACCTGTGATGATTCAAAGCGGACTTCCAAGGCACTGCTATGCCAACAACGGAACCTGACTTGAGACCTTCAAGATGCTTGTGTAAATTGCAGGCGCTTTCTCTTCTTCGCTTGCGCGAGTCTAAATGTCTAGATTGTTGGTCACTCACCCAGACGGATGCTGGGACTACTGCGGATTACCGATTGGCTTGTATTAATTCTCAGTTCTGACTCGCCGAACGCCAAATGTTTGCTGCAGCTGGTCGAACTAACTTACCCACCCGCCGCCTCAACTTCCGCCGACTGCTCTACTGTCGCACAAAAAATGGTGGGCAAGAAGGTATGGAGTCTCCCGTGATTGTCGCGATCAATGACTAATCTGCGTATAGGAAGTCGCGAAGCCTGAAGCTGCCCCGCGCGGGGCCGCGAAGGCGAATGCTGCGACTGCTGCTCCCGCAGTAAAGGAAGTTGACGATGCTATGGACGTAGACGCTGTAGGCGCAAAGCCTCAGACGACAGCAGGCGACGACGCGACTGACCTCAACCCCAACGCTTCTACATCAGCAGAGGCGACGCGCAAACGACGGGCGCCGCTTACCCATGCCAAAGACGAGTTCGCCGCCCTCCTCGAGCCCTTCTACTACGGAAAGAGTCTGACAGATCCGATCAACACCGCGCGCGATAAGTGGAATCTGCTACCGGCCTTCTTGAAGACCAAGGGACTGGTCAAGCAGCATGTCGACTCATACAACCACTTCGTCGATGTGGAACTCAAGAAAATTCTCAAGGCCAACCGTTTCGTCCGCAGCGATACCGACCCCAAGTTCCTCCTCGAGTACACAGACATCCGTGTTCTTTCTCCGAATCGACAGGAAGAAGATGACCTCGACCACCACCGCAGTACCATCACACCCAACGAGTGCCGATTGCGTGACATGACATATGCTGCGCCGATAGTAGTAGACATCATATACACCCGCGGGAATTCCAAGGTCAAGCGCACAGGCATCAAGATTGGACGTATGCCTATTATGTTGAAAAGCAACAAGTGCGTGCTTGCAGGAAAGAATGATCGCGAAATGGCAGTCATGGACGAGTGTCCGCTAGACCCAGGAGGCTACTTCATCACCCGAGGGCAAGAGAAGGTCATTCTTGTTCAGGAGCAGCTGAACAAGAACCGTGTCATTGTTGAAAGTGCCAAGGGCATCATGCAAGCCAGTGTTACAAGTTCCACACACGAGAGGCGAACCAAGACGTACGTGATTCAAAAGAAGGGCCTCATGTACCTCCGCCACAACACGCTCTCCGAAGAGATCCCGATCGTGTTCGTAATGAAGGCACTGGGTGTACACTCCGACAAGGAGATCATACTCTTGATCGCTGGCGAGGACACTGCGTATCAAGACAACTTCGCTGCCAACTTTGAGGCGTGCGCAAAAGAACAGATACATACCCAAGAGCGAGCACTTGAGTATATTGGCCATCGCGTACGACTGGTGAAGAAGCCGCTTGGTACCTCGCGCAGTCGGAACTATCACTTAGAGGCTATCGAGTGTTTGTCCAACGTCGTCCTTCCTCACGTCCCAGTTGAAGGCACAAACTACCGACCGAAGGCACTATACGTCGCTCTCATGGCACGTCGAGTTCTGATGGCCATGCAAGACCCGAAGCTTGTGGACGATCGCGATTATGTTGGAAACAAGCGTCTTGAGTTGTCTGGACAGATGCTGTCACTCTTGTTCGAAGATCACTTCAAGCGCTTCAACCACGACTTCAAGTTGAGCATCGATAAAGTACTGAAGAAACCCGTCCGAGCGCAAGAATTTGATGCCTTCTCGCATTTCAGCGTGCACAAGAACCACATCACCATGGGTGTCGAGCGCGCCATTGCGACTGGAAACTGGAGTTTAAAGCGTTTCAAGATGGAGAGAGCCGGTGTTACTCACGTCTTGAGCAGACTGAGTTACATTGCTGCACTGGGCATGATGACGAGAATCAGTTCGCAGTTCGAAAAGACGCGTAAGGTTTCTGGTCCCCGTGCGCTACAACCCTCGCAGTTTGGCATGCTGTGTACCTCCGATACTCCGGAAGGAGAAGCTTGTGGTTTGGTCAAGAACTTGGCGCTCATGACGCATATCACAACCGAAGACGACGATGACCCAGTGCGCAAGATAGTGTTTATGCTGGGTGCCGAAGATATTTGTTTCCAAACCGGAGAGGAGATTCACGCAGATGGTGTGTATAGTGTGTGTCTCAACGGTACACCTATTGCAGTCACCGACACACCCAAAAGATTCCTCAACAGCTTCCGGAAACTTAGGAGAATGGGACGCATTTCTGAGTTCACTAGCATTCACATAGATCACGATCACTGCGAAGTTCACATCGCCACGGACGAAGGACGAATTTGCCGGCCGATGATCATTGTCGAAAACCAACGGTCAAAGGTTACCTCGCGGTACCTAAAGGCGCTTCGCAAGGGCACCATGGAGTTCGAGGACTTCTTAACAAGAGGTCTGGTGGAATATCTCGATACCAACGAAGAGAATGACACGAACATTGCTTTGAAGGAGAGCGAAATCAACCAATACACTACACATCTCGAAATCGAGCCCTTCACCATCCTGGGCGCCGTTGCTGGTCTCATCCCGTATCCCCATCACAACCAATCGCCTCGTAACACTTACCAATGCGCTATGGGTAAGCAAGCTATCGGCGCGATTGCCTACAACCAGTTCAAGAGGATAGACACACTGCTCTACCTCATGGTCTACCCACAGCAGCCCATGGTCAAGACCCGCACCATCGAGCTCACCAAATATGACAAGCTGCCTGCCGGTCAAAACGCAACTGTCGCTGTCATGTCCTACTCTGGATACGATATTGAGGACGCGCTCATTCTGAACAAGGCCTCCTGCGATCGTGGCTTTGGTCGCTGCCAGGTTTTAAAGAAGCACGTCACGCCACTGAAGACGTATGCCAACGGTACCTCCGACCGTATTAACGCCGGCGCTCTCGACGTGGATAACACCAGCCACCAAGCTATTGGGCAAGACGGTATCGCGCAAGTCGGAGCCCGCATAGAAGCCGGCGACGCCTACCTCCTGAAGTCCATTCCCCAAGACACTGCCGGGCCCGCAACAAACGTCTACAAAGACAAGCCTGACAAGTATAAGATGCCCGACTGCAGCTACATCGACAAAGCCTGCATCACTGAGAACGAAGCCGGAACGACGTTGATCAAGCTCCTCATGCGCCAAACGCGACGTCCCGAACTCGGCGACAAATTCTCCTCCCGCCACGGTCAAAAAGGAACAACAGGACTCATCGTCCAACAGGAAGATATGCCCTTCAACGACCAAGGCATCTGCCCCGACATCATCATGAACCCCCACGGATTCCCCTCGCGTATGACAGTCGGCAAGATGATGGAGCTCCTCTCCGGCAAAGCCGGTGTCCTAAACGGCACGCTAGAATACGGCACCGCATTCGGAGGCTCTACCGTCGAAGACATGTCGCAAATCCTCGTCGAAAAAGGCTTCTCATACACAGGAAAAGACTACCTAACCAGCGGCATCACGGGAGAAGCCCACCAATTCTACACCTTCTTCGGCCCCATCTACTACCAGAAACTCAAGCACATGGTGCAGGACAAGATGCATTCGCGTGCGAGGGGCCCGCGCGCCATTCTCACACGGCAGCCTACGGAGGGTAGGGCGAGGGACGGTGGACTGCGTCTCGGTGAGATGGAACGTGATTGTTTGATTGCGTATGGTGCGAGTCAGCTGCTGCTTGAGCGGTTGATGATTAGTTCCGATGCGCATAATGTCGATGTTTGTGAGAAGTGTAAGTTCCCCCTCTTTTCTCTTCATTTCTTGTTTGAGGATCTTACTAATGATGATGATGATAGGTGGTCAAATGGGTTACAGCGGCTACTGTAAACTTTGCGAGAGCGAGAAGGCGGTTCGCAAGATTACAATGCCGTATGCTGCTAAGCTTCTCATTCAGGAGCTGGGTAGTATGAATGTCAAGGTGACGATTGGGTTGGAAGATGAATTTCCGAGGGATGCTTAGGGGAAGAGTAAAAGTGGGTGCATGATTGGCGCTGATTTTGGGTGGTACTGGCTTTGGGTGCATAGCGTGGCGTTCGTCATGATGATGTTATTTACAATGTACACAATTATGGAAATGTTTCATTGCTTGGTATGGTATTCGTCAGGCTATCGCGCCCCGTTTCAGTCATAATTTGCTCACAGCTCGTAGCTGGCAAAATAAAGATGTGTACCGTCTACTTCCCATATGTTGCCGTGTCGTCATCAGCCATGTTCACGGCCCATCCTTATTCTTTGACTTCCTCCACCAACCTCTCATCCTCTGTGCCGTCTCCGGAGTAAGCGACCCTCGCGGATATGCGCCGAGGGCCATCATCATGGACAAGATGTTCATTGGTTCCAGATCTCGAGCCACTTGTAACCACAACTCCAGAGGCATCCGATCAAGACCTTGCGGTAGGAATGGCGTTCTATAGCGTGCACTCACGCTCCCCATACGTACTATGTTTATGTAGGTGTCCTCAGTAAGCTCTGGGGCGATTCTATGCCGCTGCAGAGTAGGATAGATGGCTAGAGCAAGGTTCATGATATTACCGACACCCGCATACCTGATTATCATGAGGAGCAGTTCGGCCGGAAGGAGATTGAACAGGTCGTCGCAAGTCTCATCGCCGGAGAATGGCTTGCGCGGTGGGGGCGGCGGTGGAGGCGGAGGCGGAGGAAGCGCTGTAGACATTGTTGCTGATCAATCGGTATGCGGTTTACTGGGTGACTCGGCAGCGACGGACAGTAGCCAGCGGTAGATGTAGCCGGAGAGAAACCAGGCTCCTACAGCGACTGCGGTGATGTATATCGCGATTGGGCCAAGTGATTGCGGGAAGACGTTCAATATAAAGGGATCGAGTACTATGGTTGTTAGATGACGTACGGTGTCTAGATAAGATTAGACGTACTGATGTCCGCATCAACTGGAGGCGGGTAGTCCATCAATGTGCGATTGGTCGAGTAGTAGGACGCTGCAGCCTGGAGGCGCAAGAATAGTACCGACTCTGGGGCTGCAGACGGCGCTCCCTTGGTGGTTCGGTCGTCGTCCACTGGGTCACGTCGAGTTACTGAGCTATACTGTGATAACGAGGCTATCAATTCGGGTGTATCAAACACGTGGGTGGTTGAGTAGGTGTCGAGCCAGAAGTCGGTGGGTTGCTGGACAAGTCAGTACAAACAATCAGGTGAGATGATGCACGCGACATGCAACGGGAAGGAGCAGTAGACTCACGGTCGCCGGCCAGCAGATGCGCACCTCGTACCTCCTCCCGTCTTGCAGGCCGCGAAGCAGGTACCAGGACTCGAGACCGCGGGGCACCGACTCGGTGGGAAACTGGACAGGGACACGGATCGGGAGGATGGTGGAGGAGGGCGACAGGTAGTGCAGGCCGAGGTCATCTAGCCCGGGGCGGACATTGGAGAGAGTCACAGGGCTGGGACCAAGGAATATCGTCTTCTCGACGTTGGCATTCACCGTCCAGGCCTGTGTGACGATGCAGAGCAGCCCGGCGGAGAGGCGCATCTTTGGCAGACAGCACGTGAAGATGGGGAAAGTTGGGAGGGGAACAATTCATTGTCTCTCTCACGTCGGCCAGAGCAGCGCCATGGGCAAGGAAAGGAACGATAGGCAAGCAATTCGTCCGATGAGGTCGTGTTTCTCGCGCAACAGCCAGGCAGCTGCATTGGACGTGTAGCTTAGCGCCGTGGTCCGTGATAGGCGGACCCTTTTGGCCTAAAAGTTCGATTCCACAACACAACAGCACTTCTCCCCCACTGCTCCACTCCCACCGACAGCAGCTCTCACCCTCGCCGCCCAGGTTCCCCCGAGACTCCATTTCGATACCCCAATTACTACCCGCAAACAACGCCACCATGAGAGAAGTCATCAGTCTGAACGGTATGTCGTCCCTTGCGCCATGCGCGCCCTGACCGCCTGCAGCGGGACATCCCTGGCTATTTGTTGATGCTGACTTTGTACGCGTCTAGTCGGCCAGGCCGGTTGCCAGATCGCAAACTCTTGCTGGGAGGTGAGTTGCACACGACGGCACGCTCTGCTTCTGCTGCATCCCATTCCACGGCAGAAGAAGGGGCTGCGGGTACCTCACCGCCAGTGCGCGATATACTGACTCGGCTTCACAGCTCTACTGCCTCGAGCACGGCATCCAACCCGACGGTTTCCTCACCGAGGAGCGCAAGGCTCTGAACGACGACCACGGCTTCAGCACCTTCTTCTCTGAGACTGGTAGGCAGCTTTCGCCCCGGAGCGCCATCTCAGACGGCTAACACCGCGCAGGTCAGGGCAAGTATGTCCCCCGTACCATCTACGCCGATCTTGAGCCCAACGTCGTCGATGAGGTCCGCACCGGCCCTTACCGCTCCCTCTTCCACCCCGAGCAGATGATCACAGGCAAGGAGGATGCCTCGAACAACTACGCCCGTGGTCACTACACCGTCGGAAAGGAGCTCATCGACCAGGTCCTTGACAAGGTCCGCCGCGTCGCCGACAACTGCTCCGGTCTGCAAGGTTTCCTCGTCTTCCACTCCTTCGGTGGAGGAACTGGATCTGGTTTCGGCGCCCTGCTCATGGAGCGCCTGTCCGTCGACTACGGCAAGAAGTGCAAGCTCGAGTTCTGTGTCTACCCAGCGCCCCAGGTCGCCACATCGGTCGTCGAGCCATACAACTCCATCCTGACCACCCACACCACACTCGAGCACTCCGACTGCTCCTTCATGGTCGACAACGAGGCCATCTACGACATCTGCCGTAGGAACCTCGGTATCGAGCGCCCCAACTACGAGAACCTCAACCGTCTCATTGCCCAGGGTAAGCTGCCAGAGCCTGCTTAGAAATCCACTCTGCTAACCCGACTCAGTTGTCTCGTCCATTACCGCCTCCCTCCGATTCGACGGTTCCCTCAACGTCGACCTGAACGAGTTCCAGACCAACTTGGTCCCCTACCCTCGTATTCACTTCCCTCTCGTCGCCTATGCTCCCGTCATCTCCGCCGCCAAGGCCGCACACGAGGCCAACTCGGTCATGGAGATCACCAACGCCTGCTTCGAGCCCAACAACCAGATGGTCAAGTGCGATCCTCGCAACGGAAAGTACATGGCCACCTGCCTGTTGTACCGTGGTGATGTCGTCCCCAAGGACACCCACGCTGCCATTGCCCAGGTCAAGACTAAGCGCACCGTCCAGTTCGTCGACTGGTGCCCTACCGGTTTCAAGGTCGGTATCTGCTACCAGCCCCCCCAGATGGTCCCCAACGGTGATCTTGCCGCTGTCAACCGCGCTGTCTGCATGCTGTCCAACACCACGGCCATTAGCGAGGCCTGGTCTGCTCTCTCGCACAAGTTCGACCTCATGTACAGCAAGCGCGCCTTCGTCCACTGGTACGTTGGTGAGGGTATGGAGGAGGGTGAATTCTCCGAGGCTCGCGAAGATCTCGCAGCTCTTGAGCGTGACTACGAGGTATGTTGTTTGCGTCCTTTCTTGATCAGGGTGTTGGCTAACAGTGTGTTTAGGAGGTCGCAGCGGACAGCTTGGGTGACGAAGAGGGCGTTGAGGCAGAGTACTAGACGGCTTGTTACCGTACTGTGTAGCGTGTTCAAGAGCAGTATGGCTCTACATTGTTGATTGGAACGTGTCTTGTTCGAAGCCTCGCTTTTGAAGAGAGACAAGTACCAGATTGATAATGGCGGGCTACGGCGTTTACAAGGAGAGCTGCTAGCGTACCTTCTTCTCCATACATGAAGCGATTTGGGATCAATTGTCCTCTTTCTATGTTACTACTACCTTTAGTAATGCCAATAAATTGTCGTATGGCACTTTACATGATTTCTCGTTTTCCAACTAATCTAACATTTAATCAGACATTACATGAGGATATATTGATCAGCGAACCTTCGCTATGCTACCCAAACTTGCTTTCGTTCAGTATGAGACCTTTGTAGTCCTCAAATTCCGAGTTCATGTTCGTATCCATCGCTTTTCATAGGTACTTCGTCCTCCACGCTTCATCAAAATCACACAATCTCATCCCCAAACTACCCCGAATACCTCCCGCCTTCACTTCACATTGTCATCGCTGCATCCAAGCAACAGTTGCACAATGTCTCCCATTTAACCCCATTACCTAGAAGTCGTCCTCCTCCTCATCCCTAGCGAGCGCCTTCTTCTCGGCCAACTCCCTAATCTTCTCTCCAAGCACCTCCCTCCCATACCTACTCGCCACCTTACCCGCCAGATCCAGCATCTTGCCATTCGCATCCCTCATCAAGCTGACAATCTCCAGCGCCTTCATGCCATGGTCCTCGCCCGCCAGACACTCCAACCCAAGTAACTGAAGCAGCGCACGATCAATCGCCACTTCGAGCGTACTCAGCGCCGATTTCTGCGACGCCGTCGGACGCGTATGCAGCAGGGTGGAAGAAAGCTGCGAATGCAGTGTTGAAGCAAGGATGAACGCTTGCTCATGATCTTGTTGTTTCTCCTCGTTCGTCTGAGGGGCATTGACATATTCATCCTCGTCTTCCATGTCGCTTTCCTCGCCTCCTCTTCTGTTCTTCTTGCTCTTGGCTTTGTCGATCACACTCGTAAGCGGGATTTCGAAGCCAAATTCGGAGAGGTGCGGGACGGGTGCTGAGGGGTATTGTTCTCGCCCTTTAATGATCATGCAGTGGAACTTTGCGCCTCCTATGCCCTCGGAGGATGTGGGTGATGAGGCGACGCCGACGGGCCAGTAGGATTCTTCTTTTCCGCCGCCGGCGCGGCGCGAGAGGAGCTTTGTGTCGAGCATGGGGACCCAGCGTGCTTGGCCGGTGGTTCTCCAGCCGAGGAGGGTAAGCAGGACGCCTGAGGAGTCGTAGATGTAGGGATCGCCTTCTGCAGAGAAGAAGACGGAGGTCAGGGTTGTGCCTGGGGGTAGGGCGAGGATGTCGGAGTCTTGGTAGACGATGTCGTGTTTGATGTTCTCGATCGTGTAGAGGAGTTGGGTGCTGAGGTCATTTTGGATGGGACCGTTGCCAATCGTGAGAATGTAATCGCGCCACGCTGCACAGGTGACTGCCGGAGAGCTCTTTTGCCTGTAGACGCGTACCGGAAGGCCGAAGAGTGAGTATATGCGCACGTAGTTTGTTGATGTAGTTACGCAGACATATGAATTCGATAATGCAATCGCAGTGACGGATTCTCCAGTCGGCAGATTAGTCCGCCATTCGGTTCTTGTCGTCCATGTCTCATGCGGTCGGTAGTAAATCATTGCTGGGTTACCGTCACCGGTGCTGTTGGGTTGACAGGCGAACAGTGTACCGTTCTCATTGAGGCAAGACTTGTCGTATAGGAAGACGTCGGTAAAGTGGAAATTGCGGAACGTATGTTCATCGTAGAATTTGACGCTTACTGTGTGATGCTTGCCCTCTTGTTCCACAGTCTCGACATAGCCAGTCAAGGAACAGCAGAGTAGCCGGCGATTTCCGCGCCAGGGTGTGCTGCCTGGTTGAAAAGGCTCATGAACTTGGGGACGGAAGAGGGCGGAGCTGTATGCGCGACGTTTCGAGGCAGGTTCTACGCCGCTTGTGAGGTGTCCGTTTGGACGTTTCTTTGCAGCCGTGATGGCAGGAGCATATCCAGCGCCATCATCGTCGATGACAAAATCTTCCATCTCTTCATCTCCATCCACTTGCGCTTCATCGTCCTGGAACTCTGGGCCTAGGATATCCTCTAGGGAGTCTGGAGTTCCACTCCTTTGTCTCGGTCGTCCAGGAAGAGTCTGTACGTTGCCATTCGTGAGCTTCGCTGGTTGTGGGACGCCAGCTCGGCCTTCCGAGGGGTCGTGAAAGAAAGGAGCGGAGACGGTAGGTCTTTGTAGTAGGGGAAGATGTTCATCGGGAACTAGGTCGGTATGGATGAAGAGCTCGCCTTCATTGTTGGTATAAGAGAGAATATTCTCTGTCGGATGCCATGCCATTGCCAATATAGTAGCCTTGACATCGTCAAGTTTCTTGAGCTGCTTCTGCGTCTTGGTATCCCAAAGGCACAGGCTCAGATCGCTCGAAGTAGTCGCCAACAAGGCACCGTTAGGGGACCATGCCGCAGCGGTGATGTCGGCTGTATGACCCGTCTTGAAAACCCGTTGCCTCTCCCAGTCACTAGTCGACATGACCTGTATCTGGCGCATGGCGGTGGGCGTAGCAAAAGCTCGTCCATCTGGGTGCCAGAGGACTTTCGAAGTGGTCTCCGCATCTGATTCTAGGCTCTTGATCATGCCCTCCACTCTGTTGACCATCTCAGGCTCTCCACCTTCCAGGCTGTACATGTAGATGTGACCGTCGGTGCAGGATACGGCAAGTTGGGTTCCAGTCTTGTCGAAGGAAACGTGTTTTACGGCTCGAGGCTGTTCGCGCAGGCTTTTCATGCTCTTATCTTTGACGTTTACGAGGTTTACGACGAGTTCACTGCGTCCGTTAGTGACCAGATCGGACGAATAGAGTCACATACGCACTCGCTAGCAACGGCAATCCAGTTCCCATCCGGGCTAAGAGCTACATCCCGTACTGGAAGCGTAGTCCTGACCAGAATCTCCTCGAACTTGCCCTTTTCGAGCGAGAACCTGCTCACTGTGCCGTCCTCTGAGCCGGTAATGAAGTAGCCATTCTGCATGGGAATCAGTATGCTGCCCCAGCCCTGATCATGTCATATTGCATACCCCGGCGACGACTGCAGTGTTGTTCTCCTGGCACTCATCTATCGTGACTGGCTCGTCATCAGAGCCCGTAGTGAAGACGCGGCAGTAGTTGTCGACTCCGGCTGTGACGAGTTTCTTTCCGTTGGGTGTGTATGCGAGATAGGTTGCGCCAGGGGCATCTAGAGCTTCAATTAGGATAGCAGTTCTTAGTCATGATCTCGGTTTACTTACGGGCCTGTCGAGCGCGGAGGCGCTGTGTGGTCGCCATTGTGATGTAGTGTGATGGTTGCTACTCGGAAGTGCACCGCGTTCCGGTCGACGCGACCGCGTAAAGTGGGTGAGGTTAGCGCGCTTTGAAGACGCCCCCGCCGCCCTCCAGTAGCATTCCTTCATCAGCAACATTCACCATCGTGGACTGTCATCCGCTTGCGATAACGTGGCTGACTGTACCTCGCTCGTCACATCTCACTCCGAATCCGACCCTAAACTCTGCTCGCTTCCGCACTGGAATAGCATCTCGTAGCCCCACAATGCACTACCAGCGACCGGACGATACTGGGTCATCATAGCCCATAGGCAATGTGCCCGATGCACAATTTAGTATCTGCACATGTCAAACTCTGATTATACCACGGATGCTACCCTGCCATAACTCTAGGGTCGACTCAACACTACGACAGCCACTGTAGCATCTCACAGCTGAAAGTCATGTGCTAAACCTATCAATAGCTCGATATGCAAGCCCGTATCATCACCGATGGTTTGCGAATGTGTGCAACTCAGCAAGCAACGTTGCATGCACAGCTCGACCTAGATGAATCTTCCAGAGGCTGACCGGTATCGTTACATAACTGCTCGTGAGCAATATTCAAAGCTGCTTGTCGGGCAGCTTGAGATCATTATACAGTATTCATCGTTCCTTTCAAAACCACCCAAGATGCGTTTCTAAACTTTCACTCACCTTGCCATCGGCCTCTCTACAAATACTGCTCTCACAAACGCAGCGCCGCTTTGGGCAACTTCAGTCGACAACAACCTTCTCATAAACGGCGGTTTCGAAACAGCCAGCCCTTGGACAGGTAGTCCCCAATCTAATCTTCCCCAAGGTTACCTCGTCGGTTCTTTCGCTACCACGGACTACGCATTCGAAGGATCTTCCGCCTACAAGATCTCGACATCAGACACGAACACCAACTCTCTTCGCGGCTACTGCGTTACCCAGACCATCCGCCAACCCCCAGGCTCATACGAGTTCTCTGCCAATGTTGGGCGTATCTCGCATGCGGATGCTGCTTCATCTACCCAGGAGACCATAACTGTTGCAGTCGCCATCAACGATGGCAGAGCTATCCTGCAAAACGCGGTCTGCGACTCCAGCGCGTCAAGAGGCAGACTTTGTACTGTCGCAGCCGACAACGGTGTTCCCACGTACGATTATGTGGAGACGAGATTCATGTCGACGGTGGGCCAGATCAAGGTCGACATCTGTGCGACGTGGACGACATCCATCACGGATGGATCGAGGGAGTCTGATGAGGTTGTCCTAGACAATGTGAAAATCGTAGCTGCATAAGCTACCCGGAGCATAGAAAGCCTGGATGTATAGTGTGCAACACAATGGATATAATAACAACCGTAGATGGATAGTCAAGACAATAGAATATTCTTTCAACACACATCGAACGCCGGAACAATGCTATGCCGACCAATCCGCCTACTGCTCATACGAGGCTGGAAGCATGCATGCTGCACGGACTTTGACGGCTCAACAGATGTCAGCTTCTCCACGAGCCCAGTTGAGCGACGCTAAAGAGATACCCCATACCAAAACACGCCCTAGGGCGTTCATTAGTCACAATCCGCCGCGCTCGTCCCGTGAAAAAGTTCCTGGGCCCTGTAAACTGCGCATTCATCCCATCTTGAATAATTTTAGGGTAATCCTTCCGTGCAAAAATCAAGCCACGATGGTGCTCACGGACGAAGAGCAGCCTCTGCTCAGAATAATATCGCATGACTACGAAAGCGTCCAACAAGAGAATGATGCCGAGGAAGCTGGAAATGACGCGCTTGATTTTGAGCCTCTGGACCCTGAGGACCCTCGCAATTGGTCTCCAGGTTTCAAATGGGGTATCGTTTTGTTGCTTGCTCTCATGGCGTTTACGGTGTATGCACATCTTCCAAGTCATGTCATTGCCTGAAGGAACTTGACGCTAATGGTGTTTTCAGGACATTTACTTGCATCGGCGTTGTGCCAGTCGCCAGCAAAATCGTCTCAGATCTCGATGGGAAGCAGTCAAGCTCTGCGAACAGCGCCCTCCTCGTTACTATCTGGGAACTTGGAGAAGCTGCCGGGCCTTTGCTTATCGCGCCGTTGTCAGAGATTCTTGGACGTTATCCTGTCTTCAACGCTTGTAACATTGGTTTCATCGCTGCAACCATCCTAGCAGTTTGCAGCCAGAATAGCGGCGTGTTCATTGCTGCCAGGATGCTCACGGGTCTTTGCGTCGCTTCAAACGTTCTCAACCCAGCGATCATCGGAGACATCTTCGAGAGCGAGCACCGCGGCTCCGCAATGTCTTTGGTCATGCTTGCGCCACTCATTGGAGGAGCTATCGGCCCTGCCATCTCGGGCGCCATCGCGCAGACGATAGGGTGGCGACGCATGTTGACCATTGCGGCCGGACTAGCTATCATGTGCGAGGTTTTGTTCCTCGTCTACTTCAGAGAGACGTACAAGATGGCTGTCTTGAGAAGAAGAGCAGCGAAGACGATGCAGGAAACTGGAAAGATTCCTGAGTCGAAGAGCACGCATGAGCATCTAGCGAAGCTCTGGCACTCGATCACCAGGCCTTTTGCGGTGTTGTTCGGTTCGAGCGTACTCATGCTTCTCTCGCTGTTTGCCTCAGTCGCGTTCAGCTTCTTTTACGTTGTCAGCGTTTCATTACCCTCGATCTTGCTGGACAGGTATGACTTCAAGCTCGGCATGATTGGTCCCACCTTCATCTCATTCAGTAAGTGTGTCTAAATATCTGAATTGCCGTAGCTAACTGATATGTAGGCGTTGGGTCTTTCTGCAGTGTATTAGTCTGCAATTTTACGCTCGATAGGATATACGTCAAGCTTCGTGGGCCCGACGGCGAAAAAGGAAAGCCAGAGTACCGCCTTCCTCTTTCCATACTGGGTGCGATCCTCCTGCCTTTCTCAGTAACGGCATACGGCTGGATCGCGGAGTACCGTCTCCCAGTGCTCCTGCTTCTCGCCTCGGTGGCCTTGATGGGATTCTCGCTCCTTCTAACTGTTATACCGTTGTCTGCTTACGTGGTTGACGCTTGCGGTATGTACTCCGCATCGGCTATGACGGGTGTCATTGTTACACGATGCCTCATGGGCACCTTCCTGCCACTCACGACTGGCCCACTGGCTGATGCACTTGGCTATGGACTTGGTTTCACTATTCTGGGTGCACTGAGCTTGTGTTTGGTCATCATCCCAATATGCATCTTCAAGTTTGGAGAGAAGTGGCGACAGCATTCGGAGTTCACGAAAGACACTTGAGGGGAGTAAACCTGCAGCGTTGGTGCCTGCCTTACGATTGTTTTGTATAGAAGCCACTTCCTCATGTCTGCATGGCCCCTACGGTTTATGCCCGTACCCTAAGTTCATAGTAGAGCATAGCTTTTGACCCGGCTGTTCAAACAGCAGACGGTAACGTCCGCCTTAGAACCGGAAACGTACTCCCTAGCACTGTTGAAGTGCTCATTTAAACATCCAAGTGGCGTGAAAGGATCACCTTACGAAGACTCTCGGCAGCGATAGGATGGGGTTGCGGATAAGAGAAGGGAAGAAACCACGGCGCCGAACTGCCGTCGTCAAGAGTCCAACACCAATGCCATCGAGCAGTGTCAGGCGTGTAAGGTACTTCCGAAGCTGTTGAAGGTTCATTCGAAATCCAGAGGTGCTGAGGGAGAACCCTAAAGAGACCTTCGACGGCGGTAGTCAGGCGTGTGGGTGGGTTGAAAGAAAGAAGTAGCTGGGTGGGCACAATATATGTCCAGTGGCGAGCGCACGAGCCCATGGCTATGAAATCCTCAGGGCATATAGTCTAGACAGTAAAGCGAGAGCGGCCCGAGAGTGTACATCGATTTCAGACCTGCAGATGATTGGTTTGCAGACTACAAATGCTGTTCGTGCATGCAAGCTAAGAGGTATCAACCAGTTTGTCAACTATGACTATTTAAACGTTGTAGCACCTAACCTACGCGCCGTATTCTTAGGACGACATGGTGTTGAAATGGTGTGAACGACGTTATTGACGAACAACATTCACGCCTACAGTACGTGAAGGTTAGTGGTCTTGGCTCGGTTACAAAATACAAGTAAAGACAACACATAGGTATTGCGACTCTGTAGTCCGAGGTGACTGAAAACTCGCGAGATGCTGACGTTATTTGCGTTGCAAGAAGAGATCTCTGAGCTCTAGCAATAACTTCTCATCTGCGAGAAGTGAAGTAGTAGTTCGTATATATGAGCAGGTCCGTGCGCTGTTCTCGCGCATCAAGCATCGCCCACCAGAGCGACATCACCAACCTCACGACCCGCTCAACCCACGCCACGATGAAGACGTCACTCGCCACCCTCTCCTCATTTGTGACGCTCACAAGTGCTGCACGTCTGCTGCTGCAAATTCCAAACACCGTTCTCGTGAACCCGTCTACCCTCCCTTCCACCACGCACGCAACGCTCCAGTCCTCCGGCCCGCCCCTCGATGCCTATCTCACGCGCTCCAACACGTTCAACTTCAACAATGTGAGCGCCGGAAGCTATCTCGCTACTGTACATTGCCGCGACTATGCGTTCGAGCCACTGAGGATTGATGTCACCGTGGAGGAGGCGCCAGAGGGCAACGGGGAGAAAAAGGAGATGATCAGGGCATGGCAGACCTTTTTGGGCAACGAATGGGACAACAAGGGAGAGAGCCGCGGCGAGGGCGGTAGCGGCTTGGTGGTTGAAGCCAGGCCGGTAGGAACCAAGTACTTCTACCAAGAGAGGCAAGGCTGTAAGTTGGCATCGTGACAATGCGCAATGGGGAGATTGTGCTAACACGCCGCAGTTTCGCCGCTATCATTCTTGAAGAACCCCATGATCCTTATGGCGATAGTGTCCATGGGTCTCATCTTCGGCATGCCCAAATTGATGGAGAACAGTAAGTCTCTCGGCAGCCCGTTAGGTACTGCCAAGGTTACTAACACATACGTAGTGGACCCCGAGATGAAGGAAGAATTCGAGGAGATGAAGAAGAACGGTGTCCTGGGCTCCGGAAACACCAACACTGCATCGCAATTACAGAACTTTGACCTCGCCTCGTGGATGGCCGGTAAGACCGACTCGGGCAGCGCGAGCGCACGTACACAGAGTCCTGCGGGGCAGACGAAGAAACGATAGATAGCGGACACACAGGGTCTCGGGAAACAGCGAAGCGCTCAGCTTCTTCGAGACAAAGTACGCCTATATCAGCAGCGAGCAATATACACTATCATCAAGCTAGGACTGCCTTCTTGACTTTTGGAGCAAACCCACATACTGCAGCAACCTGTCTGTTCTATGAAGTTCTCCAACGTAGTCTCTTCAGCACGAGCAGGAGGATTCTCACAGGACCAGATATGCGACGACTGCTAGCGGCGTCCGCATGTACATGTTGCTATCGCTTCATATTCTCTTTCCGACCTAGTTGTCTGGGCGAAAGCCATCACAATGCTAAGTTTCTGACTAATCTACGCAGGATCATACAGATAGCTGAAGAGCCTCTCGTCGCACTCAAACTTCGTAGACACGTCTCGCTCCTTCCTCATCAATCAGGATCCAAAGCAGCCCGTGTCACACAAGCGATCCTGTTATATGTTGGAGCTGTCGTTTGATGTAACAACAGAAGCTGAATTCCAGCTTCCGCCCCGCAGCTTACCCAGGTGTCGTAACTGCTTATTCACGCTCTTGACTTTCTATCTCGACCAATCGGGTAGGCGCTAGCCCCGGTAGAGGCAAGCCACCATACCTTCGAACCAACGAGACAGCATCGGTACAATTGCATTGTGCAGCTTATATAGCGCTGCTAGGATACTCTCTTTGTCTCTCCCAGTGATTTGCGCCTTCTCCTACTTCGTGATGAGCAAGATGACTGGTATCCCGCACACGCCGGCTGCCAACATGGACGATCCAACAACCGCGACAACAACCGCACAGCATGATTCTCACCAGCACCATCATGCACACGTTGGTCATCACACGGGCAAGAGGCTGAAACATTTCCTAAGGCCAGATGGAAGAAAGGTGCACATCGCGAGTTCACCCGATGAAGCAAATCACATGAGGAGGAAGCTGAGCAATGCGAACGAGAAAGAAGACTTCGACCTAGTCATTCATGGGTCTCCCGAGCATGTTCGTTCTACACAATAATGGGAAAGCCATGGCATGGAACAATCGCCCTACTAACGCACACAGATTGAAGCACTCCGCCACACCCACGCGCATCACACTGCACACCACCGCCAACTGCACCAGGACCATGGTACCCTAGCCCAAGAATTCGAGCGCGTAATCCGCGACCTCGACACTCTCTCCACCGAACTCCACATGCTAACCTCCCACGCCGTGCAACTCGACGCCAACTTCTCCAAATACGGTTACTCAGCCCATCTACGCACCAAAGAAGACAGCCTATCAACAGACTCCCTCGCCGACTCCTCCTTCGACAAAGAAACATGGCACTCTGACCGTTCACGTGGCACAGCCATCCACTTCTACCAAAAGCCCATCGTACGACAATACTTCCACAAGGGCCTACTGTGGCGCGCAAAAGAAGCACAGGAAGTAGCTAGCTACGAACTCTTCATCGATCTCTTCTACGTGGGCATTATTGCCATAACAGGCGATTCCGCAGCTGAACATCCCACCGCGCAGTCCTTGCTTCGTTTCGCAATTACCTTCATCATGGGCTGGAAGTTCTGGACGGATATCGGGGTGCTGGTGTCGTGGTTCGATAGCGATGATGTGATCAGGCGGGTTTCTGTGCTCTTTTTGCTAACGTGTTTGTTGGGGTTTACGACGAACATGGTTGAGGCGTGGGAGAGGACATATGCCCCGCTTGTGGGGTTCTATCTCGCGGCGAGGTTGTTTGTGACGAGCTGTTGGTTTTGGTACGCGTGGCGCATTCCTATGGTGAAGGGAAGTATGCTGGGAAACGCGCTTCTTTCGCTGATTCCGGCGGCACTTTGGATGGCGAGTGTGAGTGTTGAGGAACCGCAGCGACAGGGACTTATCTGGATGGCTATCTTGTTCGATCTCTTTGGTCAGTTTAGCATGGTCTTGCTACAACGGCCGGGGTCGCCCATCGCACGGTTCGTACCTGAGTCGTGGAAGAGGAACTTAGAGTTCTATCCCGCGACGAACATCGAGCATCGGATTGAGCGGACGAATGCGTTTGTTACACTGGTATTCGGGTCCTGTGTGTTGGGCTTGCTGTATCAGAGTAGTGTGGCGATGGGGATCAATGCGTTCTTTGGGAAGGCGGTGCTGGGTCTTGTGCAGACATTCGTGTTGAACTGGGTGTACTTTGAGATTGACTCGTTCAATCTTCATACGCATGCTATCCGACGGCATGTCTTCTCTGGTAAGTTAGATCCCAAAACCCACATGCCACCGCTGATGATCATGAAAGCCTTGACATGGTTCTCCGCCCACCTCCCCTTCATCATGTCCTTCGTCCTCTCCGCATCAGCCCTCGGCGTCCTAGTCCGCGCCCATGACACTGCCTCCGCACCCCTGGACTCGTTATCCGAAACCTTCATCCCCCGGTCCGAAGACCACATCTCCGAAGGTCTAGTATGGTTCTACTGCGGCGGTCTAGGCATCTCGCTCCTCTGCCTCACCATCATCTCCGCAACACACGTCCACCGCACGATTCCCAATCAGCGCCTTCGCAAGCCCGTGCGTCTTCTCTTCCGCGCAGCAGTTTCTATCGTTATAATCACGCTCCCTCTTGCGCACCTTGATAGCCTGCGGTTGATAGCAACGACCACGGGACTAGTCGTGTCTGTGCTGATGCTTGAATTGGTTGGCGTGGCGTGCTGGGGTGAAAACTTCTTTTGGGAAAAGGAGTGTAAGAGGGATCAAGCGACGTATAGTGCGAAGTGTGCGGTCAAGAGAGAGGAGTTGGAGAAGAGTTTCAGGGAGGGGAAGGTCGTGGATGTGGAGGAAATTGCGAGGAGGGAGGGCGGAGAGAAGGGCGTTGTTGGTGTGGTTTGAGTGGACGTAATCGAGATGGATTGTCGAGTTTTTGCATTTGTGATATTTCAAAGAGTATGTCAAGCTGTTCTTGGTAACATCGTAGAATGAGTATAATTTTACCATGGGAAATTATGAGATATTTCAGATGTCGTCGCTAAATGCCACAGATATGTATTCGACACGAACACACAGAATCGAACACAGGAAAAAGGTCGAACATCAGTTCCCTAATCTTCATCTCCAACCTTGGTCTTCTTTTGCTCATCATGGAATCGAATAGTCCTCCCAGGAATGACTCCTTCAGCTGGACCCGGCGCCCCGCCATTCTCACCACCAGCCTTCACTCCTCCTTTCGGCGCCGCACCCTCTCCATCCGAAACCAGGGCGTTGACACTGCCCATTGGTAATGGCGGCTGACTAGCTGAGCGGCTTATGCTGGGTGCTCTCGATGTTGCTCTCGATGTACTCGCCGAGCTAGTTCCGGAACTAATTATAGACCTGCCGATGCGCACGACACGGTTTGGGAGCGAATCGCCACCGTTGCGAGACCAGCCTGGACGACGGCGAACGCGCGCTTCGGCATCGGTGGTGGTCTGGTCGTTTCCCTCGATGTGAAAAGCGGGACTGGCGTCGTCGGGGGAGGTGGAGCCTGTGCGGGCAAAGGACAAGGCCGTGCTCAGGGTGCGAGGGATGAAGAAACCGACTTTGCCGAGAGGAATGGATAGACCGTGAACGACCTGGCTGAGGTTAGAAAACAAGGCTCTGGGATTACCAAAGATGAGCGAACTTACAACTGAGCAGATTACCAAGAACCAAATGACCACGTTCATGACTTCCATGAGGTATGCAGCATCTTCCCTGACTTCACCATCGACTTTGATCTTGGCGAGAAACTCGAGACTGATGTAGAGATAGAAAATGGCGCTCACGCCGATGGGACCGAAGAAGCCCACGAAGAGTGCTTGTCGCTTTTGCTCAATCTGATGAATCTGTTTATGCATAGCGAAAATGATGGGCAGACGGCGGAGCAATAGTACGAGGATACCCAAGGGAATGAGTCGGTAGATGGGAATGACAGGCGAATGCGCGAAGAGACGCCATGGGCAGACAGCGCCGAACCAGATGAAGATGGATACGTTCAAGAGCATATCAATGGTGGGCTGGAATGAGTCGTCCATCGTTTCGAGGCGGAACCAGTCATCCCATGTAAACGTGTTGCCAGCGATGAAGCAGGCAAGCACGTCGTCGCTACCAATCATGCCGCATGTGCCAACAATGAAGAGCTGCACTTGCGATCAGTAACTCTCACATCATCTAAATTGACATGAAAGACTTACAGCCAAGGTGATTGCAAACACCAAGAAACTCTCGCGGTCCACGTACTTCCGCTCTTCAGCCCAATGCAGTAATTCCTTCGCAATCCAACCCACGGCAGCTCCGTAAACGACACTGAGTATGATTGTGTAGCCCCAAGTCTCACCGAACCACAGGCCTACTGCAACTCTAGTGCTATTGTCTGAGCCCTGGCCGCCATGGCCGATATGCTCAATAAGGTAGAGTGGTAGGAAAAGGAACGGATACCCCAGGCCATCATTAGCTCCTGATTCAGCTACGATAATCTTCTGCAGCTCTTTTGGAATATTTGCATCCGCAAACTTTCCCTTGACGATGGAGTTGGACAACACAGGATCCGTGGGTGTGACACAAGCGCCTACGGCCAGGGCATGCAGGAAGCTGATATGCGGGACCATGGCGAAGACGAGCAGACTGGTCACGAGCCACATGAACGTCATGCCCGGACCGAGTAGCAGAGCCAAACTCTTCCATTCTGTCTTCAGGTACTTTGACGGAAGTTGCACACCTGCGAGGACAAGTTGGACCCCTAGCACCAGGCGCGTAAAGTATAGGGTGATGGTATCCAGCACTTCGACATCATTAAGAGCGTATTCTTCTGGTTTGATCCAATTTGTCGCATGCGGTGAAAAGATGAGTCCCGCGATGAGTGATATTACTAGAAACGCGCAGATTAGTTATGCGCTTCTCTTGGCCCATGATCCAGGCCCGAGCGTTCAGCGACTTACAGGCTTCACTAAGATAATACTTCTCTTTCATCAAATAGCTAACAAGGCCGAAAACTGTGATGAACCCTCCCAATGTCGCACAGACAATGTTGAAGTTGTTGACCGCCAAGGTAGGCATGGCCGGCCACCGAACGCTGAACGGACCCTCAAAACCCGGCGAACGGCTATGTCGGCTTCTTCGATGTCTCTGCTAAACTCTCGGCGAAGCTTGACGGCAAAGCTTAACAAATATCTTCTCTTGCTTCCCAAGGTTGTATGGGACGACTGAAGCGACTGCAAGTCTCTCTTTCTGATGCAGAGTGGTGTTCGCCTTTTATGTAGAGTTGTTTGGTCGATCCGTGGGGTAGATGTTAGCGTTTCGGTGATATTAGGGCGGTCTGCAATCACAAGACACAACGACGCCGAAAGCTTGGTGATGATGACAAGAGGCTTGGTCCGCACAAGGAAGCAACAGGTGGTAACGTAAGTGGAAAATGTGGGGAGTGGTTAGCATCTTGAAGAGATCGCGACGAAGGCGAACGTGGGTCGCACACGCGTAGCGCCTTGGCTGACGGCTTGTACAAGGCTGTGTGAAGGCTTGGTATTTTGGAATTAAATACCTCAACCTTTACAGACATGCCACGGGACAGGATTTTTGAACAACCTGGCGCGAGTACCGCTTCAATTCTCTACCCATCGCGGATCACGTGCCAAAATCGAGAAAACGTGTCACAATGCTTATTTACAATCCCAATAAAGCCCAATATTCAACCATGACCAAATGCACATCTAAACGTTCGCTGCTGCTGCTACCTGAGGACCATAGCCGACTTGTGGGTATGGCTCACCAGGTGCCATGAAGTTTGTCTTGGGGTTCTTCTGGGCCTTGGCTGCCGAGCAACGGGCCATTGTTGGCGAGCTGTATGATGGTTAGTGTTGTGTAACATTAGAGGGGGGGAGCAACATGGATGTGACTTACTTTCTCGAGATGGCATCTGTGAAAAAGAAGTTCTCAATGGGGTTCTTTAGCGCTTGACCAGTCACTTGTGCGCCCTGGTTCTGGTCTACAAGCTGAACCTTGCTCAAGCTGGGTAGCGATGCGGGTTCAACAAGGTCGTATCTCCTGAGAGCAGGTGAGATCTCTTCCATGCGGTCTCGCAGGGCCTCTACATCGTCGTAGGGCAGCTCAGTCCCAAAGTACTCTGAGGCTGCTCGTACAATCTTCCAGTCTTCTCTTGAAGCGCCGGGAAGGCCTACAGCGGCACGGGTCATTTGTACACGACCCTCGGTGTTGACGTATGTGACCGATTTCTCGGTGTATGCAGCACCGGGCAATACAACATCGGCGAGCTGTGCGCCGCGGTCGCCGTGGTGACCTTGGTAGACAACAAAGGCATCCTTGGGGATGTCGGCTTCATTAACCTCATCCGCGCCCATGAGCCAAACAAACTTGGCCTTGGTTTGGGCGACCTCAGACGAGGGAACGGTGAAGCCAACCTCGTAGGCGCCAGTTCGGGAAGCTGTTCGCTGCAAGATGTTGTAGCCGTTCCACTCCTCGGTGTGGAACTTTTCCTTGTTCTTCTCGACAAAAGATCCAACCTGCTCGTAAATCGACTTGGCGTCAACGTGCTCAGTGACACCACTGCCGACGATGATCATGGGCTTCTTGGCTGAAGCCAACTTCTTGCCGAATTCTCCGGAAAGAGCGCTCTTGAGATCGTTGGCGTTGCTTCCAAGCTTCTCGTACTCGAATGTGCTCTCAAAGTCTTCACCAACGTAGCCAATCTCAAGGTCTGTCCTTAGCCATTGCTTCCTGATGCGAGCGTTAAGAACGGCAGCCTCCCATCGGGGGTTAGAGCCGATAAGGAGAATGTAGTCGGCGTCCTCAACACCATAGATCCTGGAGTTGAAGGAGTAGTTTGACCTGACATCGATTCCGTGAGCGATGGGCTCGCTGCCACCAGGCTGGTCAAGAGCCAGGTTGTCGGAGCCGAGTTTGTTGGCAAGATCCTTCATGGCAACCAGCGCCTCAGTCTCGACGAGGTGGCCAGCCACGACCTTGAACTCGTTGCCCTTGGGTGCGATCTTCTTGTATGCGTTGCCGATTTCGACCAGTGCTTGCTCCCAGGTGGCGGGCTGGAATTGATCGTCAACACGGACTAGTGGGTTAACAAGGCGCTGTGTGCTGAGAGCGTCGCAAGCGAAGCGGGTCTTGTCGTTGATCCATTCCTCGTTGATGTCATCGTTGAGTCGCGGGATAACCCTCATGACCTGAATACCACGGGCGTCGATGCGGATGTTTGAGCCAAGTCCATCAAGAACGTCGATGGACTCAGTCTTGTATAGTTCCCATGGACGGGCCTTGAATGCGTAGGGCTTCGAGGTGAGAGCACCGACGGGGCAGAGGTCGATGACGTTTCCAGAGAGTTCGGTATCAAGGGCGGTCTCGAGGTATGTGCCGATTTCCAGGTCGTTGCCACGGCCGAAAGAACCAAACTCAGGAGCACCAGCGATGTCGTTGGAGAAACGGACGCAACGTGTGCAGTGAATGCACCTGTTCATGGAGGTCTGCTATCTGTAAGCTATGTTCTTGGTATCAGACACTGTGGAATCCTACCTTGACCAATGGGCCAACGTTCTTGTCCTCCACCGCACGCTTTCCCTCGAGCTCGTGGAAGCGGCCGCGGTCGGCACCGTATCGCATGGACTGATCCTGGAGATCGCACTCGCCTCCCTGGTCGCAAATGGGGCAGTCCAGAGGGTGGTTGGCGAGCAGGAACTCCATGATGCCCTCACGCGCCTTATGAACGAGAGGCGAGTCGGTCTTGACGACCATGCCGGGCTGTACGGGCCATGCGCAAGAGGCAACTGGCTTAGGAGCCCGCTCCACTTCGACCAAGCACATGCGGCAACTTCCAGCAATCATCAACTTCTCGTGGTAGCAGTATCGGGGGATGGTAACTCCGGCCTTGTCGCAGGCCTGGATGAGGGACGAGCCGGCTGTTGGGGCGCATTAGAACCGTGTGTGCAGTCATGAGGGGGTGTGTTCCGACTTCGTACCTTCGATTGATACCTTCTCTCCATCTACCACGTGCGTTAGCATACCTCGCCGCCCGCAATGGGGAGTGGCACAAACCGATAGTGAGCTCAACGTCTGCTGGGCGGCGGGCCGAGGCACTCAAGGCCCGGCTGCCATTGAGGGCTGCGCGGAAGGCAGGCCTCCTCAGCGACCGGATCATTTGTTGCCGCAGCATTGTGAGGCTCTGAAAGATGGCGATGGACTTGTGGCTGCGGAGCTCCAACTGACGTTCACGATGGCATCGCTCAGGCTTGGCGACTGAATAATCCAGCCGTGATTGGCCAAAGCGCCGCTCGCGCCTGCCACAAAATTCTCGCCGGCCGCCCTCCGACCTTCTCTTCTTCACTCATTTCGGGCACAATTTATTGTAGGAAAGTTTGGCACTCTACCTAGCTATCCTCTATTACGTGCCCAAGAGCACGACTCACCGTGCGAGGTAGCTGGAGCAGACGAGGTTTTCTGATGATATCTTGTTCCTTACCAACGTCGCTACATTTTGATTGAAGAAGAAGCAGCTTTGCTTGTGTGTGGTGGAGCTTGAGATGGCTCAACGCTCGATGATAGGTTGTGATGGAGCTGTAGTTGCTTCATATGCTGGCCAACGGCGCGTTGCTCTCAATGAGCTACAACAAGATGGCCACCACTCTTGCCATCATGCCTACGCCGAGGCGGTGTGCGTGCAGTAGAGGTTTTACCGAGCTTGAACCTTGCGATTATTCGTGAGGCAACATTCGCAAGCAACCGGGATAACAAGGCAACGACTTCGATGTCTGAAGTCTATCGTGCGCGTGTGAGGGGCCGGCCAGGCATTCTTTATGGATGCGGCTCTGCTAACGTCACGTTTACGCCGGGTCACCGCGGACATTGTGTGCGGGGAAACTCAAGCCACCCATCTCACTTCTTCACAATCACGACTGCATGGTGGTGTTTTCTGATTGATAAACTTTTGAAATTGTTTGATCCCTCAAGGGCCTGCGACAAAAGATCTACACTACACCGAAATCATACCTTGACTGGTCTTTCTAGTCTAATGTGCGCCGCAAGAAGTAAAGTGCGCAGCCTCGTCGGGCGACTCCCGAACGCCGTGGCAGAATAGTCCGCTCTAAAACACAAGATTCGTAATCATCGCTTACTCGTTGTCACTCTCAGGGCCGACCTCCATCTTCGCAGCCTTCTTGGCTCCGGGGGCATCGAGCTTCTGGGGTGGCACACCGAGGCCGTTGTGGTTGCGGAAGAATAGAACACCTTTGCCCTCACCCTCAGCACCGACGCTGGGCTCGACCCACTGGCACCAGCGTGCACTCTTGTACAAAGCCTTCAAGAAACCGACGGGGCCATCCTTTGTGTCAGAGCGGTAGTGCCTGCCCATGATGGGCTTGATTGCCTCGGTGGCCTCGTCGGCGTGGTAGAAGGGAATGGTGGAGATGTAGTGGTGGAGGACGTGGGTCTCGACGATGCCGTGAAGGAGGGTGCGTCCGATGAAGCCAAACTCGCGGTCGATGGTAGCAGCGGCACCACGAGTGTAGGTCCAGGTGTTGGCATCGTAGTGGGGCAGGGTGGGGTCGGTGTGTTGCAAGAAGGTGATCATGACGAGCCAGTGGTTGACCCAGAGATAGGGGATGATGTACCAGACGAAGAGGTTGTTGAAGCCGTAGCTCTTGCCGATGAAGGTGAGAGCAGCGATGACCAGGGCGATACCGAGGTCGCTGAGCAAGATGAGGTGCTCGTCACGCTTCTCGTATAGGGGGCTGGAGGGGTTGAAGTGGTTGACACCGCTGAACAGGCCGTTCTTCTTGCCCTTGCCCTTGCCCTCGATCTGGCGCTCGTGGTTGTTGTGGCCGGTGACGTTAGCCACGAGGTACATGGGCCATCCACCGAGCTGCTGGCCGATGGTGTGGAGCAGGGTGTAGATGGGAGTCTCGTCAGCCAGCTCGGAGATCTCGTGGATCGCCTTGCCGACACGGGTGGCGTAGACCTCGCGGGTCTTGGGTACGAAGACCATGTCGCGCTCCATGTGGCCGGTGGCCTTGTGGTGCTTGCCGTGGGAGATCTTCCAGGAGAAGTAGGGAACGAGGAGGAGAGAGTGGCAGACCCAGCCGACAGTGTCATTGAGCACCTTGGAGGGTGAGAAGGCCTGGTGGCCGCACTCGTGGGCAAGAATCCACAGACCAGTGCCGAAGAAGCCCTGCAGGACAGTGTACAAAGCCCAAAGACCAGCGCGGAGAGGCATGTTGGGGACCGTTTCGGGAGTCACGTAGTTGTGGAACACGTAGAAGGTAGCGGCGAGCGAGGCGAGGTCGCGGGCGACGTAGCCCAGACCACGGATGGCAGAGCGCTCGAAGCAGTGCTTGGGGATGGCATCGCGCAGCTGCTTGATGGTGTAGTCGGGGATCTCGAACTCGTTGCCGTATGTGTCGAGGAGCTTGCCGGTAGCCTTCTTAGAGTGCTGGGGCTGCTCGTCCAT